TGTGATCTCCAATATTTACAGTATAATTTTGATTGTCCCTTTGCTTTGGCCATTAAGATCAAAAGAAATATTTTATAATAATTATTATTTATTATCTCTAATTAAATTGAAATTTTAGATTTCAAGTATCAAATCTATATACAATTCTATAGTTACTTACACAGAGTTCAACATCACAAAGATTTCAAGTATCATACGAATGTCAATTATATAGTTGTTATAAGTCAATAAGCAATCTTATTTTATACAATTGTGTTTTTTTTTTTTTTTTTTTTTTTACTTTATTTAAATGAAATGCAAATTTATAAGAAATTTATTTAAATTAAATTATGAATGTTTTTTGTATGAGGAAAGCAAAAAGTAGGATTTGTAGGAATTTAAGTCCAAAATTCAAACTTAATCTGATAAAATAAAATAAAAATTTAAATTACAAGGTATAAGGTATACCGAATTAATTTATTGATATCAAGCTTAGAATTAAATTCATTTTTTGATCGATTTATTTTTTTGATTTCCTGTTATTCTAAATTTAATTCGCTTCGATTTTTATTTTAATTAAAATTTCAAATTTGTTAATTTTCTAAATTTTTATAAAGAATCATAAAAGTACCTAACAATTCATAAAAAATTGATAGTTTTTTATATAGATTGCTATGCATTGATTTTTTTTTCTAGGAACTTAACTCTACCTCTAGCAGTAGGAATTGCACTCTAGCAAAGTATTCCTCATTTTTTAAAAATAGAAACATATTTGTCTATTATATGGGAATTGCCATTTTTCGAAAAAATTATTTTCATAATTTTTTGTTTAATTTTTTTTCTAATTCAGAGGACAAATAAATATTTCTATTTACACTAATAAATTTTTTGATTCAGGCTTCAGTAATGGGATATTTAGAAATATATTTTTGTCGGAAGGCAATATATAATTTTTTGAAAAAAAATTGTCAAATTAATACTATATTGAAGTTAACAATTTAGACTTTATATATATTATATATATATAATATTATTAGAAAATTCTTTAAAAGAAAAAAATGGACCCATAAACAGCCATTTTTCATTTGCTTAAACTTCATAAACAAAAAGATTGAACTTTTGGACTTTGGGGAGCTTTTGATTTTCATTTCATGAATAGAAAACTTTTGGGTGGTCCTCTACATTTGTGGAATTTTTACATTAATTTTCAAAAACTATAGGGTATATATATATATATAATATATATACATATTGACAGATTTTTAATAGTGGCCCACTCCATACAAAGGAAATTGAAAGGGAAAAAAAAGTTAAGATATAGGCAAATTTGAATTCAGAGTAACAAGAGGCTTAAAAGACCATATTGATGCTTTCAAGGTTGTTCGATAGGAAAAAAAGGGATGATTCAGACCAGACAATTGCAAGAGGAAAATTTTTTGATTTTTTTTTTTTTTTTTTTTTTTTGGAAAATGCAAGGAAATTATGGAACTTTAATTAGTTTTCAAATGGCCATCAAAAGAGTAACCATTGGCCAATATCATATACTTTAGCAGTCCATTCATTAGGAATATCTTAATTATTAATTAATAATTGTTAATATTACTAATTAGTGAAAAGGGGTTAACAATTTTTTCTAAGAAGCATCCTTTTTGAATTATATACAAAATCAAATATGGAATATTTTTTTTTTTTTTTTTTTTTTTTTTTGAAAATGCAAAGGAAAATTATGAACTTTAAGTTGTTTCAATTGCCTCAAAAGAGTAACCAATTGGCCAATATCTATACTTTAGCAGTCCATTCATAGAAATATCTTAATTTTAATAATAATGTTAATATTACTAATTAGGGTAACAATTTTCTAAGAAGATCCTTTTTGAATTTATATAAAAATCAAATATGGAATATCTCGAATTAAGAGCTGGAGTATAAATAAATTAAGCTGTTCGAAATTTAATATGAAAAAAAAATCTATTTAAACTTGTCCGATGAGTTAAAATGTCAAACTCAAGCATATTTATTAAGTTCGTTTAATAACTGAACCAAAGTTATGTTTAAGGAGAGAAATCTACGTATGTATGTACAATACGTATATAATACACCATTTTACTAAAAAAGAAATCCAAGAAAAAGAGAAGACAAAACATACTATATGCAAGTGAAAATGAAAATACAGAGAAGAAAATACAAAATCACTAGGCATTATATTAAGAAATAGGTGGTGGTCCTGTCCTCAATGCTCATAGTTGATAGTTGCAGATAATTTCAAACCATAGTAGGACAGTGATGATCTGAAAATTAAAGGGTGGTCCATTGAAAAGAAAATAAAGAAAAGGGCAAAGATGGATAAAGCTTAATCATAACAGATTAATTAAGACTGTGTCAAGCTGTTAGATCACTTCCAACTATAACTTTTCAAACACCAAAATGGTGGCTTTTAGCTCTCTTCACATGCATGCCTACATTGATGTGAGTGCATACAATCTTGAGCATCCAATAGCCACTTTAATTGCAAATGGGTTATCTCTAATTTTCTGTATTCCTATCCTCTTGAATTGTAACTTCAATTTTAAACTCTGTTCAGCAAAATTAACTCTTTCGATAACTGTTAATTGTTTTAATAACGTTTAATTGTTTGAATAGTTTTTCATAAGACGTTAAAAGTTAAATGTTAACATTTTATAAAACGCAATATTTACCTCTAAAAGTTAGTCTAAAGACTATATTATCCAACACTAAAAAAATATCTATAATGTTTCGTTTGAATAGTTTTGTTTTGCTTCACATGAGGTTGAAAATTGTATTTTTTAAAAAACTTTCTGCTTATCATTATTGGTCGAGTATCTATTTCATAATATATGATATCAATGTGACTTAATTATTGAAAATGACTTGCTTAGACCAATTTATGATTCCACCTATAGATTAAATTAATGGAAAATATATATTTTTAAACAGGAGTATTTCCGACCATTAATTTTTAAAAAAAAAATCTCTATTTTCATTAATTTGATCTAAGGTAGGTCTATAGACTGAATCTAGATAAATTTTATCCTTAAATTTCAATGGTTCTATTCATACTAAAAAATTTAAAGTATAATTTTAGTTATTATCGAGAAAATAGTTAAATTAATTAAATTATTTTAGAATTAAATGACTAAATAAAGATATTGAGTTTGTTTAAAAATATTGATTTTCTACCATAATACAAAAATAGTGGTTTCTCACTAAATAATTAGTATTAGATTAGTAGTGAATAGTCAAAGTCAAGTGTTTGACACATTAAAAAGATAGTTAAATTCCCATATTCATAGTAAAAGTTACTGTAGTCACTTACAATATTATTCTTTTTCAACTTGAAAAAGTACAAGGGAAAATGACAACGTAAATAAAATTGTCATGATACAGATGCCCCACAACTTTCACAAAAAGCAATGAAAAGAAGTTCTTGACATGCTTCTTGCCAACATCTAGTCTCTTTCTAGTTCAGATTCTATCTACTCAGTTCTGGGATAATGATGGCTTCCATCCCATTCTGGCTCCCTCTTGAATTGCTCAAGCTCATTTTTAGCCTACTCTCTTCCAATTATTACCAGGCACTCCCTTTCCTTTTTCCTTTTTTTTTTTTTTTTTACATTAAATCATTTGAATGCTAAAGAGGGATCAAATTTAAACTTCTATCTAGGAGTATAAATGAGCCGAGATAACTCTCACTTTGAAAAAAATTCAAAAAAATTTGGCTCGAATCTAGTTAACGAGCCCAGCTTGAGCCTAATAATATTCAGCTTGAAAGTTCGTCCAGCTTTATCGATTCCTCTCAAGCTATATATATATATATTGTTTTTTTAAAAATTTATTTAAGCATCGAATCTTGAGCTGAACTCAAGTATAAAATTTTCCAAATGAACTTGAGCGTCAAATTGAGCTGAACCAAGCTCGAGGCTAAAATTTTTAGGCTCGTCAAGTTTCGAGCCAAGCTAAATTCTATCGAATCGAGCTTCAAGCTTGGCATGAATCTTTTACACCCCCTACCTCTACCTATACTACAAGATGTGCATTCTACCATTAGTAACTTCTTAGTACCTGTATATAAGATGTGCGCTAGACCATTAGGCTCTAATCTAGTTATATGGTATTTAATTGGCAATACTCACACAGTAAGGGAAGAAATCCCAGCCAATGCAATGAGTCAATTTCTACTTGTAAGAGACAACTGTGAAATATCACACTATAGGATTCTCTCTCTCATTGCTTCATATATTACCAAGTGACAACTCTCTTTCAGGCTTGCCTGGATTAATAATTGCTGACGCTGACACAATGATATATCAGAACAAACTATGAAAAGGAGAATTACTTGTGAAAGAGAGGAAAAGATAAAGGGAATTTGGAAGCTAACTATTTGGACCTTATGGGTTTGTACAGGGACACAATATCTCTCCTCAACCTGTCAAAAGAACACAACACAAGGCTTGAATTGGAAGTAATGAAAGTCGCTATAATAACAATGTGACAAGAAACATCAGAATCCATAATGTTATTACTGAGTTATGAAATAGAGATTCATTTATTAATCCCTTTTGTAACTTGCAAGTTCTATCATGATGCACAAAAGCATGCCACCATATGTGTATTTACAGCACCAAAAGTGAGAAAAAGAAAAGGGGAAAAGGGAAAAGCATTGGACAATATTTTGACCAATTATTATCTAATGCATGCTCTTGATGAATAAGTGAAATGCTTGCATTGACTAAGTTGATATCAATCAAGTATCGCCTTTGAATAATCAATTGCTATACTCAGACCAATGCATGCAACTTCTTTTGAGTTCAAACCCTAGTCAGAGCCTAATTTACTAAAAAAATGCATGCTTTAGAATCCCCAACACCAAAAGGAAAAGTGGAAGATAATCTTTCCACATTCCTGCAATATTCCAAAGCAGCACCATCATGCTTTAGGGAAAAAGTATAATAGTTATACTATAAGTGCTCATTTTTCTTAGTACAGTCATTTCGCTGCTCGGATAAAAGAAAGAGAGATTTTTATTTCTGTTTCTCATTATGGTACATAGGAATTCAGAATTCAAAGGACTATGTTCAGTTTATGAATGTGCAGTGCAACATATACATCAATATATTGGAAAAACAAGAATATCTTTAGGACTACAAGGAATATTGAAAAGGGTGTACAAGCAATTAATCAAGAAAATTTATAAAAATGCAAAACTGATCTTTACCAATGAAATTAAATTCCAATTGCATCAAGAAGCTGGGAATGTTGAGACACTGAAACTAACGAGTTAGCAACAATAGCACCACTAGCTGCAACTGCAGGGACACCGATGCCAGGAAAAGTAGAGTCCCCACAGCAATAAAGCTGTGATATGGGAGTTGAATGCCCAGGAAAAGTATCCTTTCCGGCTTGTATAGCTGGTCCATAAGTTCCTCGGTTCCTCCGAAGAAATCTTCGATGTGTCAATGGAGTTCCAACCAACTTCACCTCACACTTTTCACGACTAAAGCCTGGACCAAGTGCACGCTCCACTGCCTTCCACATTACCTGTCTTATAGGAAGTCTGTAAGAAGTAATTCACAAAAGAAATTACAGGCGTGTATATATATATATATATATATATTAAGTAAAATTTGAATACCATGATATCGCCAGAACTGCAAAAGAAAAAAGAGAGAGAGAGAGAGAGAGCAACTAGCCTCTGAATGATGGCTCACCCTTTTTCTTCCAAGTCTTAACTAGTCACCTTATTAATCTAGCAATCCACTTAGATAAGGCAAATTCATATATACCTCCGATCGTTCAGCTTTGAGTTGTTTGTACTCGGTGCTTCTGCGATCGAGTCCTTCCCACAATTCAAATGGTTCGGTTCCTGGTGTATAAGCATGTAACACATGTTTCCCAGGGGGTGCCAAATCCGGACTTAGTACACTAGGAACCGATATTAAAACTACATTCTGATCTGCATCAACTCCTCTATCCCAGTCGTTCACAACTATATGATGGATACCTAAGTCCTCGCGTATACCCTGGTTAGTGTAACAATAGTCTATGATTAGATGTGGAAACAAATGTCAATGCTAATGCACAGTGCTAATGCTTCAAATTTACAGAAATGGCAATATAAGACCTTTTATATTCTAATATCCAGATTTAAAGGATCATTAGGAACATGTCGAAGATGCTATGCTAGATCTTGATATATTGTCCATTACATGTTTCCAGGGTATTATCCTCTAAAAGAATTATATAGGATTTGAAACTGAGAAAGCATACTTGAAAGTCTGACGTTCAACATTATAATATATATATATATATATATATATAGCAGACTGGTCCACTGCACGCCTTATATATGCTGTTTATAGCTTAAAATAACTACTTTACTTGTTATGCGGCTGCAGTTGATTGTTGACATTATGTAGACTCCAGCTTATTGTTTTCATAAATGTTGGATCAAATGGAGAAAACAACAAGCATTTATACCAATTTTCTGTATTGAATCATTAATAAGAATGAAGAAAATTTGAATGAAATGTTTCCTTAGAAAATTTGAATGAATGCTTATAAGTGACATCTGAAAAAAAGAAAATGAGAAAGATGTTGGACTGGACCAGCCTCAGTGCCTATAAGACAAGCAATGCTGATGCAATACAAGAAAACTAGCATTATATATGTCAATCCCTATGTTTGGAAAAAATTATTTACATATAACTGAACCAAGACAGTAGCATTCCACATTAGTTAAAAAGAAAATATTCAGATAATGTATGACGATGTGAAGACCAAAAGAACATTTATTGATGTTGTCAAAAGAAAGTTATAATGGACAATGATTTAGCAGAAAATATGTAATAGAACATGTACAAAGTGGTACATTTACAAGTGAAAAACGAATAATTGGGACATGTTTTTGCCTTGTTAACTTTGTAGTTTGTTACCTTTTAAAATTGCATAAATGTGTAGAATTTGTGTTAAGAAGCAATTATAACTAAATTTGGGAAAGGGAAAACCTGATCATATCATATGTATGCTATTACTAATCTTACTCACCTCCGCATCAAAGCCCAAATGGAGATGCATGAATGATTCACACTGTGGTGTTGTGTTAATCCTGTCTGTGTATGACTTTGGAAGAACTTCCTTGGGTAACAGATTTAAAGTATCCCACATAGATGCATTACTTATGACAGCCTTTCTAGCACGAATAAACTGCAGTGCACAAGATTGTTCCTTCAGTATGGAAAAAAATCAAACAGCAGTTTCTCACTTATCACTCATCAAGTAAGGAATCAAATCCACTCACTTGACCACTTCTCAACTTGACTCCAATTGCCCTATTGTTATCAATAACAATATTTTCGACATGACTTCTTAAAGAAAGCCGTCCACCAAACTTCTGCAATCCTCGGACAAGAGCATCAACAACAGCCCCACTTCCATGAAGAGGGTATTCAAGAGAGCAACCAGGCTTATACCATTCTGCAAACATGTAAATCTGAAGGAAATAGAAGAAAGATCACTCTGCTTACAAACATATCACACTGGAGAGTGTTCTAAAATTCCACATTCACAGAACAGTACCATTATCTTATAATTGCTGTGATCATATTCCTATCATGTCCATGTCTGATTTAATGTTGTGACTTTTGACAACAGGAAAGTCACATTAGAAGAGTCTAGTGTCACTGAGTTAGCTAATAGTTAGAAGTCCATTAAGATATAGTTTAAGCATGTAACAATTTTCTGTTTTTACAATTAAACCTAGAGCTCTTATTAATAAGTTGAGATTATATGTGAAATCGTTATCTAATAATTAATCAATAAAAAACATATCTTTCTCTTTCCTCTTCTCTCTTTATCTCTCTCCCTCTCTCTCTCACGTTCCTCTTCACTCTCTCTTCTTTCTCGTCTCTCTACTCCTGTCTATATTCCCTAGGAGTTAGAACTATGAACCAAAGATCTAACACTTAGCCATCTGAGATAAAAACTAAAATTTAATAGAAAAAACAAAATTACAACTCAGCAGTCGAAAGGTAGCAATGTTTAGAGTAATCTCAAATAATGCAATAGGCCCTATACTATAATACTTACTTTAAATAAATAATTTTCCATAACTCATTAGTGTACCACCAGTTCTTTTGGGTATTTGTGCAAAACTGCTCACAATTTAAAAGTACATTATAAAAGAGTATGAGCTAAAACTAAATAATGTCAATCATTCACAAAATATTTTGGAAAAAAGAAAGTCATAGTTACCATCTCTGCCGAGAGTATACCATTAGATTTCACCCCTGCAAGAAGGAAGGCCAAAAGGTCCACCCAGTTCCGTATAAAAGGATCTTTCAGCTCTAATGAGTCAACAATTTCTGAAAATGGCCTAAGAAGCTTTGTAGCACCTAAAGCTCCCTGAGGTCCCATTTGAATGAAAGATTGAAGCAGGGAAGGGGCATATCTAGCTGCAGCAGTAGACAGAACACCAAGATCACCCCGAATAGATAAAGGAGGCAGAGCCATTGCAGCTGAAGACAGTGGAAGTATAGCATCCTGTGACAGAATTTTGTTTTCAAATTGAAAGATATGAAGCAATAATGAAGAATTATTAAAATGAGAAAATATTAATGAAATGAGAAATTGCAAGTTTTATGATCTGAAAAGAATATCAACTCAAGTATGTTCTTTTTAAATGAGGTGTTCAAAGATTACAGTTTTAACACCCAAGACAGAACCTGGGTACAAAATATTCAAGCAACAGTTCTACCTTACACATTTTTGTACACATTGGTATTTAGAAACACAAACTTAGACTCATGCAGATGCAAGTGTAACATTTTCCAATTGCACCAAACAAAATTTCTTCAAAACTAGTGAATTTAAGAATTACCATTTTAAAAGTTTCTTGCTCTTACTTTTCTTTTACAAGATGAAACAAAATAACCAAAATATATAGTTACGTGCTAGACAGAAAAAGGATGCCAGGCTTTCGATATCATGTGGATAGGTCATAGATGAACGAAAGAAAATTATTGTTACTTACAAGAAGTTTTTTCCACTCTTCGACTGCATTGGGACCTGCATACTTCTCAAGGTCCTAAAAGAAGAAGAAAGGCTCCATCAAGAACAAACTTCTGTGATTCAAGAACGCTTAATATCACAGTCAATACTAAAACACCAGAGAAATTAAAAGGGTGAAACGCTATATGTAAAACTGAATACGCAAACATGCATAGATACTAAGTGGCTAGTATCTCCATTTTCCTAATTACTCTCTGTTATTGAAGTGTGTATGTGTAATCTTAATACTTCAAGTTTATGAAAAGCTACATGGATCATGAGTTGTATGATAGTTGGGACTTGGGACTAATAGTAGCTTTGAAATGTCTTTGTCCCTACTTTTCCCTTTGTCTCAACTTCTGAGTTGATAAAATGTATAATTTTTCATATTTCTCACCAATATAAACATAACATCTAAATAGCTAAAAGCTGGACATTACAAAGAAAACCCACCTTGTAAAATTCTGTGGGGCCAATCCGTGACAAGAATTCACCTTCAGGTACATAGACCATCCAAGAATCGTACTTCACACATGGAGGTGATTCACCTAATGCATCTAAAACCTGAAAAATCATATAAACTATGGTCATTTTTACATTGACATAAAAATGCTAATGATCTTTTTTTTTTTTTTTTTCAAAATGTAACTGGCTATGACTTATAGCCCCGTGCAAGAAATAAAAGACATATATAATAAGAAAGAAAAAAAAATACCTGTGCAAGGGGATTAGCCTGAGGACCTCTTGATTGAAGACCAGAGAACAATGACGGTCCTGAATCAAACTTATAGTCTTTTATCTGAAAAGAGTGAGCAGCCCCTCCTGGTAAATCATGACTTTCTAATAGAAGAACATCTTGCTTGTATCTAGCCAGTAGCCCAGCACAACAAAGCCCACCAATACCACTTCCAATCACAACCACATCTGCCTCTGGCTTCCCTGCACAATTTCAATTCTACCAATGCTTCAAAATTGAAAATTCGACCAAAATTTTTTCTTCTTCCCCTAAATCAGAGTCATTTAGTAAAAAGCAGTTAGAAGTGTTCTTGTGCTTGTGTATGTGGAGAAGGGGAGAGACCTGGAAATGATGTCTTGTCCTTGACCAGGAGATTACCATTGGAGGAGAGTTCATTACCGTTGGAATTTCGCGCCACAATTGTTTTTCTGTTACTTGAGGGTCTGAAACTAGAAAATAGAGAATGGTACTGAGCGGTAAAATTGGGAGAAATAGACAATGCCATCTATACAAAAATAAACCCCCCGAAGAAGAAAAGTTATGGCGACTTTTTGAAGTTGGGGGAGGGTAGGAAGCTTCATATTTCGGTTTTTGTAGTTGAGAGTCATCCACGTCGATAACTGTTTCTGGTTTTTTTGTCCTCAAGAAGCATGACCGATTGGACAGGACTAGCAACTTTACGCTGATCCATATGTATAGTTTTATGTATACGTATATTTATTTTTGCGTGAGCCTCTTTTACGGATTGTTATAATTGTTTTTCGAAAAAATAATAAATTGGTTCTTAAGATATTGCAAATATCTATTTTCAAAATTAACTATAAAATTCTTAATTTATAATTCCATTAATGGATTTATCATTTCATTCAAAATAATCTCTTTTAAGTAACAATTGATTAAGAAATAGATCCTTCATAAACATTTTGATCATTCTCTTCTAAATAAAAGAATCAAAATATTAATAAAATCATAATTTAAAAACTTTATAGTTAATTTAAATATTCTCATATGTCAAATATTATATTCTGTACATGCATCGTTTTATTTTTTTTCAATCTCAAAAACTAATAAACGCTCATTTAATTTATAAAAATTAGAATGAAAACGTAAATGAATATCTAACTAAATTCCTCAGAAAAAAAATCTATTTACAACTGAAACGGATGGACAATTCAGAAGACTTCACAAATTAAAATTTAATAGGAAGAGAAATTTTTAGACACCACAAATTTTCTGAAGGAGGTTTGAATGAAAATGGCTACTAAGCTATTTTTTTATTAATTAAAAAAATAGAAAATATTTAATATATATTAGATATTTCAGTATAAAAAATATATAAGAAAATTCTTTATGAACCAATAAATATAAACTTTCATCTAAAAAATTACATTCTATTCTCAATTTCAAATTTCCACAGCTAACCAAAGGAAAGTTATACCAGCAGACAGGAACAGATATTTAAATAACATAAAAGATAAGAGAAAGACCAAATTGCACCAAAGTAAATTTCCATTAACACAAGCACAGCCATAACAAAGACCCAATTAGTCCCTAAACATCTTATAACATTAATCCACACTTTTTAAATCACTCCATTTACCATCAGTCAAAACATTCACATACTCCCACCTGCTCTCAAATCATCTTGCAAAAGCTCTCCGGCTCTTTCTTTCTTTCTTTCATTGAGAATCGAATTATAGATATAGCCCTACAAAATACCAAAGGGCTATAAACAAATTCTCACCAATCACGTATGCTAGACTGATTAACAAGTCATATATATATAAGAACGAACCATGCGAAATCAAGATACTGCTTTCTTTCGATATTTTATATACAGTTTTAACCAAAGGGATCCATCTCTAGAACTAGAATATCCCCATATGCAGTCGGTCAAAGGCAAGAATGAGGACATCATTGGCTCCTCCGGTGAGTAAAAGAACCCCACAAAGGGGGCAGGCACACCCCTGGCAAAATCTGTGGTCCTATATATGATTATAACGAAGATATCTTTTTTTTGTTCCTTTCTTCCTTCCTCCTATTCAGAGCAACCTTTGACTAAGATCCGGATTTCTCCAACCCACCAAGTATTTAATTACATGAACTATCTGCATCATTGACATCAGCTTCCGTTTTTCTTCTAGGCTTCCCAAAGAAAACCTTATCCGTTGCAGAAACATTTTCTCACACCTGACCAACTGTTCCATAAAGAGACAGCCACCAGCATGCAGCAACTGCATGCTCCAAAATTTTCATGGGACTAGAATTCGACTGCAAAATAATAACCACAGCATCATCGAGAATTTCTGAAAGAGGAATAGACAAGACATCCAGCAACTTCAGCAAAAGAAAGATTGATATTGAAACAATAAAAAGAAAATAGAAGCATACCTTTCCAAAAACTCTAAGAACCAGAACTTGACTTTTGAACCCACACTTGCTTCTGCCAATCCAGAGAACAAACTTTCAGCCCATTAGTAAACACTAAACAAGCAGACAGACATGACAATGGTCGTGAAACTTTAGGAAATTCAAGTGTAAGCACCTCATGGGAACCATAACCAGAAGCACCACCTCTCTTTGAAGCCTTCCCCTCGCCAGATGAGCCATCAGCATCCCTCACTGGGTGTGATGGTCCTCGACGACCAAAATGTTTATGTGATCCTGCATAAGAACAATCACTCAAGTTGTGAAACGGAAGTCATATGTGAATGATCCATACAACCGCATCAGCATTGATGATGTAGATTCAGTGTCTAAAATAAGTTAGACAAACAAACCATTGTCTAAAGAAGAATGACTGCCACGTCCAGTGAGGGTTTTAACTTCTCCACTCCTTGAATTTGATGGGTCAACCTTTAGATCTCCAAGATTTCCTAGGAGATTATAAGCAGAAGAAATATCAAAACAAATTGCCCCAGCATAGGAAAAATTTTTTTTTTACTTCAAGTTAGATGTCAGTATTTTTATGTATGCATGAATGGTTCAAATATTTGATTGTCTAAGCAGTTACAATTTCAACTGGTCAACAAAATCACAACCACTATGATGATGCAACCACCCATTAGACCATATTCATATTAAAATACAGTCCAATTGTCCAAACATCATCAATCCCAAAAAAATCCAAGTCAAATAAAGGTGTACCTTGAGAAGAATCTACGCCTGATTGTGTAGATTGTGATGCAGACAATGACAACGATTCATCACTTGCATATGATCCATCTGATCGTCGAAGAGGAGTCCATACAACTCGATCAGGCCTATCCTTATTTCTTGTGCGCTTTTCCTGCTTCTCACCAGAAAAACCATGCAAATCATTAATAACAACCTTATCATCCAAAGCTCCATTCGTGTTCAAAACCAATTGCACATGTGGAGGACGGGGAGGACGTTTTTCCTTTTCCGAATTGGATGTTTGCATTTGATGCTCAGACTGAATCCCAGAAGATTGATTTTGACGTGATTCCTTGTTTAAAAGTATGCTTCTGATTATCCTGCCACTGGCCTCACGTCGTTGGTTCTGTTTGACTGCAGAACTGATCACATTTTTATCAAATGATGCTGCATTCTGCTGCAACATAAAACCAGACAACTGTAGAATTAATAAACATAACTGATACAATTCAGAAAGCAAACTGGCTAAATGTTTGCATTTTAACTCTCTGTGGGGATTGGATATGATACACAGAAAGGGGGTAAAGTAAAAAGTATAAATCAACAAACAAGCTGTCAACATTCATGAATGCCACTTTACACAAAATCAAAATATATCCTAGGGGAAGTTAATCATTGTTATCAAGAAAGCAGGATGGTGTAGTTAGTTCAATAAAGATGAACACAGAGTAGATATTAGTATTTGTTCTTGTGCCATTTGATTTGATTAAAGCAAATGGTAGACATGTTAATTCAAGAACATTTCTTCAAGACATTGTACTGAAAAATCCCACAATAATTGCATTCACATATTTAATGGAGACGCTTTTGTCTCATGTTTTAGTTGAAACCTCAAAGTCCTAAATTGGACCTCCCAACAAATATAAAGTAAACATAACTATGGTAACAATCGCAATTGGGTACTGAGACAACAGTGGCACTGAATGGAGCAGCAGTTGCCAATTGCCAAATGTGAACCAAGTGGTAAGAGCATCAGAAAAAATATACATAACATAGCAATAGTGGCTGCCACAGTCAAATGGCAACAGTACGATAGCTTGGATGCAAAAAATGGGAGCATAATCTTTTTTGCCTTTTAGAGGGGGCAATGGGGCTAGTATCATACCTGCAGCAATGACAGTGGTCAATGTATACTTGGCAGTGGCAGTGAAATTCATCTATTATATTCATTGGAGAGTAATAACATACATACGCGACAACATAGCATGCAGACAATATAACAACATTATTCAACAGAGACAGAGATGGTAAAGGTGGCATGTCTTTGTTCACACACTTCTCTTGGCCTGTTCCATGGACCTTCCATCAGAACATTAAAGCAAGCCTTCTTCATTCTCCGTTCCATAGAAAAATGCATAGTTTAACTGAAGAGCCACTGAAAAATGTAAAGAGGAATGCAAGACTTACATCTGAAATCTCCTTCTCTTTCCCTTTCAGAAGAAGAATTTTCTTTTTCCCAGCATCTGTAATTCCAGAAGCTCCTGAAATAAAACCATTAACAACACATTACAGTCCCTATCAAAAAAATATAGAGTCAACCTGGTGCAGAAAATAAAAAGGCATATTGGGAAAAGAAATATGTTACATGGTAAACATCTCAAAAAAATTTGCCAGTAGATAATAAGTTCTGCCAAATAGATAATGAGGGTGAAGCAAGATTATGGAGGTGACTGTTTGAGACTAATGCTTTGTTCAGTCAGCTTAGCTCAGTTTATTCATAAAAAATATAAGGTACATATGATAGAAACACATATTCTGAAAAAGAAATTATATCCATGTTTAAATATACAGTATTATTTCAAACTTACTGCAATAATTGCATGATTTTGTACTTGACATCCATGATCAAGTAAAGTGCATACAACAATATTAGACAGACACAGTAGCATAGATTAAATAATCTTTAAGGATGATACCAAATCTCTCTGTGGATTAATCAAATTGCCACCAAGATGAACAAAGCATATGTACTTCATAGTCGCTTCAATGGTTTATATGAGGCAGCTTTCTTGCTAAAAACACATATGGATGTACAAATACAAGTCCAACTTTCGACAAAGAATGCCACACCATCATTTAACAGTTCCTATTCAGTTTCCAATCATAGTACTTTCATCTATTTGCTTTGTCTCTATAAGTGCGAGATTTTATAAGTCAAGCATATGTGTGTATGTTAACAATTGAAATGTTCAACAAGTAAAGAACAAAGTACCATCATTGAACACTTCAAATCCGTCTCCTAGACTTACCGCTTTCATCTTCCAAAACTTCAGCTCCAGATGCAGTACCTAAAGTAACAGCTTTATCAGAAAGCTGCTGATCATCTCGCTTCGGAACCAAAATGTAAGTTGATTTGTCTTTTCCACTTGTGCTTTTTGCAGTGTCCCTTAAAACATACTGCCCATCAGACGGAACAGGTCGTTAATGCTCTCCAAATACCTAACTTATTAGCTTGTATTTGTAACAGATTGCTTAAATGATATTAAACAAACCAAAGATACATCACTCCATTAAGCATATGAGAAACTGAGTGTTGGTTTTGCACCATAAGCACTTCAATGAGTAACAAGACTCATGGGAAGAAGAACTGACAGATCAAAATTCAATTGAGCACATGCTTTTACTGTTACTTCTTGCCTACCAAGTTGTCTTCTGAGTATAAAATACAAATCTTTCAAATACAGTTTACAGTTTGAATCTACACAGCAAATATATAGAACATTGGTTGTGCCTGATTTTCAATTATTCCACATTCCAATTTTCTCTATAAATTTCATTTTACTCCAAAGGTGACTATATGGAATATTTTCAAAGATGATTTATACATTATTCACAAGAAAGAGTAACACATTACCACCTCAATGCATACCATAAAATAACATCTCCAAATCACCAGGCCAAAAAGCAGATTCAAACATTCTGATTTAAGCACAACGTTCCCACTGTGCATATCACTTGTACAGGTGTATTTTGTAATACCTTCCACCTCAAGCATTTATCTTAGAAAGCACATTTCAGGCAAAGACTTCATTAATTAGCATCAACCAAGGATGGCTCAAAAAGCTACATCTAAAAATTTACATATCGAAGGCATGTTATATTTCCACGAGAAAATATTGCAACAGACAACAATCATTAAGTTGTGATATTTGACATTATTATCTTCCACATTAAAAATAACACTAGAGCACGTAGAAAGCAACTCTGAAGCAAAGACAAGTCAATGGTTCAAGCTAAAAAATAATAGTGAGTTGTATCGCTAATAGCACCACAAATTAGCTAATGAAGAATTATGAACTTAATATACTTATAACAAAGAATACCATAGTGGTTGAAACTCTCTTCTTTTCAGAACTTCGCTTGGATGAGGATGAACCAGGACTTCCACTTGTACCAGCCCTTCTACTGAGTTTCCCATTACCCAATATTCTCTGCAATCAAAAAATGTTATGCTCTTACTTATCATAGATTTTGAACAAGATAAAGAAAAGAATAAAGAAGTCTACAGGGTGACAAAGCCATAAACATATAACAATCAGATCAAGAGTGACATTTGATGATGTAACTTCTAGGTTTAATATTTTCTTCACAGTAATGCTTATATAATTCAAGTAACACACGGCGCACATAACCATTAAATATTATAATCTAACAGACAAAACTCTCTTTTAGCAGTCTACTGAATTAACGGTGTAAAATCTTTGTAAGATATAAAATGAACCCAGATATTAGTAAAGGGATCACAAACATTGCAGCGATATTCCTTGCTAACCATTAAGATGGAACCAAGACCTTGTTGAGTAGAGTTCAGAAGGTCTATCGAGCTTACAACTTCTTATGGAAATTTGACACACTTGCTAATACTTGTACTCCTGGTTCTTAGGTCCAGGCCATCAAGTAATCAGGTGAGACACTTCATCAACAGTAAATTGCCAAATACACATAGTAGCTCCTACTCGCAACCTAAATTAACTAATGGAATTCTGAAAACCATTGGAACTGGCCATACAGCAAATAACACAAAAGAATACGGTCCATAATTTTCTTGATAAATTTTGAACCTTTCAGCAACATATTTTAGTTCAAAGAATACCCGAGATCCAGTCTTCGCAGCTCTTTTCTGCCGGACAAAGTCCATTAAGGGTGTAATAATAGGAGCATCTTTTATAATACCTGTAGATATATCAGGAAAGAATATAAATGAAGCAATAATAATGGTTTTCCAATTTAGTACTACATTATCATGCATTTTTTTTCTTCTTAATTGGAATATCTGTTCATAGAGCAGCATGTCACCCAAGATCTTTTTAACTAACCGGCTCTTTCAGCTTCTCTTCTTTCCAATTGTATCTCAGCACTGGGAAGATTCTCAGCAGGCTTTGATATCAATTCAAGGAACTCCAGATATGCAGGATCTATATGTTCAACAAGGAAATATTTATATTTACAAAAAGGAAAATGATAGCATATGTAATTTCACAATCAAATTCATCTTTAATTCCACAAAGAACAATTTTCTCCAAAAAATAAAAACCTTTTAGGATGGTGCCTTCACGACCATCTTTCTTAGACCACTGCTTTGGAACACGCTGTGAGGGAGCATACTCAACCACAGCTCTAAACTGTGTGCCTGTAAAAGAAAGAAATAATTTTATTAAAATTTCATGTCTTGTATCAAATCTCGCAAGAATTTAAAATTCAAGAACCATAAAAAATATGAATTAAACATGAGAAGGACACTAAATTTGTTGACTTCTTTACCCTATCCAAAATAAAACAGTGATTTGAACACAAACAACATCATAGAAATGATTTGAGTGCCTCATCAATCTTTTGAATATATGCTCAAGCATTACCCTTCTCATTGACAAAGAGATGACCATTAAAGAACTCTGCAAACTCAATAACATCTTCTGGGCTTCTGAAGTCAATGTAGGCTCTAGAATTGGATTGATGCCTCTGACTGCAATCATTTTGAGAACAATTATTAGAGAACAATCTTAACCACAAAGGTTATTGAGTTTAAATACAAAATTAAGATCAACAATGTTAATAAATTTAAAAAAAAAAAATCCTAATACCATTCACAATATGAGTTGAAGGATTAATCACATAGACAAGGTGATGAATCTGCTATAAGAAGGAGAACAAGTACTCCTTCTCATAGAAGCATCATATATACAACCACATCATGGTAAATAAGTCTATCAAACCACTTCGTGCACGAAGAGGGAGCATGGAGTGGTTCCAAAAATAGGAATTTGAAAGAATCAGAACATAAAAATAGAGTCAAAGCATAAAGGACAAAAAGAAAATAAAACTCTAGTAGCTGCCAAATAGACCAATGCTCTTGGGATTTAAAATATAAAATCCCTCCATTTCTCCTAAAGGTAATTATCTAATATGATGATTTGATAATGTGAACATAATGAAAAAGGAAAATAGTAAAATCAGTATCACACTAGAAAACATAGAATTGCAGTTCGAGTTATCTAAGAACTACATTAACTCAAAAACTCTATATATGGCAGTAATAGCAATGATTAAAAATATCAAAACACCAGACTAGCATAGCATCCAACTTCATACTACTTATAATTTATAATACATGAAACCATAATAATATGTTTATGATATGAACAACTCCCTTAAACCAACTTAACAAAAAAAAAATCAAAAATTGCCAGACACAGAAGAGAATCACATGAACTACATTTTTCAGTAGAGAAAGAAATGAATAAGTGCACAAATCAAACACAAAAGAATCCTCACATTATTTTAACGATAGCTAATTTAACAATTATTTCCATTTCAGAATCTATATCATCCCCTTTTTACACAGAACTCAAGTAATATTATTTTCAAGAAACATACTCCAGTAACTACTAAATAAAACACGCAAAATCCTTAAATGCAAGTGATTAGGTTGCCTCAGTTCTAATTCACATGCATTCACAACTCTAGAGCCTCCACTTACATCACGTTCGTATTGCAACAAAACCGATTTAACTTTATAGTTTATCAAAATTGAAAGCCAATAAACCCCACCAGACATACACCATGACTATAATAATAAAATGAAACAAATCCACCTTCAAGAGGCTCATAACAGCAAAAATAAGCCAAAAGAAAATTATAAAATCAATCCAAAACGGTAAGACGTACCAAATGCTGAATAAAACCCTAAAGAAGTCGCAAATCGGGTAAAATATAAGACAAACTTTCCAAAAAAAGAAAAAAAAATCTAACCTGTTCTTGCCAGGACGGAACGATACCCAATTATAACGCCCAGCGAAAGCAACGTTGATTTGCTCCAAAAACATGTCCTGAGAAATCGTAGGCGGCAAGTGGCGCACCACCACCTTTGTCTTCTCAGATTGACCTTTCATAACTTAAAAAGCCTAAAATCCAAACAAACAAAGAGAACAAACCCTAGAAATCCAAAATCCCCAAATCAAACTACAGTTTCCTATTTTCTCTTCCTCTTCTTCCAAATTAGTCTAAAAAGCTCGAAAATCTGTATGAGATTACATCTTCGTCATGGAGTATTAGCATCGATCGAGAGAGATTTCATGCCATAATAACGGATTGGTGCCCTAATCGCCATGCACGAAAGGTTAAGGGAGGAAAAGAAGAGCACAGAGGAAGAGAGAGACAGTGAAACGAAAAGGACTCAGTAAATGTATTGTTTGTATATAATACGGTTAGTTATGTATACAAAAACGTAATTATGCGTATATTTGTGTATTTGATTGATTTTGAGAACTGATTTGGCCTTTTTGCGTGTGATGTGAGGTGCGCTCTTGTGTGCAATGGTGTAACTAAGGTATTTCTGCACGTGAAAATTTGGGCAACAAGTGTGAAAATATGTGAAGTAAATTATATAATTCACCGTCACTAATGAAATTAATCATATGATTTTTATACGAGATGCAATCACGGGTGCACATTCAATCAATTCCATTAATGGTTTACAGATTAGTGAATGGAAATTTCTAAATATTTTGCCGAATCATTTATTTTTTATTAAATTTTATTTAAAAATTTTACTTATTGTCTCAATTTTATTAAACTATTTTTATCGAATAATTTCTTTTCAGCTTAGTAAATCGGTAATTAGAGAAATTTGTTTATCCGCACTGTGTAGTTGTATTAGTTAAACAAATGGATAAGCATATTTTGAATGTAATAGACCGTTAAATAGTCGGTCAATTTTAAATTTTCTTTAAAATCGTCTTTTATGCGAATTAATTCATCTATAGCAGGTGTAACGATTTCATTTTGCTTAACATCATTTACCTGTTATCAGAATAGTATCATCTCATAATCTAGGCCACAAAAGGATAAACCAGATACAATATTTCATTTTGGAATGTACATAGATAAGAATAATGAAAAAAGTAATTTCCATAATATATAAACCATTCTCAAGTCGGAAAATTTTATCCCCAACACATATTTTTCATTCAGCAGTTGCCATTCCATCTTTTCTCCCTTTTTCATGTTCATATTGCATTTTCTACCTCTGTCTCGGTTGTGTCGGTCATGTTTACAATCATTATCACCGTCGTGGTATTGAGTAAGAACTTATTGCTAAATTAATTGCAGAGAAGATGTAAGTTAAAAAAAAAAAAAAAAACATTCCATCTTTTTTTCTCGTCTCCTTTTGGGCATGCTTGCAATATTGCATGTTTCGCTACCTCCTGTCTCCGGTAAACTGTGCGTCGCGTCGGATCGCTTTTTACGAATCGATTATCACCGTCGTCGGTATCTGAGTAACGAACTTGTATTGCTAAATTAATGTGCAGAGAAGAGACTCTATAGTTAACAAAAAAAACACAGAAAAAAAACAACAATGCTCAGAATAATAAAGAAATGCAAGACAAGGAGTAACATAAGTTGCTAATGCAAAGGAGATTAAAAAAATAAAAAAAGAGGAAAATTTTTTCTAATCAAAAAAAAAGAAAAAAAAAAAAAAGAAAGCTGAAGATAGGAGAATCAACTGCCAATAGCACATTTTTTTTTTTTTTCTATCTTGTTTACTCACACGATGACTTAATATTATATTTAAGAACATCAGTTAATGAATTCGCTTATAGGGGGATAACTTAGAAACTTAAGTCAGAACAATAATATAGTATAATCTAAGATCCGATATCCGACTCTTATTACAAGGCACTATCTAATATCTGATTCGGAGTTTTAGATCACAATAACTTTAAAATTTCTCTGCCTCTTTCCACTGTTAAGGTACCGTTTTAGCTGGGACTCGAACTATCTTCGCATTATACCTTTCAGGTTGGCTATTTCGGGTGGTGTCAATCTGAGCAAACCCAGTAAGGATTAATCATAATGTTTGTTTGTAAGTTCTAAAAAATAAAAAATTCTATTTTTTTCTACCAGATACGTACTATTTACCCTATAAAAATAAATAAATATACCAAATTATTGATGAGATCAGAACAATAAGTATAAAATAAAAGTATCAAAAACTCTGATAGCTTGATACATGATTAGGCAGGACCCGCCTTCAATGCTTGGAGCGAAGTTTAATCACAATATAAAGGCTCTTTTATCCCTCTCTGTGGCAAGTGCGTTCAGTTGTGGGATACACTTCTCGTGAGTTTTCTGTTTGTCTCACAAATAGCTTCAGTTGCAACTTTTGCCAGACTGGCAACCATACGGGCTTAATTTCAAATGATTATCATTCTAAAAAAACCTGAAAATTTATGTTTCTACCCACAGTACTATATATAATTAATACCTAGGTATATATATATATATAATTATATACTATATGAATATAAATAAATAAAAAAGATATAAGATAATTAATACGATAAGTCAGAAACAATTAATATAATCTATAATCAAATTCGGTATTTCAACATTATTTAGTCCGGCTGGCCAACGCGTCTAATTGCGCATTGATCCTCTGGGGACTTTAATCATAATTTTAAAAAACTTTTACCCCCTCTCTTACGTGCCGTTTAGTGGAAGTTCGAACTTTCTCAAATATCTCATCTATACTCAATGTCTGCGTATGCCAACTTGAGTCAACCCGGCATAGTTTACATCAAAGGCGTATTCTAAAAAAAAACTGAAAATTTATTTTACTGCAGTTGGGCCTTTTTGGTTTTCTTATGTATGACTCCTCTTCCTTATAAAAAGAGGGAATCCACTTTATATGGATTTAAATCCAGACAATTCAAAGTCCAAAAGGCATAGCAGATTTTAGCACCTCAGCAATTGCTTTATGGGCCTCAATAGTTCTTTGAAAAAAACATCCACCTCCGAGCGTCTCCCTACCCAACCCACCCCATCCCTTCCCGAGGCTGGTTTTGCGCGGGGCAAAAACGGAAGGCGCGAGATAGGATATATAAATAAATAAAAAGATATAGATATATAGATAAGTCAGAACATAATATAATATAATCAAATTCGGTATTCAACATTATTAGCCGGGACCGTCTTATTTGACTTGGGACTTAATCATAATTAAAACTTTTTACCCCCTCTCTGTAGGTGCGTTTAGTGGGAATCGAACTTTTTCAATATACTCAATCTGCGTTGCCAATTGAGCAACCCGTAGGTTAATCAAATGCGTTATTCTAAAAAATGAAAATTTATTTTACGAGTTGGGCCTTTGGTTTTCTTATATGATCTTCCTATAAAAAGAGGATCCACTTATATGGATTTAAATCCAGAAATTCAAAGTCCAAGGCATACAGATTTAGCTCAGCAATGCTTTATGGGCCTAATAGTCTGAAAAACTCCACTCCCAGCGTCCACCCACCCACCATCTTCGAGCTGGGTTTTGGCAAAACGGAAGGCGGAGAAGGATATTCATGTACGCATCTGTGCCTTTGAAAAATCAAGTTTTTAAACCGATATTTACCATGGCACCATCAATCTGACTATGACCACCCAAAAAACCATTCCAACTCTATTCAATTCATTTCATTTTCATTTTTTGACAATAAAAACAAAACAAAACAGGAAAGATCCAATATGTGGGTATAAATACAGCGAAGCAAGGATCCAAGAGTCCTATTTCAGTAGGGCTTGGTCTTTGACGCACACTCCTATACAATTAAAGGGCAGAGAGGCAGCCTTTGCCTCTTAAACCTCTGCCCCTTTTCACAAGTTCCTCTTTTTCTCTGTGCTTTTCCATCCACATCCAGTAAGTCGCTGTTTATTTGATCTTTTATGTGATTGTTTATTGTGTGTGTGTGTTTTGTTTCTGGGTTGATGTGTTTTGACTTTTTGCTACTTCATTTTTTGGTTTTACAGTTATTAGAGTGAAGTTTTTGTCTGTGTGGGCGTGATGGGAGAGAGAATCCCACCAGGGAGTTACTTCCAGTATCCTCCCTCTGGAGCCCATCAAGCTTCTCCTCATAGGTCAAGTTCTATTCCTTCAGATCGTGAAAGGTCAGTTTTGAAGCCCCAAATACATGCTCATTCATGAAGTTTTATTTGTTTAATTTTTCTGAATTGTTTGGTTACATATAATGGGTTTAGTCTTAGATGGTTTTTTGGTTTGATTGGTTTTAGGATGTTGATTTACTTTAAATCACGATGTGATCAGTGAGTTTTGATTGGACTTAATTATTTGTTAGCAGCTTCAGATTTTGAGGTTGTTTATATGATCTTTGTTATTTGGATTTATGCTTTTCTATTGTTTAATTTAGATTTCACGTTTGTTTGTTTCTAGAAAGAAAGAAAGTGAAAATGAGGGCTTAGAAGTTTCCATGTCTAACCTCAAGAGAAATGAATGATACTGGATTTTGGGATTCTGGTATATTCTGCAGAGGGACAGGGATCGTAGGACTATTGCAAAAGAGGTTGCTCCAATCTCAAATTAAGGGTTTTTGGTTTTGGGATAGGCAAAAAAAAAAAAAAAAAAGCTCGTAACAACTTCTTTTCATTTGTAATTCGTAGATCAGATGCACAACGTATATTGTGGATTTATTCTCCTTAGTAACTCTCATTTTTCAGGAGGTTGTTCCTTTACTATTCACTTTAACAATGGTGCATTTTACTGATAAAAGGAATAAAAAATCTGAGTTTGAAATTTTTGTCCAAATGAAAATTAAAGCAAAGTGGGAAACTGTTAACTATATTTCTATTAAGAAAGTGAACTTCGAGGGAAGAATTGTTTTTGCCTAATAAGTGATTTGTTGTATTCTTTGGAGACTTACAAGAACTTTCACATCTCCTGTTTGTATATTTTTTAATATTTTATTTGTATGAAAGAACTGATGCATAACTAAAACAGCCTTGTTGCTATCACTGAGTAGATTATATTATAAATGTTACAACATTTCTCATTGCTTCTTCCAAGACCCAAATATTATACTACAGCAAAATACACACAAGTTTATTTCTTCCTTTGAAACCTATGGCCCTATTTTTTCAGCACTTTGTTTTCATAATTTGTGTGTACGATTTGACTAGTATAATCATGCAGATACTTGGCTGAACTGTTGGCAGAGAGGCAAAAGTTGGGACCTTTTCTACAAGTTCTACCGCATTGTAGCAGGCTTCTTAATCAAGGTTATTGAATCATGCAATGAGGTTTATTCAAGGACCAATATTGATGGCATGACAGATTTGTTACCTGCTTTGAATGAATGCTTTTCATAAAGTCATCTTTGTGGTGTGTGTATGATACTTGAGAGCATCATTTACACATTTTTTCTGCAAATTCTATAGAAGTTTGGTTTACATTCATGCAGTGTGTTATATCATATACAAGTTCTCATGTTAGTTGTCTTACTTTTCCATTTATTTATTTCTTTTCTGTTTCTGTTGGAATTACAATTACATATTCCAATAAAACAAAACAGCTGATCTGGCCAGAATCTTTAATAACTTATCTCTGGGCAATATATCATAAATTATTTTATGCCTTATGATGGTTAAACTTTGTTAGGATTATATATTTTGCAATATTTTGCTTGAACTAACTTTTGTCTCTTCTTAACCATTTCATAATTAGTTGCTTTTTTTAATTTAATATCACTGCAGAAATCAGACGAGTATCAGGTTTTAGTCAAGGTTTTGTAGATCATGAAAGACATGAGCATGAGAGTCCATATAGGTCATTAGGTCAACAACCAAATGGCAGACCGATGGATTTGGAAGCATGGCCTGGCATGCAAACAGAGGTAATCCGATGCAGCATATAGTTTGATACCTTCCTTGAAGGCTCTCTATATGGTAGTGTCTAGTATACAACTGCCATGTGATGATCTTGCTATTAGAATGTTCATTCTATTGTTCAAGTGCTGTAGCAGTATCTGCTAGCTCAGTTGGCAATCTGCATCACATTTAGATTACTAAATCTGAACTTGTGAAGTTTGGCATCTGAATTAAATTCTTCCACAAGTTTACTCCTCTGATTAGTTCGGATTTTAACAAATTTAAGAATCAGGTGAACATCTGGTTATCGAACATCCCCTCCATCATCCCCACACCGACCCCCCTCCTTACTAGCTATGTTTTTGCAACCAAACAAAAAAGAAGTAAATTTGATATTGAGCTAAAGCAGTAGTCCAATCCAAATAAAAACAGGTCTGAGCAAAAATTGTTTGCATAATCTTTTAAAAGTTTGGTATTTGAGTAGTCAATTATAATAATACCTATTTGTTAGGCCTCACAAGGTTTGGTTAAAATATATGTGTAATCTAATTATGAACGAATTCAAGCTAAATAAGATATCCTTGGGCTGTGTTGTACTGGTTTCTTTTGTTTCTCAATTCTCATACTCACAGAAGGATAAGTGGGATCAGCTTTTATCCTAATCAGCTTCTATTATTGCTCATAGCTTCTATTGTTCTGCATGGGTAAGTGACAGAAGAAAAGAATATAGATATTTTCAACATAAGATCTTTTTTCAGTATGTTGGTGGACCATAATGATGATCATTCACAGTTTTACATTTATAAAACTGTGTTTTCTTTCTATTGGAAAATCTTCCTGATTGTTTCTTATCATAAATTAACAAACAATTGTCGCCTTTCCACTCCTGAAAATGAAAGTTTGTCTGTAATATAGAACAAAATGTTTGGAATGTTAAGTGGTGTTGCATTTCTTGCATCAGGAAAATGGGCATCTTCAAAGAATGGCCTCACTTCAGGCTGCTTCAATGGGCTGGCCTGGGGTCCCTGGAGTCCCAACTACTCCTGTTGTAAAGAGAGTAGTTAGACTTGATGTGCCTGTTGACAAATACCCCAATGTAAGTCAAGCTGTTCTGTTTGTCTATGAAGTTGAGATTCCTTAACCATGTCTAACTCACAAAATTGGCAGTATAATTTTGTTGGCCGAATATTGGGACCACGTGGAAACTCCTTGAAAAGAGTTGAAGCCATGACAGAATGCAGGGTATATATAAGAGGCAAGGGATCTGTTAAGGATGCTGTAAAGGTATATTTTTTTATGATATATATCTACAATTTTAAAGTAAGAATTTGTTAAAGCTGTCCACTTTAAATTGCTTGTTTAAGTTGTTAGTGAAACAGCTAGAGCACTCTTGATATGATGAGTTTTGTCAATCTAAAACTGCTACTTGCTTGTTCATAGTTCCTATTTAGTTAAGTTGTATCCAAATCAAATGCATAGCTTCATGTCCTTTTTTTTTTAACTAATAAGTAAATAATTACTTGTAGCTTATTTTGTTTATTTTCCTTTAATTCAGTTTTCTAAAGTAAGACATGTTAAATTGTAGGTGTTGCCTCAAATAGATCTTCCCCAACTTTATCTAATGGTGATGTGCATCTCCCTTTACACATTTATATTCAAACTTCCATTCTCTCATTTGTATAATTATGGAAGTTCTGATCAGTATATTAACATGAGCTATGTTTTATTGAAGTTATGTCTTTACAGCATTTCCTTACATGTAGTTAGACATTAATAATGCTCATAGTTGATTAAACAAAATTATGTGACACGTGAAACAAGTTATGGGACATTAATTTGGCCTATCTAGCCCATGTGTGATTTGTATTGTTCTTAATATTGTAGGCAATTGAGAATACTAGTCCTTTTTGCATTCAGTTAGTATTTAGCTAAATATATGGGTAAGTGAAGAGACTAAATTTTGTTCAGTTATATATATAGTTTCATACTTTAAGCCACTTTTCACTGCATATCATCCCGATGATATAGTTTTGAGTGTTTTTCTTTTCCTCCTCCAAAAGGATTTAGTGTTAACAAATTGACCTATATAATATATGTTGTGAGCATGTAGTCAAGATGAGTGCTATGGTCCTCATGCATGGGTGAATTCTGGGAGTATCGGAAAAGGTACATTTAAATGCCATCAAAGAACTAGCTACAAACTAATTGAAAAGCAAACATTGGTTGAAGCTTGTTTCTTTTTCCTTTCAAATAAGCTTGTTATGGGTTCTTGCAACTAAGCAAATTACGCCCCAACTTAACCCTAGCTTTATGTAATCATTGGATTGACTCCTTGTAGACTTTAGTTGATTTGTCCTTCAAACTTTATTTTAGTTTCTTCACTTAAATATTTGATAGACATGGTCATTTAAGTTGCAAGAAATGCTGGATGTGGAAAAAATAAATGGCCATGTGTATGTCTCATGACAATTATGCTGAAAGAATAAAAACGCCAAAAAATGCATCTGCAAGGGATTATCTTTTCCCTCTAAATATTCTTCCTCTTCAAAACTATCTCTGTTTCATTCACCATATCCACCCTGCCATAATTATCACACAAACAAATAATCCATCTCATGAGAATGCACCCTGAGTTATACCATGCATCAAGTTCACTTGGGTTAATCTACCACCTTTATTTTCCAATTCTGTAGAACGATCGGTATGGCCCTATGTATCCTTTATTTTGGCTTTACCCTGCATGAGACTCTTAACAAAATTTATATGAACTGTCTTCTCAATTTGATACTCTACTTCTGCTCTACTGTTGTTTTTTTGATGCCTACTAGTTTGCTCTTGTGAGTTTCCTTGACTACTCAACATGATTCTTTAAGAACCAAGTAACATTCTCCTATGAAATAGCTCCATTCATTCAGATCAAATTGTTGGTTTTGGCTTCATTCTTCTTTGTTTCATCGGTTCTCTGAATTCACAGTAGTTTGGGTTGTCTGGGGTGGTGTAGTTATGATGATGGTCTATTGGTGTAGATCTCAGTTGCTTGTCAGTCACTTCTTTACCAGTGGTGATTGGTTAGGTATTTGCTTGTGGGATTTGATTGACTGGTGCAGGAATGAGATTTATTTGCTTTTCTCGTCTTCCCTCAAGCTTGTAAACCAAGCCAATCAGGTGAAGCAGGATGAGGAAAAAGAAAAGGCATTTTTAGAGTAACGAAAGGGAAAATGGAAAAAGGTTTTTGAACTTCAGTTTGAGCTGAAAAACAGCGATGTGCTGATTGCTGCCTTCTCTTACGAGGGTGAAAAAACCTGTCAAAATTACTCTGATCCACACTGCCTTCTCTTTTGTTTCTTCCCCCTCACCCCCCGGTGTAGATCTCAGTTGCTTGTCAAGTCACTTCTTTACCAGTGTGTGACTTGGTTAGTATTTGCTTGTGGGATTGATTGTACTGGTGCAGAATTAGATTAATTTGCTTTTCTCTCGTCTTCCCTCAACGCTTGCTATAACCAAAGCCAAATCAGGTTTGAAGCCAGATCCCAGAAAAGAGGAAAAGGCATTTTTAGAGTAACCGACCAAAGGGTAAAAACGGAACAAGACCGTCTTTGAACTTTCGTTTGAGCTGAAACAACAGCGTGCTGCTGATATTGCTGCCTGCTCTTACCCGATGGTGTGAAAAACACCTCTGGCAAAAATTACTCTGATCCACACTGCCGTTCTCTTTTGTTTTCATTTCCCCCCGTGCGACCCCCCCCCCCCCCCCCCCAATGTGCACTTATTTGCTTAGTCTGCTGATGTTTCGCGTGTCCCATGGTGAAATTGCTTGATGCTAAATCTGACAATTCACAAGTCAATTGGGTTAGGCCAATTACTGGCGAGTGCCACTCTTATCGATAGTTTTATTGACAGACTTTCTACAATATTCTGTCGCTGGTCGGGAATTTCCTGTGAAAGTGAAAATTTCTAGGGAGGCACTGCTATCGCCTCTTAAGTAGTCAAGCAAGGGATGCTCTTAACATTAATGGTAGGCTCACACTTGATGATGATATAAATTGCCTATGAACGGACTCATTGCCTTAACATTGAAAGTTTATTGTGTTCTGCTTGGAAGCTTGGAAGACTAAATCTCTGCGCCAGTAAAATTCTGAAGGCTCGACGTTGAAATAACTTCACAGAATTATTTCGCCTTTTTTTCCAGTCCTTTGTTTAACATTTATTTCCCCCCCCCCCCCCCCCAATGTGACTATTTGCTTAGTTGCTGATTTTCTTTCCCATGAATTGCTTGATGCTAAATCTGGTACAATTCAAAGTGCAATTTGGTTAGGCAATTACTGGGAGTGCCACTCTTATCTGATAGTTTTATTGACAGACTTTACAATATTTGTGGTGGGAATTTCCTGTGAAGTGAAAATTTTAGGGAGGATGGATCGCTTGTAGTCATCAAGGGATGCCTTAACATTAGATGGTAGGCTCAACTGATGATGATAATTGCATGAAGGGATGCCTTAACATTTGAAGTTTATTTGTCTGCTTGGAAGTTGGAAGACTAAATTCTGCGCAGTAAAATTTGAAGGCTCAATTGAATAAACTTCACAGAATTATTTGGCCTTTTTTCCAGTCCTTGTTAACATTTATTTTTAAAATATTAAGATGTTGCCATGATAGCATTGTTCTACCAGCAATTTCAATTCTTGCAGCGTTCATCTGGCTTCTTTTGTATCTATATTTTATCAGTCTCATAATTAACTTTTTGATTTTTTTTTCCACAGGAAGAGAAACTAAAAGATAAGCCTGGTTATGAACACCTTAATGAGCCACTGCATGTGTTGGTGGAGGCCGAATTTCCAGAGGATATAATAAATGCTCGCTTGGATCATGCAGTAACAATACTAGAAAGCCTCTTGAAGCCTGTGGTATGAAGATGAACTAGCTAATAGCATATGCTATTCATTTCTCTTTTTAGCTTCTGCTGCTACTTCCATCCGCATTTTTTATGGTATGAAGATGAACTAATCTGCTCTCTTTTTGAAGGATGAATCATTGGATCACTATAAAAAGCAACAATTAAGAGAATTGGCCATGCTAAATGGTACATTAAGGGAGGAAAGCCCGAGTATGAGTCCGAGCATGAGCCCTAGCATGTCACCATTCAATACCACAGGAATGAAGCGCGCAAAGACAGGTAGATAAGATTATATTATGCCGATGGATGATTGGTTAAATGCTGGAGGATTGCAGCTGATTGATAGAAGTCCCTGAACTTCTTACTGCCATTCTATATCTCACAAACCTTGGGAGGACCCCTGGGAGCTGGAAAGGCTAATTGGAATTCTGAAATTGTCGGGGCTTAGTTGCTTGTGGTCTCGGTTGGGTTATTTGCTTCACTAGATTTACTCTGCATGGTTTTACAATTATCTGCAATATTTATTCTTTTGTGCACTATTCCTTTGAACATGAAATTAGTTAGTTATTTCATTGGTTAAATAACTCAACTCATGTTATGTAATTTATTAATCTTTTCCCTGCTTGTGTCTTGTAACACCTATAAATTGCATTGGAATATTTGCTTTGATAAAAATATCAGGAGATAAATGCATTTTAAGCTTTGGATAGTTGTGTTATTGCTATTATTTATTTGTAAACATTTTTTAATTAGAAATACTTAATTATTGTTAAAAAAACAAGAAGAAAAATCAATTGATTTCTAAAAAAAAAAGAAAAGAAAAATGGAGATTACCCAACTAACTATTTAAAAATGCTGATTATAATTCAAATGGTGGTTTTCACTAATAATTCTAACAGTACAAACAAATTAATTAATATGTATTAGATTACAATGATTGCGGTCTGGCTGCTAACGGCTTTGAGCATATCTGTAAAGCTGCCTGAACTTTGCCAAACGACAAAGTGTAACAATCAATCCAGGCAATTGCAATTCCCTAAACTACCCTTAAAAGTTAAAACAGTCATAGTCCTAACTACCCTTCACCATCTTCATTCTATCCGTTGGCTGCGATTTCCTTTTTCTTTTTTTAATATAATACTTAATTTTCAACAAAGTAAAATTTATATACAACCTAATTGGCAAGACCCGCTCTCTTGGACCGGACCAGCGTTAGGATCTAGATAAATTTAGAGCCCGCCAAGTCCCATAGTGCCGGACCCACCAAGATTGTTACCAAAAGGGGAAGGGGTAAAAAGAAATTTAGATAACAAAATGTTAGAAATATGTAAGGCACAATGCTTCTATTGTCATGCTACGAGCTAGTAATATTCAGAGAATATACTTCATATATCAATGAATAAAAAGCCCACTAAATAAGCAAAAGTTGTAGAACACAAATTGTCAGAGAAAATATGATTTGAAATAGAGAAGTTGACAAAATCATGAACCTGACACCCCAAAATCCATTATCCTGTGTTTATCGTTTCTACTTAATACAGAGAATATGCTATTCAAAAAGCCTCAGCCAATAACTCTTGATTCTTACAACCTTTTCAATGTCTATCATGATGATGAATTAATTTTTACAAACTGAAAAAATGAGACCCTTCATACAACTTGCACAAAATAGTAACCTTCTCTTCTCTAAATACTCGAAAGAATTCATATTCAAAGTTCTAATTTGGACAACTGATTACAAATATTACAATGTAATCGAAGAACATATAATCTCAATATAGGGAATCTCCGCATCCCAATCATCGCCCTTGAAGGTAGAATTTTCCCACATGACAAATTCCATTTAAGCCTGCAAATCTTAGACAGAAATGGAGCAGTGTCAGTAGCCAACAAGGTGAAAAGAACATCAATAAGTATTTACTAGTTATATACTATAATAGAAGTCCAATATAAAATGGAACAACAAACATATTTTAACTGTATGATAACAAGGTGATTAGCAAAAGCATTTCAACTGTATGTCATCCTTGATAACATTGACGACAAATTCTTATTTGCCTCCTTATTTTCTCTACTGCAAGGGCCTTAGGAATGAACTAAAATGATAGACATTAACACAAAGTATTCAAAAACTGACAAGCTAAGATTTCGGGACCCATCACTAGCTGAACATACACAATATTTTGCAGAAGTCCTTTTTCATTTTTTCTCTTGAGAGGGTGCGATGTGTCATTATAGAAAATTTCATATCAAATAAGAAGACTTACAAAGTAACATGGAAAAGTCCAGAAAACTTTACAAAGTAACGAGGAAAGTTCCATATCAAACAACAAAACTCCACACCTTAACCAAATTAATTAAGACAATAATAAAAACTGACCAACTGAAAATCCAAAAGCATGAAATTGACAAATTCACCTTAGCTACAATGAACTCAAGCTTCAATGGTTAAGCATCAGTCCCGAAGGCCAAGTTCAACCTCAAGCTCATCATCCTCTTCAAACAACTTCAAAAGACGGGCATACTGCTCTTCTCTTTTCTTCTTTTGCCAAAATTTAAAGAGGAAAAATGAAAATAACGCTACTGCCAAAACTGCAAGACATATGATGACAATCTCACGCCCAGTATTGCTACTAGAAGACGAGTAGGCATCAGCCTTTTTGTCATTTTTCAAACTAGGTGGATCACCAGCAATGCCTGAAAAGATAAAATGGATCCATATGAGTTATCAGATATACCTTGAAGAGAGAGAGAGAGAGAGAGACAGAGATCTGAAATAGCTCAAATTAGAGATACCTAAGAACTTAACACTAGAGAGTACTTAACGTTACCAGCCAATTAAGCAGTGTGCCATAAAAATAATACCACAAAAAAATGCAGTTACCAGTTACCAGCAGAGCCAAGACCCAGCAGGAAATCAACAAAAAGTCATTTAATTGTTAATACTGAGCCAGTAAGACCTTCCTACAGCTTATACAACAAAACCATAGATTTATCATAATAATACAGAATTCCAACCAGTACTTAGAATCAAAAAAACATCTGATGAAGCATTTCTATGATTCTCCTAAAAAAGCCCACCTGATTCTCTTCACTAATATCTCGTATAATCTCCAGATGGGGAAAGCTATTTCAGAATCCTAAATGCAATTATGTCAGTCCTATAACCGCACAAAGATCAATTTTTATATTCATGATATTGGGTAGTTATGGTTCCTCCAATTCATGAAGAAAAAAGTAAACTTTTTCATCGTCTGAATTTAAACTAATGAATCACAGAGTACCCACTGCTCAGAATGCTATTGAACAATGATAAACCATACCATTAATCAGAACAGCATTAAAGAATTTTCTAATATAGAAAAAAGAAATTTAAACTCTCCAAAGGGTATGATAAATTAATCAAATTACAGATTTAGATTAAAGAATTATGCAAAAAAGTAAGGAATCATGAATATGATTATACAATTAAACGCGAAAATTATATGAAAAAAGGAGATCCAGAAGACAAACCTGAAATGAATAGCAGAGAAATTGAAAGGAAATACAATAATAGCGACCCCAAACGCAACGATCTGCTTCTTGATATTCCACTCATCCCTATTTCTTTCTCTTAGGATCTTTTCTGCCTCAAAATTTCTCCCACGATGGAGAGATCGCTGTCTTTTGCAACTTTAAGCTACCATTTTCAAAAATGATATTATATACGCGTTTTTGTGCGTTGCCCCCAATGTTGTTCTTATTTTCAATTTGGAGGCTTACTTTTATTTCACTTCATTTTTTTTTTTCCTTCAAAGTAGTTTTTACTTTATTGTTTTATAATTACTTTCATTCAAATTTTTTGATTATATAATTTCAAAAATTAAGGTTATTTTATAATCTGATAAGTATAAGCTTAAATATAATCAAAATCGTCAAAAAGAAAATATCTTATGAATTTATATTTTTTAAATAATTCATGTATTGTGTATTTTCTATTTAAGTAGTTTATAAGCTTAAGTACACAAACGCCAAAATCTAAAATAACAATTACATTTTACAATTTGCTGGTAGAGGTAACAAAACCGACCTTAGCTCAGTTGGTAGAGCGGAGGACTGTAGTAGGGTCTATCCAACAGCATATCCTTAGGTCGCTGGTTCGAATCCGGCAGGTCGGAATTTTAATTTTATTTATTTTAATAATTCTTTCACTATTAATGTTTTATCAAGGTATTAAATATTACCGGAGGATGAAGTAAAAAATGTTGTAACTGAAGCCATACGTCTTGATTATTGACACCTAACAATCTATCAAATAGTATTAACTACTCTGTATACGCATTTTGTATTAAGCTTTTAAAGGAGAATCTATTTGAAATTTGATAATATAACCTTTAGAATTTATTATTCCTGGTGCATTAAACCATGAGACCTGCTGCTGCTGCTGTTGCTACGATAATTACCCGATACGAACAGCACCAACCCAACTGAAGCGAGAATCAAACCCTCACGTAATCCAGCAAAAGGAAGAATTAATAGGAGACAAGAATCTAATCAATGGAAGCAGAACAGGAGGAAAGAATCTGAATTGGAGCATCCACCAGGTTGCCCATATCGTGGATCTAACATACCAAACAATAGATGTCCATATAAATGTACATTAATATCACCATGTTTTGATTTAGATCCTCCAGTCATTCAACGATTCTAAACTCTAGATAGAGAAGAGCATACAAGAAGAGGGTATCAGTATGTCTTTTCAAGAACGCAGATGCTCATCTGCGTAGAGTTTCTTTCACATATATGCTCAATAGAATTTAACTTGACATAGGCTCAAATTTAATTTAAGCTCTAAGTTTAAAATAAATATTGCTTGAAAAAAATCAATAAGCCAGGCAAGCTTAATTTGAGCTGAGCTTTTTAAAACTTTTCTCAAACTGAGCTCAAACAGCTTGCAAATCGGCAGCTACACCCTTAGAGAATACTATTTTTGAATTTTAAAATATTAAAAACGTCAATCTTTATCAGACTTTGCAATTCAGATGACACCAAACACTGCTAATAACATAATCACTGGTATAATATGTAATCCAAAATGTGCAATTCAGAAGCAAGAATGCAAAACAAAGTTGCACTATGTAATCAAATGTAACTAAAATCACAAAAAGCTAGACTTTAATTTGTCTGAAACGAGAGATACAAACTCACTAACAAGGAAAACAAAATTAAGACGCAGAGAAAAACTTAAATTAAAAGATTAAATAGTTGTTTCACTTAAAGCACTTGGCATCCAAAAGAGGCTCTCCCTCAAAAGGCTCAAAATCTTCAATCATCTGGTTGACGCGCTCCTTTTGCTCTTCATCTGAGATGTCAACCTTCTTCCAGTCATATAGCTCCATGTCATAGCACTCATCAATAACAAATTGAGGAATTTCTGATCCCCGGAAAAGCCACAGCCCCTTAACCTTGTATGGAGGGTTTGCGCCAATTACTAGCATCTTCCCAAATGCATACTTGCGAGCCAAATCCATCCTCTGAAGGAATCCACCGACCTTGTTCAAAGTGACAAATGACACTGTATTCTCATCATTGTACTTGTACTCACAGAACCACAGTGAGTATCCTTCGGGATCATACATGTCCCAGAAGCCTACAAGATGGCAACCCAAGAATAATTGTATGTATAATTATAGAGACAACCTAACCCTAATTCAAAAGATGATGCAAACTGTTATTGTAGTTTAAAGACTACAAAGTCTACAAGAGTCTGGCACCACCGAGGAAATAGATTTCAAAAATGAATTTCTATCGATCTGTATCAAGGTTCCCTTCAATTTCACCAAAAAAAAAGGTTGAAAGAAGTTAGGAAATACCTTTAATTGCAACCTCACGGAAGTTGGTCTTGGTGTTCGAGTAGAGCCTCTTCCACTCATCCAGTATCATCTTACTTGGAGGCAGTAAATCAAGAGGATTCTTTGGTTTGGGTTTTGGTGCCTCTTCCTCTTCCTCAGCAGCAGGTGTAGGCTTCGGTGGCTCCTTTTCCTTTTTGGCTTCTTTCTTCGGTTCATCCTTGGCCTTTGATTTAGCAGATTCTTTTGGCTGGGCAGGCTTCTTAGATGCAACAGGAGGAAGTGATTCAGTTTGCTTCACTTCACCCAATATCTTTTTGAAATTTGGTTGATTAACCAAGGTCCAAAAGTATCTCTCAACATGTGGGAACTCTGAGGTAAAGCTCTTAGTCAGGAGGCGAGTGAATCCACTATAGAGATTCATTGTCATGATAATGTCAGCCAATGTCACAGAATGCCCAACCAAGTAGGTGTTAGAGGCAAGATGAGTGTTTAGAGCATTGAGAGCTCTCTTCAGTGTAGAAATTACATGCTCCTCAGCCTTCATACAGAAAGACCCATAAATGAGATGCCCATTGCATGATGATCAAAACACAGAACTTAAATATAAGAGTGATTAGAACAGAATTAAGAACTACTGGAGTAATGCAAGAATAACTAAATGAGTAATGGTTATAAAAAAAAAACACTTCCCACCCATCTATATTCCCATATAACAAAAAAATTCAAATGTCACACTGAAATGAAAATATTCTTCATTCAAACTATAAAATGCATATATGTTTCCATGCATCTAAATTCTAAACATGTGGTTTTTGTCCTGATGATTTAATGCAATCCCAAGACATTATGTATGATAATTAGAATTGACCATAAGAAGTAACTAAACAAATGCCATATAGATTTGATAATTTATATAATCCAGAAATAGATTTTGTTAAACTGAAAAGCAGATAGCATTGATGATATGTATACATAGATAAAACTGAAAAAATAGAGGGATACTCAGAACACAAGATAAGTACTTATGACTAAATGAATAGAGGCCACTTACAGGAGGAAGATATGGGCTTCTTCCAAATCTAGGTACTAACCAACCCAGAATATTGGCATCAATCTCTAGCGATGCAAAATCAATCCATTGCTCAATTAGTGCCTAAACATCCAAGCATAAAAATAAGTGAATAAAGATGATACATGTACATAATACAGATAATTTATTACTCTTATTTTGGGGAAAAAAATATAACTGATAAAAGATATATTTATACCAATTGCTAGTAACAGGAGGAACAAATCTTACATATTCATATGTGGATGAACCAAGTAGAGGATTATTAGCCTTCAAACGGGTAACTACAGCAACAAACAAAAGACTCAACAGGTGAATAAAATCGCAAAGAAAGGAAGTAAAGAAAATGAAATCAGTAACTAAACTATTTGCATACCATAACGGGCAATAGCATTGCTCTCAAATAAAGGACCATCAGGTGTCTCCAGAACAGGAATCTAAAAGAATTAAATAAAACCAAATCATATTTAAAAATCGGCAGACCAAAAACACAGATTTTTTATTATAGAATTATACCTTGCCAATGGGGTTCATCTTGAGGAATTCAGGAGTCTTGTTAGAGACACCCATCTCAAAATTCTCCACTAATTTAACATTAACACCAGAATACTCAGCAGCAATCAGTGTCTTGAAAGCATTTTTGTTTGTCTTTCCTGAATGCAATACCTACAAAATAGCAGATTTGAAATTAAGATAAAAGTAGACCCAACATATCAATAGATTCTATAAAGCAAAAACCCACAAACATAAAAATCAGAAAACCAAAAGAGTTTTCAGTTAACGGATGCTTATAGAGTTCCATAAACAATTGAATGGAACAGAATATGACAATCAAACTCACCAAGGCCATGGCTTAACGGAAAAACGAATAGCTCCAATTTCAGATCTGAAATAAAAAAAACAGCAATTAAATTCAAAATTTTTACTTCAACTGAAAAAAAAAAATGAATTGGTTACTGCTCTTGCTTTGATCACATGAATATGCATACAAAAAATGAAAACTAAAAAGAAAAAACACATATTAAGAGACAACTTACTTTAGAGTAGGAGCGTTCTTCCGCAAGCGCAAGAGACAACACTGTGAGAGAGGCGAGGAAGCGTTTGAGGAAGAGAAAGATGAAGTAAAGTGAACTAGGGTTTTGTAGAGTAACCGAGGGCAAAACGGGTATTGAAAAATATTCCTTGGATCAAAATAGTACCTAGGGTTTCAATTCGGATCAGCCCGATACATAGAATTAATTTTGTGGACCGGAATAAGGTCCGAGTTTTCTTTTGAAAAAAATTGCAGTTTTGTTTTTTAAATAAAAATATTAACATTTTGGTTTTTTTTTTTTAAATTGGGTTTAATTGCTCTATTGGTCCTTGATAAAAATAAAATGGAAAGCAAATGAAATCAAAAGTTAACTAGTTAACTTAAATTTCAGGCACTAAATAATTTATGTATTGTTTCTAAATTATAAAATTATTATAAAATAGTAATGATTATTATATTCAATATAAATTTTTTAAATTAAAATTATTAACATATTTTTGTTAGCCGTTTGGTTACTGAAATTGAACTTTTTTTTACAAAAAATTAATTTTCTATTTAGTTACTGAAATTTAGCTTCCCTATAAAAAATTATTTTTCTATAAAAAATTAGAATTTCATAAAAATAGTTATAAAAAATTTAAAATTCTCAAATTTGGATGATAATAAAAATTTCCTACGAATGTACCACAGTTGTGAAAATTAAATATTATTATATAATTTAAGTATTTGTTTAAAATGGAATCCATTTTACTGGAAAAAAAAATAAATGGAGGAAGTGATCTTTATATAAAAAAAAAATTAAAGTAAATTTATAATGAACTATTATCGTAATTTTCCTTTTAATCGCCAAGCTCAAATGTCTCTGCTAATTTTCCGATACCAAGAATCGCCAAATATGTTAATTGGATTATCGCGTTTATTGCCATTTCTAATGCAGAAATAGCTTCAATCTTGCCGTTGAAGGAAGGGTTGATTGAAGAAAGACAAAGAGAAGCATAATATGTTGAGTCACATTTTTTTTTTGAGTTCAGGATTGATTGGAGCAGCTTGACTTTCTCTTAGCACTCTTATCATTAAAGGATGTCCAAATGTTAGACCTTGATTTTGAGGGGTGACCTGAGCAAGATAAAACGAGACGATATGTGAGTTTTCTGTCAATTCAATTACTAATGTAAACTGAATATGGTGAGTTCAGCGGTTAACTGTTTCAATAGCTTTCATAAAACGTTAAAAGTTATACGTTACATAGGTTATTTTTTATAAAATGTTACATTTACTTTTAAAAGCTAGTTTAAACGTTATAGTTCCGAAATAACGTTTAGTTAAAATGCTAAAAACTGTTTAAAAAGTAGTTTAAATACAATTTTAGAAAATGGTTTATAGAATTTATACAAGAATTCACTACCTATGAAGAAACAAAAGTTGCCCCTGCTTTAATAGTTGCTGCAGTCGAGAGAATCAGACACATCAAGCACAACTTGATCTTATATAGATCTATGATTGTACTTGATGATGATTAGTTTTCTCATGCTGTCCAATACAATAAAATTCAATTATTATTATTATTATTATTATTATATGTTTCCATAGCAATTCTAATTTAAAATTTTCTTAAAATAGACAATAAAAAATTAAAAATATTAAAAATAGCAATGGTTCATTTTATTACCATTAACAATCCACACAGATGGTTTTAATTGAATCACACATTAATACTTGTTATTTATAAGGAAGGCAAAAAAAAAGGCATCATGAGAATAAATAGATTTAAACAGATTTCAGTAAAATTTATAAAATTTGAAAATAATCCTAAATTTAAGAAAATTACAAACTAAAAAAAATTAGTGAAATATTAATATCAATTACTAGCAAACTGCATTTATTTAAAATGAATTATGCAATTAATCTAAACATAAAAATATAATTAAAAATTAAATTTTTAACGAATTTCTTGTTATTTTATTTCAAATAGTATGTTAAAAATTGAAAATGATATGCAATTTAAATGTTCTAAAATTTTGAAGTATAATTCAATAAAATTTTTATGAAATTATATAAGTAAATCTATAAATTTTATATTACAATTTATAAGAAGGGAAGAAAATAAAACAGACTGGAAACCGTAGAAACTGTGGGCTATAGGTTCATTTACAGGCCCACATTATTTGCCACCATCAAGCATTTCTACTTTATAGCAAGGGCACGTTTGCTCAGCTTTTTTTTTTTTTTTTTAATGAAAATTATGAAATTATATACAAAGTAAATCTATAAATTTTATATTACAATTTATAAGAAGGGAAGAAAATATGAAACAGACTGGAAACCGTTTAGAGAAACTGTGGGCTATATACGTTCATTTTAATCAGGCCACATTATTTGCCACCAATCAAGCATTTCTACTTTATAGCAAGGGCCGTCTGCTCAGCTTTTTTTTTTTTTTTCCTCTCTTTTTTTTTTTTTTTTCTCCTTTTTTTTTAGTATCGAGCCAGTCCAGAATTCGAATATTATCATCTGTTCATATATTGCACTTGCTACTAAATTTTGGGTTGTGCTTCTTTTTTTTCTCTTTTAAAGGATCAGTAATCTTTTCCGCTTTTCTAATTTTCATATTTTTTTTTTTTTTCTCCTTTTTTTTTTAGTATCGAGCCAGAGAATTCGAATTTATCATCTGTTCATATATGCACTTGCTACTAAATTTTGGTGTGCTTCTTTTTTCTTTTAAAGGAAGTAATCTTTTCCGCTTTCTATTTCATACTAATTTAATATGATCTTTATTATATGCTGTTATTATTATTATTATTATTATTATATTGTAAGGCTAAATAAGCAATATTTATATTTTTTTTAATTTATGTTATAGTTAAATTAAATTTATTTTTCTGAGAGAACATATTGATCCATAAATTTTTTTTGTAATGTTCGGCCAGGGGAATAATTCTTAAGGTACTAATTTCGCAAGAAAAATATTTTTTAAAATTTCATTATTAATAAAATTAAAATTATTTTATTAAACAAAGTAGAAACTAGGTTAATTAATGGAACTAAAATATAATTTAATTATAATAATTTATTATAATGATAAATATTTTAAATATTTTAAAATGAGCATATCAATTATATTAAATATCAACAAAATAGGAGGTATTTTTAAAAAATAAAAGTTGAAATGACCTAATAAAACCATAAGTTAAATGTCAAAACACCAAGTAATTAAAACAAAATTTTACTCCAAATCCCAACTAGGAATGGAAGCATGCCGATACCGCGAATTTTAAACTATCTATATTCATATACGTTTACAATTATATTAACCATATCGTTAAAAATTCGTTTATATATCTGTTTAATTATTTGTGTATGAACCCATTAATTATTTTATTATCCATATCCGTATAAAACTCGTTTAAATCAGATAAGGTACTTACAAAATTTTAATAACCTAAACACGAATCCGTTTAAACATCATTTAAATTAAAGATTTAAACCAGTAGTTTTTTTTAAAAAAAAAAAAAAAACTTAAACTAGTAATCATTAACATTAAAATTTTAAGTAAAACTTGTAGAATCATAAGTGAAAATATTAAAACTCGTAGAATCTTAAATAAAAAAAAAAAAAAAAAGAAAGTTAAGGTTATTACAAGAAACATCCACATATGGATAAAAATTTATTAAACTAGTAGCAACATATAAACTAAAAATTCATCCAAATACACGACCACCATTTAAATATTCTTGTTTTTTTTTTTTAAAAAAAAAAAGATCAAAGGTTCAAACCTCGGAACCAATATTTATATGATAAATATATTATTATTATAGATAAATGGGTAGGGTATCTGCGGATACTCGTAAGACTATCCGTTTAACCTAACGGGTAACCCATAACAAATATTTATTGAATGAAATCCGTAATCTATATGAATCTGTCATGGGCAGTAATTTTACTATCTATACCTGTTTTAAATATTTACAACGACCCAAATCTGTAATAATCAGACGGAGTACCTTTAAATACCCGTTCCGCTTCCATTCCTAATCCCAACTCTATATAACATATTGTTTATACATAAACAAACAAATTATTAGCTACTTTACAATTTATCTTTTTATAAGCCATTTAATTACAATAATGCCTTATGCCAATAAAATTTTCAATTTATTACATGAGAAATCTCTAAAATAATAAATATAAATTAAACCCCATTCTAGAATAATACATCCTTTAAAAAATATTTCAAATTTATTATTTTAAAAGTCTAAATTTCATAATAAAGTGATTAAAAATTAAAACCATACTTATATTTGAAAAAATAGAAATATATAAAACAGAATTTTATTTTTCAACATTAAATCTAAATACAAGAAAATAGTTTAAATTAAAGCAACAGAAATATAAAACACAAAAATTTTTTAAAAATTCTTCTAAACATTAAAAAAAATTACATAATCCATACATAGCATGGATACATAATTAGTTTGTATTTTTTTAAATATAATGTTACTCGTATTTATTATTAGATTATTATTTAGTTATTTAGTAAAAAGTATATTTTTTGACAGAATAATAATTAAGTAATTTGGTTGAGTTAAACCTAAGGGATAAATAAATGATCCTACCGTAAGCATTAAAGAAATGATATTAATTCCAATCAAAATTCATGGACTAAATAGTAAATTTTTTTTTAAAAAAAAAAAATTTGAACTTAAGTCTTTGAAATAAATATCAAAATTATGATGGTGATATATTGATATATGCTATTTTATACTATTACTAGTTCTTTTTATGACGTACGATGTACGTTAGCTATATTCGTAATTATATGCTGATTTTTAATACTCATTTAAATTTTTTTATTTATATAATTAAAATATAAATTCTTATTTAGATTACAATAAATATAGTGGTGTGTATATATATAGTAATTTTTTTAAATATATGTCTTGAACTATAATATCTCATTTAAATAATTGATATGTTTATTTCTCACTTTAAAATAGCAATTTGAATAAAAAATATATCATTTATATTTTATTCAACATACTAATTTAAATAGGTTTTATTACGCGCTAGTTACTTTTATTTTTTTCTTTAACTATCGATTTGATTTATAAAAATCACCATATAACTTTTATTTTACATTTTATAATTAACTTACATAATTTGTTAATAACTTTCACTATAATCTATTTTAGTAAATAAATATACTTTAACAATAGAATAAGAAACTAATATAATAAATCAAATTACATATTTATAAATAATAATAGTTTTTATTTTTATTTTTTCATCCAATCAAAATCATAAAATCATTTAAAAGATTTATTAACAAAATTACGTATCTTAATAGGAAGAATAGGATTTGAATTGAATAAGATATCAATATAATTCATCAAATTCGATATGTTTAAAATAATAATTTTTTATCTTATTTTTTGGCCAATTAAATTAGAGTGCAATTTGAAATTAAAAAAATTTAACCATATCCTTTTTAAATTAAAATATTAATTATTTAGATATATTTATTTTTACTCTATTCTAAAATTCGGATATGTTTATATATAATTAATTTTTTTATCTTATTTTCTTGGCCAATTAAAATTTTTATTCTTTTTATAAGGGAGACGTGCAATTATTGAATTAATAAAAATTTTAACCATATCCTTTTTAAAGTAAACATATTAATTATTATGAGATTATTTATTAAAAATAAATTCAAAATTTCAAAATTGCCTCATATTCTACACATATTCATTTAAAAATAATATGTTTGAAGTTAACATTACAATTAATAATAATAAAAAATAATAATAATAAATAATAATAATAAACATAAATTATTAATATTATTATTTAATTAATTTATATAATTAATATAATGAAATAAAATTATAATCAATTAAAAATCTAATTGAGCGTTATAGATAATAATATAATGAAATAAAATATAATCAAGTTAAAATCTAATTGAGGTTAGATAATTTATATTTTTTTTTGAGGAAAGGTAATTTATATTTAAAGTTATTGATTTTAATAATTTGTATACCCTTTAAGTTTAAAAATTATTTATAAAATTTATCAATTTAAAAAAAATAATTCAAATATACTAAATTTAATAAATAAATAAAAAATCTGAACTCCAGTGAATTTTCACTTATACTAAATATAAAAATTATATAAGATTTATTTAGACATTCAAATAAAATCGTTAATTTTTCAAAGAACTTATGAATAATTGCAATTTTTTACATGTTTGACCAAATAAGAAAGTCATTATATATGATATTGTAAAGAAATTTTGCTTCACAATCTTTAAATCAAGTGGTTTTACTTAATAAAAATGAGGAATAACTTTTAAAACTAATTAGGTAGTGGGCATACACGATCATCTTAATTTAAAACCACACCGAATTAAATAAAAATTAAAGTGAATTTTCAAAATGAAAATAGTATCAAATTAAATATAATTCAAAATTTAATTAGTTCAATCAATTTTACATGCACTTTTAGGTTGGTCAATTTAAGCATTCACTAAAAAAAAAAATCGAATAAAAAATTCAGTTTATTCATGCAAACTAAAAGCCAACCTAAATCAGTTTTATCCGTTGTTTTAATATCCTTAAAATTAGAAAACATCCTCAAAATTGCAAAGGGATATAGGTTCTCTTTTTTTAGAGAAATCTTAGACCATTAATTAATATAATTCTCTAGACCATTAATAATATAATTTTTTAATTATATTATATAATATTTAATTAATTAATCTAATAATAATATTTTTTAACATATTGAATAACTCCAACTAAGTGCAAAATTGATAAAGTATATTATATAATTTCTTTCCACTTACTATTTATTATTCCATTTCTCTCTCTATTCTTAATTATCCAATATGAGATAAATAGTTTAAACGTGTATATATATATTTCATACAAATATATTCAAGAGAAGATTACAAGAACTATCAAATTTCACATAAACTATTAGGTCAATTAAATATTTATTATTCTTATTATTGCATAAGATTTTTTTTTTTTACTTTTATTGCCAAACTCTAATTATTTCTAAGAGTATTATAAAAGAAAACTATCACATATTCTTTTATATAATAAAAAATAAAAATATTAGATAATTATTTTTTATCTTAAATGATCATCTATAAGAAAAAGAAAGTGAAGAAAAAAATTAATTAAATATTCTCGTATGCACCACTTTATTATTTATTATTTTTTCCATAGAAAGAACTACAAAATATTAAATAACAGAATATTTATATGCAATATAATTTCAAAATTTTATATTTAAAAATTTATTCTATTTGAAAATTTTATTTAAAAATTTATTCTATTCACAGATTTACTTTTAAAGATATCATCCAATCACAATCATACATATTATAAAGAAAAAGAGAGTATTAATTAAAAATTACTATATTTTTATTTTTACTTTCCCCTACAATAAAATATACTTTAAATTATAATCAAAATGAAAATCATAAATAATAATTTAAAAAATTAAATATAAAATTTAAAAAATAAAATATAAAAATTTGAAAATGTCCTATTATCGTATATATTTATTAAAAAATAAAATTAAAAATAAATTATATCCAATTAATTAATCAATTGCAATTTAATTGGCCATAATTAAGGGTATTTTAGAACATTTCAAATTTCATTAAGGGTGATACAGTAATCCCATTACTCCTCTTCATTCCCACTTATATATATATATATATATATAGTAAGTATAAGTATAAACATATATAAGTACAAGTAAGTAAATATAAGTATAGATAGATATAAAAATATAGATAGATAGATTTATGGGTAATAATCAATAAAGGAGTTTTCTCAAAAAAAAAAAAAAAAAAAAAAGAAAAAAAGGAAAAAAAAAAAAAAAAAAAAAAGGAGTCTATACACGTGCAGTGCACATGCTGATAAAACAAACACTGTCTTTCTTCTTCTTCTTTTCAATTTCCTTTCCTTTCTTAAAGAGACCGATTGTCTAGGAGACAGTGTAAGCAAGAGATATTCTGCCTTTTACTATTCAGATTAAAGAAACCAATAATAGTAATAAAAAAAGGCAATGGCGAGGAGACCAGACGAGGAATACGATTATCTGTTCAAGGTTGTACTAATTGGCGATTCTGGTGTAGGAAAATCAAATCTTCTTTCCCGATTTACTCGTAATGAGTTCTGTTTGGAATCCAAATCCACCATTGGCGTTGAATTCGCCACCCGTACTCTTCAAGTACTTTCTCTCTCTAGATTCTATTTTGATTTTTTTTTTTCGTTATTCGATCTGACTCTGTTTTGGTTTGTGCAAATTTGTTTACTTTATTTGGGTTTATCATTTCCAAGTACTTGAATTTTGATCTTGAATTTGAATTTTAGCCATCTCTTTTATAGTTTTATGTAATATGTATTAGATCTATTTGTTTAATTGTCTTTAGCAGGCTTTGTTAATAAATTTTCAATAAAGTTTTGATCTTTGATGCCAATTTGAATGGCACTAGCTTTTGCAAATTGGAATTTAGTAATATTTAGTTGATGCAAATGAAGATACTTTATTTGGGAAAAAGAAATTTACTAAAAATAGTTTATTTGGACATTTTGTGCAAAGAGAAATGTATACATATGTAAAATTTTGAAAAAGAAGATTTTGGATTTCTGCTTGCATGGAAACTAGACCATGTCAATGTAATATTGCGAGCCGCCATCTAAAGATACTTGATGGTAGAAAGAATTTGAAAACAATCATTTAAAATTAGTTTTAAAACGGAATTTGCCTACTGTTGGATTGATGGATGTGAAATACATGGAAATCAACTGTAGATAACTTAAGAACGCAGTAGGCGATTTTAGTGCAGGTTATGGCATAAAGATGGACTATTAAATAGAGAAATCCCTTCAAGATTAAAATAAGGGTACATATGATGAAAACTTCTGATTGATGTTGGAAATGTGTGAGTAAAGCTGGATGGTCTAGATTGTGATTTTTGAGATTCTTTAATGAGATTTTGACAATGAAATTAGAAGAATAAAAGTGTGATGTATGTATATGCACTGAATACTGTGAGAAACGCAAGGGATTGGCTAAGAAAATCACAATTAAGTTCTTAGTCTTTTTCTTTACTCCTGCATGTGTAGGCTGAGAGCATGGCAGTGATATTTTCAACAAAATATCTATATGGTCTCGTAATTACTTAACTTTATGGAATTTAAAGAATGAACTGTGGTTGGTGTGGGACCTGTTAGGGCTGACACGAGAGAAACAAATTCCCAATTAGAATTTAATTGCATCAATAAATTGTTTTAAATCCTTACTTATTCTCCTTTTAGTCATAAATGAGTTTACTAGGTATCTTCATGATTAGTTTATTTAACATATTTTGTTTGCAATTGAAATAATTTGGTCAGTATTTATTTTTATCAGGTCATCAGAAAATTCTATATTTGGAAGTACATTTTTTGGTCTGCCTGATTTGTGTTATGGCCCATGAGGACTCATTTCTTGAGGTTGCAGGATCTAAATCTCTACCATTCTGTTTGAAATTTTGAAAGAGTTGCTGCTTGTCCCAGAACTCTTAATTCTTTTCAATGAAGACTCCATGGCTTTTACTTGGTAAAAGGCATGTATTGCTTCATGTATCGATGTCTATAGCAGTGGGATCCTCCCCCTTTTACTTGTTTGGTGGATCATTTTTTTTCCAAAGAAAATGCCACTCATATTTTTGGCATGAATTTGTTCTTGATCTCATGTTTGTAAATTGGTTTCCTCTCAATATTACTGATTTTTTTGGGACTAATTTTCAAGATTGATCCCGCATAATTCATAAATAAAGTTTTCAACATTTGTTACTTGTAAATTCATCTTCTTGTTGTATTGCTAAAGAGTTTGCATTCTGCATAGGTTGAGGGAAGGACTGTCAAAGCCCAAATATGGGACACAGCTGGCCAGGAGCGATACAGAGCAATAACCAGTGCCTACTATAGAGGTGCCCTTGGAGCTCTTCTAGTGTATGATGTTACAAAACCAACAACATTTGAAAATGTTAGTCGCTGGCTGAAGGAACTGAGGGACCATGCAGATGCCAATATTGTGATAATGCTAATTGGAAACAAGACTGATCTGAAACATCTCCGAGCTGTGGCCACTGAGGATGCTCAAGGTTATGCAGAGAGGGAAGGACTTTCATTCATTGAAACTTCTGCTCTAGAAGCAACAAATGTCGAGAAGGCATTCCAGACAATCCTCTCAGAGATTTACCGAATAATTAGTAAGAAGTCACTTTCATCAGAAGAACAAGCACCTGCCAATATCAAAGAAGGTAAAACAATTGTTGTTGGAGGATCTGAGGCAAACGTTAAGAGGCCTTGCTGCTCTTCGTCATAAGGATTGTATTTACATCAAGATACCCTTCTCTATTCTCTTTCCCTTGCCCCCTTTGTGGGGTTATTATTTTCATGTTCGATTTGTGTTGTCGGATTGTTTATTGTTTTGCATGAGATATGCCACAGCTTTTTTCTTGAGAGTTGTTTGTAGACAATTTTGCCAGGATTTCTTCCTTTCCTTCCAAACCTTATTTCTGCATAAGGGGGTTTTGGGTTATTAAATTATGAATTATTGGAAATTGCCACAAACCTAAAATTGTCATTTTTCTATAGAATGTTGTATTTCTTATTAGTGTCTATGAGAACTTTTTCGTTGCTGTTGATTATTTATTACATGAGCTATGAGGAGAGAACATTAAGTTAAGTGCATATTTGCTGCTATGATTGACTTTTGACAAATTGTGTGCAATATTTAGAGCTTAGCAAATTATGTTTTAGAAAAATTAATTATTTTTTAAAGTATTTTGCAAACCATGATTGCACATTTATTTGATGATCTAATCCAAAATGTATATACAACAAAAAAAAAAAAAAAAAAAAAAAAAAAAAAAACCAATTTACGACCTAATCCTCAAGCACGAGATAGATCTTTCTTTTTTTTTTTTTTTTTTTTTTTTTAAAAAATGAACAAAAATTGTGGTGTCTTTGCCATCCAGTATCAGTGCGGGTTGCGATGTTTTTTTTTTTTTTTTTTTTTTTTTTTTTTTTTTTTTTAAAAATGAAAAAATTGTGGTGTCTTTGCCATCCAGTAGTCAAAAAGCTAGCTTGGGTTGCGATGTTATCAAGCCAAATTATTAGATATGAGGGCCCCTTTATATGCTCTTTGAAATCTGAGACCATGCCCGATGGGATCACATACTCATCACATCCATAGGAGACAAAAATAATGCAAGAGAGGTCATTGTTTGAAGCACCCAAAATGAATGCTTTGACCCATAATGAAACAAGTTTCTTGATACCCCAACACATACAGAAGAAAAATTAAGACAAAAATTTCAAAGACAATGTGTAAAAATGGATCCATTTCCCTGTTTCTTATAGAATTGTCTTTGGAAAATCTGAAACACCTCGTAGAATTTAACCAATGAAGGGCAAATAAGAGGATGTTCATCCAAAATTTCACTATCAACCATATTTTTCAGTTCTATAATACTGCCTGCCTTTCTACTTTTCAAAAACTAATGGCATGAACTGATAATGTATCATCAAAATTTCAGATGCCAGGAAATGAAATATTGCTGACTGCAACATTAAAACATTTTGGGCTTGTAGATACCCTATTGACAAGGGTAACAACCAAGCACTCAGCATTTTTTCTCGAGAAATATAAAATAGAAGAAGTGTAGAATCTGATTTTCAGACAAATTCAAGCGCAGAATATATGACAGCATTTGAAAGATACCTAGGATAGCAAGGTCAACAGTATATTTATGTCTAACATCTCAGTAGCAAGAAATTAAAAGTACACATGAACGGCTACCCACAACAGTTGCTCTTCTGCTGGATAGGCTGCCCTTTCACTTGAACAGATCCTGTTGACTTGTTTGCAGTTGGCTGGTTTCCCATTCTGCATAAAATTTTGAAATAGAAAAGATGAGCATTCCTAATGGAATAGATTTATTCTGTAGTGTGCAAAATTCATAAAAGTGAAAGTACACCAATCAACATGAGATCTCTCCATTTCAACAATATGAGAATTCAACTTTCTTAGTGTTAACACAAATCATATTTGCAATGTACAATTGCTATAACGTTACTGGTCCAGAAAATAATGATTTTGGTCCAGTTCTTTTATGGCATAGATAACAAATAGAGAAAATCGATAAATATAAAGCAGGTAATGGTGATAGCAACTAAGTATTAGAATAATAAATAATAATCTCTAAAAAACAATTGGGATTCACAAATAATAAAGAAGTCTGGGCATATAGAAGTGGAGTAGAAGGAAAAGTTCATTAGTAGTTTTACTTTTTCTTAATTTCGCCTGCCATGGTTAAGAAAGCCTGCTCCACATTAATTGAATCTTTAGCACTTGTCTCTAGGAAAGGAATGCCAAGCTCATCTGCGAATGCCTGCATTTCATTTGGGTGCAGAAAAGCAAAATGAACTTAAACTAATAAACAATTAAAATTAATCAAATTCACTGTTATTAATTCATTCTTGTCATCTGTTATCACGACCATAGTAAGACCAGCTATTCACTTAATTGACCTGAAAGGTCACTGCATTGAGAATGTTGAAACTACAGAACAACCTAATTCAAATACGAGTTTTTTTTTTCATTACAAAACTTGAAAGCACGAAGACAATTGATATGGATACAACTTTTAATAGAAAAAACATCAAATTTTGATAAAATGTGTTTCAACAAACTTTTAGCTGTCTTACTAAAATTAACCATAGGCAAAAGCTTTTTGTTTATGTAAGTACTCATATAAACGGGCATTAGTTATTAGTCATAATATATACCAACTATGCAAGCATCCATTAAGAATCGTTAGATAGATTAAAAGCATAGAATATTAATTCCTATTAGAATCTGCAAGTAAATAGCAGCATGAATTACTGGACAAGTTAGTAGATTCAACACAAACTTTACCCATTGGTGAGAAGAAAATCTGGAAGAAGGATTTCGTTTAAGGCAGAAAACATAACCAACTATACCTTTGCAGTCTGTGTGTCCACAACCTTGTTCTCAACTAGATCACATTTATTTCCAACTAAAAGCTTGCACACACTATCATTTGCATATCTATCAATCTCATTCAACCACTGCTTGACATTATTGAAGCTCTCCATTTCAGTAACATCATAAACTATCTGTCACAATTGCCATAAAAACTGCTAAACTAAGAGCCTTGAAAACGATTTCATACAGGATGTAAAGAACTGAAACAGTATAAATGTAGAGTAGAACACAAATAAGATTCAGCAAAGCATTATAGTCCCAAATAATTAACAACAAACTCCATTAAGAATTCAGTAAATCTGCAGGAAAAGCAATAAGAAACATGGAAGCTGGAATCCAAAATGTACATTTGTAATCTATGAAATGCGACAGCATACTCACATGTTGATACTTAAAAAACAAGCACGAACAGTAAGAAACTCAAACTCAACTAATTAGTAAGTTCACATAGTATAAAAGAAGTAGAAAGATAATAGGAAATTGATGACCAAGTAATCTAACACTAAGCCATCCACTTATAAAGTGAAAAAATAGCAGGGCCATTTTGTCAGATAAATATGCAGAAGCCATTGATGTTAGGCTGAAAGAAGGGAAGCGAAACATGGGGATATTGGTCAGCGTTGTTGTGTATGGAATAGTACAGCAACATTTCTATGAGAAGTAGCAATTACATATTATATCAGCATAGCAATATTTGCAAACTGTGATATGCAAGGAACCTAGCATCTTTCACAATCTGATATGCCAATATGCATAAATGCATTGACCCAAAGATACGTCACAATATAAAATTTTCTAATCCTGGAAAAAGAGGGAGCCAGAATTTCTAACTATTATCCCATGCGCGCCTCGGTAGTAACTACTTGTAATAGTCCGGAAACGCTCCTGCCCAGCAGTATCCCACTGAAAAGCAAAAGAAAGTGAAGACATTATTTGAAGTGGAATAGAGATGAAACATTTATGAAATACAGCATATTTCTTCCTTCCAATCTTTATCCAGAAAAGAAAATGTGCTAACTTAAGTTAACAAAGATCAGGCAACATTCACAGAAAGAAATAAAAGCAGAAAACTAGCAAAATATGAAGTGAAGTATTTTAAAATAAAAAAATGAAAGGAAAAAACACCCATTTGTGAATCTTTCTAAATGCACGCATGTCTACCAGCTCAATTGTGTTGGCCAGCGAGGATTTTATAGAGACCCAAACCTATCTTAATCCTAGATTTTTTGTGCATCCACTTAGTACCACTTAAACAATTATACTACAAAGAACAACTGTTAAAACATATTTCAAGATAAAGCTCAGTTACTCACAATCTGCAGCTTGATTGTCTTGCCATCCAGCTCAACAGTTCTGATTTTCTACAAAATCATTACAATTTCATAAGCTTCTTGAAAATTATATGTATAGAGATAGATAACAAACATACAAGCATACACATATACTCACAAAATCAACACCGATGGTACTGATATAGCTGTCCACATAAGAATCATCCTGAGAAAATTAACAGAAACAGAAAATGAACTTCAATTAAAACACTAATCACCATAGGAAAAACCAAAACTTTAACTCATTTTTGCACTAATCTTCTTAAATAACTTCTAACCCACTAACAATAACATCAAATACATCATACACAAGTATTTTAATTTACAAAATTGACAAATCAAATTAAAACAGAAAAAAGTTCAAAGTAAAGTCAAGCTCACAGCAAATCTGAGAAGCAGACACGATTTTCCGACTGAAGAGTCACCGATTAACAAAAGCTTAAAGAGATAATCACTAGCAAAACAAGAAAACCCAAAAAAAAAAAAATGGTAAGCAATAATGTGAATAAAAAGAGAAAAATCATCAAGGGGTTGCTTCTGTGTAAAGAAATAAAACAAAAAAGGAGATTTACTATTCGTTGCTCATGATTGGATCGAAGTGGAAAATTTTCTTGAGGTTTCTCTGCGTGAAAGAAAGGGAAAACGAGAGAGAGAGAGAGAGAGAGATAGAGACAGTAGAAAATTGTAAAGGGCAGAGGGAAATATTGTTTCTCAGTTGTCAAGAAAAGCTATGCCCACCAAATATTGGTTTTTTTTTTTTTTGAAAAAATAATTAATAATTAGTAGTAATTGGTAGAATTAAAAATATAAAGTATTTTTTGATTATTTAATTTTGAAGGTGGGCTTTTTATGCGAGCTTCGTGCATGTCCACGAAGTCACAGACAGGTCTCCGCCTCAGTCCAGGCCTCCATGAGCTAACTTTTCCACTGCAACTGCGAACACTATATAAGTCCCCAACTCTCTCAATCTCTACCCTCCTTATCCCGACACGTGGACCGATTAAAACAAACCTTTGATAAATCCTCAGTTGCTCTAGTTTACCCTAGATTCTGTTCGTAGTTATTCTCTTACACAGCAACTTCAAGAGTTAAACGCGTTTCAAAGCCGCAACAGGTACATTCTCTTCTTCACCCAAAATCGCCCTTAAATCTCTCTTTCTTGCTCGCTGGCTTTTAATTTGTTCAAGCACAATTTGCAAGTTTTCCCACGACATGCTCTTCGCCGATCTGTCTTGAATCAGAGGTAACATTACTTATCAAATTATTCTTTTTTATAAGCAATTTTATTTGCTTGACATTGGGTTTGATCAAAATAAGTTCTTTATCTGCTTTTTAGCATTTTTTGATCAAAAGGTTTGACAGAGAGTGAGTTCATGCTTAATTCTTGTATTTCAGCGTCCATATAACAGAGGTGTTATGTTATTGATTTTTCTTTTTTTGTCCATCTCGTTTCCTTTGAATATATATATAAGGTGTTAATGTTATGATTTTCTTTTTTTTGGTCCATCTCGTTTCCTTTGGAATATAATAATATATATAAATATATAATATATATATATATATATAATATATAATATATATATATTCATACCATAAGAAATTCTTTCTCGGTTGATATCTCAGTCTTGGGGGAATACCACGCTTTTTGTTTTTGCACTGCCAGTGGCCCCATCAATTTGTGAAATGCTTCAGAAGGTGCAAAAACTTTGCAAGGAATATATATACATACATAGAATTCTTTCTCGGGTTGATATCTCAGTCTTGGGAATTTACACACAGCTTTTGTTTTTTGCACTGCCAGTGCCCATCAATTTTGTGAAATGGCTTCAGAAGGTGCAAAAAGCTTTGCAAGGAGGGACCGCCTCTTGGAGATTGAGCAGAAGGTTCGAGGGTGGTGGGAAGACAAAGATGTTTTCAGGGCTGAACCTGGTGAAAGGCCTCCTGAAGCGGATGAAAAGTTCTTTGGAAACTTTCCATTTCCGTATATGAACGGGTTTTTGCATCTTGGCCATGCATTCTCACTGTCTAAGCTTGAATTTGCTGCTGCCTATCATAGATTAAGGGGAGCTAATGTGCTGTTGCCATTTGCTTTCCATTGTACTGGTATGCCAATTAAGGCCTCGGCAGATAAACTGCGTCGAGAAATTGAACGGTTTGGTAACCCCCCTAATTTTGCCATTGAAGAGGAGGAGCAAGTAGAAACCCAAACAGAGCCTGATGATGCACTTGGAAGCTTGCCGGTAGACAAGTTCAAGGGCAAAAAGTCCAAGGCTGCTTCAAAATCAGGGGGACAAATGTTCCAATGGGAAATTATGCGCAGTTTTGGGCTCTCTGATAGTGAGATATCAAAGTTTCAGGATCCATACGAGTGGTTGAGGTTCTTCCCTCCATTAGCCATGGAAGATCTTAAGGCTTTTGGCTTGGGTTGCGACTGGAGACGTTCATTTGTGACAACAGATATAAACCCATACTTTGATTCTTTTGTGCAGTGGCAAATGAGGAAACTAAAATCTATGGGTAAGATTGTCAAAGATGTGCGTTTCACAATTTACTCTCCCTTGGATGGCCAGCCATGTGCAGATCACGACAGGGCAAGTGGTGAAGGAGTGCAGCCCCAAGAATACACTCTTATCAAGATGGAGGTGCTGCCGCCTTTCACTGTCAAGCTGGGGCCTTTGGAAGGGAAAAAAGTGTTTCTAGCTGCGGCTACACTGAGACCCGAGACGATGTATGGACAAACAAATGCATGGGTCTTGCCTGATGGAAAATATGGAGCTTTTGAAATTAATGAAACAGATGTGCTCATCCTCACAGAGAGAGCAGCTCTTAATCTTGCCTATCAAAACGTCTCAAGATTTCCTCAGAAACCAAGTTGCTTGCTTGAGCTAACTGGTTATGATCTAATTGGTCTTCGGTTGAAGTCTCCTCTTTCTTTCAACGAGGTCATATATGCTCTTCCCATGTTGACAATTCTGACAGACAAAGGCACTGGGATTGTGACCAGTGTGCCTAGTGATGCCCCTGATGATTATATGGCATTGCATGATTTGAAAGCAAAACCAGCATTCAGGGCTAAGTATGGTGTGAAAGATGAATGGGTACTGCCCTTTGAGATTGTACCAATCATTAATATTCCAGACTTCGGAGATAAGGCTGCTGAAAAAGTTTGCCTGGATTTGAAAATTAAGAGCCAAAATGAGAAGGATAAACTTGCTGAAGCAAAGAGGTTGACATACCTGAGAGGATTCACGGATGGGACAATGCTTGTTGGTGAATTTGCAGGGAGAAAAGTCCAGGAAGCAAAGCCATTAATTAGGGCCAAGCTTATTGAGACTGGTGAGGCAATTATGTATAGTGAGCCTGAGAAGCGAGTTGTATCGAGGTCTGGTGACGAATGTGTTGTGGCACTTACTGATCAATGGTACATCACATATGGGGAAGAAGAATGGAAGAAATTGGCTGAAGAATGCTTTTCCAATATGAATCTCTACTCTGATGAGACACGACATGGCTTTGAGCACACATTGAGCTGGCTAAACCAGTGGGCTTGTTCTCGATCTTTTGGGCTTGGGACTCGCATTCCATGGGATAAAGAGTTCCTCGTTGAATCCTTGTCTGACTCTACTATTTACATGGCCTATTACACTGTTGCCCACCTCCTTCATAATGATGACATGTATGGTACCAACAAGCCTCATTCTGTGAAGCCTGAGCAAATGACTGATGAGGTTTGGGATTTTATCATCTGTGGTGGTCCACACCCCAAATCATCTGATATACCTTCATCTATACTTGATAAGATGAAGCAAGAGTTTGAGTATTGGTATCCATTTGATCTTCGAGTCTCAGGTAAGGACCTCATTCAGAATCATTTGACATTCTGCATTTATAACCATACAGCAATCATGGCCAAGCACCACTGGCCTCGTGGATTCAGGTGCAATGGGCACATGATGCTCAATTCTGAGAAGATGAGCAAGTCTACTGGAAATTTCAGGACAGTTCGCCAGGCTATTGAGGAATTCTCTGCTGATGCAACACGATTCTCTCTAGCTGATGCTGGGGATGGTGTTGATGATGCAAACTTTGTATTTGAAACTGCAAATGCTGCTATCCTTCGCCTCACTAAGGAGATTGCATGGATGGAAGAGGTTCTTGCTGCAGAATCATCTCTGAGAATTGGTCCTCCATCTACCTATGCTGATAGAGTGTTTGAAAATGAGATAAATATTGCTGTAAGAATGACTGAGCAAAATTACAGGGGCTACATGTTTAGGGAAGCTTTGAAAAGTGGGTTCTATGATTTGCAAGCTGCTAGAGATGAGTATAGGTTCTCTTGTGGTAGTGGGGGCATGAACCGTGACTTGGTATGGCGTTTTATGGATGTGCAGACACGGCTTATTACTCCAATCTGTCCACACTATGCAGAATATGTTTGGAGGGAGCTTTTGAAGAAGGATGGATTTGTGGTGAAGGCAGGCTGGCCTATGGCTGGTTCTCCTGATCTGACTCTGAAGGCCGCCAACAAGTACTTGCAGGACTCCATTGTTTTAATGAGGAAGCTGCTTCAAAAACAACTCTTAGGTTCAAAGAAAGGCAATAAAAAGGGAGCTCCAGTTGCAACGCTAACTGAAGACAAGCTAACAGGTTTAATATATGTGAATGAGCAATTTGATGGATGGAAAGCAGAATGCTTGAGGATACTTCAAAGCAAATTTGACCACAAGAATCGAACTGTTGCCCCAGATGGGGAGATTATGGATGCACTAAAGAATAGCTCCGTTGGTCAGGCCACAAATTTTAAACAAACCCAAAAACTTTGTATGCCTTTCTTGAGGTTCAAGAAAGATGAGGCTATCGCAATTGGTTCTCAGGCTTTGGACCTGAAGCTGCCGTTTGGAGAGATTGAGGTCCTTAAGGAGAACTTGGACTTGATAAAGAGACAAATTGGTCTTGAAGAGGTGGAAATATTGTCTGCTGCTGACCCTGATGCTCTTGCTAAAGCTGGTTCGCTTGTCTCACTGCTGAACCAGAATCCTCCATCTCCTGGCAATCCAACAGCCATCTTCTTGACCAGGTTAGGAAACTTATGCACTTGCAAATATTTGAAATTGTCTTCCTAGGAACAAGACTTTGATGTTAATTTGATAGCTTGTTATGTGCCTTTATTTATTTATTTATTTATTATTGTTATTGTTACATCTTCCTTTGTATTCTGAATAGTGGACCTCATCCTCTTTCATTAATAGGTAGTCGCTGATAAAACCAATCAAAAATGGATTGCGTGGGGAAAAGGTGTAATTGTTGAGACAAAAAGATTTTCTTCGAGGAATTTGTTGCTGGGATGTCACGAGTTTGAAAGGTAGCATGTTCTATTAGCAATGGAAGCATGTTTCACTAGCCAAGAATTTGCAGTGTCCTTAATATTGAACTTTATAAGATCTTTAATTTTGTCATTGTATTATTTAGGTTTTTTGATTAACTGGATAAGATGTTTTGGGAATTTCGCAATGTGTCATTAGTTTCCTCTTTACAGAATTGCACCCTTCCATCTCACCTTTTCTTATTTTCCATTTCCTTTGGATAGTGTTACAGTAAATTTGTATCTAGCTGCACTTGCAGATGGTTATTGATCATGAGTTATTTATTACAGTTTGTTTGCAATGATTTTATTTTCAGTTGCTAAATTTATTTGTTTCTTGTAGTTTTATAGAAGTTATGTGATATACATAATTAGGGATAAGCTTTTAATCATATCAGATGGATAAAATTAGCACCTTAAATTGTAACAGCACAGCTATGTGGTGTCTGTGACAATTAGGTACTTTGTCCATTATTATTATTATTATTATTATTTTCAGTATATTGAAAATTTAATGTGGTTCTTTGTGAGTAGTGAGAGGGAGCTCCCTTCTTATACTATGGAAGTTCTCTATTCTGTATCATGTGGGTACACATGATACGTTCTATGGACTTTTCTATTACCTGAAAATTCTAAAAAATGCATAAACAGGAAATATAATCTTGAATTTTTAAATTATTATCTGTGATGTTAATATGCAGCTTAGTAGTATTTGTCAATCTTCAATCTTCTACAGTTAGTTCACCTATCAAATGAAAGTTTTTCCCACCAAAGGGGATTAATTATAAAACAAAATGATTACATTATTGATACTGGTTAATTTTTTCAAAGCTTGCATTTTTTTTTTTTTGTTATTCATTTGAAGTTTATAAGTTTATTACAGCTCACTGAAATTAACTTCACTTGCGTTAACGGTAAGCAGTAATGAAATGTAACATAATATCACATACATCTTTCTATAATTCTTATAGTGCAAATATAATATCAAATACATCTTAGTATAATTCCTATAGTGCAAATATATTGGTTAAATTCCATTCGAATAAATGTAATACTGATTATACGAACGTAATATAAGGGCAAAGTTTGGCTAATAGTCTCTCAAATAATTTCTGATGAAAAAAAAAAAACAAACACAGTTACATTCCATAGCTACTGAAAAATTATCGAAAATCCATCAATCGATTGAAATTTTTTGAATTTCTTTTGGGTTGATACAAGTTATGGTTGAAACTTCAAATATTTGTTGATCAGAGTAACGGTAATACTCAAGAACATAGTCCATAGCATCAACTCACCCCCCCAGGCCACCGGAGCCAAAATGAGATCAAAGTTTTCTCTAAAAGATGGACAAAAATTGGCAAGCAGAGAAAGAAATGCAATAATAATGGGAAGAAAAAAATCATAATAAGAAACAACAGAAAAATATAATAAAACCTATTCTGGACAAAAGAGCCTTTCCAAGCCATCCCTGTGACTAGGAATAGTGAAATGCCTTAACCTCCCTTCTTGTTTCTTCATATACCCTTCACAAAGAAATGCCTTAGAAAATTTATCTTCAACTTCTCTATTGACATCATGCACAAAAACTTCAGTCTCTCCTTCTTCTTTATTCCTGGCCATCATACCTGCTGTATATATAGCAGTCATTCTTCCTGGTGCCTCTTCATAATACCCTGTAGGTGCATCAACCATTATTAAATCCCATTTTATTTCATAAACTTCACTTGGTAACCCTTTTAAAGCAAGCTGACACATTGAATATTTAGGGTCACCTACTGCTATGCATTCTGGTCCTTTCCCTACTTCTATTAAATTATCAGCTTGATTCACTTTACTGTCATAAGTCACATGATATGACTCTAACATAGGGAACCTTCTCTTAATTTGTGAAATCCAAGATTCATCTTCTTCGAGAAAGATAGTTCTTCCACCATAGTTAAGCGTACTCCACATTAGACTATCATGGCCAAGACCAAAAATCAAGAAATTGCAGGGTGATTTCTTTTCTAGAATTTTTGCTGTTACTGAAATTTCTTTTACTGTTTGTTGTGGTGTAATAGTTGAGGCACTGTAATGAATTAGAGCTTGAGCTAAAGATCTTGGGATCTTGGTGCAAGTTGGAGAGCAGTTTCTTGGATTTGGTTCTTCAGGATTTGAGGTTTTTGATTGAATGGTGCTTAAAATGGGAGATGGGCTTCCATCAGAATTCGAGGAAGAGGATGATATGTTCGATCTTAACAGAAAAAGTAACAAGAAAGCAAGAAAAATGCCGAAAAGGAGAAGCTTAAGGTTTGGGATTTGGTGGGTTTTAGGCCTACTCATGTTTTTCTGGTTCAAGAAAAGATCCCTTTTTTAAAATTTTCTTTTCTATTTTGCTCTTCTTGGGTTTGAAAGAATGGAAATGATGGAGATTGGGGTTGGAGTTTTGAAGGTTATATTTTGGTGGGTTTTTTTAAGTTGGAAGAAGAAAAGAAGGAGTGAGTTGAGATGTAGAGAGTTGAAGGTAATGTATGATAGCATTTTGATGCTTAGACATGAAGGGAAGGAAAATATTGGGTACTTGATGAAGACTAGATAGCTTCTAAGTTTTTGGAGGAAGCAAAAACTAAGGTTGGTAGATCTGCAAGTTTGGTGGAGTGTTGTAGACTATATAATTTGTTTGCTCATGAAGTTTGAATTGCTTTTAATTTTTTGTTTCATGGCTAATCTTACATGGGTTTAGAGAAGTTGACATGTCTCTCACCTTTTTGTCCACACTTTCAAGTTTTGTTTGTGGTTAAGTTGCTGAAAATGATGTGCACATAGCTTAGTTTGCTTTTAAAACATAAAAGAGATAAGACAGTTGGATTTTTATTTTCTTCCACTCTTTATTTTGAGTTGGTATTTAGTATCACATGTTGGATAATGCGGCTTCTGGCTTATAAAGGATCATAATGATTAATGAATGTGTAATTATTTAAAGCAATCCAAAATCATCATTATGTTAATGAAACAACTTTTTAAATAAAGGATTGTTTTCTGTTTCAAAATTCAACAATCAATGCCAGTAATAGATAAATAAATAGTTGATTGCTTCGTCATTTAAATAGTTTTTTTTTTTTTTTTACCGTTATTTGAAGGTCCGCTATTTAAAGTCCACTCACTCCAACTACGTCTGACTCAATTACCTATTAATCAATAAAAAATTATAATCCACCATGTAATATTTAAAATCTCTCTCGCACTATCCTTCTCAGCTGCTGGTTATGTACCTAAATTAAAAAAAAAAAAAAAATCATTGCACATACCAAGCTAAGAGAAACAGTATATAAGCTGCAATGGTGGATTTGGAGTAAGTCGCTGCCTTATATAATTGGTTTGGGTGAAGTGGAGATATAGGATTGTTGCACCATTGTTTACATTGACTTAGAGAAAATTGATTGGAGGAAGAAAAATAAAATACAGAATTCTGCTGTACAGAGTATAACTTGGAATAACTGAATAATTCCCAGAAGCAAAGAGAGATTTTCTCTTTGGCAGTCAATTAATTGGTCTTGTATCATATGAAACTCCATCTTACCCTATCTTTGTGAAGATGGATTCTATTGGCTTTTCAACTAATCACATTTCTGAATTATCTACAGTGCATTTATGATTTGAACCTCATTCTGATAGCAGTCAACAGGTAACTATCTGATGGTGTGATCCCAACAGCTCCTCCCATGGTGGTGATATTTCTCAGGCTTCAATATGAATATGAAACAAGCATAAGTTGCAGCTCCAGAGTCACCTGCCATTTTTCCCATGGTATAGTAGTGATTCTGTTTGTCCATTTTCATTATTGGCTTTGTTGGTCTTGATCTTGTCCGAGCGTGCTTTGCGAACAGCTTCCTGTATTTGTTTCTCATGCTCTTTGAGCATCTCCTCAATGTTGCTTCCTGCATTCATCAATGGTCCAGAGTAGTGCATACGGCCTTTCTTCTGATAGAAAGCCTGAGGTGTTAAGAAAATGAAAGTTGTTAGTACATAGCTCTAAAATATCAAAATACATAAGTCCAGGCATGGACTCGCTGACAAGACTGCCCTTAAAAAAAAAAAAAAAAAAAAAACAAAATACATAAGTCCAGCAATGGACGTCGCTGACAAGACTGCCCTTAAAAAAAAAAAAAAAAAAAAAAAAAAAAAAAAAAAAAAAGGCACATGACAAGCGTGCATGCATGCATGTGTCATGACTTATCCGAAAATTGCCCAAAATGGATATAGATTTGCAACTTCAAGGTTGGTGCTTCATAGTCAGAGGCCATGGTCGCCTCTTTTTATCAACTTCAACTGAATGAAACAGGAAACAATCCCTAGAACAAGAAAATAAGATTTAGGTAAACAGGTTCTGTTTCAGTAAGTCTTTACCGCTGCAGTCTCTAAACCAGCTGGCTGAACCTCCTTATTTGAGAACTTTGGTCTGTTCAATAAATGGTGGGTGGAATCATCCAGATGGTTATATCGAGGATGAAAATGATGGGAGGAATCCTCTGGCCAGTGTCGTGTCACTGTCGTTGCACTGCCATTATCCAATTGTGAACGGCCTCTAACAGCAACAGAATTTGAAAATCTGGACAACTGTGCTGCTCCCCGATTTACGAAAGATCTCTGAGTTCTGAGTTCTCCAGGCTTCTTAGGAGAAGCAAATGGGCCAGGAGCCCTAAGAACCTCGTTATCATTAACATTTATACCACGTGATGCTGCAAAGTTCATAGGATGTGCTGACTGCCCTGAATAGGGGCTTGCATTTTTTGCTGTTCCTTCAGAAGGCTCAATGCCATCGTTGGGTTTGTACTGTTCGCTGACACTTTTGGCGTTAGACTGTCCTTGTCGCTTCTGCATTAGGTATGAAAATAAGGATAAATAATGATCTAGAAAACAAATTCTTTCTGAAAATTTAAAAATAAAAAAAAATAAAAAAAAGAGAGAGAGAGAGAGAGAGAAATAATCATGAATGTTTAAGGTCTCTCAAATTACCTGGATGGATGCTGGCAACTCTGCATTTGCATCTGGTGCCGGCACAGCTTTAGATCCTCTGGAACTCTTACTAGTTGATTCATGTCCACGTCCTTTCCCTCCACCTCCTTTACGCCTAATTACCAGATGATAAACAGAGATCATAAATAAATTGTGGGAAAAATAAAACTCCATCTCATGGCATAAAAGTAATCAGGACCAAACAAAGGATTCTCCCTTAGCGTGTAGGTCCATCACAACTTCTCCTAGTACCTTTTACATTTTTTTCCCCAATTTGAGGCTTCTATCCAATTCAATTTCCTTTTTCTTTCTAACCTAAGATGAACTAAGTTTGCATAGGTATGAGAAATTATCTGGTTATAAACCTAGATTAATCTGTAACACAAATGTGGTTTACCCAAACTATACAATCAAGAAATGCTCTTTCTTTCCGCAGTACAAAGAAAAGAAGTAGATTTAATTGGTTTTATAGTTCATTACAAACCATTTCCATATCTTATCGAAAGAAGAGGCATGGAGAAAGAAATAATGATAAATCAGGTAACTTCTTACCTTTTACTATCCTGATCCCGAAGCTTTACATCAAACTCCTTGGTCGGTGGGTACTTGGGCAAACTTGATGGGTCACAAGGAAGAGGTTTTGTTGTAAAGAACTGGAGAAGGAAAAGAAAACCTAATTAAAATGAGATCAGAATCAACATTTTAAGAATCATAAAGAAGGTCCGCAGCAGCATTAGAATCACTAAGAATATATTACAATAATTAAAAAAGCAAAGCAGTGAAAACTGAAGGATATAAAAATGGAACCCATGATGCATGTTGTTTCAGAATAACTATGTTTTGAAAATTCAGCCCATTTATCCAATCACAAGCATAATTTAGACTAATATAAAACCTTATGAAATTAAGAAGGTAGAATTCATATTTGCATTTAGCAAATTATTGAAGTGCATATTTTGAACTCCAAAGTAAACATTAAAGTGAAATTCATGATGAATGACGATATGTTCTAAAACAGGTTTAAGTGTGGTAAATTGATTGATACTATTTTCCAACCCAGTGGCGACAAAAACGAAAACAAGATAGTCCATACTCAATAATCATTGCCTCCAGAATCCAGAACCCAAAAGAAAAAAAGATGGTGCAATTGAGGTTACATTTGACTTCAAAAACTTGATGTAAATTCACAAAAAGAAGACTCAGATTTACCTCACTACTGAGTGCTGAACTAGCTGTTCCACGGTCCTCAGGTTCTACTGCAAGGAGGACATCCAGAAGGGCCAAAGCCGATGAAGGAAATTCCTTGAATGTCTCAGAAACACAACGTTTATATGGTTGTTGAGGTTTAAAAATGGTTGCATGTGGTAGTTTTGATCTCTTCCAATACTCTACCGATGGTGACCCACAAAGTTTGAAGATTTTATGCAGTTGTTCCACCTACAAATTATTGGTAAGGATGACTTTGGCACCATATCAAAATAATGTAATTGAAAACACCCACTCAAATCAACTCTGCCAATATATATGCCAACTTGTTGCTTGTGAATACAAGAAAATTTGTGGATAATTGAGGCACAAAAAATTTTGAGGAACTTGTTAACTTGTATCTAAACATGTGCAGATCATGCCATATGGCGTTTCACAAGCAAAAGCACCTACACATTGTTGCAGTATTAGCAAGATATTATACTTTTACAAATTTTTTATACGATAAACATACTAAGGTTTTTGAAATAATTATAGTTAAAAATTTCAGAATACTTAATGAAATAATTTTTTAAATTGTTTTACACTTGGTTTTTTGACAAATAAAAATTTGAATTGAAAGATCATTTAAATTTGACATTGTAATTATATTTTAGAATTATTTAGAAACACAAATCCAAATCCATATGTTATCTAATATTTATAAATATAAATTTATGTGTAGTATTCCCTCAGGCCTCAAAAAATAAATGTGTTAGTATTCCACTTCAGGCCTCAACAAATAAATAAATAAATAAATAAATAAAATATATATATAATATATATATATAATATAATAAAAATAATTATAATTAGTGTATATATATAGTGTATTTTCATTTATTTCTGTTACCTAATAAAATGATATAATTTATTTCTTATCCGTAACCTTTTTATGTCAGCATCCAAGAATGGAAATTATGGTCAGACTTTCTAAAACATTAAATTAAACTAATCTTACTGATGAGCAGCCAATAATTTTTTTTTGAAAGGAAAAACAATGGTTCGTGGAAATTGATTATGTAGGTAAAATTCAAATTGTGAGAGGCATAATCCCATGTTTTGGTATAAGTCCAAACCAAAACATGGGAGCAATAACTTTACGAATTAACTTATCATAAGTGTATAATAATTAATAAGAATTACATAATTTTTAGCAATGTGTCTTCAATTTGAGACAAAATAACAATTGTCTGTTAAAACAATTACCATTTTCAAGTTAATTTTCAAATTCTATAGTGAAAATCTTTAAAATGCAAATCACAATTTATAAATCACTCTCAATCTCAGAATTGTGCTTATTTAAAAAAAAACAATTAAATATTGTTAAAATATTTTGAAAAGTTAGAAAAAGTAAAATACTAAAATAAAACCCCTAAAAGAATCTTATAGCTATAGTAATTCTTAGCACATAAGTCATTTTTGTATAGAAAGACGCTCATATATATTTATCATTAAATTCAATACTCCCAGTTTCTTCTTACCAGGAGAACTAAAACTTACCTCAGTTCTTCCAGGCATGATAGGCTTCCCAGCAAACAATTCTGCGAGAATGCAACCAGTGCTCCAGAGATCCACAGTAACTCCATAATTAGTGGCACCAAGCAAAAGTTCAGGGGGCCTGTACCATAATGTTACTACACGACTTGTCAGAGGCTGCTTCTGAGGGGATTGGAAGAAGGTTGCCAGTCCAAAATCACCAATTTTGAGATTGTTATTTTGGTCAACCAAAAGATTTGACCCTTTAATGTCTCTGTGCAAAACTCCACGACTATGGCAATGTTCAAGTCCATGAAGAAGTTGTTGCATATAACATTTTATCTGTAGAATTAAAAGCATCAAATCCGACTTAAAAATATTTGAATAGCAATAATAGAATGGGATAGATCAGATATCCAAGTTTTACTTCTTTTTGGGCAACATTGAGAAAGACCTATTGCATAAAATAGTTATGGAGTAATCTGAAGTCAGTACCCTCATTTTTGTAATAAGTGTAGCTTTATTGCTTCCATGTAGCTAGTGCACCCTGCCAACCCAGCTATTATGAAAGAATTATTATTTTCCCTGTTTATGGTGTGGGAACAGAGACCATACACAATAATGCACATTTGTGCAGATTACATTATAATTCAAGTACGAACTTTGATGTTTAGAATCTTAGGAGCTGAACAAAAATAAAAGTTTCCTCCTTACTTTTTTTTTTTCTTTCCTTTCATACAAAATTAACTGAAATAAAGTTTAATCGCAAACTAGTTAAAGTTGACCCTTTTCTGTATTCTAACCAGTTTTCAGCTGCCAGTATTGTGACCAGTTTACAGCTACCTCTTTAAAAAGATATAAGCTATTCACCACGTCCCTCTATATTACACCTGATCCACCCTCACTTTCTTATCAAATTTGTTACCCTTCGTACTGGTGAATTTTCTAATCTACAGTACACATGTCCAAACTCCAAACTATCTCAATCTTCCTTCTCTCAACATTTCCTTGATGGGTGCTGCTTCCATCTTCCTAAAAATGCATATATCCACTGTCCATTCTATCCTTGCATTACTATGAATTTATTCATTCTTATGAGATTTACAAACTATTTGATCATATAAGAGATCCCTTTGGTTTATGGTTCAAATATAAAGCAAAGATTATGTTCAATCTATTACATTAGCTTATCCAACTTGTAAATTAATTCTGTTCTAGCTCACCTAAGAACTTAATATTTTTCAAAAATAATAAGAAATATTTACACAATTATAAATGCTGTTTCTCCCTAGATTATTTCATTCTAGCTTAGCAATAGCTTTAGGGAAAAAAGCCTTTCAAAGTTTGTTGAAAAACACAATATCTCAAACTTAAAGTCAACAGAGAAAGAGCAAGCACCTGTGCTTCAGTAAACTTAACACCTGGGGTTGCCAAAAGCCCTGCAAGATCATGCTCCATGTATTCAAATATCAGGTATAAACTACCTGACATCTTCGAAGTAATTATTCCTTCAAGTTTCATGACATTTGGGTGATCAAGCCTACGCAAAATAATGATTTCTCTTGCCATGAACCGTACACTTTCTGGATCCATGTTAGCGAACCGGACCTTCTTCAATGCAACTATTTTATTTGTCTCAAGATCACGGGCTTTGTACACACTGCTGTAAGTTCCTTGCCCAACCTGCATCATTTTCAGGAAAGTTCAAGCCAAAAGGTTCTCCAAAAATCACGCCTTAATATCTCAGGTAAATTAACATCAAATTGCAGTGAATCTCTCAGTTTAAAAAACCAAATTAGAAACTGGACTCCATGGAAGTCATGCATGGTTGTACAACTGAAATCAGTTGAATTTTCCATTTCTTGTTTACCTTTTCTATATTTAATTAAAGCACTTATTTCTAATGTTTACATGGTTCAGTTGTGAAGAATACATTTTCCAATGGACATGAGAAAAAAATAAAGAATTTCAATTAAAAAGAATATTCAAGTACTTAAGGGCAGATAAATTGATAAAGAAATTTTGTTTCCAGAAGAAATAAGTGTCCCAGCTCCAACACATAACTGAAGTATCCAATCACTTAACAAATCAGTTTGATTCCATTATAAATGCCAACCCAAAAGCATTACTCACTGGGAACCTCATGACATATACATTCATTATGACAGGTATTCTCTATGAACCAATAATCTGCTGTCAACCTAAGCTGAAAAAAAAAAAAAGAACCTCAACATAGAGCTAAGAAGCAAATAACCTGCGACAAAGAAATCACCGGAATGAGGCCTTAAACAAAATTTGAGAAGTCTTGCACACAATCTATTATAATAACTAACTAAACATTCATTCTGAGAAGCAATGTTTCGTTTTCAGCATCAAAAACCAAATTATTAACCTTATGCAATCAACTACCATTAACATTGGATTAAAAAAAAAAGGAAAGCAAAACCATATGCATGAGCTATCAAAGATATATATAGCGAACTGACCTTATCTAACTTCTCAAATGACTCTGCCCTTCGAGGCACCCATCCATTGATGGCTTCACCAGCAACGGCAGCCAGCCAAGTAGGCCAACCAGCAACAACCTGAGCTCCTCTTTCCCCATGGCCCAAAGTCAATATCCTCGTTACCTTTTGAGTGTTGGCCTTAGCAGATTTTTTCTTATCCTCCTCATCAGATGATATGGAGTTAGATCCTCCATTGTTATTTCTAGGTTGCTTTGATATCAAACTTGCTGTGGCATCGTTGCCATTCCCATCAGCCTCTACCAAAGCTTCATCTCTTCTAAAAGAAGAGACTGGACGTTTGCTAGATTTTGGTTCTTTCCTTGTGGCATTGTTTTGTGCTACATTTGCTCGAGTTGCTTTCGAGCAAATGCAACCCATAATTTTACTCCACAGCTCTTTTCTTTTTTTGGTCACCCTGGTCCACAGTTCTTTGATTTTTAGCTCACTGACTGCTGTTATTGTCTTCACTTCTTACCAGCATTAAACCCCAAAAAACATCATCAGAGTATTGTTACCCATCTCTATTGTCCCCCATTTTGTCTCCAATCAATCAATGCAAAACTTCAAACTTCCAATTCTTGATATAAAAGTTTATATTAAAAAAGCACCCTGATCCAACCAAGAAAATCAATCACAAGTCAGCAAGAAAGGTAAAATCTGGCAGTGTGATCATTTATAAGAACTCAGATCCCCAGATCAAAACAACACGGCCAAAGCCCTCACTCCCACAATCCAATTGTACAAAAAAACAAAATGTGCTAATTTGCTTAAACGAACAAGAAGCCAGATCCCCAATTAGTAAGATAAATCAAATGAAGAAAAGGTAAATAAATTGAAAAAGAAGAAAAACCAAATCACCAAGTTAACAACTCTCTGAATATATTCAGACAGAATAGAATAAGCAATTCAGTGTTTCTCGGGAAGCAAATTTTTTCTGTTGGAAAAGAAAATTTCTGCTAAAGGCCAGAAACCAACAAAAAAAAAAAAAAAAAAAAACAGAAACCAACAAAAAAAAAAAAAAAAAAAAAAAAAAAAAAAAAAAAAGAGAAAGAAAAGTTGGTCAGCGACTCAAACCAATTCAAAAACTAAACAAAAACAGAAATTTATTACCTTTTTGTGATTGCAACGACCAATGTAATCTTGAAACAAACGAAAGACAGATACAGAGAGCGAAAAGAGGGAAATCCGGATCTGGGAAATTCCTAGAAATGCGATTAACCAAGAGAACTTTTTGGGTCTATATTAAAACAGGTAGGTGTTGGCATTTTCCTTTTTTAACCGGCTTTTCCCATCCTGTTTTTTTTCCCTTTTAACAAAGACAATTTTAAAAAAAAAAGTGAAAAAAAACTTTTCAAGGATCAGAGAAAGAGAAACAAAAAGAATGTTCCTTTTAAGTTATGTAGTGATTAGAGAAAGAAAGAAAGAAAAGCAAGATGAAGAGTGAAGAGCACAGAAGAGTAGCAGTGAAGCAAGGAAATGACACAGTGAGGGAGAATTTCCTAAACAGTGCGAGAGTGGAGAGTATTGGTTTGCCACGTGGCATAAAATGGGACCTATTGGGCCCACTTAAGATACTGTCTGATTGTGACAGTAACAAAACATGGGCTTTTGTAACTGGGTCGCATGATCATTCTTTGAATTAGAACTCAAATCCCACAAAAATCCAATCCAAATGAGAAAATCCCATTCGTAACGGGTCTCATGTCATGTGGGTTTTGTTTGGTTTCATTTCATTTCTCAAGAAGTTTCGCTTAATTACGCCATTTTTTCAAGAAGATGTTTAATTAGACTGTATTTAGGAATTAGCAATTGTAATTAATTGCAAGGTAAATAATTATTCAGTCCTTCGAATTTGTTCATGATTATAATTAGGGTGGTATTATTTCCAGAGCACTAATTATCAATGCCTAAACAATAACATTTCGTACAATATCACTTACAAAATTGCGATTTAATGAATTTATCTATTTTTTCCTCCTTTTTAATCTCCACAGGAACATTTAATTTAGTTTTTAAAAAGATAAAAAAAAAAAAATGGAAAGAAAGAACTAAACAATCTAAAATAAATTCAATGCTCGGCTTTGTCTTTTCTTTTTTTTTTTTATCTTTTCATAAATAAATTTGGATCAATATTTGAGAAATATTTCTCTTCTATAAAGCAATTGAAATATTGCATTACCGCAAATTTTTCATAAATTCATTTTTAACTTGTCAATTGTGTTTTTTTTTTTTATCAAATAAATTTGCTAAAGCAAGAATTTTGTGTGAGAACTAAGTATAGCAATTGAATCGAAAGCATTCATTTATTTAGATTGTTTAGTTATTTCTTTCATTTTTTTTCTTTTAAAAAAAAAGAATTAATGTTCCTGTGGAGAGAAAAAAGGAGAGAAGAGATAAATTCATTAAGGGGTAATTTTGTCAAATGATATTATATTATCTATATAAATTGTTATTGTTCTGGTGTTAACAATTACTGCTCTGCAAATAACACCACCCTAATTTTAACCCTTTTACTATTTAGTAAATTAATGAACCTTTTACTATTTAGTAAATAAATGAATTAATTCTTGAGATTTAGTTATGTTAAACTTTTTCTTTTTTTTTTTTTTTTGAGAAAAATCAAATTAGAATTTTATTAATTGAAAACTGTATACAGATATGAGATACAAATCAATATTTTTATATATATTTTTGTATAGAAAGCCCAATAATAAACCACTTATACAAAGAATAAAAAAACACAATCTTGAAATATATGATCGAGTTGACAGAGCATAATATATTGTGCTATAGGTGATCGTTTGCTCTACTTGATGGCTATTCATGACCATTGTTCGACTACATAGTCTTTCAACAAGTTCGATCTGATTACCTTCAAATTTATTCATTTTGTTGGAGAAAAAATCTACACTTGTTTCTGCATGACTATCCAAATAATAAAAAATGCTAGACAAAATTACCATAATGATGATAACAATAACTCATAACTAAATATAAGGACACAATCTCAATATATTGATAACAATAAATCTCAATATATGGACGACAATAACTCAGATCTGTAAACAAATCTGATGATTATTCGTAAAAAATCAAACAAAAAAAAGAAAGGGGTGACCATCGGCGAGAGTTCACCGATGGCCACCCGTGGAAAAAAAGAAGAGAGGTTTTAGATTTTTAGAGAAAGATGGAGAGAAGGAAGAGAGAGTACTTTTTTTTAATTATGTTAAACTTTAAAAGTATCATTTTAGATATTAAATACATTATAATCAGTTCCAAAATATTAATGGCTTTAAGTATTTTAAAAAATAATAAATAATATTTTTTTCAATGTCACCCATGTTATATTAGATATAATAATTACCTTACGAGTTACCACATATTTTGAAATAAAAGATAATTTAATTAAATTATCTTTAATTTTATTAAAATTTAGGAGAATTAATTGCTTTATCGATCTCTATATTAAATAACTTATATTTTGAAAATGAAAGAATATATTTAATTTTCAATTAGTTAATCTTTAATATTAAATAAATAAATATAACATATTTTTTTCTGAAAGGAAATATAACGTTGTTATTTAATCATTTATATTTATTATTAAATTATTATTTACTCTATCACCTAACGGTTTAAATGACACTTTTTAACAAAATACTATACTTAATAAAGTTATATTTGTACGACTAATTAGTGTGTTTATCAAAGAAAGGAGAAAATTATAATTATAACCAAACAAAATGGAGTGAATAGTAATTTACCGTGAATTAAAAGCTTTTTGGTATTTTACATTTTTCTTTGAATTATTTGAGCAATTTCATGAGGGATAAAAAGAAATTGCATTCTCACAATAAATAAAATAAATAAATAAAGAAAGAAAGAAAAGGAAATTGCAACCATGGAATATTTATCCAGTAAAAAAAAAAGGCTGGTCTCTATGTCAAAATTCATTGGATATATATTTTTTAATTGTTTAATATAGCATGGAGACAAGCTTATCACATTAAGTCCTTCTCACCCATCCTGCTCCGTTTATCGCATTCTTCTCTCCACCTCTCTTCTCTGTGTGTTGAAGTTAGGGTTTTTCGATCTCATTTTACGATTTCTTGGATTCTCCGGAACAAGATTCTCTGCTCTGTAAGCTTTTTACTCAACTACTCATTTGGGTTATTTTTCCCTCCTAATTCTTCGATTTTAGGGCTTTGCTTATGGTAGTTTTTTTCTTGTTGAGCTTTTTGTTTTTTAATTTATCTTTCTGTATTTTGTTTTTTGATGCTATGTTGCATGCATACTTGTAGTGTTAGCGCAGATAATTCACATTTAGGAAACCAATTCTTTATTTCTAGGCTGTTCGACAAGCGTTAGTGACCTGTTGGTTTTCGCTTATTTTTGTAGTTTCCTTCGGTTGATTGATAGCCAATTTGAGAGGAAAGAAAGTGTTAACGAAAGATAGAAAGACAAAGAAAATGTCTCTGCTGCTCTTGTCTAATCCTGTTACCTCTCTCTCCCCTTTTTTGTCTTCGTCTTCGTCTTTTCCTGCTATTCAAGGTGCGAGTCTCTCTAAATCTTTGCATTTCTCATTTTTAATGTTCGATTGGGCATTTCATCGAACACTTAATGGGTCGAATTTAGCATTTGTTTTCAGTTCCAAGGTTGCAGTTCAAACCCATAGATTTGGGCCCCAAATCTTTGAAAAGAGTTGGATTTGAGAATCCAAACCTCTGCAGCTGCAAAAGAGATGCAATCATTGTGAAAGCTGCCTCCTCTCTAGACATTGATGGAACGGCTCCTAAAGAAAGCAAAGAGATTGAAGAACTTCCATTAGAGTCAAAGCTTAAGGAGAGGGAGGAGCAGAAGCTGAAGATGAAAATGGCCAAGAAGATTAGGCTTCGTAGAAAGAGACTTGTTCGCAAGAGGATATTGAGAAAGAAGGGCAGATGGCCGCCTTCCAAGATGAAAAAGTTAAAGAATGTCTGATCTTATTTCTCTCTTGGTATCTGTTGTCTTCTGTTTATTTAAATTTGACCTTGAATTTTAAAATGACATTTCTTATATTTGAGAGGGAATTTATGGAAATGGGAGTTGGAAATGAAAGGGAAGATGAGAAAAAAGAAGAGGATTTGCATAAATTGAAGCATTTGAAGCTATTTTAGAACTGAGGAGGCAACCACACCGGCAGATTTTTCTGATGATGGTTTTAGGTAATCATTTGGTGCCTAAAACCGGCACTATAAGCCGAATTTATATGCAGTAAAAATAGTTATTTTAATAATTATATTCGATAAAAATAGTTATTTTAATAATTTTTAATTAGCTCGCCAAATATGAAAAGAAAGGCTTTCATCAAACGCTGAAGGAAGTTAAAAAGAGAATAAGGTTCTCTCTTCAAAATTTTAAACACTAATTATAAATGTTATAATGTTATGTTATGAAACATTAATGGTTAAATTAAAAAAATAAAAATAATTGAAAATAAAGAATAAATTTTTTTTATTGATATAATAAATTTATTTTATTAATTCAATTAAAAATAATTATTTTCAAATTTATCGAAGTAACTTTTTTAGTGATAGTAATTTTATTTCCAAAAATTTATAATTATTCGATTTTATAAAATTAGAGGGTGAAATTTAAACGTACCTTGTGAACTTATTACGAAGGAATATCTTATTTTATTGGTCTCTCTAGAACCAAAACAAAATCTAAGTGGGCTTATGCAGAGATGGTTGTTGGGCTGTCACAGCTCACAACAGAGTTCACTTCTCATATTCTACACATTGCTTGTTGTACGTTTGTGATTGGCTCCTTTTAATAATTGACAAACAAAGCTTTGGGTTATATATTATTATTATTTATTTTTTATATATTGATAATATTTAGAGAGAATGAAGTTGTCAGTGAATTATACGTAATCATGCAAAAGAAAGAATTTTATCATTTTCTTTTTTACTCATTTAAGCTTCTCATTATTATTATTATAAATCAAACTTCAAATATTTATTATTTTTATATTTTTTCTTTGAATTATTTGAACAATTTTATTAGGGGTAGAATGAAATTACAACAATGGAGTATTTATCCAAATGTTGTTCTCAAATTTATTGTATAAATAGTTCAATTTTTTAATATATGCCATGGAATATGTTAATAAATTAAATTTGAAGAATTTCATTTTTTAAAGAGAAAAATGAATAATTTATATTAGAGTTTTAGTTAAAACATTTTAAACAGTGAAATGTTATATCTTCTAAAAAAAGAAATTTATTTAGTTCGATATTTTTATAAAATTGAGTCTTATGATATCTAAAATGTCTCAATAGTGTTTGAAATTATTACTATACATGCATTTTCAATATAAAAAATTAAGTCCGTTGTAGTATGTTTATTGAGTTTTTATATAGACTAAGTGCTTAATAAATATATTACGAGCGATATGTCACGTCTTAAAATGGGATAAGATGCGACATATTTATTTTGGTATCAGAGCCATATCCCTCTATAAATGTATGATTCGAGGACTCGAACCATATGAAAATTGGTGAACTTATGACATCCTGAACCGGCAAAGTGATCCTAAGAGGATATGTAGAGCAAAATTCTTAGTTAGCTTTTAGGATGATAGACTAACTATTGGTAGTGGAATGCAGAATATATGAATGAATCAGATCATATATTAAAAAGGAGAAACTAATCATCAGAGGCGCTTTTTGGTGGAATGACTTGGAGAATTGGAAGAACTTTAGGGTTAAGCGTGCTGCTTAACAAAAATCCTACGTTGGGTGACTTATTGTGAAGTTTTCCATTTCACCTGCGGGATAAAACCGTGCGGATCTTGCCAATTCAATATGGGATGAAATTGATTTGATCCAAAGAAAAATAATTCCTCTAATGGTTGGAGTTGAGCGTGATACTTGGAGTGACTACTGACAATTAATAAATTAAAAAATATAGATTTATAAAATTATAATAAATTTCTCGGTTTGGAAAATATTTTTACTTTTTCTCTCTTGAAGATTATAAGTCATTTTTTAAAACATAACTTAATTTTTCTTTGAACACAAAATATTTTTTGTTAATCTATTTTCTTTGGATGCTCAAAAAAATAAAAAAAAATTATAAAAAATATTTTCCTTAATTTATTGTACGGTATCAAAAATGAGGAAAACAAAGCCTAATCAGAAAGACTCAAAACTCCATTTCATTTTCAGTTTTGGGTCGCTAATCTTAATCTCAGGTTTCCTTAACCGCCAAACCAATCAAGCTCACTCTTTATTTTATTTTTTGTAGATATTGAATAATACTACTCTCTTTATTCCAAAATATTGACATTATTAATTTAAAAATTCAAAATTAATTAATTAATTATTTTTATTTTAGTTGTAAGTCAGAAAGTCTAAAAATTTGTAATTGTTTTTCTAGTAATAGGTAAAATTATAAATTAATAAACAAATTAATTCATTTAAATTTTTGTTTTTAATATTCGTGTCAAAATTAAAATGACTACTATTTTAGAAAAAAGAAAAAACTCGCAGAAAACGCCGCCAAGGTACAGCCACGTAGATTCGGAGTAAACCCGAGCGAAGTCTCTAATCAGAACCTATTGCTTCGGACGACACAGCTGGAGACAGCCTGTCACCAACAAAGTCCCACTCACCTATTCCCCTAACTACGTTCTCTCCCCCTCTCCATCTCTCTCCCTCTGTTTCTCTCTCACATTCTTCTTTCTCTCTCTCCCTCTCCCCCTCTCGTTTCTCTTTGTTGAAGTTAGGGTTTTTCGATCTCGGTTTACGATTCTTGGATTCTCGGTCAAACGTCTCCGGATCAAGATTCTCTGCTCTGTAAGCTTTATATTGATCTACTTTTTGCTCATTTGGTTCTCTTTTTCTCTATGAATTATTTGATGTTAGGGTTTTTGCATGCTATTTTGTGATGTGGCTTTACATATGGTTTTTATTTCTTCTTCTTTGCTGAATATTATTGTTGTTGTGATGTTTTAGAGCATGTTCATGTGTTGGCGATTTAAATTTTATTTTTCGAGATTTTTCTTTAATTTATCTTTCTGCGTTTTTGTTGTTTGATGCTATGTTTTATTTAACCTTGCAGTTTTAGTGAATATAATTATGTTTGGGTTTATACTTATTTGTATATGTCCAATGTGTTAGTCAGAATGCGTAGATTTAGAATGTTGAAGAACACGAGAGAGTAATATGTGCATTTGTTTACTTTTTAATTTGTGTCTTTGGTTGCTAAGAGAGGGAGGATAAGTAGAATTAATTAAATTGAAAAAGGATTCCTTCTTTTATTTATTGAAATTTGATTAGAGAAGAAGGAAAATAAAAAATAAAAAGCTTAGCATTCGCCTTGTGGATGCTTATTTTTTAGGATTTATTGTTCATGTTACTTAAAAACTAAAATATATTATTAGCTCTCTGGTTTCCCAAATGGTAACTACTTCTCAATAATGTGATTTGCTATAATAAAAAAAGGATTCTCTTTTTTATATTTATTGAAAATTGAATAGAGAAGAAGGAAAAAAAGATAAAAAGCTTAGCATGCGCCTTGCAAATGCTTTTTTTTCGGATTTATTGTTCATGTTTCTTAAAACTGAAAGATATGAGTTAGTTGTCTGGTTTCCCAAATGGTAACTACTTTTCAATAATGAGATTTGCTATAATTTTTTTAAAATCTTTTTGTTCTTGTAACTTGGTATGCTTATGATTATCTAACCATTAACGATGTAGTAATAATTGACCATTAAATATTTGTTAATTGTTTTTTAGTATGTGGCTGCTGTTTGAGGTGTACACTTGTTCTACCGGTGACGTAATTGATCGAGAGAATTTATTGGCGGTTTTATTGTTCTATAGTTTGTTTGTGTTTTTTTATAAGTAAATATTCGGTCGTCTATGAGTTATGTTCTATATGATGGCAGGTTACTAACTTGTTTTTACATGGTAGTAATTGCAGCCTATTATGTGTCTCAATTTTGAAAGTATTTATTAATTTTGGCAGCTTTTGCATGTCATGGAAAGTGTGATGCTATTATTCAATTTTTCATTTTTTTTGGCTGTTTTAAATATTACGTTGTACTTCTCTGATGCTATTTTGCTACTTTGGTTGAAGACATCAGCTGCATTGTGTTACACATGGCATATAAGGAATGTACTGTGTGTAGAGAAACTTTATGCGTTATGCCTCTAACCAACTTTATCTTTTGGCAACCTAACCCACTAACCTTTCATGCTCACAGGTTGACAGTTTCCTTGACATTTTTGATAAATACATAATGGTTTCCATTTCTTTTTTTTTACTTCCATATATAAATACATAATGGTTTCCATCGTTACAAATATATATATAATAATTATATATATATATATATATATGCACACACATACACATGCATATTATATATTATTTTCGTAATATAAGAAAAAGAAGCTTGAATTTTTGAATTTGTTGGGCTTTCAATTCCTTTCTTAATCATAGTAAAGGTAGCCTCTTGGGGAATTCTCATCAAGAAGTCAGACTACATGTATAAAAGTGCATTATTTTTTCAGTTATATGTTTTTTTTTTTTTTTGACGGGCGAGTGGAGGTGTATTATTCTAGTTATATAGAGGAGCAATATTCTTACATATTTCAATGTGATGTTGTGGCTATCAAGTGGGTCATTTAATTATTGAAATTTGGTGCTTTGTAGTAGTAGTTGTAGCTTCATGTGTTAATGTGGCTTGTATTTCATGTGAAAATTTGTGTTTCTCAAATATCATCTTGGAGGCAAGCAAAAATTAGATTTGGTACTCATGAAGATGAAAAGTTTCCTGTGTCATCTCATGAAACAAGTTCTCAGAATTGTTGCCTGTGTTTACTTGACTAAAGATTTTTCATTTGTATATTCAATTATTCATCCTAGTGTATATGTATATGTCAAAAAAAAAAAAAAAAAAAAAAAAAAAAAAAAAAAAAAACCCTTGCTTCAACATTCTGAAAACATTATTAATTATTTGCTCTTTGTTGACTAGTTTCCTTATTTTGACATTACAGGTAAGTGACCTGATAACTTGCTTGAACGAGATTACAAAATTCTTGAAGTGGGCACAATAGAGTTGGATTTGGACCAGTTGACGCGTGGCATCTTTCATGACGTTGCCATCCTTGTTGTTTTAAACCGGAAGCTGAATTTACTCAAGAGTAACTGTTTTTGGTTAGTTCAGCCTGGACAAGCTATATTCCATTATTATCTTGGAGATTATTGTGATTAAAAATTAATCCTGGGAAGGAAGCGCTTACACAACCAGAGGAGGATTCCTTGTATCCATGCTGGCAGAGAGCATGCGTGGCATTTGTGCTTCGGGTAATGCCCCTGACGAGATTTGCTGCCGATGCATTCGGTGCGGTGACAATTTGCCTAGTAGCCATCTTGATTCTTCTTGGTTTGTTTTGCATTGCTTACTCACTTTACTTCCGTTCTCGCGTTCGTAATCAAGACTTTGTTCAACTCACTTATTTTAGCGGTCCTTGGATTATCCGAATCACATTTATTTTGTTTGTGATCTGGTGGGGTTTTGGTGAGATTATACGGTTAAGTTTGTTGAGGCGTGAAGGAAGAGTATTGAATGCCCTAGACTTGAAATGGCAGGAAACGGTTTGCAAAGGCTACATTGTTTCAAATCTGGGATTTGCAGAACCTTGTTTATTTCTCACCCTAGTGTTTCTCCTTCGTGCTCCCTTACAGAAGATGGAATCAGGAATCCTAAGTCGAAAATGGAACAGAAAAACTGCTGGATATGTCCTTCTCTATTGCCTTCCCATTTTTGCTCTTCAGCTCTTCATCATTCTAATTGGACCACAATTGCGCAAGAATAAAGGATCCTTGCGAAAATTGCCCCATTATTTCACAAGCACAGCCACTCCTAAGATAGAAAATGCTCCTGATGTTATTGCCCTCTGCACTTACCCTTTACTAAATACCATCCTCCTAGGGCTTTTTGCCACCATACTAACTGTGTACTTGTTTTGGCTTGGAAGGCGGATTTTGAAATTGGTAATCAATAAGGGTTTGCAGAAGAGAGTCTACACATTAATATTCTCCGTTTCAAGTTTTCTCCCACTAAGGGTTCTTTTACTTGGACTATCTGTTTTATCTAAACCAGAGCATTTTCTGTTTGAAGCTCTTGCTTTCTCAGCCTTTCTTGCCCTTTTATGTTGTGCTAGTGTGTGTATTTGCATGCTTGTGTACTGCCCAGTAGCGGATTCTTTGGCCTTGGCCAATCTTCAGGACTTGGAGGCGAGGAGAAGATTATTTGACGAGCACAATGACACCATTTCTCTCATTGCTAACCAAAGCCATCTTGAAGAAAGCAGCAGAGTAAGCCCTGGGAGAAACTCTGATGCCTCAACAAAGCGTGGATCGATTTCTTTCCGAACTTATGACAGGGATGGGGCTTCAACAGGGCAATTTGTGGAACTGAGCCTCTTCTCTCCAAGTCGAGATGCAACCCCACCAGGATCACCCCCTCTTCTTGGTTGGCCTATGCGTCCGCCAAGGCAAGCACAAGGATACTGAAAGTGGGCAAGAAACTGAGTACTCTTGGTGAATATCAATTTTGTGGTAAAGAACAACTGATTGTAAAGGGTTAGTTTCAATAAGAATTTTATTCTTGGTTTGTTTTCTAATTTTTAGATATGGTCATGGTGCTTTTGGTTAATGAATTTATCTGTTTTCTTTCCTTTTTGTCCCCTCCTTTTTCTTTCCTGTAATCAATTTTATTACTAATTGTTCATTTGCACCCTTGTTATAATGAATGCCTATATATTATGATTAGGTAGAGAAATGCGTATGGTGATGTTATAGAATTTAGTCCTTGTTTATATTGAATTTTTCTTGGCAGCAATTTAATTATATGACCAAGCTTTGTCATTGATTCAATGGTCTTTAATATGCGAGTACTGCTAATTAATGTTATATATGCGGAATGCCCTTTCAAGGTTCAACTCTCACTCTCATTTTCAAGATTTATAAACGAGATCATTTTTTTGAAACTGAATTAAATCGAGATATATTTTGAAAATCAAACTAAACTGATCGGTTTGGTTTGACTGAGTAACATAAATGTTCTGGAATAATTGAAAATAGAAGTCAGAAAAATTAAATAATCAAATTAAAAATCCAAATCAAAAATTCAAAATAATTTAGTTGGATTTTATTTTTTCCAAAGTTTGCTCACTCCTAATTAGAAGTTGTCATTTGAAGTTTGATGATATAAAAATTTAATTTACTTATATTAAATTCTAGTTTTTTTTTTTTTTTTTTTTTTTTTTTTTTTTTTTTTTTTTTTTTTTGTGAGTATAGGAGCAGACCGAGTCATTATATGTACTTATCATTATTATATTTCTTTGATTTGCTATAATGGGACTTAGTTTATAAAATCTTTATAATTTATATTAGAACTGTTCTTAAAACTTTACTAATAAACATAAACCAATTTTACCAGTAAATTTTTCCAAAATATTTGAATGTAGAAATAATTTTTTAGTCTAATTTTAGGAAATTTCAAAATACTTTACCCTGAAATAAGGAATCTTCCTCGTTTTGGAAACTAACCATGTCAGTCAACATTACGTTTTTTTTTTTTTTTTTTTTTTTTTTTTTTTTTGTGAGTATAGGAGAGACCGAGTCATATATGTACTTATCATTATTATATTTCTTGATTTGCTATAATGGACTTAGTTATAAATCTTTATAATTTATATTAGAACTTTCTAAAACTTTACTAATACATAAACCAATTTTACAGTAATTTTTCCAAATATTGAATGTAGAATATAATTTTAGTCTAATTTTAGGAAATTTCAAATACTTTACCCTGAAATAAGAATCTTCCTCGTTTTGGAAAATAACATTGTCAGTCAACATACGGCAAAACTTTTTTGTGATTATGATTTAGGGGAACGTGACTTTTGTTCTCTTGCCAGCTAACATTTAGCCACGTGTCATCAATCTCAGCCGCTCGCCAACAGCAGGAAAATGAAGAAAAGTTCAAGAAACAAGCAACCAATGGCCTCCATGCGACCACACCATTACGCATTGCTTTTTTTAGTTTTTGTATATAAATATGCAAAATGACTATTATGCCACCAACAACAGGGCAGTGCTTCTGTGCGCGCATTCTTTATTCTATAATTTTTTTTTATGAACTAATTGATTTTCCTTTTATTTGTTTTTATTTGTATTTATATATTTTTGTACAACAAGATATTTTTTTGTATTTTTATTCAATTTTAATTTAATGCACATTTTTATCAAATAAATATATTATTATTTGTAATTCAAAATATTAAAATAAATAAAGTCATTGTTGTTACCATATGTAGCTAACCTAACAATTTCGATTATCTTATTTTTTTTAAAAAATTATTTATACTGTCAATACTTCCATACAAATTCTTATTTTTATTTTTTCATATATATTATTGAAGATCCTAAATATTGTATATTAATGGGTGATTGAGTTTTCCAAAATAAGAAACTTTTTCCGAAATAAAGAAGAATAGTTAGTATGTCCAAATTTCAGAATTATCTTAATATTTTTTTACTATTTAATAAATTCAACTAATATTAATTGTGTGCGAATAATTATATAAAGATATTGTGAAAATGTAAAAAAAATATTTAAAAATATAAATAAATTTATTATTTTAAAATACTCAAAGAAAACTCTCACTATAATTTTTAGATCGATGAAGTATGAATTATTTAATATTAATATAAGGGTTTAAACACAATTAAACAAAAATTTTGTTTATAAAGTATAAACAAAAATGCACGAGGGAGTAATTGAATAAAAAAATAAGGGTAACGCTGTCATTTCATCATATCATGTGCCGCTAGCCCTAACGTTCCTTTCTCTCATAAATTCTGGTTCCGTCTTCCGATCCTGTCTGTTCTGGTAAAAAACCCTAGGATCAATCAACAAAATTATATTTTCTCTGTGATCTTTTATTTCTAGACAGCAGAAGAAAGAAATGGCAACTTTCGAGCAGGCACCACCAGGCGATGTAAAAGCCGGAGAGAAAATCTTCAAGACTAAGTGCGCGCAGTGCCACACCGTCGAGAAGGGCGCCGGTCACAAGCAAGGTTTATTATATTTCTATTTGAGATCCGATGTTAATTTGTTTTGGATCATGCAAAGAGGGATTTTTCTATATTTTTCTGCTAATGGATCTGATGTTTCTTTTTTAACCTTTAGGACCCAATTTGAATGGCCTTTTCGGTAGGCAATCTGGTACGACAGCTGGGTATTCCTACTCTGCAGCTAATAAGAACATGGCTGTGATCTGGGGAGAGAATACTTTATATGATTACTTGCTTAATCCTAAGAAGGTATACAATCATCACCTTATATTGTTTCCTTGTAAATATTAGATCATAAGAAGAAATTAATTTAGTATTGATTCAAATTGTTGATTTTGATTAGATGACATCTGCGATAGGAGGAGAGAAATATAGAATATGTCTATTAGTTGCTAATTATGGGGGGTCTTTTCGGTTGCTTGCTTCTTTTATGAAATTTGGCTGTCTAGGATTTATTGTGTTATATAATTGTTTAATTAGTGAATGTCTTTGTTTTATGGGTTCTGGCTAAATTTGTTGATTATGGTAATTTCTTTTTTAGCACTTAATCATTACAAGTATTTCAGTGTTTCAACTTTTTTGCAACTCATGTAGACCTGAATGGATATATAAGAAACAAGCATATGATTGTAATTAAATATGGCATTATTCTGCTAGTATACCATTTGAAGTGTGTATATTGTTTGTGCCCATAATTATGCACTGTTAAAGATGAATTGAGTGTTTAGTCTCTTTCCCAAGTATAATACTATAATTATTTTAGCATTTTTTTATCTGATTTAAATTTTTGAACTTTTTTTGATGCAGTACATTCCTGGAACTAAGATGGTCTTCCCTGGATTGAAGAAGCCACAGGATCGTGCAGACCTCATTGCCTATTTGAAGGAAGCAACTGCTTGATTTAGTATGGTTATTTAGCCATTGATTTGTGACATTAATTGATTGTCCTAAGCCATTTATTTTTCCAAAGGAAGAGAAGACTATTCACTTCTTCAAATAAGCTGAATTAAAGCTCAAAGATGAGTAGAGGAAAATTTTTCTGTTGTAAACCCTTTTCATGAGGCATTTCATGAACTTTTGATTTTTTTTTTTTTTATAGTCATACTGTCTACTGATTTATCTATTGTGATGAGATTTTTAAATCATAAATTTTGGATTTTCTATTATGATGTCTTGCTGTGGCCTATGGAAACTATGATGTTTGCTGCATTTGCCTACAAATGTTGATGAATCTTGTCACGCATTCATATATTGCATGGCATGACCAAAGTATTGAATAATGATTATTTTTCTGATCTTGCTACTGTAATTTTCAACATAATTTACTGGTGTTAGGCTTATCAAATTTGGTGAGGTGGTCTTTGCAAGTTGTTTATGTTGAAGCTACAGCATAGTGAGGCTATTAGATTTGTATTTTATGACATGTTTATGTGAATCAATTAAAGGGAACGAAATGTTTTAATTTCTTGAAGTGAATTAGTTTCTTATTAGAAGTGATCTTATAAGGAGTCTTGGAACAAAGTTTTGATTCATTATCGACAATCAAATAGGCATTGTACTCCATTGCCATTGGTTTGACTATTGAAAAGAGTGTTCATGTTGCATGAACCTTGATGGCTGAGTTTCAGGCTGTAAGAATATGTATCTTTTGATTGAAACAGACTATCATGTCAGATATCAGGTTGTGGAATTGAAATGCATCCTCAGTTTATTCGTTTTCACGGATGATAACTGTGTTCAGCGGGTTTTTACTAATTATAGTCCTATTGAACAGCGGAAGTAGTATGTGCAGAAGGAACAAGCGTCAATTTACATGTTAGTGGACATAATTTCCTTCGAGATAGTCTAAATTTTTGGAGCTCGAAAGGAAGTTGAGGAAAAGTGTAAATTATATTCCCTCAGACTAGTGTTTCAGTAACTGTAGATCATCAGATGTAAAATGTGTTCTGAATGAAACTATGTTGGAGGTCAATTGAAATCTTTTGGTGAAGGAAAAAGAACAGGAAGTTTTAGCACAATTTTATTGAACAACTAATCAAATGTCACTGCTTTGCTGTATCCTTCTTTTGGAAGTTATGGTTGTGTCTCTATCTATTCCTCAGCTCCTTCTCGCCAGCAGATTTGCATTCTATTTAACTTTATCTTTCTGTTTTGGCTTCTTTTAAGTAGTCTGTGAGCATATTCGAATATTCATTTGTAGTTACTTAGACCTGTAAAAGCACTCTTACCTTCAAGGTTGTTTGTATGGACATTTCCTTCATTTTCGCAATTTTGATACATGAAAAAAAATTTAAATGAAGTATTCTCCGCCTACCCCAAAATTCCAAATAATCAAAGACATATGATCAGTGATGGAGCCGGCAAATAAAGTTAAGAGGGCTATAAAAAGTTCAAGAACTAAAAGGGCAAAATTGAAAAAAATTATTATTTTAAAATGCAAAAATAAAATTACTATTCACTTAAGTACATAAATAAAATTACTATTCACTAAGTACATAAGTTGTAAAAAGTTCAAGAACCAAGGAAATTGTTCAAGAACAAGGAAAGCAAAATTTTAAAAAAATTACTATTTTAAACCATAAAATAAAATTACTATTCACTAAGTACATAATAAGAAGATAATACGATTGCAGACAAATCCAAACTTATTATACGATTGTAGACGAGTCGAGCTGATTTTACTGCTTCACATTAGTGATAGACATCTCGTTGGTAATGTTGTCTATCGCTATTTTTCCTGTAAAGAGAACAATATGGTCTATTATGCTAAAATTAGCTATCATGATATTAATTGTATGAGTTGAAAATTTGATGATAAGAATATGGTTATTTGTTTTTGGATATTGGGAAAGGGAACTTTTATATATAGCAAAAATTTGAATTTTCATATTGAGATATAATTGTTTTAACTTTTAATAATTTTTAAAAGCAGTCCATTATGTAAAATTATTATTGGGTAGGGAAGTATTCGTGTTAATATAATCATAAATCAAAATGCCTTTTTTTTTTTTTTTTTTTTTAATTTTTTAAAAAGCAAGGTCCATTTTATGTAAAATTTATTATGGGTAGGGAAGTATATCGTGTTAATATAATCATAAATCAAAAGCCTTTTTTTTTTTTTTTTTTGTATAAATTTTGAAATTTGGAAAATGTTTAGATCAACAATTGACAATGAAAATAAATTTCCTTTTTTTTTTTTTTTTGTATATATTTGAAATTGGGAAATGTAGATCAACAATTGACAATGAAAATATTTATTTATTTTTCTTTTTATATAACAAGATTATTACTTAATATCATGTTTTCCCTACAATTTTTGAAAAATAAATATGATTATAAAGTATTTTTAAAATTGAGACTCCACTTATTTTTAAATAAATCGATATTATTTTATTGTGAATCCAATAGAGTCGAATAGACCTATGGAATTGAGAATTTCCACAAATGAAAATACAGGTCTAGAATAACCACTTAGGACGACATAGTAATTAAACTGCAGAAGCAAGGGTAGTCCTGTCATTTAAATAAGATGCGTGGCGGCCACAGCCTGATTCCACGCTGTTCGTGTACTATCGAGCTAGCTCCAGAAATCCCCTCCTTCTTAAAACTTCACTTTCCCATTCCGCAATATTTTTGCAGTGTCTAATTGAAACCCTAGAAATCCCTTCCTCCCTTTGATTTTTATTTTGTTTGTAGAGAGCTCAAAATGGCGACATTCGAGGAAGCACCGCCGGGCAATCCTAAAGCCGGAGAGAAGATCTTCAAGACGAAGTGCGCCCAGTGCCATACCGTCGAAAAAGGCGCCGGCCATAAACAAGGTGAGTGTATATATATATATTTGGATCTCATTTGATGCTTTAATATGCCTAGATCTTTATCTGACAATGAATGAGATTTTCTGGTTTTTTGATCTGCAGGACCTAATTTGAATGGGCTTTTTGGGAGACAATCTGGTACAACTGCTGGATATTCCTATTCTGCAGCTAACAAAAACATGGCTGTGATTTGGAGCGAGAATACATTGTATGACTATTTGCTTAACCCAAAGAAGGTACAAGTTGAGCTGTTTCATGTTCTTTTATACTTCAATCATTTAATTTGTGTCTTGTTTGATATTTAATATATTTAGATAATCAACTCAGAACAGATCTATTTGTTTGTTTTCTTTAAATAGCATAGTATGAAGAAATGATTGATGTTGTGGACATGCATTTCATTAAATGAAAAAGCTTAGCAATTCAGTCTTATGTTAATGATGAATGTGTTATACTTTCAAGCTTCATATGTATTAAATTTTAATAATGTTGATGATTTGGTTTGAATGAGAAATATTGGCAAAATATCTTCTCCACATTTGCTTAGTGAAAATACAAAGGCTTTACTGAATTTTCTTATGCTGAAGTAGTTGTTCTATTGATCCCATGTTGAACTTTGTGGGTGACAGTTGATCGCGGATTGCTTGAATAGCTTTGTAATTATTAATTAACACTTTATTGGGTAGTATATTCCCAACTAGTTTGGGACTAAGGCTTTGGTGGTTGTGGTTGTATTGGGCAGTATATTCATCAGTTGGTTGCTATGAATTTTTTCTTTTTCCTTTGTTGAGTAGCAGTGGATATTTTCTTGATTTGCATTTTGCACTTCATTTAAGAAGCAAATGTGATAGTCGTGAAACTTCAGATTTGTATCTTTTGATAAGCTTTTCTATTTAAGACATTCATTCATTCAATCCCTTGGGAGAACCTAACATAGTATCGTAGTATTAGATTTGTTATGGATCGTGTGCAAGTACAGGCAGATGCATGTTGAACTTGTTTACTTAATGTTCCTTTTCCTTGTCTTTGAATATGACTATTAAAGCATAATCTCATTCTCAGCTGCATATCCTTTTCAAAACTTCTTTTTGCAGTATATTCCTGGTACTAAGATGGTCTTCCCGGGGTTGAAGAAGCCACAGGATCGTGCAGATCTCATTGCATATCTGAAGGAAGCAACTGCATGATTCTTTGCCTTAACCCTTCTGGTTAGTGTAGGTTATCTCTCAAATGTTCCCAAATGGAATTCTTTTCTACAAGGAAGAGAATAGCTTTCGAGTTGTAATAAAACCAATCAGGGCTCAAATATATATGCTCCGTGGCGAGGCATGTCATGAACCTTAATGATTTTTGAAAACATCAAGATTTATTATTTGAGTTGGATACTTGTAAATCACTACAACATGTTCTTATACGATGGAGTATTAAAGAGGTAGAAAAATATGTAAATGTGTTTGTGATTGGGAGTGGTATTGATGAACTTTGTTGTGGTGGATACAAGCAAGATGCTTGTGGATGAGACAGTTATGGTTTAAGGGAAGATGGTTATGGATAAAAAGTTATGGTTTAGGGGAGGTGCTGCTCACCCTCTTCATGTAGACTATTAAGTTTGAGTCTGGCCTATCCTCTCCTCTTTCAAACTCCTTGGTCCTTCAAAGCCAGAGCTCTTTAGACAAGCCCAATTGTTGCTCTCTTGGAGAGAAGCCCAAACATCGTTGCATTCACACAATCCCTAAGAACGTGCATTAATATTTTTAATACTTATAACTAGAGATATTTTCAGATCAATTTACATGTATCAAGAATGAGTTTTCTCATCAAGCGATTCTAAGAATTGACATGCACCTAACGAATTTGGATTTATTGTTTTATCTAATAAAAATATTTTCACCAAAATTCAACCATTTGTTACTATTTATTTTATTCATTTTGTCTAAGACAATCTGGTTTTTGACTATTTGTTTTGTCTTTCTTTGGTTTATGCTCTTGCTCCCATCATGTACTATAAAAATCTAGCAAGAAGGTGTGGGTATGGGTTTTCAATTTGAATGTTAAGTAGAGGATGGTAACTAAAATTCAAATCACTAAGAGTGTCACTATAAACTCGCATCATACGTGTAAATGCGTTTCTGCTAGCTTTTATTGTTGTTGTATATCTTGTCCCACCTTGGTTGATTTGGTCAACATCAACTCAATTTATGTTTTATGAAATTGTCTCTAATATATATATATGTTTTCTTAATTCCTTGCAAAAATTGTAATTGGTAAATATGAAATCAAATGATTAACGAGCTTTTTTTTTTTTTTTTTTTTTTTTTTTTTATAAAAATGATTAATAAACTTAATTTGTTCATCTAGGAGGCCAACGTCTTCAGTTTAACTAGTTTTTTCTTTATCCTTTATACTACTTTCTCTCTCTAACTAATAATATTTTTAATTTCGATTTCGAAAAAAAAAAAAAACTTTAATGAGCTAACTACATTAGAATTACAATTTTTTTTTTTTTTTTTTTTTTTTTAATAAAAATGATTAATAAACTTAATTTGTTCATTAGGAGGCCCAACGTCTTCGTTTAACTAGTTTTTCTTTATCCTTTATACCTATTTCTCTCTCTACTATAATATTTTATTTCGATTCAGAAAAAAAAAAAAAACTTTAATGAGCTAACTACATTAGATTACAATTTTTTATTTTCAAATATTAAAATTATTTTGTATAGTAAAAAAAATCCTAAATAGTATTTCTTATATGGCAAAGGATTATATTTAACATTTCTATTTTATTATTATTTTTAATTAGATATGAATTTAAATTAAAATAATTCAATTAAGTGTAAAAGTTAATGAAAACTTAATCTCTTATAGTCGTAATGACTTAGTCCATACCATAATCAATATTAATATAATTGGCAACTTAATTATATACTTGCAATTGGATTATTATTATTTTTATTTTAGTTGATGACATGTCCCAAATCATAATTTATATGAATGGGTAAATCACGTAAATGTTATTGGTGCGATTTGTTTTCTCTTTTGTTTGATTCTTATAATAAAATAGTTTTGATGTCTAACAATAAGTGATTAGGAAAAATATTATACATGGTAATTATATATATAAAGTATTTATATTTAACGTACAGGTTCTGGTTCAATTGGCAATGTGAGTTAAACATTTGAGAAGAGAACTTTCAGATTTAATTTTCATTAAATATATTGGAGGGACGAATAGTCTTAGCTGTGATTGAACTTCGAAATTCGGATACCTGTGATTTATATAAAAAAATATTTATATTTAATCTCTTAATTTTCAATATTGTAAAAAAATAAAAATCAACACAAATTTTACAATCTTTTATTTATTTATTTTTACTTTTTGCTAAAAATGAAAAAACAAAAAAATGCCGGAATGACTATTGACTGTTGACTATTGAGATGGTCGCTAACGAGAAAACTCCAAAAACCAGGGATTTTCATTTTCCTGCAAAAACGAAAAAATACATAAAGAGCAGGACCAACAATGATTAAGCACGAATTGTCGCAATTGGTTCAGACAAATAAGAGAAGTTACTACCTGTTCAAAGTTCAAAACTGCCAACTGATTGGACCATTTGAAAGATTCACATTTTCACATCTTCCACTCACAATTAACCTTCTTGGGTGATCAAGATTTAGGATTCCAGATTACTCTGCAAAACCCATTCCCAGTTTCTTTTCATAGATTTTCTATTTCAGGTTAGTTTCCATGCATTTCAGTTTCTTATGCTTATTTTTACTGTATCTGTTTTATGTTGTAAATTTAGCAATGTTATGTCTTTTTTCATAATTCTGGTAGTTACCTTAACTTTTGATGATCATGTGTTTTGGTATATATGTGCCTATATTTGGAGTTTTAGATTGATTTAAGTCTATTTTTGTTTGAACTTGAAAGTCAGCATAGAAATCTTGTTATTGTTGTTCTTTTTAGTGTTTGGTTTAGTTTTGGTGGATTAGGGTCTATGGAATTGGAATTCAATTAATAACGTCTTTTTTGTTTGTCATATGAACGGAATCAAAAAGGACAGTGGTTAGTGCTAGTAACTTGCTGAAAATAGTTTTTTTGGTAGTTACTACAGAAAGGCCATTGCCATATAAGCGTCGAGAAAGTTGATTTCGTAGTTGGTGTAATTTGACTTCCTTATTTTTTTGTTTGTTGCTGGACAGATGTTTGAGGGAGAGTTACTGGAGAATGGTTTCAATCAGGAGGACAGAGAACCTTCTGATTCTTTGGTGGATAAGGTATGATACTTTGTTCTGTTTTAGCATTAATTCAGACCCTTTTCTGCTTGGTTGGGGTATTTTTAATTTAAACAGTAAATGTTTGGTTTAAAAAGGTTTATTTGCTTTTTTTTTTCCTGCTGTTTTTTTATGGTGATTTAATTGATCCCTTGGTACTCTATGTAATGGAGCGCAAACAAATTCAAAAGTGCAGGACAAAAATTGACATGTGTATGTCATGTATGATAGGCCTTTCCTAGCTTGACACCAAGCTAAGCTGCCATTTCTGTGGCCACAATCTCAGCATCATGTTGATTGTTCATGTTGCCTCAGTTGTTGATGATAAATATTATTTTATTAGTGTGTTGAAAAGGTGATGGTTTCTGGGGTATGTAGTATGGAGAACTGTCAGAAATGAAAAAGAAATCGTGGCATGTCATGTTCTTTCCACAGTTTGGATTCAGTGATTGCATCTCTCCATGTGTCATGAAATGAGAAAGAAACCTTGATGGAGGAGATTCATTTCATTATCACTTTTGTTATTGTGAACATGAAATTGCATCTTTTTGATTCATAGCTGAGTAACTTTAATTGGCATTTCCTTCATAACCAAAGCTTCAAATACTTGTCTCGTATCTAATTTCATTTTTATTTTTTGATTAAGGTTGATCCTGGGAAACCTGCATCATTGACCTGGCAGCGGAAATTAAATGCTGAGGAAATTGCCCTTTCACAATTTAATTTACGTTTTCAAGAGAAATTTCAACTGGTATGTACATATCCTTTTATTTTTTATTTTTTAAATCCTTCAATGACTATATTTCCTTATTATGTATAATGATTGTCTTGTGTCATGTGGAGTGAAAGGTTATGCACAATGTATGAAATGATGCAAATGAAGATGAACAAGTGAATGTTCATCACAAGTTTTAATATTTTTATGGGGAAGTGAGAATCATGACATATGCCAACTTGTGTCAGATTACAGTAAGATGGCTGTGTTTTTTTCTCTTTTCTTTCACGTATCAAGACCTGATATTGTTGCGAAGTGTACCTGCATACCTTGTTGATTTTTTCATACTTCTGAGAATTATGATATCCATGTTAATACTCTAGTGTTGGAAAGGTTTTCAGGTGACAAATTTTTGCTTCTCTTAGTTATGTAAGTCCATGACATGATTTTTGTTTTTTTGGTTTTGGCAGGCTCCTGTAGGTATTCGGTTGTGGCAGTTTCTCCGAGAAGAAGCTGCCAAAGGAAGGGTGAGTTCTTTTATCTTAAATGATGAATTTTACCTTGATGTTTTAGTTATGTTAATAAATGTATAGGTCAGTCTGATTTTCATGTTCTGTTTTGGCTATTGTAGGGAGGTATTATCGATCCATTTGCTAAGCGCTTTCTAACATCTACTCAAGGAGTTCCGCTTGGTGCTATTGGGTGGGTCTTCATCTTTTTGGTTCATTAAAAAACTTGCATTTCATATTTGTTGCATTGCATTTCTCAGAAAATCAATATTTGTCATTACTCTAGGCTCACTGTTTGCTTTCTTCAGAAAACTGTAATCTAGAAAGGTGTACACCTAATTATTAGCTTATATTTAAATCAATGAATTTATAATCAACTAAACTGTATTAAGTTATACATCCAATCATTTGTATGTATTTACGATGCAAATATTGCATTGTAGCCCATGTAGCATTGATTGCAAGTTTTCATACTAAAAGATGTGAAGGTAATATTAACTATTCAAGTTACATTGAAATTAGGTCGGCATTTGACAACTTGGTATTTCAGATGTACCCCAAAATATATGTGTTATTTGTTTCATTGCAAATTAACATTGATTTTTTATGACTTCCCCTCTAAAACACTCTTTTTCTTTGTCATATGAAATTTTGATACTTTACAGCTCTGGAAGCATTGGAAGAAGTTATAAAGGTGAATTTCAGCGCTGGCAGCTGTTCCCTAGAATATGTGAAGAAAAACCTGTTTTAGCAAATCAATTTTCTGTAAGTTTTGCACACATGTTCCCAGCCAAAAGATTGGTGATCCATGTAGTTTCATGACTAGCCTTAGAGCGCTTTCTTCAAATTTATATAATTTGTGCATCTTGTGAAATTGATGCATGTCAGATGTTGGATCTTTTAGTGGCAAGACTTGCTCGCAGAAACATGGTTATGGTCCTGTGTTCTCGAACCTATGAAAAGTAAATGGCCGTGAATAAATGTTTTTTTTGCATGCTTGATTGTTTGTAGCTGTCTCCAAAAACAGCAGTCATGTCTGTATGTTAATGGATGCTGAGTACTCATAGACCTTTTATTTTTTCTGTTTTTACTTATTTGCAAACTGTTTAGACTACATGGCTGTCCATCTACTTTATATATCTAATAACTACGAGCTCTAATTATGATGAAGATTGTGGGATGGCATGTTTATTCTTTGTCCTTGAACTTAGAAAAGAGTTCTGATTAAGATTGAGTTTCCCAACTTCCTTTCCTTTCTCTATAGATTTCTAATCATTGATCTTGTCACTTGATTTTTGCTTCAAGACTATCTCATCATCATTACCTGGAAGTTATGATATTTCAGTAGTCCTCAATTTTTTTTTTCCTTTTCCGCAAGAATTACCATTAGTTCCATCTCCTCTAATTCTTGCTAGTTCTGTTGTTTGTCAGTCAGTACTGGGTTAATGTAAGGTTGATCACTTATTGATTTTTCAGACATTTATTGGAAATATATTCAATGTTTAGATGCCTAAACTCTAATGATTAGCTGTATATGCCATTAATTAAATTTTATTGATGATTAGTTGTCTATGTTGTTTGTTAAATTTTGTTACTCTATTGGAAAAGGAATAAGGCAATTGATGGAGTGCTCAATTCTTGTCGGAGTAAAATTCAATAATCAGACGAAATATGTACATTTATGGATTATTTTCATTATAGTGATTGAAAATTCTTGTTTTGTAATGCTGGAATTGGTTATCAGCAGTTGCTTTAGAGTTGGTTTAAGCAATTATCATAGCCTTTGTGAGAGATTACAAAGAATTTGTGAATGAAAATGATTTGAATTTCCATCGGTGTCTGCAAAGGGATTAAAAATTCTTTAAATATTTCATGCAGGTTTTTGTTTCACGCTCAACTGGTGAAAAGTACTCTAGTGTTCTGTGCCCAAGGAAGCCAGAGAGTGTCAAGTAAGTGACCTTATTCTTTTCCAGTTAAATTAATGATTAATACATTTAAACTGCTCCTTTTTCAATGTGAGTCTTAGTTGAGGTGAACTTTTAGACTTGATAGGAAAACAAGTAGAGAAAGAAAGCCAGTTAAGAATTAACTTATTGAATGTCATTTGCATACTCAGAGAACCTGCAGTTTCTGGAATTGAATCTTGGGACTGGAACCTGATGGGGGATAATTCTACATATCATGCTTTGTATCCAAGGGCATGGACCATATATGACGGTAATCTACATTATCTAGTGCATAAAATCATCGTGGATAATTCTTTTTCTCGTATCTGGTTCCTCAATTCTTTGTATGCAGGCGAACCTGATCCAGAACTTAGAATTGTTTGTCGTCAAATTTCACCTGTTATTCCTCACAATTATAAAGAAAGTAGCTTCCCTGTCTCAGTTTTCACTTTTACGGTAGGAATGAGTCTCTAAGAAGTTTGATCATTAGATATCTAATGCAGGTTACTTGCTGATTAGTGTCAATTAATTTTTTTTCCAGCTCTATAATTCTGGAAAGGCTGCTGCAGATGTCTCCTTGCTTTTCACGTGGGCAGTAAGTCATTTTTACATTGCATTATTCGCTTCCAAATTCTTAATGTGGTTTCTCTGCTGGTCCATACCTCTTTATATGTTTAGCTCAGCCATAAATGCCAAGTGACAGTGTATTTTTACATAGATTTCTATTTTAAAAGCTATCAAACCTCACCCAAACTCACTGCCTTCTATGTGTATTCAGAATTCTGTTGGAGGGGATTCCGAATTTTCCGGTCAGCACTTCAATTCCACAACAATGTGAGAGAAGTTTTGTAACTCATACTTCACTTTTTCTTTTACTTATACAAATGTATCTGCTTGGTGATGCTTATGGTTTTTATACTAATCGACAAGATTATTTATCATGCTAGGATGGAGGATGGTGTGCATAGTGTCCTTCTACATCACAAGTAGGCCCAATTTCTGGCATTGAAGATAATTCTAGGTTTTGTTAGATTGCTTCATGTGTTCTAGTATTCTAGATTCAAATCTTGTATTTATTATTACAGGACAGCGAGTGGGTTGCCCCCTGTGACTTTTGCTATTGCTGCACAGGAGATCAATGGAGTTCATGTCTCAAAATGCCCACGCTTTGTGATTTCTGGGCATTCCCAAGGAATTACAGCAAAGGACATGTGGGATGAAATAAAAGAGGTGGCTCTAATTCTTTTCATATTTTAAATTTTGTATCCCTTGGCTGCATTTTTTGAATTTTTCACTGAACATATCCTAGTTCATTTTGTAACCGCTCAGAGTACTGGTTTCAGCAAATTTAACATAATTAGTGATGTTCATTTGCTTCTCTTAGATAGTATATGATAAAGGAAATTGTAGTAAGGTAGGAAGTATGATTAATACTGCATAAACTAAGACCCAAGTATAAAATAGATATTGAGCATGCTTAATCACAGTTTAAAACTAATGAGCTGTCTAAGATACTTGAGTTTTTCCACCTACTTGTTATGATTTGACTTGCCCACCGTAGTTCTTTTGCCCCATAATCTATTTTGAATGAGGAAAGATCTGCTATGATTATATTTATTTATCATATACTGCAAGTTGTGGACCTTGGACATTAGCTCAAGTGTGGCAGGCCTTAGTTTTCTGTTCTTACTAATTAAGGAAGAGAAGAAAATTGTGATAGCATAGATTGATAATTATGAGGAATACATTTCTCATTATTGAATTACCCACAAAAGGATTGTCTACCTTAAGCTATGAAGGGCCGGCCGCTATTATGTCTTATTTTTCCTGTTATCTTTTATTCGTACTTTTAGGTTGGAGGTAGAATATTAAAGTGTCTGGAAAAAGTTTCTTCGTCTTTTTACCTTTTTTCCAAATTTTATGTTTCTAAAAATATACTTTCTTCTTGGGTTTACCTGTGGTTATGCTTGCACATGGAAATACTGCTACAAGTGCCCTTTGTATTGTACACAGTTCCTCTTTTCATTCTCTATTGAACTTAATATGTGCACGTGTATCTTAATAGCACGGATCCTTTGACAACCTTAAGTCTTCTGGAACATCAGTTCCTTCAGAACTGGGATCATCTATTGGGGCCGCCATTGCAGCTTCAGCGATAGTTCCACCAGATGCTGTACGCACTGTTACATTTTCATTGGCATGGGACTGCCCCGAAGTATACTTTGTGGGTGGAAGGACTTATAACAGGTAGGTTGCAAAATGTTCGCCTGAACCTTATGGCTGGTTGAAAGATATCTATATGCTGAAAGTTTCCATCAACAGGCGTTACACAAGATTCTATGGTACTCATGGGGATGCTGCTGCAAAAATTGCACATGATGCTATTCTAGGTAATATCCCACGGAGCCCCCTTTCCCTTTATGAAAGTGTATAAATGGGCCTGGAACGTTGGTGGTACTATGGATAACAATTGCAGTCGTATATGCTTTTAGCAACTATTTTTCATATCTTAATATGATAACTACATGGTTTCAATTTTTACCTTTTCATTTTCCTTGAAACATAGATAATGGCAGTTGGGAATCCCAAATAGAAGCCTGGCAAGGGCCAATTCTTGAAGACAAAAGGCTTCCTGAATGGTGATCTTGGATTTATACTTTTTTTATTGCACATAAATCCAGATTCTGAAATTCTTTGAAGGTTCTTTGCAGGTATCCTATCACTCTATTTAACGAGCTGTATTATCTTAACTCAGGGGGTACAATCTGGACGGGTATGTGGAATTTTAGCCTCTTCTTATTCTTGGCATATTGGCTCATTTTTTAGAATGAATGAATTTGTGTTAATTTTCAATTTTAATCATACAATTTTGCAAATTCGTTAGTTGTTTGCTATTTTTTGCAGATGGATCACCTCCATTCCATAACTTAGTAAGTACTGGGGGAAGGAAGTTTTCCCTTGATAGCTCGGGGGTAGGTTTGAAGAGCGTTATTGGTATTAATCATCAGAATGATATTTCTACCGACATTCTTGGAAGAGTGACTTCAAAACTTGAGCAAATTCATGCTCCTGTTGCATCGAACTCTGCTTTTGGGACTAATTTGCTTCAAGAAGGAGAAGAAAACATTGGTCAATTCCTTTATCTTGAAGGGATTGAATATCACATGTGGAACACCTATGACGTTCATTTCTATTCCTCTTTTGCTTTGGTTATGTTATTTCCCAAACTTGAACTTAGTGTGCAAAGAGATTTTGCAGCAGCAGTGATGATGCATGATCCCAGTAAAATGCAACTTTTACATGATGGACAATGGGTCCGGAGAAAAGTTCTTGGAGCAGTTCCTCATGATATCGGAATTCATGATCCTTGGTTTGAAGTGAATGCATATAACCTGTACAATACTGATCGATGGAAAGACTTGAATCCAAAATTTGTTCTCCAAGTTTATAGAGATGTGGTTGCCACTGGTGACAAGAAATTTGCCGAAGCTGTTTGGCCCTCAGTTTATCTTGCAATGGCTTTTATGGATCAGTTTGACAGGGATGGTGATGGGATGATTGAAAATGACGGCTTTCCTGATCAGACATATGATACATGGTCTGTATCTGGTTTGAGCGCATATAGTGGTGGGCTATGGGCAGCAGCTTTGCAAGCTGCATCAGCCTTGGCACGAGAAGTTGGTGACAAGGGTTCAGAGGATTATTTTTGGGCTAGGTTTCTGAAAGCAAAAGTTGTGTATGAGAAATTATGGAATGGTTCTTACTTCAATTATGACAATAGTGGCAGCAGCAACAGTTCATCTATTCAGGCTGATCAATTGGCTGGACAATGGTCTGTTTCAGTTTATGCAACTTCCTTAATTTTTGTTTTAACTTATCACCTAGGATGTGGTGTTATTAGAATCTAAAATTTATTGGTTAGCATTATTGAAGTATATTTCTTGCTTTTAGAAGCAGAAAGAATTCTGAATGTTCTTTCAAAAGCATGAATATTACACAGTATTTCATGTTTTTGATAGCACGGGCTGATGGATTAAATTTAATGAATTTATTATGTTTTAGGTATGCACGAGCATGTGGACTTTTCCCATTAGTTGACAAAGACAAAGCAAGAAGCGCACTACAAAAGGTTTATGATCATAATGTCTTAAAGGTGAAAGATGGGAAATTAGGAGCAGTAAATGGAATGCTACCTGATGGGAAAGTTGACCTTTCATCGTTACAATCAAGAGAGATATGGTCTGGAGTCACATATGCTGTTGCTGCAACAATGATTCAGGAAAATATGATTGATACAGCCTTTCATACTGCAAGTGGAATCTATGAAGCTGCTTGGTCTGAACGAGGATTCGGGTAAAACACTTTTTGGTAATTTGATAGGTGTATAACATTCTTGAAAGACACAGGCATGTTGCTTGTACCAAACCCCTCCCTCCCTCCCTCCCAAAAAAAAAAAAAAAAAAAAAAAAAAAAAAAAAAAAAAAAAAAACAAAAAAACAAAACCAAACAAAAGAAAAGAAAAATCAAATTTGCCAAAATTGAAAAGGAAAAAAAAAAAAAAAAAAAAAACAAAAAACAAAACAAAACAAAAGGAAAAAGAAAATCAAAATTTTGCAAATTTGAAAATTTGAAAATTTCTTCTGGTAACGTAATCCCTTACTCCTTCAAATCTAACATTTCCTTATTGATTCTTGGAATTTTTAATTGTTTTCATTATTATCATTATTTATGGCCACCCAAGAGCCTAGTTTCTCATTTTCATTTAACCTTTAAAATGTGCAAGTTCTTCATTCTCACATTTACTTTTGGCCCCTCCAATCCAAAAGTTTTAGTTCCGCCCCCTGCATACATGAAATATGCGTGCGTGTGCAACGCACTAGTGCACATATGCACAAGCTAACTATCACGTTGTTCTCTTCATAGTTATTCTTTTCAAACTCCGGAAGCTTGGAACACCGAAGGCCAGTATAGATCGATATGTTACATGCGTCCATTGGCAATTTGGGCAATGCAGTGGGCTCTATCAAGGCCAAAACTCGACAGAGAGGAAATGAAATTTGAAGTGAAGGAAGATAATCTGTTTCCACACCATGCTGGATACGACAAAGTTGCTCGCTTCCTTAGGTTGCCAGAAGGGGAATCATCTATAGGTCTTCTTCAGTCTTTATTTGATTATACTTGTAAGAAGTTGGGTTATAATTAATTGTTGTATCATATCATTCTTCCAATGGTATTCGTATATAGGTGGGGGGTGTATCATTCAAACATATGAAAATTAAGAATAGGTGCTTTTGTTATGTACTATTTTGATTTTAAGACTACAATTTGAAACATTGGAAATAAGATAACTTTTTCCTGAGAGAAGAAAGTTTTTGCCTGACAGGAAACTTGTTATTTGATAATTTCCTCCGAGAAAAGAAAGGTGGTTGCAAAATCAGAATCATATAATAATGCATGCAGTTATTAGATATGAAAAGCCTGTTGCTCATTTTAAAAAATAAAAATAGCAGTTATATATATATATATATATATTCTGTTTCCAGTTTTTATATTTAGGGAAAGATGGGAAGAATCATGTGAGACCTGAAAAAAAAATTTATGTATTAACTACAAGATCAAATATATTATTTGCAAACAAAATTTTCCTTTCTAGGTAATAAAGAATATTTTGATCCAAAATCTCAGACAACATAGTTCCACAAGACTAGGAGAGCCAATCGTTATATTTCCCTTTCCCCCGAACCATTCTTTATCCAAGGACAAGAAAATAGAAACTACCTTATAAAATCCATTTCCTGTTATGCATATTTCTTTATTTTCTTCTTTAAAAGAGATTTGGTGAATGCATCACAAGATTGTTTAAGGTTTCTTCAACAAAGATTCTTCCTTTGTAAAGAGCGGTTTCCCTGGGAAACCGCTCTTTACATCTTCTTCCATTTTCTTCTTCTCTTTTTAATCAATTATACATTTTCTTGATTTTCTTTACAGTTATATTTATTTTTTATGCATACGCATACTTGTTTTCTTTCTGTGTATTGTATCTGGTAATTCCTCTTCTCTCATTATTATTTTTTTACACTGGAGAAGTTTGATAATTGTATGCACAGAAGAGGATTATCAGAATCATATTTTGAGTTGGGTCCACGTGCCCAATTCAAGATTGAAAAAGAAGATTGTTGTTTCCTTTTTCCTTATAATCGAAAGAAGAGACGAAAATGGCTACAAGATTTCAACAGGTCTCCTCTTCCCAACCCAGGGGATGGGTGAAAGGCAAAGCAATTGGTTTTGGATCACAAGGTAATGTTCATTTGGCAATGAACAAAGCAACTGAAGAAATCTTTGTTGTAAAATCTGCACATTCTAGTAACAATCTTAAGTCTCTAGAAAATGAGGCTTTCTTTCTTGAAAATTTGAATTCGCCTTATATTGTTCAGTATTTAGGGAAGAACATTTCAAAAGATGAGAATAGAATAAGTATATTCATGGAATATATGTCTAAAGGAAGTGTATCAGATGTTGCAGAGACTTACGGAAGGAAATTAGATGAAGGAATTGTTCGTTTGTACACAAAAGAGATTCTTCATGGGTTAAAGTACATTCATGAGCAAAATATAGTGCATTGTGATATTAAGTGCAAGAATGTGCTGATAGACTCGTCAGGAAATGTTAAATTAGCCGATTTCGGATGTGCAAAAAGAGTAAATAACTTGGAAAAGAATGGAAATTTATTACAGGATATCGGTGGAACTCCATTGTGGATGGCTCCTGAAGTACTTAGAAAAGAAAGGTTAGATTTTGCTTCGGATATTTGGTCATTAGGTTGTACTGTTATTGAAATGGTTAGTGGTATGGCTCCTTGGTCTGCTCAGCTTTTGAATCCAATGGCTGCAGTTTTAAAAATTGCTTACAGTGATGAAAAGCCTCAGCTTCCTGCATATTTTTCTGATGAGGGATTGGATTTCTTGGAGAAATGCTTGGAAAGAAATCCTGATAAAAGGTGGACAGCAGAACAACTTCTTGACCATCCTTTCATTTCTGGGAAATCTCAGAGGGAATTTGTCAGGTCACCGGTTAGCGTTTTTGACATTGGGATTTTTGAGGATTTTTATTATGATGAATCAGAAATTCCTAATGAAGATGATTTTCGAGGCAGAAATCCATTTTCGATGAGGTATTGTGAAGAAAGGAAGAGAATAGAGAATGATTTTGGCGCATCAGATGATTGGATTACTGTTAGATCAGTTTGAAGAAAATGTATAGACAGACTGATTTTTGATGTACAGATGAAAAAATAAAATCAAAGAAGAAAGTAGGCAGTGTATTCTTTTTTCCTTTTTATTGTGGAAAAGAAAGTTAAGGAAGGTATTTTTTTGACCTTCCTCTAATTGGAGTTGTATTGTATTTAGGGGCAATGGCAATTTCCTTTGTAATGATCAAACATTTGAACTTCCAAAAATATTAATTTCAATTTTCCTATTTAACATTTTTTTTCATGGAAACTAGAGACTGAATTTTTTAGTTTGAAATTTAATTATTATAAGATAAGACTTACCAATACGCGATTTTATGAATAAAATTTATACGTTAGAAATCCTTGTTTCAAACATTACAAGTAAGAGGAATCATAGTAAAACTTCCTCCTAGGAAAATTAGAAATTTCAAAATAAAATCTTTGGAAATAAAAGAAAAACCCGAAGGTTTTATTCTACTAGAAAATAAAAAAAAAGTTTATAAACTAATTTTATAATTTTCTGATTTAAAATAAGAACTCAAGCAATGGCATGCACATAAAATTTTCTTTTCTTCAATTATATTATGGAAAAACTATAATTATATCCCTATATTTTGTCAAAATTAATTACTTTACTCTTGCATTTTTTAAAATACACTGTCATATCTTTTATGTTCTAAATCTGTTATACCATGTAACCCTTCTGTCCATTTTTAAACTTTTCAAAAAAAAAAACAAGTCAATATAGATTATGCTCGTCCAAAGAGAGAAAAAGAGAAAAATTTCTAAAAACAAGAAAAATAGAATTTTGAGAAAGGAGAGCGCCACGTAATCATTTACAAAATATTTATTCTTTCAGAATTATATATACAAAGAGAGAAAAAGAGAAAAATTTCATTTAAAAACAAGAAAAAATAGAATTTTGAGGAAAGCGCCACGTAATCATTTACAAATATTTATTCTTTCAAGAATTATATATATATATATAATATATATCCATATATATATATATTATATATAATATATATATATATTATATATATCATATTATTATTATTTTTAAAAAATTTAATTTTTATTTTAAAAAAATTTAATATTTTTTATTGCTCGATGAAACTTTAATTTTTTTTAATATTTTTAATATATCCTTTTAGCTATATTTTTAATGCATTCTAATTAGAGAAAATAGGTTCACTTATTCTTTTGAAAATTCTTTTAGTTATATTTTTTTATGCCTTTTAAGTTGAGAAAATAGATTTCTTTTATCCTTTTGAATATCTTTTAATTCGAGAAATATATATATTTATATTCTCTATTTTATGTTGCAGTATTATTGTTCAGTGATTTTTATAATTAATAGCTTTTGATGTTCTTAATTATAAATTCTCATGTGATATTGCTTTTCAGGAAGTAAACCGAAAATCTTAATTTAAGTATTAAAAATAAAGCTTAAATTCTTCTAATTTATTATGTTCTGAAATTTTTAAAATATGGTTAAATAATTAATTACTATTAGAGTCTATTAGTTAAATACAATGAAATTAAAATAAAATTTTTCAATATAATTTTTTCTTTGATTTACTCGTATTTGAATTATTTACACATTATTGTATTTAAAATTTTTTATAATTCTAATTTAACAAAAGCAATAAAAGTATGAAATTATAGTATTTGACTAATATAACAAATACGAAAATTTTTCCTTTTTAAATCTAATAAATCTTTTTGAAAAAAATAGGCTATAAAAGTTTGAATTAATAAAAATAGGCTATAAAAGTTTGAATTAATGAAAAAATGACTATTTAGGCATATTTGTTATTATTTTTATTTTCAACTTTTCTATATTAAAGACGAAATAAAGAGAAAAAAACTTGATTACCAAAAACTTCAGATAAGAGTACAAAATAGACGTATATATCTCCTTTTGAGATAAGAAAAAATAAGCTACAAAAAAATCTGTAAATATCAAAACAATACAACTCTTACTTGTTGTATCCAAACCAAAAATGGTACCTTGGCCTCAACACTTTTTTTTGCTAAGCAATCTTCAAAATGATTGCTATTTCTATTAATATGTTTGAACTCAATATGACTCAACTGAGCAATGGTTGAATCAAACTTATTAAAATTTTTCTACCACTTCCATGGGCGTTTATGCTTTTGAAGAATCTAACACAAAACATTTCTTGAATATTACTCAATCACCAAGCTTTTTAATTTGTAATCTGATTTCCAAAAAATCTGAATTGCATTAAAAATGGCTAACAATTCAGCGTCATTGGAATCTAAAATGTCAACAGACTTAAAAAAGATCCGAAGTACCATCCTCTGAGAGTTTTGCAAAACTCCCCCTATGCCTGCAGGGCCCGGTTTGCCTCTTGCTGCACCATCATATTGAATTTAATCGAGTCTATTGGCGGATTTTCCCAAGCAATATGTCCGATTCTACAAGCAGTCCTTCTACTAGAATTCAATATGTTGATACAAGCTAATAAAGGGAACAAGCACTAATTACGAAAATTAAGAGATCTAGAGGGATACTTTGCTTTGATCAACTCAAAAGTTCTGAATTTTATCATGTTAACAATATGATGTGGTGGATGTCTCTCGTTTGAAAAAATCAATCTATTATGAGTCAACCAAATCGTCCATAAAGCTATGTAACAAATCACATTCCAAGCTTCATGAAAGCCTTTAAATTGGATAATTTAACTCCATTGCCAACCCAAGTCTACCACCATTTTTGGAAGAACAGATACAACATGCCACCAATTCAAAAGACCATCCCATATCTTTGTAACAAAAGAGCAAGTTAACAAATACATGATCTATATTTTCAACATCTTTCACTCTCACAAAAAGGACAAATACATTCATCCATTTCATGAATAATATTTGGCCTAAACAGGTTTATTGTAGTAGGAATTTTCTTTAAATAAGCTTTCTAAACAAAGCAGGTCACTTTAGGAGGTATTAAAAATAACCAAAGATGTTTAAAATTAAATTGAAGTTCCTTTTCTTTTAATAAGCAATATAAATTTTTAACAGAAAGTGTATCTCTTTTGATCCTCAAATTCAGGAAGAATTGACACTTTTTCTAATTTTTCTTTGAGTTGTTTCCATGAAAAAAATTTTCAATGCTCTCCGAAAAAAATTCATTTGTCTTAAAGATCTGTCGAAAGTATATAAATAACAAATTTCTAAGAACTTTTCTATTGCAATCCATTTTTTGTTAGTTTTTGCTGCCAAAAGAGCCATTCGTTCAGTCCATGTTCTCAGACTTCTCTAAACAACTTCCATTCAACTGGTCAACCTGAGTTCCTTCCACATGGTTCTACCTCAGTTTCATTTTTAGCATCATAGCCCTTCACCATCATGTTTGGTATCATCAATATTCCGTAAGAAAGGAGTGGCTAAAAGAAACTGTTCCCATGCACTATCGTCTGGCAATTCTGGTAGAGCAAGTGGAGCATGATTTTCAAAAGATAAATTTTCTTCCATAAGCAATTTCACAAAATCTGGGCTCAAGAAAGAATCTTTTCTCATATCGGGTAAAGGGTTAGATGCTTGTGGTATTTCTGAAACCATTGGTGTAGGCATCTCCTCCACTTGTGGCGGCTGGTATCGTATTATCATACCATCAGAAGCAGCTAATTGTCCTTCATCTGCACCTTGCTCTATTATAGTTCCTGGTTCAGCCATCCGCCAGTTATTTTCTTTTGGGTGTAGCAGCTGAACCAAAAATCCTGGACTTTGCATGACCATAACTAAAAATGACAGCATCTGCTGCTGATTTTTTTCCATTCCTTGAACACGATCTCTCAAGAGGAAGCCAAAAATTGTGTTTTATAACTATGTAGATATAGGTTCAAAAAAAAAAAAAAAAAATCTAAAAAAAAATCTACTGATATTGATAAGAAAAACACATTCAAAATTTTAATCGACGAAATTTTAGAATTTTAACAAAAAAATGTTTTATGGGAAAAAGATAAAATAAATTAATTAATTAAAAATAAAAAAAAAAAAAAAAAATCTACTGATATTGATAAGAAAAACACATTCAAAAATTTTAATCGGACGAAATTTTAGAAATTTACAAAAAATGTTTATGGGAAAAATAAATGAAATTAATTAATTAAAAATATAGAAAATTTGTAAAAAAAAAGGAAAAATGAAAAGCTGAAAGAGGGATGTGCCAAATCAGCTTTTTAAAACTTTTTTTTTTTGCTTCAGGATTTTATATATATATTCACTGATTTGACTAAATCATCTTTTAGGAAATTATAGAGATAATTATTGCATTTAATATAAATAAGAGTAAAATTAAAAAAAATATCAGTAACTACCCTTTAATATTTTCAAAGCTACTTATATTTATGGAATAAAGCACTATCTTAAAATGACTTATATTTGTGAATGGTGGTAGTAATTTATAATAAATTAATGCGTTGTTATTAGAAAAGCATTACTGCTCTTATTAATTTTGACACTTTTTGAATTTTTCATAAAATTAATTGACTAGATTGTCCTTTTATTAATTTTTATAATTAAGAGATAACATTTAGGTGAGATATTGCATGCAATTTTAGTTAAATGTGTCAATGTTATTATATATAGAGAGTTAGAGGAATCAAGTTGGAGTCATACGAGATTTCAAAAATTTAGTTAGTAAAAAAAATAAAGACTATCTCCTATTATATAATGTACAATAATTATAATTATACTCATTATAATTATGAGTAAATTTGCCCAAAAGCCCTTACACTATGTTGGGAACAAATGCATTATTAATATAAAATTCATTTGTAAATGAATTATAAGTAGAATGCATTTATAAATGAATTTCTCATATTTAGTATATTATAATTTAAAATAAAGAATTCAATTGAATTCTACAAAATTATATTTGAAATAAATTCTTAAATGAAAATTCATTGTCTTTACTTCTTATAATACCCTTGATATAATAATTAATAAACAATTGAGTTTATAGTAGAGGGAGGGTAATTTTGTCAATTAAAATTTCAATGGTTTATTTTTAGAATTCATTTGAAAATTCCATCAATTTTAGTCGAATTTGAGTAAGGCACACCCAATTAGTAGAATTCAAAACTGTATTTTTTTTATTCCAAATACAAAATTTTAAATTTTCAAATAAATTCTATAAAATTTTATGAAATTAATTTATTCCAAATAGGCTATTAATCATAAAAATTATAATACCATTTTTAGAGCGAGGAATAATGACAAATGAAATTTAGGCCGTGTTCGGCAATAATTATTTAAGTAATTTTTAGCATTTTTACTAAACGCGATTTTCTATAGTAACATAAGATTTGTATTAAATTTTAGAGATTAAAAAATAGCATTTATAAAAAATTAACTCATAAAATATTTAACTTTTCATGGAAAAAAATGCTAATAGCCAATAACTATCGCAAAAGCTAATTCGGCTAATTCGGCTGAACATACCGTCTTGTTGCCGTAAAAAAGAAAAATTGGTGTATTTGTTTTACTATTATTTCTGTGAATTTTTACAAAATTATTTATTCCAAAAGGGGTAGTTCGAATTTAAAACTACGCCGTTTTGAACTAAATCACTTTAAAACAAACTCTGAAATTGAATCCATCACAACGGGGATTCCCTCTCCATAGCGAGGCCTTCCTCACTTCGGCCATTTCCCTCTGCAACTTACTAATTCCTCAAGGTATGAGCTCTTTGTTTTGATGGGTTTTAATTTTTTTGGTTTCCTTTCTAGGGTTCATATAATTAAGCAGTTTCATGGATAATATTTAATTTATAAGCTTTAAATGAAGAATAATCAAAGATAACAAACGGAGAATGTAAATACGATTTTAATTGAACAAAAATAGAGATTATGTGTAATTCCAATCCTTTTTCTTGATTGGTGTGAGTTATTCAAATTGCTACAATGGGTTCATATCCTTTGTCTTACTTGTGGTGAGTAGTTTGCGTTGGTGTTGGTTATTCGTTTTATCAATTGGAATTGAAAAATTGAAGTTTACTCCTTTATTATTGAATCTCAAATTGTTATTCTGGAATTGGCATTTCAGTAACAAATGTCTTACTTGCGGTGAGTAGCTTGCGTTGCTGTTGGTTATTCGTTTTATCAATTGGAATTGAAAAATTGAAGTTTACTCCTTTATTATTGAATCTCAAAATTTTATTCTGGAATTGGCATTTCAGTAACAAATGCTTAATTTGATAATTTTTTATTTGTTCTTAAGATTTTAATTGTGTACTTAAAATTAAAATTTGCTTTTGCAAAAATTGTGAATTGTCCTTTTTTTTGATTGACAAATTAGGCATCCTATGGTTCATGGATTAGAATGAAATCAGGATAGAAACTAGCAGTTATTCCCGTGGAATAGCTATTCCTAATTTTGGTCTAAATGCATTTATTCTGCCTTTTGACTCTCTTTTAGACTTGTAAGCAGCTATTTGCATTGATTGAGCATCATGGATGGTAAGAAAATTCCTTTCAAAGTGGGCCAAATTGCAGAGGCAAGAACTTTTGATCCAGGTTTTCGTGGTGCATGGTTTCGTTGTAAGGTATTCATCATAATTAAACACTTGATAGATAAATTGTCGCTCATTACGTTTGAGTTCAAGTATGTACAACCAAAATAAAAAATGAACTTAGTGCAATGGTATTATTGCTTCATTTGCGACTTCTATAGGACACAGAATTTCCTTGTTATGCAAGGGATAAGCTAAAGGTCCTTTCATTTTTTTTTTTTTAATTTTTTGTTTTGTTCCATCTGCTAGTTGCGTAAGAACACCATAGAGGTTACTGCAGCCAGAGATAGGTTTTTGGCTCTGATGACTTTTATGTTTAAGTTGGTGTTTTAGTTTTGGAGCTCCAGAGTGTTTCTGTCTGTAAATAGGGTGAGCAAGTGTAGTGGAGAGAGGTTATTAGGAAGAAAATGAGGTCATACTTGAAGAATATTGAGTGAAGGTGGACCGGCCAAGGTTCCAGTTCAATTGGCCAGAACCATGTAGGTTGGGAATGGTTCTGGTTCTGGTTCAAAGGTATCTGGAACCAGTATGGTACCCAGTTGGAAACCTTCAGCTTCTGGTTTTGGTGAAGAAAAAGATATTCAAAAATTTCAAAAATCGGCCTTAACACTTAAACCGATGAGTATCGAAGAGCCTACCACAATCAAACCCCATTTCGAGGTTCTGCTTCTGTTTCACCATTTAGGATAATTGGAACTCCTGGTTCATTTAGGAACTTTGGCCAGTTCGAACAGTTGAATCCTGGGTTTGAGTTGGTGGGCGAATAATGAGCAAATCAGGGGATTTTACATTTGAGAATGTAAATTTAGATGTTACTTCAGTTTTCCAACATAGTCTCCAACATTCCTGGTTATGAATTATCGAAGATGCTTCAATTAAACTTTAGTTCCATACAAGTTAAGCAATTAGATGTTAACTCAATCCAACTAAGCTTTGACCCTGTAGTAGTTAGGGTTGGCTACATGGAATTTTTTTTCCTATATTTCACTTGGTGTAGCAATGATTTAATGATATGTTTTGATTTGACTCCAACTAATTTACATTTTCTGTCAGATTAAGGAGGTTAGCTGGAAAAAGCGTGATGTGAGGTATGCCTTGGAATACTTTGACTTTCCTGATGAAAGTAAGTTATCCCTATACCGGTTAACTCCTGCCATTTCAATGTATTAATATCATGTCTTGCCCTGCTCCAGTTTGCTCATTTTAATAGCCTAGAAATTAATAATACTTTCTGTCAAGCTAATGCATGCTTGCACATAGTTGTACTTATGCTTATCTAAATCATGTTGAAACTGCCATGCAGAGGTAATTATTGCCAAAACTTTTACATGTCTACATTTAATGGTATGGTCTAGAGATATCAAAATTTTGGATCTTAATATTAGACAAATGTTCATTGGATAAATTGTTGTAGTTCAGTATTTATGTAACTTTGTCCTTCATATATTTATACTTCTTTTTAATTCATTCTTGTGTCCAGAGGTAGAATGGACACACCTTTACCGAAAGACTGGTAAATCTAAGGGTGCAAAATTGGTGTTGCGCCCTAGCTTTCCTCCTGTTTATCGTGAAAGCCAGTTACCTGATATCACTGCTAGCTCAGACGTGGTAGTCATTGTGAATGATGCCTGGAAGGTGGGAGATTTAGTTGATTGGTGGTCTGATGATTGTTATTGGTCTGGCAGGATAAGTGAAAAGATAGGGAATGAGAAGTTTCGGGTAATATGCTAATTTTTTCTCTTTGTTTGATTACGAACTTTTTTGCTTCGGCCAACTGATCTTAGAAGCATGTATTTTCAAGTTCCCTTGCTGTTATTATGTAATGTGGTTGCTTTTGTCTTACACTCAATAAGAAATGTTTTTTTATTCAAGGGGAGCTCATGTACTTGGTTTCCTATCCATTTATCTCAATGCAGTTGATCTCTCGTTTTAATTAATTAATATTTATAAATTTTGAATTTTCATTGTGCATTTAGCTTGATTGCTTAACCTTTCTGAAGTGTTTTCAATCCAGTTCAGTTTTGTGCTTGGCACTTGTTGGTGATAGATCCATTTGGATTTCACTAAAGATTGAAAGTTATTTATTTTTATTATACATTTCATTAATTGTCAGGCAAAAGAAATTTTTTTTTTTTTTTTTTTTTTTTAGATTGAAAGTTATTTTATTTTTATTAAACATTTCATTAATTGTCAGGCAAAAGAAAATTTTTTTTTTTTTTTTTTTTTTTTTTTTTTTTTTTTTTTTAATACTTAGGTTAGTTGTTAGAGCCCTTCAACTTATTGCGCTCCTAAAGGGTATGAGCCCGAGAATCTCACATGTTGGATTACGGAAAGGATTGTTAGAATATGGTTTAGGAAGCACAATAATGAAGCAGTACAAGTTGCATTTGTGAGTCAAGTAACTGTACTTAAGAGAGTTACTTTGTAGTTTGCTTTGTTTTTATGCCACCTTTTGAGCTGAATGTCATATTCATTCCTTATTTCACTCTTTCCCCCTTGTTTTTCCAATTTCTTTGTTTGCCTCATTGTAGAAATTGGATGTTTGCCTTTTTCTTCTTCTTCTTCAAATTTAGCTGTGATTGAATTAGCCTTTGGGGATTCAGTGAAAGTCACTCCTACGCTTTTAAGTTAAATGAAAGGTCTCTATAGGATTTTCCCTCTCTATTTCTCTCATTCTCTCTCCCTAGAATATTTCAAGTAGGTTATTTATTTATTTTATTGTTTCTCTTTTTTGTGATAAGAATTTATCCAAGTGGTCATTCTGTATTATAACGGCCTACATAAAAGCTCTTCAAGGACTTATTTCTTTTTCTTGGCCTGTCTCAATTAATGTAAAAATAGGACATTCAGTTAATGCAATCACATGATGCTATGAGACTCTCATAATTGCTGATTACTAGCCATCTTTGGCCAACTGGGGTATTCACCATATTGTGATGGGTAACATTTTTTTTCAATTTATTTAATCATTTCGCCATCAACATGGCATCGTTGATGGTGCTTCAAGGGTAAGGGCCAACTGTCATAATGCCCTAAAGAAACTTGCAATATGGGAAGCAATTCAAGCGCAAAGGATCTACTTAAATGTATCTCAAACAAGATAACACTTCTACTGTATTCCTTTGATGTTTTGCTATTGCTTTCAACATTGTGTGTATTCTGATAATAAATTATCCATTGTGAATTTTGCTTACTTCCCCCTCCTGTTTTAAATGTTGATGTTTACAGATTAAGTTGTTTCCACCTCCTGCTGGTGAAGGGTTATCTTATGATGCCTCCTGCAAAGACTTGCGTCCTTCCTTGGATTGGACTCCAGAGCATGGTTGGACAGTGCCTAAACCTATGGTGCCTCACTTGAACCACTGCAGTTTTCATGTTTATATCTATCCTTAGTTGTTCATTTCAATCATATTTGGTAATTTTTTTGTGAATTAATATATGTTATAACTGGCCTTGATGAGTCATTTTGTTTCTTCTTTCTTTTGTTTTTCTTCTTCTCTTTTTTTTTTTTCTTGATGAGTCATTTTTGTTTCTTCTTTCTTTTGTTTTCTTCCTTCTCTTTTTTTTTTTTTCTTTTCTTTCTTTTTTTTTTTTTTTTTTGGGGGGGGGGGGGGGGGAGGTGGGGGTGGTGTCTTAATTTCATTTGTCCCTTCCATTTCATTCATTTTCATCCAAGGCGTGAAATTGAGTTTTTTGCTGCAATTATTCTTACATAACCATATATTTCTTAGTTGTTAATTCCTTGAACTGTAACTTAAATGAGTTTTTAGGTTGGTATTTGAAAGTTGAAGTTTTCTTTTATTTATCTTAGGCTTTCTTTGTCAATTTATGCACAGGCTTAAGTAGATAATGAGTGTTGCTGGTCAATCGCTGGTGCTGCTGTGAGTTGCAGTTTTTTTTTTTCTTTCTGGGTTTGGGGGGGGGGGGGGGGGGGGGGGGGGGGGGGGGGGGGGGGGGGGGGGGGGGGGGAGGGGGGGGGGGGGTGGGGGGGGGGGGGGGGTTTGTTCCCGTATAATTCTAAAATGGATATTAATTAACGCCTTTCATTTTATGCCTTGTAAATTTCTGCTTAGTTATCTGTGTTTTTTAACTTTAATTTTGGTATTGGGGGGGTTTGTTCCGTATATTCTAAATGGATATTAATTAACCCTTTCATTTTATGCCTTGTAATTTCTGCTTAGTTATCTGGTGTTTTTTAACTTTAATTTTGGTATTGCTGGTACTTGTGTCTCATTCACAATCATAGCACTTGATCAGAATTTTGATGCACCATTGACATTATACTTTATCCACCATTCTTCTATATTTGTCCTAACGGAGTTTGTATTTGTTATTTGTAGAATTTTCATTCCACATGCCATTATATGCTTTAGTTTCCTGTGGCAATTCCTTTTTTCTGTTGTCAACTAATTTGCTTTTGATGTTATCCTGGTCAGGGGAGTGAAGACTGCAACCCCTGTGCTCGGTTAGTCAAACCTGTGAATCAAGGTAAGAAGGACGCAGACATACACTTCTGTCAGTAAATTGTTTAAGAAAATATATCCGTTGTATTTCCTCTTCTCTTGATGATGAGTCTCTGTTGTTTGATTGTCACATGATGACGATTTGAGCATAATGTATTATCACTTTGATGAATCTAGCAACCTGTTGGCAACCTGGAATATTGTAGAACTATTAATAGCCCTACTCATACCATAATAAATACTGTGTTTTGAACAAATGGGAGTTGGTAGGCTCAGATAGTATTCTGGACTTGCCTTTTCAGTAATTAAATACAGCTGTGGTTTGATTAAGTCTTAACAGGTTTTAAATCCATTGCTTATTCTTGATTTGGGTGGGTTGGCAATGGAGGTTACTAGACTTGGTTACTACTGTTTCTTTTTGTTTTCTCTGTCTTGGTTTCAACAAAAAGACTTGCTTTGATGTGGAAATCATTCTGTTTGCAGCAGCCTTTAAAAACTTGACAGCTAATTCTGTTGATGAAGGGGAAAAGGACCTTAATACTGCACTTTCTTCTCATACATCAGCTAGTCATTTGCAACCTCCTGATGTATCAGAGCAAGAGGCAAAAGACCCTGCTGTATACATGGAGACACAAACGCTAGAAATCAAGGACTTAAGAAATAGTGGTAGTGGCAAAACTAGTTGCTCAGATAGTGTTTCAACTTTACAAATTGGAGATGCATCAACTGAAGTTGCAGGGGATATTGAAGGGAAAAACAGCCACTATGACAGTGGTCCACCAAAGAAGATGAAAACTGATGGAAGCATTTCCTTGAACTCCATGTGCTCTGACACCATAGACGCTAAACTTTTGGACTTGGAGGAACTGGTAAACCGGGTCAAATGGATCAAGGATATCTTCGAGTTTGGGTTACCTTTGCCAAATTCTGTGCGCCCTTCTTGGAAGTTTGTGGAACACCGGGCTTCATCCTTGCCAAAATGAATGCATTCTGCAAAGGTTAGTTCGCATCGACTTATGCTCTGAATTTATGTAGAACATAGATTGATACACTATCTGTCATTTTCATCTATGAACATTTTGGCTTACATAAGACTTTATAAGTGCAGAGTGTATTGCCACAGGAGGAGCATGAGAACATGTGGGATAAATAATGTGATCAATTTGCTTTCAGTGAACTAGTTGTTGACCCTATTTTTAAATAGGTTGCTGCTGCACGGGCTACCCTTATGGTGCGGCTGTGTAGGGCTGAACATAATTGAGCCTAGTGGAGTTCTAGAATGATCAAGCTCATCTCACTTTTTATCTGTTCATGATAAGCTTAATTTGGGCTCAGCTTGAATCTGTGAGCCAGAGCTTTGCTTGTAAAAATCTGGCAGAGGTCATTTTATGGCTTGAGCCACCACAAAAAATACCGTTAGTCAGATTTCTAAATTTTCCTACATCTCTCATTTTCCTCTGATTGGGGATCAAGATATTAGCATATTTGCTAGCTTGGCTGGACTTGTAAACTTGAGTAATAAAACCCTGGATTGCACTGGATCAACGCAAGAAAAATAATTTTATTTCCTTTCTACTTGTATTCTATTGTTAAGTCTAACATTTTGGTGTCCAGGATTTCATTGGATCAATGTTCTTGGAACCTGATGTCTCTGTTATCATGCTCTTTTTTCTTTTACCCTGCTTGCTAGATTGATGCTATCAGATGATGGGTAGCTGAGATAGGTCAGTGAGCTGCTTATGTTCCTTTAATTTGCTTTTCTCTAGTGTTCTCTACTACATTATGTATCAGACTGACCTGTGAGCCTTAATTCTATCGGGGAATAATGAAGAAGAGGATTGGAGCTGATTAGAATTTCATGGATACTGCATGATTCACTCGAATGTATCTGACATAGTTGTTGAGAATGGATGTACTCCCACGGACAATGTAGACCGGTAGTCTCACTTTTATTGTTGGTATTACTCGTGTCAGGCTGCTACAAGCACTCTCGATGTATCGCATGGATTACGAGGAAGAACTGTTTTAGTTAGAGCAGAAAGATTTGTAATTAATTGAACAAACTTGTAAAGCTTTTTATGCCTCCTCTTTATACTAGTGATCTGGTGTTCTCTTCCTTTGATTGCATTCTATTTCGGTTTGCAGATAAAAGTTGAGATTAAACATAATATTTGTAACAGCATTTTGTATTCTATATGAGCAAGCATCATTTTCAAACGTGTTTTTTTAAGAGGATTTTACTTGAATATTAATCTGTATGAGTTTAAAAACACGTATGTAAACCAATAAAAAGGAAATATTTTTATTTTATAAAATTTTACTGTTTATTTTAAATATTATGTAAAAAAAGTATAATATAAATTTAGTTTTTTTCTATTAAAGGAAGAACAAAATCTACATTCAATGGAAAATTCCAACATTTCCACAGCCTGCTAGAGATTGGATTGGTCGAGTCTCACTCCAAGAAGATGAGATGTAATTAGATAGAAGAATATAACCTGTAGTGTTTGGAAGCATTTGCGGTGATAAGCTGCACCTGCATCATCTATTAATTAATTTATGAGGTTTTTGAAAATATTAATTAAAGAAATGATTGAGAAATTAATAAATTAATGAAAAACTGATGAAAAAGAAAGAATAACAAAAATGAAAAAGACAATCAAGAAATTCAAAAGCTAAGAAATTTCTTATGTTTCATTCTATTCATTTCTATGGCCAATACAAATTTAATTCCAAAACTAAATTCCCAACTCCTAAAATCTAATCTCGCAATTAAACCAGCCATAAAGCTTAATTTTTAAATCCAAAAGAATAAGTGATATATATTTGTCAAAATACAAATATTACCAATCAGCTGGAATAGCTCAGTTGGTTAGAGCGTGTGGCTGTTAACCACAAGGTCGGAGGTTCAAGCCCTCCTTCTAGCGTAATAAATTTTTTTATGTCATTTTCTAATAAGCGTAATAATTTGTTTTGTGTCATTTTCTAATAAACTACTATGTATTAGCTCCAGTCAATCCATATGTTAGATGAGCTGATCAAATAAAATGACATGTTTAATGAGTTAAGCATAATTAATAAATAAATTGAATTTGACCCTTCTTACAAGCTAGCAGGATAGGAGTAACTGACCCTTCTTATAAACTGAACTGATTATATACAGATATATTGAAATCTTTTGGAAATAAGTGGGAACAGGTCAGTTGGTTAGAATGTGTAGCTATTAACTATAAGGTCAAAGGTTTAAGCCTTTCTTCTAACGGCAACTACTATATTTTTCAAACTATATATGAGGAAAATGCTTTATTGAAAACACACTTTGAAAACCTATCCATGGATATATTTTAAGGGCAATTTTATTCTTAACGAAGTGGGTATTTCCATATGGTACAAGTTTCAAAATCATAACGAATCCTCCTTCAAAACTTTTCACTTTCCCTTACCTCCAAAATTTTTAGATTACTCTTTGACATTAAAAAAAACAAATGTGTCACAATCTTGCATTTTTATAATGATATATAATTGAACGGTAGCATATACATTTTTTCTTCTCATTCAATTGGAGAAATAGATGGGATTTTTCTTTTTTGAAATATTTCACAAAAGAAGACCATAGACTATATAACATAGACTATATTACTAAATTAATTAATAGACGACATATAGATTATCTTAACATATAAAATGACTACAAGGAGTCGATAGTTATGTATCATCTAACATATATATATATTCACCGTGTTTATGTAATCTTTGATTCATTCAATAGTTTTCTTGTTAAAAAAATATCCTATATGCATTCATAATCCCACAAATTGAGAAGAAGCTTCTTAATTTTTTAAGGTTTAGCTGTCAATATATATATTCACCGGGGTTTATGTAATCTTTGATTCAAATTCAATAAGATTTTCTGTTAAAAAAATATTTAATCCTATATCATTCATAATCCACAAATTTGAGAAGAAAGCTTCTTAAATTTTTTAAGGTTTAGCTGTCAATATATATATATATATATATATATAATATAATTATGTAATTATTATATATATATATATATATATATAATTATGTAATTATGATATGTTAATTAGCTCATCAAATTTATAGAACCCTAGAATTTTTTATGATTCTATGTTGACTATAAAGTGGTTTTTTGGGTCTTTATATACATTTGGTTGTTAAAATTTTACACCTCAATATTAATTCTTTTAATTGCAAAGTCCAAGTCCAACTTCTTCTTCTTCTTCTTCTTCTTCTTCTTCTTCTTCTTCTTCTTCTTCTTCTTCTTCCTTTGGAATTTCTTTCTCTTTTCCTTTTCTTTTTTGTTTATGTGATGTGGAATTTATTATGTTTACTCCTCTAATTTCCACCTATATAAATGGTCACATGGTGTAGAGTGGAGGCTACTAATTTGGAGGTTCTATATTAAGGTAATGCACATCTATCTCTTCTTTTTACTTATTTACTTGAATTATTATGATACTAAACTATGCTCTAGGTATGAGTCTAATTTACGTTATTTGATATATATGTATATACAGTATTACTTCTCAATAAGGCTGTAAACGACACAAGTCGTTTCTGAGCTACTTGAGGCTTAGCTTGATAAAAGCTCGCTCGAACTCGTTCAATAAGCTTATCAAGTTGAGTTCGAGCAGAGCTATTGAGTTTTTTTAATAAATGAGCCGAGCTTGAGCTGAGCTCATTTAATGAAGAACTTTTATTAATATCTTAACGAGTTAAGAGTAAAAAAGGGCAAACTATGCAAACAAAATGGTACGGAGGGAATATATTATTATTGCTTTGATTTTTATTTTCATTTTTCATAATTTTGAATTTGTGTTTTAGGTTCAAACCATGGTTGTGATCACTGGAATTATATCAGCAGCAGTTGGTGTTATATCTCTATTTTATAATTTTTCGAAAGACGCATATGCTTATTTCCACAAGAAAGTTCAGAACTCAAGGAGTCTTGACGACAACTATGCAGAATTATATTGGAAAGTGGATTTCCTCCTCCGCTTAAGGAGTGATATCGAACATATTATCCATAGACGGAGGATAATATCGCCGTCGATTGTCAAGAACTGGAATAATAAGGTTTGGAAGATTGACGGAGAAGCAAGAAATCTTTTTCACAAGTATAAATACACACAACAATCTTGGGTTTTGTCAAGAGCTAAACTTAGTAGAAAAATGGCCAAGTTGTTGGAGAAAGCTAATGAACTAGAAAAGGATGGGAATGAATTTGCTAAGTTACTTTATGATTATCATAACCCAAACAACCAACAAATCAGAAATCGTTAAGCCTGACTCAATACACTTTGTTGTTGATGCTATTTGCTTTTTTTTCTTTTTGTTCTTTTTAAGGTGGAATTGTATACTAGTAAGTTTGTCTAATCGAAACTTTTTTTTTTTTTTTTTTTTTTTTTTCCTTGGGTTTAGGCTAGTTAGTAGATGGAATTGTTGGAGAGTTAATGACTAGAGGATGGGTGAAATTTGTAGTTATTTAATGATTAATCATAACAAGAAAACATCACAAATGCGTTAAGTGATCATCCACCCTTTGTTGTTTCGTGCTTATTCTGCCTTTTTTTCATTTTTGTTCCTTGTTTTAAGATGGAATTGTATATAGTACAGTTTGTCTATGAAACTTTTTTTATTTTTTTTTTTTTTTTTTTTTTTTTTTTGAGATGGAACATGCTCTAAACTCTAAAACTATAGATCTCTAGTACATCAATAATTACTTTTTTATGTTTGGTTTAGCTGATCCATGCAACTGATAATTATTTTATATATACAGTCAACTTTTTCAATATTGGTTAACATTTAAATCCGTTATAAGAACATTGAATTAATATTTTTTACTTTAAACCTCAATGTTTGGAAATGTTTGTGGTCTAGCCCAGCTTAATTTCAACCATTACACCAAAAACTAAGATATGATTCTATTTACCAATTATATCATTGTATATACTTAAACCGAAGAAAGATTAAAATAAAATAATATTTGTAAGAACTTCTACACAATTCAATTGTCACTCTATTCCTTACAACATTCTCTATGCCATTTTCTCTCTGAAAGACTTTAAGCGATTAAATTGGAGATCAAGGTTCAAGGAAACAATTCAAGTCAAAACGTCAATTAATTTTATTCTTAAACAACTTGTTTTATTTTCAATGTATCATTGAGAATATTTACAAGGTTTGTTGTGTTTAATTTATTTACTATATTGAATTAAATTGATTTACGAGTAATTTGATATAGCTTAGTTTGATTCCAATTTATAAAGTTACATTTGATTTTCGTTGTTCATAATAAAATTTATTATTGTGTTTAACTCTTTCAAATAGAGTTTCTCATTTGGAATGCTTTATTTTATTAATCAATGTTGGTCTATACGTAATTGAATTGAGTTCAAAAATAACTAATAATACATAGAGTTTATTAAAGATTTTAGGATTATTTCTTCTTTGTTGAACAATTAAAATATTTTAGAAATTCTTAAATAAAATCAAATTAGCTTTTATACCTTGAATTTTCTCTGCAACTACTTGGATGATTTCTTTCTGATCATCATTATCACTTTACGATTTGGGTAACTTCCGAAATTGATCATCAATTAAGACACCCTTTAAGAAAATTAACCAAGTTCCAAATTTAACTTTGATACTCCTCATCAAATATTTAAACTCTTAACCAAATCAAACTATAGATGTATTAAATTAATTTGGATCATTCATTAAAAAAAAAGTTAATATAAAAAAAAAAAAAAAAAAAAAAAAAAAAAAATAAAAAAAAAAAAAAAGAAAAAAAAAACACACAGATCAACACAGTGGACATCGTATCAGCTTATGAGTACAAACCATGAGAAAGGAGATGACTCCGGATAAGGTTGTACATTTTGAAAAAAAAAAAAAAAAAAAAAAAAAAAAAAACAACAACAACCGTGGACATGTATCAGCTTATGGTACAAACATAGAAAGGAAGATGACCTCCGGATAGGTTGTACATTTTGATCACATTAATCAATCAACCGGAACAAAAATGTCACCCCAAGAATCCTGCTTATCACTTTCCCAATTCAATGCCTGCCACCAACTTAGCTCCCCCTTAATTGTCTTCAGAGTTTGATTGAAGGCTTTGTTAATTGGGAGACTCTTAAGATTTGGGCAATAGTATAAACTCATCCATTCTAGTACTGGTGAAATGGGTAAACCATCTGAAATGCTAGATAACTGAGGTAAGAAATGAAGTGATATCTTCCTCAAGGATGGGAAGTTGGAAGTGGTCCCATCCTTGGAACCATTGCAACTTGCTAACTTTGTGATTTTGGGGCAACCATCAACTGTAAGCTCCTCAAGGTTGGGGAGATCTGCAAGCAATCCTGCAAAGATGCTATCTAATTCAGGTAAAAAATGAAGTGACAACCTCTTCAAACGAGGGAGAAAAGAATCCTTATTATAATCACAACTACTTGCTAAGCTTGTTAATTTAGGGCAACCATCAACTATAAGCTCTTCAAGCCTAGGAAGAGTTTCGAGCAATGCCGGAGTAAAAATTGTTGTCAATTGCGCACATACCCGCAAGGTCAATGATTTCAAAGAAAATAAGCCACCATTCTTCATTGGCCCCTTCCAAATGCTCCTTAAATTCTTCATATAACATATGTACAAATATTCCAGAGATACAAGGCCAACAATCGTATCGCTGTATTGGTAGGTTTCCTTTTGATCTTCATCTATGATTGCTTGAATCTCATTGCATTCCCCCACGACACAGCATTTAAGTTGCTTCATATTTTCATAACCAAATTCAGATAATGTTTTGACATTTGCATGGCGGTCCAAAAAAAATGCAGTTGCATGTCTAAGTACCTCAATAATATCAAAAGGTAAAACTTTATCTTCACCATTTATGTATTTCAAGCATCTATCATGTTGTTTCAGTTCAAACTCAACACAACATGGGATCCGAGATATGAAGCGCTTGCCATGATGACCGACTGAAAATCTGAAATGTGACAGCGATGACATCATCTGTTTGCCATCCGATATGAAGTGGCTCAAAAGTTGCACCTGTGGTAAATAGATTTTAAGAGAACTTAATGTGGTTAATCTACATATTCCAGAAACAACAGCTCTCACACATGCATTCCACCGCTCATCATCTGGGCTCACATCAATATTCAACTCTTCTAACTTCGATGGAGCTGATATAACCCCAAGGGGAATCAAACTCGACTGCTCTGGCACGCTATGACTGATAGGTTCACTAAAAGACACTTCCAAGCATGTGAGATTTGTTAATTTTTCTATCTCCTTGGGCAATTCCATCATCTCTGTCCCTTCAACATCAAGTACCTCAAGATGCTTGAGTTCTCCAATTTGAGGTGGCAATGCCAAGAGATACTCACAATGGTTTAGAAAAAGTCTTCTGAGGTGGATCAACCTAAAAAGAGACTCGGGCAAAGACTTGATACCAGTTCTAGATAAGTTCAGGACTTGTAGAACAGGCATACAATCAAAAAATAAAGGAGGTATCATTCTTAGTTTATAGTTTCTTTGAAGGAACAGTGCTTGAAGAATGGGGCACCTCATACCTGTAGGTAAGTTAGATAATTCATTATCAATCAAGAGAACTTCCTTTGACCTCTCCCACTCCTCCACCTTTGGCGGCTTAGTCAATCCCATACCACCCTGCATAAGATATCCACGAGCATCAATTACTATTAATGACGCCATTTTCCCCAACCCATTTGGCAGCTCATCAAGTGTCCAGCAACCTGATAGATTAATCATCTTCAAGGAATTCACCATGACGATTTTTTCTGGAAGCTTCTTGAGGTTTTTGCAGTCTTTTAAATTTAATGAAACAAGCTTCGCAAGGTATCCAATGGATTCATCAACCTCAATCAGGTTTACGCAATCTTTAAGCTTCAATCTTTCAAGACAAGGGAGTCCTCTAAAGTCAGGGGTTTTAACAAGGCAGTGCGAATGACTGAGATCAATGAATTTCAACTTCGCAAGAACCTGTTTGGAAAAAAAATTGTAGTTAGTCTATCTGTATAAATCATGGTGTGTAATATATGCATGAGAGGTAGATACTAGTATCGCACCAGAATTCCTTTCCAACATTGTATTAGACTACTCCAGCGCATGTCAAGTACAACGAGATCCTCGAGGGAGAAATTATTTGGTATGAAATTCAAAGGTGACCCATGCCAGCACAACCATGCTAAACTTTTAGGAAAATCATTATACCCTCCTTGAAGGTTTGCATTATTTAGGTGGAGCAGTTTTAGATTACTCATTTTTGCAAATGCCTTGGTGTTGATTTCCACTTCATTTGTTGAAGCTTGGTTTGCTTCTTGTTTGTTGAGGACGAGGCCTCTAATAGCTGCAGTTCCCTGCCTTGGAAACAATAAACATGTGTCTAAAAAGAAAAGGATGCTATAAACTTGCAGAAATATATATATAGCCATAGACGTAAGAAAATGTAAAAATAAAAGGATGGCATAGGGTAAACTGGCAGAAATATATATATACATGAGAAGCATGTTACTCACATTATAGATTCTCATTACAGTCAATGAATCCTCATAACGCCATAATCTGCTACGAATCCCAAGGTCAAAAGTTGATTCTTGACGGACAATTTCTCTTCCCATATCTCTTACCAATTGATTCATCATCAATTTGTTTTCTTCATCAATTATTAGTAGAAATCTATCAATAAGATTCTGAAATCCAATTATGCTACAGTAACCACATCCTTCCAGTATGGCAGATACATAGTCTTTGTCCATTCCAACAAAGAAACAACATATGTCAAGGAATAAATCTTTGTCATGATCATTCAATGAGTCATAGCTTATTCTGAGAATCTCATGAACTTTAGGATCATTAATGGCTTCCCGTTTTTTTAAAAAGCATTCCCACATATATATAGATCGGCCGAATAACGAAGAACCCCAGACTTCCAAAGCTAATGGAAGCCCCCCGCAATGATTTACTACCCTCTTAGCATGCTCTATATAGTCAACCATAGGATATGTTTGTCTAAAAGCATGCAAACTGAAAAGCTGAAGTGATTCATTCTCGCTAAGTACCGGAACTTCAAATTTCTTACAAGGCTCAACAGAACTTGGAGCATGTTGATATCTAGTTGTTATAATGACTCTACTTGCTGGAAAAAGCCAACTTCGATCTCCAATAAATGCCTCTAAATGCTCCTTCCATTCAATGTCATCAAGGACAATGAGAATTCTTCTCATCTGTGTAACCTCTTTTATCTTTATAATTCCTTCGTGTAAATTGTGTATCTTTCTTATTGTGCTTATATCCACCTTCAAGATCTCTGAAAGAAGTTGTCTCTGCAATTTAACCAGACCATTAGGTTGCTTTGAGGTTTTTCTTACATCTGAAAGAAAACAAGAACCGTCAAATCTGTAATAGTTTAGGTTAAAAACAGCCTTGGCAATGGTTGTCTTCCCAACTCCACCAATCCCGCAAATTGCCGCAATAGCAACATCATCTGATCCTTCTTGTAACCACAAGTTAATTTCCTTTACACGAGAATCAATTCCAACTAAATAAGAGGGTAGATATAATCTTGTGCGCTTGAATCTGTTCTCAACATGATTAACAATTTGTTGAATACATTTTGCTTCAGACCTACATATTAATTAAGAACAACTGAATCATTAAGTTCAATAAATCATCAAAGCAAATAAATCTCATGGATTGGAATTTACTAATGCAAACAAAAACAGAGTGAACATTGAACAGAAAGAGAAGCAGCAAATGGTAAGCCGCTAATTTTTGTGTGTGGAAGATGCAGGCATAATCAAGTGTAAGTTCTCAAAACTAAACAATGTACTTAAACTTTAATGTATGCTTTAGCAATTAAAATTTTGAGTCTTTATGAACCAAAAAAACTGAACTTAGGGCTCTTCAAGAGAAGTACTTCAGGAAATAGCACAAATGCAAAAAGAAATAGACCTATTACCCATTATATAAAAAAAACCAAGACTTCAAGAAAAATCTGAACTTTTCCCCAAATAGTATGTCAAACACTCTGGTTTCCAAATTAGTTTTCCAACTCTTTATGCTCACTGGGTTGAATATACAATCATCACCATGACTCCTATCTACTAAAGGGGCAACCAAGGCCAAACGACAGGGCTAGCTCACTGGCCCTTCCGCTTCCATCAGTCGCACCATTTTTGGTGAACAGTGACAGACTCAAATCCGAGATCCTCACTCCCCGCAACTTCAGAAGGATGTGACAGTAGCAACCAACCAAGGCCTCATTGAGAACACGCATAAAGTTAGTTTCTTAATAATGTAAGCAGTTATGCTTTTCTTTAAGAGCATTACTAAAACAAGAACTGTATTCCGAAAAGCATATCTAAGTCTCTACATGGTAACACTTAATTGCATACACTTACCTGTTATCCAAACAGAATCCAGACAAATTTGCGATCAGGCTAAGAGCCGACCGCCAGCGCTGCACCCTTTTCATATCCTCTTTGAAGAACTTTTCATGTCTAGAAAATGCCTCTTTAAAACTATCAGTCTGTTTCCTGACTTGTGATGGATCCACATCATAGAAAACAGGAAGAACAATAAGCCCAACACTCTTCGTACGTTCCATAATAAAAGCAAGTTCATCAAGGCAGAATCTTGAGGAGGCATAATCATTAGACAACACTACTATTGCTATTTTAGACTCCTCTATCGCTTTTAGTGTTGCAATCAGTATATCTTCCCCTCTCGTAACAACTTCATCTCTAAATGTTCGAATTCCTAACTGCTCCAAACTGGAGACTAGATAATGGACGAAATTTCTTGTGTCTTCGCCTCTATAACTCAAGAACACGTCATAAACATATCCAGATGTTGCAGAGGAGGATTCATGTGAATTTGCAACATCCATCTGAAGCAAAACAACGAAACTCGTGTAATGATGGTTCAATTAGGAAGGAAGGTTAAATAACAGCATATTCTTTCTTGATTGTTACTGCCTGTATTTGCCGAGGATTCAGGTCAACATTTAGTGAGCGGGTAAACGGTTTGGAGGTTAAAAATGGTGGGTGTGGTTGGAGAAGCAGGGGAGACACAGAAATGAAGGGTAATAAAGTAGACCACTTTCTTTGTGATTAAGGGCATGTATTATTGATGAATTGAAAATAATATTTACGTTAATTTCGATAGATATCAACGTCTGCACCTGCACGCATCATATTTTAATTAATTATTCTTAAAAAAAAATATTATTTTCATTAATGACCTTTTACATAATTTGACCAGATTAAGATTCATAATGAACAATTTACAACTATTCTCGAAGTAATATTATAATTTATTCGTTAAAGAAACACTAGCAGAGACCAATTGCTTGTTTCTAATTCGGTAGGGCCTGTGAATCACTCACTGAATGAAAAAGTTCAACGTTTGACCAAAAATCAGTTCATCTTAGACGGTGGTGACGGTTGATCGGAATTTGAAATCCCGATCAGCACGCCTGCTTCCACCTTGTTTTGAAGCTGTATTCTGGTTCCCTTATAGGCTTTTCTTCGTTTTGTTTATGTATTCTATTTAGAAACTGCCTTTTTCAGTACTGATTCTTTCTTTTAGTTGACGCTTTTCATTTGGTTAATTCTTCTAGTGTGATGATTGAAAATTGAAATCCAAAGCAGAACTGAACAGAGACTCTTAGGTAAGATCAGCAGTCATCTCCTTCTATTTGGTTAATTTTTTATAGCTCAAAAAGATTTAGGAATTTTTTTCCTTTTCTACAATTTTCTTTTTCATTTTCAAGAAGATCAGCATGTACAAGAATAGACAGAAGATAGACATTATACTTAAATATAGTTTGTAAGAACAAGATTACAATGCAGTTTCAGTTACAATTGAAAATGTTGGAATAATCTAAATGAATACTAAGGTTTGGTTTATACTTTGATCTCAAAAACAAAAAGTTGGGTTATATTTGTGCTAAGAAATAAGCTAGGGTAATAGTTTTCTAATGTTAAACCAAGGTTTGGAAAAGTTGTATAACATTGCTGTCAAACACAGCCAAACACAATGCTAATAGGCGCCGAGGAGTAAGAAGTCAATTTTTCGAGAAATGGCTAATGTCCAATTTTCTCACTGATGGAGCACCTTTTTTTTCCACTTTGGGAAAGTCTATCAAGATTCAAGATATGTAGAAAGCATGGGAAGCTAATTTGGATAGTTTTCAATTACATAGTGGTTTTTGAGAAAAGAAAGGAAATTAACCGAGAAAAGAAAGGAAATTAACCTCCAGTTTTCTATTCGGAAATTTACCTCCAGCAAACATCAAATTATGTTTCCTGTTTTTGTGGAGTTGTATTCTGGAAAACAAGTCTTGTTTCCACAGTTAAAGGAGCCTTAGTTTCCTGTTGGCAAACTAAATCTTTTTCATTTATGAATATCCTTAGACAATCTAAACATTGAAAAATGCAATGAAAATAATTTCTATTTACATTATCATTGTTTTACTTCTTTTTTTTTCCCTTTTTCCCTCTTTTGCAAATGCAGGATGGCTGATCCATTAGCCATTTGAAAAATGCAATGAAAATAATTTCTATTTACATTATCATTGTTTTACTTCTTTTTTTTTCCCTTTTTCCCTCTTTTGCAAATGCAGGATGGCTGATCCATTAGCCATTGTGGCTTCTGCCATAGCAATAACCAAAGAAGTGATAGGCGCAATTTGTTCTATTTTTCAACTAAGAAACCATGGGAAAATTCTGGATCATAACTATGAGAAATTGAAAACAGAAGCAGAAAGTTTATGTTTGAAGAGGGATGCTCTACAGGACAGAATACAGAGTGATAAGACAAGGCAGCCAACTAAACAATGCAAAATATGGATTCGTAATGTTAACAAAATTGAAAAACAGGTGCAAACCATAAAAGGTAAATATGATGTTGAAAAGGGGTGTCACTCTAATTGGTTTCATTTTCTCCAGCGTGTAGAACTTAGCAAATCAATGGTGGAGACGTATGATAAACTGCAAAGTTTCTCAGCAGCTGTTCCAGCTGAAGTTTTGGTTGAGAGATCACTAAGGCTTGTTGTTAGAAATAAGACTCCGAAAATAGACAACAAGCCATCTCTTTACAGAATTTTCAAACTGGTGCTGCAGTCCTTGGGAGATGTTAATGTAAGAAGAATTGGTCTTTGGGGGATGATGGGAGTTGGGAAAACAGCAATTATGCAAAATCTGGAAGAAAATGAACAGATTTCTGGGATGTTTGATGAAGTCATTTTTGTAACTGCAACAGAGGAAGGGAATGAAGAACAACTGCAATCTGAAATTGCACAACAGCTAGGATTGGATATAGAAGGCATTTCTGACACTAGGACAATTGCTTTAAGGGTATCTGAAAAGCTGCAAGGCAACAGGTATTTGCTTCTTTTGGATGATGTTTGTGGCAGATTTGATCTTGATAGAATTGGCATTTGTGATAATGGAAAAGACAGCAAGATAGTGTTGGCATCCAGAGACACTGGCATTTGTCGTTACATGCTTGTGAATGACTTATTCGCTGTGGAGCGACTATCAGATGATGATGCATTGAAACTCTTTCAAGAAAGCTACGGTCACAAAATTCATTCAGCTTTCCAACCATTAGCTCGGCAGATTATTCGCGAGTGTGCTAACTTACCGATTTTAATTGACAAAGTGGCAAGAGCTTTTAGAGATAAAGAGGACATTCTCTTGTGGGAGGTTGGGTTGAAAAAATTGATTATATATCCTGAAGTTAGAGATGAAAGCATGGAAGAAGTGCTTAATGTGTTGGCATTTTGTTATGAAGGGTTGGATGATGAAGACAAAAAGGTTTGCTTTCTGTATAGTGCATTACATCCTGAAGATTGCAAAATTTATAAAGATTATTTGCTAGAATGTTGGAAAGCTGAAGGTTTCACTCAAGATATGGAATTGTTTACTGCACATGACAGAGGGGAAGAGATATTGCATCACCTTATTAATGTGTCTTTGCTAGAGAGCAACAAGAAGACGAAATGTGTATGGATGAACAAAATTATTCGGAAAATGGCCCTCAAAATCTCATTAGAGAGTGAGGATACACAATGTTTGGTGAAAGTTCGCAAAGAGTTACACGTGCCTCCAAGTAGGGAAGAATGGGAACAGAAAAAATGGATCTCATTGAGGGATAATAAATTGCTCTCTTTACCAGAAAGGCCAAATTGCAGCAATCTCTCAACACTTCTACTGCAGAGAAATTATCATCTGACTATAATACCTCATCTATTCTTTGGATCTATGCCACATCTACGAGTTCTAGACTTACATGGCACTGGAATCAATACATTGCCATCTTCAATCTCTTACCTCACATGTCTCAAAGCCCTTTATTTAAATTCTTGCAGAAATTTAACGGAGCTCCCATCTAAAATAAAGGCGCTTGAAGATCTTGAGGTCCTTGATATTCGAGGCACTAGGATTAATTGCTTGCCTGTTGAATTTGCATGTTTGCGTCGCCTAAGGTGCTTATGCATATCATTGTCAAAAATTGAAGGAGAACTAGGAAAGGTGAAGCGTTCTCTCAATGTCATTTCAAAACTTTCATTGTTGGAAAAATTACTTATTGAGGTGGATCCAGAAAACCGTTGGTGGAATGAGATTGTAAAAACTATAGCTATAGAAGTGGATGCCTTGACCAAATTAACTCATATGTCATGTTCCATTGCTAGCTATCATCCAACCCAATATAAGGTTTTGGATTATCTTGAATATGAAAACTGCAGGTGCTTGAAGTATGCAGTTGATGAAGGAATGGATTTCATGATACCAGAACTAGTTGCTGAAGTCAATATATTTGAGTTAATTGGGCACAAGGAAGCTCTGACCCTATCAGAATTTGGCATTAACAATTTCAACAATCTGAGGAGTTGTTTGATTGAAAGCTGCAATGAAATGATAACCGTCATCAACGGCAATGAAATAAGCGAACCTGTGTTAGAATGTTTGGAGAAAATGTGTGTAAGCAATCTTCCGAACTTGAAGACGATTTGGGAGGGTCCTATTCCCACCGGAAGCCTCACCCAACTAACTACTCTTATTTTGTTCAGATGCTCAAAGTTGAAGAAGATATTCTCCTACGACCTGATGCAACAACTCTCTAAACTTCAACACTTGGAAATTGAATCTTGTCATGAAATTGAAGAGATAATTATGGAATGTGAGAACAGTAGGTTGGCATCTTGTGTTCTTCCCCAACTGGAGACACTAATTCTTATTGATTTGCCAAGATTAGAAAGCATTTGCATTGGCGCACCGGTTCCAATTCTGCAAACACTAGTTCTTGCTGATCTCCCAAGTTTAAAAAGCATTTGCAATGGTGCATCGCAGTCATTAAAAAGGAAGATTGACAGATGCCCGAGTTTGGAGAGCCACTATCCCTGTAAGAAACTGCGACTGCACTAATAGTTAAATATAAATGTAATATCATCTCAGATAGCCTTCATGGTTTTTTATTTCTTATCTTGACATGTATGCAAATTGTGGATGCATTGAAAAGTGTAGGCTTTTGTTTGACAAAAATGCCCCAAAGAGATGTTTCAACATGGAATGTTATGATTTGTGGTATGGCATCACATGGCCTTCGAAAGAAAGCTCTTGCACTCTTTGAGAGGTTCTTAACTGAAGGACTACGGCCAGCGAATATAACCTTCATTGGTGTTTTGAATGCTTGTAGTCGAGCATGTTTGGTAAAGAAAGGCAAACATTATTTCAAGATGATGACAGAAAATTAATGCATTGAGACAGAGATGGAGCATTATGGCTGTATGGTTGATCTCTTGGGTCGAGCAGGTTTAGTCTCTGCGGCTGTTGAAATGATTGAGAAGAAAGTTACATAAAAATTTTGATATGTATAAAAAAATTATATACAATACATCATCACTTCTCGATACGATAGATTTTTTTTAATTTCCCACGATAAAAAATTTTAATTTTGTTAACTATTGTTTCATATTCTAAGATTAATACTTAAGCCCAATTGTTAAAAATAAAAAAAAAGGAGTCGTCCGCTAGGGAAGGTAAGTATTAAACGTAGACGCTTGCTGTTAAAAGAACTTGAAGAACAACTGCGAAAAACTAGACAAGGAATAACAGAAACTGCTTGCTCTTGCAACAGATATGAATAAGGTTTCCTTATGAAAGATCAAACGAGAAGATATAGGTCTTACAAGTTACGGATAATTAGGGTTTGGAAGATTCAAGCAGGATGTTAAGATTTAAATGAAGTGATTAAACTATAACTATTAGCATATTTAGAGATAACTACGGGATAATTAGGAGAAATTGTGTCATAAGCTTAAACTTACAAATTGACCATCAATATGCAAAATCTCTGTCTCTAATTTTTGTATGCTTGAAGATTAGTTCACAACACAATGTAACAGTCATGAATATATATGCCTAACCGACACCAAGATTACAAGTTTGCAGTAATAAATTACATTAATCAATTGCAACAAAAACATCATCCCAAGGAGTACTTTCCCATTCCAATCCTCGCCACCAGCCGGACTCTCCTGTAATCTTTCTCAGATTCTTATTGAAATCTTTGCTAATTGGTAGTCTCTTGAGATTTAGGCAATAGCGAAAGCTCATTAACTCCAGTTCTGGAGAAATAGCCAAACCATTTGAGATGCTAGTCAATTTTGGTAAGAAATGAAGTGATATCCTTTTCAAGGCTGGAAGGATTACGCAACTGATCTTGTCCTCAAAACTACAGCAACTCACTAAGCTTGTTATTTTGGGGCAATCATGAATTGTCAGCTCTTCCAAGTTGGAGAAACTTACAGGAAATTCTGGCGTGAAGATGGTGGTGAGCTCGGGACATGTGCGCAAAGTGAAGTACTTCAACATACAGAAGCTGTGATTATTCACTGGCCCTTCACATATGCTCCTTAAATTCTTCATGTAGTATATATGCAGATATTCTAGTGATTCAAAACCAACAATGGCATCACTAGATGACTCATTTTCAATTTGATTCCCATCTATAATTGCTTGAAGCTCATTGCATTGCCCTGCTACACAACATTTTAATTTCCTCATATTTGCATACCCAAAATCAGATAATTTACTGATAGTCGAGTGTCGGTCCAAGAAGAATGCATTTGCATGTCTAAGCACCCTTTTAATATCTTCAGGAATGCCTTCACCATTTACATACTTTAAGTACTTATCATATCGTTCTAGCTCAAATTCAGTATCGCGGGGAACTCGACATATTACACGCTCCACAAATTGACCAACAATGAATCTGAAATGTGATAGTCAAGAGTTTCACTCTAGGAATACAATTTAGCATATTTAAATTTTGATAGTTAGAAATTCAGCAACAACAGCTTCTGCACATGATTCCACGCCTGTCTCGGAACTCACATCAAAAATTTAATTCCTGTAATGAGATAAAGATGTTAACCTCATAAGAAGTTATTTTATCTATCTCTTACTAGAAGTGCAAAAATACAACTTCTAACATTGTAGTTTTGATTATGTGTCCAACCTCCATAGGCCAAAAACACATAATCTCGTTCTGAAAAGATCAAGAACCTCAAGTGCTTAAGTTCCCAACTTTATGCTAAATCATGATAAAAAATCACAGTGGTTTCTAAGAACAGCCTCCTAAGTTGACAATGGAACAAGAGACTTCGCAAAGATTTTATGAATCCTAGATAAGTTAGACTGTAGAGTGCCATATGATCAAAAAGAAGGAAGATATCATTCTAATCTGAGTTTCTTCACAAGGAACATAATGCCAAGTTGGGCAAAATGACTCAACCAATCGATAATGATTATCCACAAAAAGTAATCTCGGACTTCTCCCATTCCTCGACCATGGGCTTAGCAATTCCCAACTACCTTTACAAAAAAATGTCCTCCTCCAATGATTATATGCTCTACCAAATATGAACACAAACTTTTCTTCATCCTGACAAATTCGTCTCCTCTAAACTCTCCAAAACAGATGATATTATAAATCTTCTAACATTTTCTTACCTTCACGGTAAACAATTACCATCCATTAGCAAAACTTCTATCAACATCCCACAGCAATCAATCCACTTCTTGCAAGGAAAGAAAACTCAAAACTCTTGTTTTATAGTCCTGTAGACGCTCATACTAAATTTCAACACATTAACCATAGAATTCCTAAATTTTTCTGATTATGTAGGCTGCATTGTTCAACCCAATGTTTCAAGCCTCTTCTCCATATATTCAACATTCAACATCTTTCAGCGGCTCCATTATCTGATGGCATCTGCATTTCACAACACAAACAAACTACTTCATGCTAATGGTTGAAGACATGGAGAATAAACAACTTCTCCAAACATCCCACAGAACATTCCCAAGATGATTAAATCTGCAACCTTATTTCAAGTCTACTGCCATATATATGCATATTACTTCTGATCTAGTTGTCCAAAACTATTTTGCTTCCCTCCAACATTCTAAACAGACTCCGTGAATTAATATGCTTATCATCAATAATATCGTTGGAGGGTAGTTGTCTTGAAATTTGCAGTTGGACATTTTTCAGACTCCAATCCTTTGGAACTGTAACCCAAACAATGCATTCAAACATTTTCTTGAATGCAATCAAATATTCTAAGGCTTTTACGAAAGTTGTTTTTCCAACCCTTGCTCCTCCAAATATCCCAATTTTTCCCACATTTGAAAATCCAATGCTTTCTATGACTTTCTTCAGACCAGGACTAATTCCAATTTCTTGCTCCTGAAACTGCGGAATTTCTGGCTCTACTCTTTGTGGTATTCCTTTGCTTGAAATTTGAGTCTGCAAGGCTTTTTCTGCCATCTCAAGCCCAAGAAAGCTATTCATTGGAGTTATCAGTTCTTCTGAACTTCCGAAATCTAAAATGTCAATCATCTCAAAATCAGGCATTGTAGTTGTCAGTTCTTCAATACTTTCAAAATCTGAAATGTCATTATCTTCTCCCTGATGCTGTTTAACAACTTTTGGGACTGCAATGGAAGGTTGTGCATTGTCGTCTTGGAACTTTATTATAAAATCCATAGCAGCCGTTATTTCCTTTATTTTTTCATGGAGATCTGTAAGCAAATAGAACCCAGAACAGATTATTACAAAAATAACATATTGTTTGGTTACAAGATTGGAAAAAAAGATTATTTAAATTAGAGATAGGTTAGATGAAATAACTCCAACGATTTAAAAATTTCATATGCAGATAATACTCAAATATTTGGAAGAGATGATCATAAAGAAAACGTTACTATTTGAAAAATCTTGAGTGGGATAAGTTATTCGACATTTGTAAGGGTTTAAACAATCAGATCAGACCGCATTTATTTTTTATAAAAGACATAAAAAGTAGCGACCTTGAGAGAAATATTTCTTATCATGGTGGGAAATATTTCCATGGAGATATTTAGATGGAATAACAAGCCAATAATGGATAAGTAATTATAGGATCTACCTAAAAAAATAACCACTAGATAAATTTATAAATACAGTTTATGCAAGGGTTAGAAGGGTAGGTACTTACGACTAGGCAACTGTTTCTTTATAGTACCTCTTGGAGGTGGTGAATCAAATTTCCACCTGATTTTCTGTTCGCCTTTAGAAAATAATAGATATGTGAATCAATAATGAATAAGAACACATAAAGCATATCATACACATTGCTAAATAAATCAAATAATCATTCCATAAGTTAATAAATTCATGTGACTTCTTCAATAATGATGATAACAAAAAAAATCCTCTAATCTTCTATATATAGTGAAAGACTTACTTACATCCGGTATATGGATGGATCCATCTATACACCAAATCAGTTTTTTATCATACATTAGAAGAAAAAAAAAGGAACAAAACCATAACATTGAAGAAAAAAAAAGGAACAAAACCATAACATTTTTAAAAAAAACCTTTTTTGAATTGGTTTTGTGTAAGAGGACCACTCATATACCGGGTATAGACAAGAAATTTCCCCAGGTGTATAGAGATATGTTGTTAAATTTTAAAGTAAAAGATGCATTCTAGTATAACAGTGTCTAAGCAAATTGGACGACAGAAAATTATGCAGTCAATGGGAAAAAATCTCTTATTTGCATAGACATATTGTTTAGTTATTATCATCGTGCAAGATAAATAATAGCAAAATACTATTGTCAAACACTGTACTTCGCAAGATCTTATCTGCTTGTTTTTTTATGATCAAAGGATCATTTTCCATCAATATTGACAACATCATCACAATCCAAAAAACTAAATTATCAATCTTTAATCAAATAGTTCGGCAAAAGCATTCTCTGAAGTCTTATTAGAACATAGAAAGCCAGTTAAAGTTCAAATAAACTGCAAACTATGATCTTAAATTGCCAATTAAACTAATAACTTAGTGACAAATGTCTATTTTATGATGTACTAGGTATTTAAAGATTCAAATTCTACTAGCCTATAACTTTAAATCGAATGAAATTGCAATAAAATCCCACAACATATGGATAAAGAATAATAAAAAGAAGTTAAAATGACAATGAAAAATCTAAGGAAAGAACACGCATACCTTCTTTGTTCTCCATTGAGTTCTGAAAATGGATAAAACGAAAACAGGAAAACTTTTTCCTTTCGGTTTGTTTTTGTTGGGAGAAATACTCGCTCTACATTTCTTATTTAGTAGATGTGTAATACAAAAATGCGTCTGCCAATGATATTTGAAATTTCTCTACAGCTTACGCCTTACAGGGCCTCAGAGTCAGATGTTGTCGGCAATAAACAATATTATTCCCTCCCGTTTTGCGAAAGTCAAAATTGCTGGAGAATCACGCGCGTGATCTTTTTATAAATTGTTTCTTAATTTATTCCTGGAAACGATATTAAAATTGTTCTTAATTTTCAATAAAATATGACAAATAATGAAAGAGAAGATCTATTATTAAAAAATACGTTTTATTTGTTTAGACTTTCAATAATAAAAAAACACGGACTGTTTAATTATAATTACATACTAAAATTTCAATACCCAATTTGGATTGAAAAATTTGACCTGAGAGTTGAAAATTAGAGCTAAAATTTTCAGCCTCAAATTCTTTATTTTGCTTCTCTAAAATTTACGTGTAAAAAAATGAAATTTGGAGTCAAAATTTTCAAAGTTAAATTCATTTAAATATGGATGAATTCATAACTCTAAAATTTAATCTACAAACACCATGAACATGTTCCTTCCTTTTAATTTGAATATAATCCCTCAAAACTTGCTTGCAACTTTAGAAGATGTGTCCATACTCAACGATCAACCTTAGACTTGATCTCCTTGCCATCCACTGAACAACCTCTTTTTGTAGAATCTAAAACCACACCACCACTAAGTAAAGTTTCAAAAGAGGCTTGAAAAAGGAAAAAATCACTGAAGATATGAAAAATACAGTTTGTTTGTTATTGTGTTCTGAAACTGAAAAGGATGAGTAAAATGCTCGCACTATTCCCAAAGTTACAGACAGTTTATTCATATCTACTAAGATAATTTATAGAATTTGGTATAATGCAAAAAATGAGCACAATTATTTTTATTTAAGTGATGAAATTAGAGGTTCTATATCTCTCTCTTAAGCCATTTAAGGAGTTCATCAGAGCAAATATAAATGGGCACAACTATTTTCATTTAAGCACTACCGTTTGGAGGGAAATTTTCCTCCATTCAAGATTTATTAGAGTTGTGAGTAAATTTCACTATATATACACGTTTAAATGTTTAGAATAAACTTTTTGATAAAATTTAATCTGTGCGCATAATGTGCTTGAATCTCACATTTTCTTAATGTACGGTTCGGTCAATTTTTGAATATTAAATGTCAACTACAATAATGTCTGTTATTTTCTTGAAATACTCCGACGTCAATGTTTAATCTATAAACCAAAACAAGAGCATGTTAGACTTTTTACTTTGGCATTAGTTCCAAAATTACTATATTAGAAAATTTTCTCTGTATAAATAAAATGCCCAAAAAGAAAATTTTTTCTATCCGAACAGATGGAGTAATAAACAAAATTATAATATTAAATTAGTAACAATAAACTAGCTATGATTGCCTAATTTTTTGATATAATAAACATTAATGATGGCTCAACAACGATATGCCGTGGCCCCACTACATTAAATCCATAATTTTTTTTTTTTTTTTTTTTTTTTTAGGAATTATTTTACCTGATCTCTTTTAACTCATAGGTTCAGAAAATGACACTTCTAGACATGTGAGTTTTGTTAATGGTCCAACCTCCACAGGCAAACACATAATCTCTGTTCCTGCAAGATCAAGAACCTCAAGTTGCTTAAAATTCTCCAACTTTAGGTGGTAAAGTCAGTGATAAAATCACAATGGTTTAAGAACAGCCTCCTAAGGTTGACCAATTTGAAAACAGACTCGGGCAAAGATTTGATAGAAGTTCTGAATAAGTTTAGAACTTGTAGAGCTGGCATATGATCAAAAAACGAAGAAGATCTCATTCTTAATTTGTAGTTTCTTCCAAGAAACAATGCTTCAAGTTTGGGGCAAACTGGACTCAAATGGAATCTCGACCTTCGGTGGCTTTGTCAATCCCATACTACCTTTACCAAGAAACAGTCGACCTTCCTCCAATGGAATGATATGCTCTAGCAATATGAAACAAACTTTTTTCTTCATCTCGACAAATTCTTCATCCTCTAAACTCTCCAACAGATTGATATTTATAATATTTTCTAACATCTTCTTGCCTTCATCAGGTGAAACAATTAAGCCATCCATCAGGCGACTTTCTGTCAACAATTCTATGGTGATCGATCCATTCTGCAAAGAAAATCACAATTTCTCAAAAAATTTCGTTTGATCATCCTGTAGGTGCTCATAGCTAAATTTCAACACATTAACCATTAGACTTCCTAAATTTTCTTGATTTGATGTACTGCATTGGCTAATAGCAAAGCTACAAAGGTTACATAGAAAAAAGTATAGATCTCCCTCTCTAATAAAAGGAGAAATTTGAAGGTATTTAGATCGGACTTGTAGAAAGACTATAGAGTTAAACAGTGGCTATTGATGAATAGCCACCAAGTGGAGCAAGCAATTGCCTATTGCACAAATATTATAGTCTGTCAATTTGATTAGATACTTTGGCACAAATATTATGCTCTGTCAACTCGATCAGATACTAGATAATGGAGAAATTTAGAGAAAACTACACGATAATGGAGAAATTGTCATAAGCTTAAACTTACAAAATGAGGATCAATATGCAAAATCTGTCTCTACCCATGTATATATATATGCCTAACAGACGACAAGCTTGCAAGTTTGCAGTAATTAAAAACATTAATCAATTGGAACAAAAACATCATCCCAAGATTCTTGTAGAGTACTTTTCCATTCCAATCCTCGCCACCAGATGGACTCTCCTTTAATCTTTCTGAGATTCTTATTGAAATCTTTGCTAATTGGTAGTCTCTTGAGATTTAGGCAATATTGAAAGCTCATTAACTCCAGTTCTGGAGAAATAGCCAAACCATTTGAGATGCTAGTCAATTTTGGTAAGAAATGAAGTGATATCCTTTTCAAGGCTGGAAGGATTATGCAACTGATCTTGTCCTCAAAACTACAGCAACTCACTAAGCTTGTTATTTTGGGGCAATCATGAATTGTCAGCTCTTCCAAGTTGGAGAAACTTACATTGCTTGAAGCTCGTTGCATTGCCCTGCTACACAACATTTTAATTTCCTCATATTTGCATACCCAAAATCAGATAATTTACTGATAGTCGAGTGTCGGTCCAAGAAGAATGCATTTGCATGTCTAAGCACCCTTTTAATATCTTCAGGAATTCCTTCACCATTTACATACTTTAAGTACTTATCATATCGTTCTAGCTCAAATTCAGTATCGCGGGGAACTCGACATATTACACGCTCCACAAATTGACCAACAATGAATCTGAAATGTGATAGCAATGGAGATGCCATTTCCACGTCATCTACACAATTTAAATAGCTCAAGAGTTTCACTCCAGGAAAATACAATTTGAGCATATTTAAATTTTGTAGTTTAGAAATTTCAGCAACAACTGCTTCTGCACATGCATTCCATCGCCTGTCTTCGGAACTCACATCAAAATTTAATTCCTGTAATTGAGATAAAGATGGTATAACCTCATAAGGAATTATTTTATCTGATCTCTTTTGACTAGAAGGTTCAAAAAATGACACTTCTAGACATGTGAGTTTTGTTAATAGTCCAACCTCCATAGGCAAACACATAATCTCTGTTCCTGAAAGATCAAGAACCTCAAGTTGCTTAAGTTCTCCAACTTTAGGCGATAAATTCATGATAAAATCACAGTGGCTTAAGAACAGCCTCCTAAGGTTGACCAATGTGAAAAGAGACTCGGGCAAAGATTTTATAGAAGTTCTAGATAAGTTCAGAACTTGTAGTGCTGGCATATGATCAAAAAATGAAGGAGATATCATTCTTAGTTTGTTGTTTCTTCCAAGAAATAATGCTTCAAGTTTAGGGCAAACCGGATTCAATGGCAATTCAAACAATTGATTATCCATCAAATAAATCTCTTTAGACTTTACCCATTCCTCGACCTTTGGTGGCTTAGTCAATCCCATACTACCTTGACCAAGAAACGATTGACCTATCTCCAGAGGAATTATATGCTCTAGCAATATACAGCAAATTTTCTTCTGCATCTTCACATAATCTTCATCCTCTAAGCTCTCCAACAGATTTAAATTTATAAAAGTTATTAACATTTTCTTGCCTTCATCATATGAAACAATTAGGCCATCCATTAGGCAACTTTGTACCAGCAATTCTATTGCAATCAATTCATTATTGCAGAGAAAAGCACAATTTCTCAAACACTTTCTTGTTTTATCATCTTGTAGACGCTGGTAGCTAAATTTCACCACATTAACCATTACATTTTCTTTACTTTCTTTATTTGATGTAGACTGCAATCCCAATCCTAACATTTCAAGCGCTGTTCTCCATATATCAACATCAGACACATCTTTCAAAGCGGCTGCCATTATCCTGATGGCATGTGCATTGTCACAGCACTTGTTAACTAATTCAACTGCTAATGGTTGAAGACTTGAAGAATAAGCAACTTCTCCAACATTTTCACAGAACAATTCCCAAGACGATGAATCTCTGGACCTTATTTTTTCGTCCACCGCCATCTCAAAATCAGGCACTGTAGTTGGCACTTCTTGAATACTATCCCGATAAGTTATGCAACTTTCTGCTTCCAGCTTTTCAAGTTTTGGGGCTGTAATTGAAGATTCAGCGTTCTCGTCTTGGAACTTTAATCCAACTCCCATTTCACTCAGTGTAAGTCCAAGAAATCCTGTAGCAAGTAGAACCCAGAAACAGATGATTATAAATAACATATTGTTTAGTTACAACTTACAATGTACTCTTATTTCAATCCAAGTAAAATATTGTTGAAAAAAGATGATTTTGAATTAGAGATAGGTTAGATGAAATAACACGAGAGCGTAAAAATTCCAATTGCTGTACGAAAAAGATAACGATAAAGAAGAAGGGAAAACACTCTTAAATTACTCTGAATGGTTGAACAAACTACGATTTTAATAGAAAAATTGAACTGAACTGATGCTATTAGGGTTCATTTCTATTGAATTGATTTCATTAGCTAAAAATTTGGAATTCAATTTTTTATGAATAAACTGAAACAACTGACTTATAAAATTTTGAACATATAACTTCGGATCAAATTGAAAAAATTGAATCAAACCGACACATATTGATCGGGTGTGGGTTCAAAACTGAATCAAACTGAACAAATCCTTGGCTAAATTTGCGGATCCCCATTGTTGATTTGTTTGATAAATTCCTCTGTGTAAACTGAAGTCAGTTCAAGGTTAACCATTAAGCAATAGCAAATTTCTCCTCCAAAATGCATGAAAAGAATAAAATAAAATTATATGCAGGATAAGGAACAAAATTACCTTGAAATTGAGAGGAGGTCGTTATTTTTGATCTATCTTCCCCCCTGGACGGGATATATCGAGGAAGGGACGGGATATATCGAGGAAGGCCATTCAAACCTGAATATATTTAAATATTATCAGACCATATATGCATTTATTATTAGTTATATACGCACTTATCACCGGCTATTTGGTTTGCATTCAGTTAAACTTTTAATATTGGTAATAAAATATAAAAATTAATTAAAAAAAAAAAAAGAAATCCAGCATTTTTTTTTTTTTTTTTTGGTTTGAACATCTAACTATTCCTTTCCAATAACCAAGCTATCCTTCACCCTTTGTTTAGATGGGAATTTTTAGAAAAGACGAGGAAAATATTGAAGTAATAATCGAAAAAATAGGAATAGAAGTATAGAGAATATAAATAAAAAATATAAGCACGTAATTCTTATTAATGAGAAGCTACATATATATGTGTATATATTTCTAGACTAATTAGGAATATAGATCCCTACACTATCGCTATTTAGGAATATAGACATCCAGACATTGACTAATTTCATAACATATTTCACTTAATTTGCATTTTGAACATCTTGTATTTGGAGAGAAAATAATGTATAGCAGTGGAAATTTCACTCATTTTTATTAAATTATTTAAATATTTCAAATTAATTAATAAACTTTAACTCTTTCCTAAATATTTTATCATTTAAACGAGAACATAATTGTAAATTTTTAATAATAACATTTTCTTTCCTCTAAAATGTTGCTCTTTGCAAACAAAAGAAAATAAATATATTCCTTTATTTCATTGTATCCAAACACAAAAATGAAAAATAACTATAGAAAAAAAATTTAGCAATTTCTCAATATTTTCCTGTATCATTTTTTTCCACCAATATTTTCTTTCCTCTATTTTCCAAACCAAGGGTCAAAGTTCAAAGTTTATTTGCGGAGTCTAAACATCATTAGAGAGATATGAAATGAAAAGCGTATATATTTTAAATTTACAATATGCAGGATGAGGAACGTAACTACCTTCAAAGGTCATTGTGTCCATCTTATCTCCCTCTATCAATGAGCTATATTTTGATGCCTTCCTTGTGCTAACGATATTAATTGTTTAAGCTTCCATCACAAAATGTGAAAAGAAAGATGAAAAGCATAAATTGTTTAAGCCCTCTTGTATATTTTTGTCCGCACTATGCCTGTAAACGAGACGAGCCAAATTCGAAACTAGTAGGCTCGAACCTTAATTCAATAGAATTTAACTCGGCTCGAAGTTCAATGAACTTGAAAATTTTAAATTTGAACTCGCTCAATGAAAATTCAAACTCGACTTGAAGCTCAAGTTCAATGGGAAAAATTTTGAGCTCGGGCTTAGCTCGAGACTCGAAAATTGAATAAGTCTAAAATAAATATTATATATAAAAGCTCGATGAGTTTTTGACCCAAATATCATTAGACTGGGGTTCGATTTAAGTTGAATTTTTTTGAACCGAGTTCGAATAGCTCGCGAGCCGGCTCATTTACACCTCTAGTTTGCGCTCCACCTGTACATTTGCCTTCTCTCTAATATGCAGTAAATGAATTCTTCAAAATTTATTATGATTTATCAACTTTAAAGTTGATAAAATAAATAAATAAATAAGGAACTTAGTGCATAATATGTAAGATTCGTAGAGTATGATTACCTTTCAAAGAAGTCATTGTTTCGAACATATCTCCCTCCGTTGATAATGATGCTGAGACTTTTCTTTTCTTAACTACATTATTTAAACAATAAAAACTTAATAAACCAAACCAAAAAAGAAAAGTTAAGGTTGTGACGTTCGCGTTCTGTTGTTATTATATTTAGAACATGAGTTAAGATTATTGCATTCGCATTTATAGAAGAGACTAACGAAAAATACTTGTTTTTTTTTTTTTTGGAAATATGAATATTTTTACCATTTATTTAAAAAAATTACTTAGTTAAATTTAGCCCTGGCTCGTCGATAGACCAAATTAATAAAAATAGAAAAATTTTATTAAAATAATGATATTTCCCATAAAAAATAAAATGAGAATAACTTTTAAAAATTTTTATTTTTATTAGTTCGGTGCAAACCATACCTAATACAAGTATAATCCAAAATGAGAAAAGATTTTTAAAATTAATTATTGTGATTAATTTTATTGGTGGGTGACCCATAGACTAGGTCCTGATAAATTTTATCCATTCAGAAGCTGTCATCTACGCGGCCCTCAAAATTCTGTAGTGTAATAGGGATTGACTTAAATTTTGTAAGCAAGTATAATATTTCCGATTGAAGAAAGCGAAGGACTAACCTTCACTGCTAGCGAAAAGAAAATCCGAAAGTGGTTCATCTTTCGGCAAAGTTCCGGTTACCGCCTTGGCTAGATAACTTCTAATAGGAAGTGATGAATATTTAGCGCCGCCTTGTAACTGTACTTGTGCACAGCTACTGCCACTGCCAAGTTCCTCGTCATCCTCTAATGGCAATCTTTCATAAGCAGCATTAGTAAATGTTGCTGCAATTACAATAACAGGTCCAGCTGCAATAAGTGGACCCATCACACTTCCTCCCACAACCTTTCCCTTTCGGCCAGCTAAGTACACCGTGAATCCACTGGAGCTACGTGGAGCAGGGGGAGGCAAAATTGCTCCAGCTAAGGACAAAATCTCAAACCTACCACGACGAGTGGCTACACCAACGCGTGTTGCTGGCTGTCTTAGGGTTACGTTGACTACTGATCCACTAACGCTAAGCACACAAAGGCCGCATTGACGGCGCCGGGAAAACTGGGCTAAACTTTCAGCTACATCAGCTCCGGCAGCAACTTCCAATATATGGCTACGAAGAGCATTAGGACTGTCCGTGGGAACAAAAATTGGTAGGTTTGGTTTCTTTTTGGATCCAGGAGGACGGCCTCTAAGTCTTCGGTTACCCGCACCTTCTTTGAGCTCATCGCCAGCGTCTCTATCGCCACTATCACTGCTTCTATTACTGGTTTCATTAGTGGCGGTTTCACGGTTGGCTTTGATGAAAGAAGGGGAAAGCGAAGCTGGGTCTAGGCCTGGAAGGCCAACTTGACCCGTCCACCAAGGAGTAGCCAGCGTTTCAAATTGACAACTGACAAACACACAACTTTGAGTAAGAGACGATCTTGTATCGGTTGAATTTTTTTATTATTTTTTATTATTGATTTGTTCTGTTTGCCTGTTCGAAAGATTTTTATTAGATCAGAAAGTCAAAGCGGTCTGCTGCCCTAAATAAGGTTATAGTGGAGACTACACTACGCTAGCTCAGCTCTTCTTACAGATTTTGATACAAGAAAGAAAGAGAGAGAGAGAGAGAATTAGATGTAATTAATTTTGGTATATAATGGAATTGAAAACAAGATCAACGATTCGCAAGTAATGTATCTCAGAAGAAAGAACAAAGAACTTACGCAATTACCAAAGAGTATAAAATATTAATTAGGCAGAGAAAGAGAGACATTGAAGTTAACCTATAGTGTATATATATATATATATAATGTGGAATGTTAGGTTACCAATTAATCTAAAAAGAATCATATTAATATGTTTATCTACTCTAATTAATTTAATTAACATTGATTATCTAAAAAATCAGATTTAATATAATTATCTATTTTAATTATTTAATTTAATCAATATGATTATCTATTAATATGGTTTGATTTATATAATTTTTATTTATGTAATTAAATATTATAAAATGAGAGAAATTTTAAGTCAAACATTTGAGTTGTATGATTTTAATTTTCTTAATTAAAAATGTTACGTTAAAACGATAATAAGATATCATGTATATAATATAATTTTATTGCATAAAGATATGATAAATATAAATAAAAATTTTATATTGTATAATTTAATTGACTTGAAGGAAAATAGTATTGAGAAACGAAAAAAAAAAAGTTAGAATTATATATTTCTGTTTTGGAATACTTTTTGGAGCTCAAAAAAAAATATAAATATATATATGTGTGTATATATAATGTAATGGATAAGTAACAGTGACATTATAGTCAAAATGATTAATTTTATCATTATAGTTCGTGTTAATTATAAACAATTCAGATTATATTTTCATTTATTTTCTTTTAACTTTTTACTTTAATTTATTTAAAATTTTTACTTATAATATTGTAGCTACTAAATTCTTTAATTTGTAAAATTATTCTATTAAACACTTTAATTTATAAAATTAAATTGATTAAATATTTAAAGAATAGTTAAAAATGGTAAATATTATTAATTTAAAATTTATAATAATTAATATTTACATATAAAAATTTAAAATTTAAAATTATTGACGAGAGAAAAGTTTGTGTTATTTAATATAATAATTGGACGTAGCACGGCTACTATTACATAATATACTTTTAATTAATTAACAGGAAGCCCATTTGATTTTTAAAGTCTTAAAGCAGATTCGAAACATCTGTCCAGATTAGGTTCTTTTATTCGAAAGCAAACAGATATTTTCCAGAAGGCCGCGGAGACTCCAGTGGTCATTTTTTATTCCAAAAGTAAAAAATAAAGAAATACTTATTCTCCATTTGTGCTAAAAGTTTATTCCAAAATACCATTTTCTTTTATTCGAAAAGCAGACAACGTGTCAGTATTTCTAAAGATGGAGCCTCCACACTTGCCCACATTTTTTTCCAAGAAAAGACAATAAAAATACAAATAAAAAGAAAAAAAGAAAAAATAAAAATGGTAGAACATAAGACCAAGCAGAAGAGCAGATATCCTCTACGGATTAATTTATCACATCAGAGTGCTTCCTGGCTCTCGTAACAATATATCCGTCCTCAAAGTATTGGCATCAACGGCCACTTTTTGACAAATTTTTATGTTCTGAGATCAAAATTTGGGAGAAGAAGATGGTGGTTGCATTATTGGGAGGAAAGGGAGAAGAAGATGCTGACTTATAAAAAATTTTAATATAAATAAAGACATATGTCATCCATGTGAGACTCTGGTTATCGAAATTTCATTATATGACACTCCGGTTTCGTTAATTTGGCCAAAGGGATTTCACTATTACACAAATAATAATTTAAGAATCTTTACATTACAATGTGATTAAGGCTACAATTCAGGGACAATGGGTGCAAATAAGAAATTATTTTTTCTTATTTTTATTTTATATAAACAATAAAAATCTAAATCTAAATTCAAACAATAAAATAGTAATTATTAATACTAATAATAATTAATAATAGCTTTTCATAAAAAAGTTAAAAAGTTAAACGAACTTTAATTTCTAAAATTTAGTTAAAAAAAAGATTAACGACTGTAGCAGCTATTAGCTATTCTGGTAATCTTGAGCCGTGAGAGGGTAATTGTTCTAAGGTGTTTTAAAGACGTGGACGTTTCACTCCTTCACCCTCTCCACCGGCTTCTTCCCACCAACTCCAAGAACGTTTGACAATTCACTGGGCTACAAACATGGCCAAAAACACAACCTCATCTCGCTAAATTCTCTCAAATCCACGGGCTTCACACACAATCTGATCTCTCTATAATCCACCGATTTCATCTTTTGGCTTTGCGCGCAGATCTTCCAGGTAACTGATAGTTTCTTTTTTAGTCTGTAATTTTTATTTGGCTATATCTTCCTTTTCTTTTCCTTTTTTTTTTGTTTCTTTTTTTCTTTTGTAAACTTTTGTTCTGTTATGCCAATTTCTGCACTTTTATTAATATTTGGTAATAATAATGAAAATAAAAAAGAAGACCATTGATATGAAAAAAAATATTAACTTTACTAACTTGATTCATCAGTTCTTAAATAGCACTTTTTCAAATTTGATTTATCAACAAGTGACAGTGTCACTCTTGAAATCAATATGGCCAGCCTTTTACCTGGATCTGCATTACTTTTTCAACATTTTTAATTTTTTTCCAGGTTTTTTGCATACAGAACAGCAATTTCGTGTTTTTGTGTACGGGTTTTTTTATTCATTGAAAATTAACAAATTATGAACAATAAAGTTATATATGATTTTAGTTGAAGTATTTTGAAATAATAACTTAGTTAGAATCTGTTGTAGAAATTTATCGAATTCTGGCAAGTCTTTGCCTTAGATGCACTTTGAGCACTTGAAAAGTTTACATCTTTGATGGTTATGACCACTGTAGCAATAGGACAGCAAGCTAAGGGAAATAATATCAACGATCATCCTGCTCATATACCATCAGACAACAAGGATAATATTACCAGTTTTGAAATAGATAATTTTAATCTCTATCTTCTGCTAACATATCTACATACTTTTGTTCTTATAGCTTTTATTAGTGTTTTCTGAAGGTTTGGATAAAAGTTACAAGACAGAAGCTGAAGCTGTAAAGTGTTAACAGGTATTAAAACAATAAATTCTAAAACTTGTGAACTCGTGTATGTAAACTCTATAGATTGACCAAAATGTTCAAATATTATCTCATTCTGGTTCTTTCAAATTTGATTTTTTTATCATAATCTCTGGATTCAGCTTGAATTTGACATTTCACAGTGTGTTCAATCTTCTGTTTACTAGATTATTGTTATTGCTGACAATCATGGTTTTCCCGTTTTCTTCAGTTCTTTATTTCTTTTGACAGTTTCCTTGTGGTTCTTTCCCAGATCAACTCAAATATGGCACCAACAGGGCAAAAAGCACGATCTATAATTGTTATAGGCTAGCAATTGAAGTGATAGAGCAGACTGTGAACACAAACTCAGAGGTACAATTATTAGAAAGGGATATTTAGTAATACTAGTTCTTTTACGTGATTTTACTCGTTATATACTCGTTTAATTTTGTTATTTATATAATATTAGAGTATAAATTCTTATTTAGGTTAAAATAAATATAATGATTAATTAATGTTGCACTTTATATATATAATGAAATTTTATAACATGTCTTGTACTGCAGTATCTAATTGACAAAAAAATGATGTTTCTGTTTCTTCCTTCAGTAAAAAAATATATACAATTTTATTGTTAATTAACTATATAAAATCACTATAAATTTGCATTTACCATACTGCAAAATATTCTATAATTTGGTGATGTTATAACATTAATCTAATAAATCAAGACTTACTTTGCATAGCCATAATATATTATGTGACTTTGATCTTCACATCAATTATTTTCGTCAGATGAAGTTAAACTGAAATTTTATCAATAGCATGTAATATTTTGGACCAATTCTTTGCATAGAATCCAAAAATAAATTGCTTAAAGTTCTTAACCCCACATGAGAATCAATATGTAAAGTTATAAACAACAATATTGGTAATGAAATGTACTTTATCAAGTTTAAAGAAGATATAAATGAAATTAAATTCAAAAATTACAGAGTTATATATAAAAAAATTAAAAAAAATATATCAGTTAAAATCATAAAAAAATTAAAAAAAATTCTATAAATTTCAAAAATAAAAGAATAAAATATTGAATAAAAATAGAGCTATTGAATTTTTTTCTTTGTTTCATTTTTAATTTAAAAAAGTTGAAAGTAAAAATGATAGCAAATTCAAATATTTATAGCCTATTTTTTCAAAAAGATTTCATTATACTAAAAAAGAAAGACTCTTTTTTTTTTTATATTAGTCAAATATTATAATTTCATACTTCCGTTGCCTTTGTTAAATTTAAAAAATTTTAAAATACAATAATATAGAAATGATTCAAATAAGTGTACACCATCATTTCTAAAAAAAATAAAGAGAAATAATATATTAAAAATTTTTTATTTTAATTTTATTGTAATTAACTAATATAGTCTAATACTAAAGGGTTTAATGATATTTTAAAAAATTCAGAATATAATAAACTAATAGAATTTAAATTTCATTTTCAATAGTTGAATTGAGGTTTTCGATTTATCTCATAAAAAATAATATAACATGAGAATATATGATTCAAAACATAAAAAACTATTAATTATAAAAATCATTGAACAATAATATTACAAGATCAAATAATAAAAATTATATACACATATACATATTTTCTCGAATTAAAATGCATAAAAAATCTAACTAAAAGATATTTAAAAGTATAAATGGAATCTATTTTTCGATTAAAAGACATTAAAAAAATGCAACTAAAAAGGATCTTCAAAAGGATAAATAGTCTTATTTTCTCTGATTAAAATGCATAAAAAATTAATTAAAATGATATATTAGGAATTTCAAATAAACTAAAGCTACTTAAGGAAATCTCATAATTCCCTCCTCTATTCCCATACGTACGTAGATTATAGAGTATAAATTTATTTTATTATCTATTAAGTTAAAGAGAGGAAAATAATGTATATAATAAATATATGAAGTATGTAATATGTATTTAGCTCTAACATTTAATTTAAATTCTAAATTGAATAAAATTAAAAACATATATATTTAAATTCTAAATTGAAATAAAATTTAAAAACATATATAGTTACATAAAATAATTTTTAATTTCAGTTATAGCTATTATATAACATTAAAATTAATATAAAAATAAAATATATTTATTAATATATAGTAACGTTAATTATTCTATTAAGTATAATATTTTAAAAAAAATTTAATCTGGTCTCAATAGGTTATTAGAATAGTTTTTTAAAATTTCATTAAGGGGTATTTATTCGGAAATGTCATTATTGTCCTTTCGCATCCCGCTTTATATATAGTATAGATATAGACGTTAATTATCTATTAAGTATAATATTTAAAATAAAATTTAATTGGTCATCAATAAGGTTATTTTAGAATATTTAAAATTTCATTAAGGGTATTATCGGAAATTTCATTATTTCCTCTCATTCCCGCTTTTATATATAGTATAGATATAGATATAGATATAGATTTATTTTTTCACTTATATATTTGTAGTTTTAACATTTATTTTTGCCGTATAATACAGAACAGACATGGCCGAGGTAGTTTCTGCAGCAGCTTCTGCAGGAGCAGTTGAAGTGTACAAAGATGTGAGAAATGCAGTTGCTTCTATTGATCAAGTAAGAGACTATGAGAGAAGGCTAGATAAAAATTCTGAAAAACTAAAGGATGAAGCAAAAAAGCTCTATGCAAGGAAGGTTGATTTATTAGCCAAAAAAAATAGAGACAGGACAAAGCAAACTACTGAAGAATGCAATTTGTGGATTGGGATGGTCAAGAAACTTGAAAAAGATGTGCAAGCCCTCTTAACTGAATATGAAGAAGAAAAGAAACTTCAGTTTAGTTTGGCGCGTTTTCTTCATCGTTCAGATCTTAGCAAACGCATCGTAGAAAAATGCATTGAACTGCAAAGTTGTTGGTCAGAAGGGAGCTTTTTTGCTACGGATTTTATGGTTGAGAGATCGACGAGACCTATCATTAAAGCGAAGGCACCAAAAATAGAAGACAAATCAATACTATACGATGTTTTTGTAGAGATATTGAACTTTTTAAGCACGAAGGATGTAAGAAGAATTGGACTTTGGGGAAAGGTAGGTGTTGGCAAAACAGCAATCATGCAGAATCTAACTGAAAATGAAAAAGTATCTAAATTGTTCGATATAGTCTTCTTTGTAACCTTAAGCGATGAAGGGGATAAAAATAAGCTACAAGAAAAGATTCAATGTCAAATAGCACAAGAACTAGAAGTGAATTTAGAAGGGTTTACTGAAACTAAGAAAATTGCTTCAATAATATCAGAAAAGTTGGAATCCACTAGATATCTACTTCTTTTAGATGATGTTTGGGGTGCATTCGATCTCGATGATGTTGGCATTTATGATAAGGAGGATAGCAAAGTTGTCATTGCATCTAGACATCGTGGCATTTGTCGTGAGATGTGTGTTGATCATATCATCAATGTACCTCGACTCTCAGATGATGATGCTTGGAATCTTTTTGAGGAAAGGTTGGGTCGGAAGTTGAATTCAGATTTTAAACCGTTAGCTCTCCAAGTCATTAAGGAGTGTGATAACTTGCCACTTTTGATTGATAAAGTGGCAAGAGCTTTTAGGAGGAAAGATGAGATCCTTTTGTGGGAGGCTGGATTGAACAAATTGCGAATATGGCCTAATGTCAAATGTGATGGCATGGATGATTTGTTTGATTTACTAAGATTCTGCTATGAAGAATTAGATGAAGATGAAAAGATTTGTTTTCTCTATGGCGCATTATTTAGTGAAGGTTGTGAAATATATATAAATTATATGCTAGAGTGTTGGAGAGCTGAAGGTTTCACTCAAGACGTAGAGCAATTCACTGCGCTGCAAAAAGGGCAAGAGATATTGCATGATCTTATGGATGCATCATTGTTAGAATACAGTGAGAAGGTAAAGCATGTCAGGATGAACAAAGTATTACGCAAAATGGCCTTTAAAATCTCATCAGAAAATGAAGATTCAAAATGGTTGGTGGAAGCTGGCAAAGGCATCCAAAAGGCCCCTGAAAGTGAAGAATGGAAACAAAAAGTAAGAATTTCTCTGATGGATAATAAATTGTGCACTCTACCAGAAAGTACAGATTGTAGCAAATTATCGACTCTCTTCCTACAAAGAAATGTTGATTTGGCAGTGATCCCTGCTCTATTCTTCGAATATATGCAAAGTCTTCGAGTTCTAGACTTACAGGGCACCAATATTACCAAATTGCCATCATCATTTTCTTATTTGGTACATCTTAGAGCTCTTTATTTAAATTCTTGCAGAAAGTTATTGGAGCTTCCAAGTAAAATAAAGGTACTTAAGCTTCTTGAAGTTGTTGATATTCGGAACACTATGATTAATACTCTACCAGATGAAATAGAATATTTGGGCAAGCTGCGTTGTTTGCGTATGTCATTGTCCAAAATAGATGTGGAATTGATGAAGCCAGAAAAAAAAAATTCTGCCAGTATAAAAAGAGATGGAAAATGGAAGAAGATTGAAATAAAACATGCTGCCATTTCAAAACTTTCTTCATTGGAAGAGTTGATTATCGACATATATCCGGAAAATCCGTGGTGGAAACCTGTTGTGAGAGACATAGTTAAGAATGCAAGTGTCTTGACAAATTTGACTCATCTTTCATTTTCTATTGGCCAGTACCATTCAACCAGGTACAAAATTCTTGATTATTTTGGACGCAAAATCTGCAAGGTCTTGAAATATGCAAGTGGTGCAGGCAACCTTGAAGTGCCAGAGGTACTTGCTGAAGCAGATGCATTCGAGCTAATTGGACATAAAGGGGAGGTGAAGTTATCAGATTTTGGCATTGACAACCTGGCCAAAATAAAAAGTTGTTTGATTGAAAGTTGCACTGAGATGAAAACTCTTATAGACTACAATGGTGGAAGAACAAATCTTTTTGAGTGCTTGGAGAAACTGTACTTAAGCAATGCCCCCAAGTTGGAGAATATTTGGGAGGGTCCGGTGCCTTCTAGAAGCCTAGTGAGATTGAATACTTTGGTTTTCTTCAAATGTTCAAAATTGAAGAGGATTTTATCTTGCAACTTAATTGAGCAATTCTGTGAACTGCAACATTTGGAGATTGAAGCTTGTCATGAAATTGAAGAGATTACTATGGAAGCAGCGAACAATAGAACAAATGTTGGTACACTTCCAAGTTTGAAGACATTAACACTTGTCGGTCTTCCAAGTTTGAAAACCATTTGGATTGATGATTCATTGGATTGGGGCTCTTTGAACAAAAAGATTGTCATGTGTCCATTATTCGATAGCCAACCTTCTAGGCGAACCATTGAGTGATGCTTTCATGCCAAGAATTAAGATGTAGTATTTTGTTAATCCTTGCATGTTTTTTCTTTATCAATGTACGCTAATTCATATGCATCCATAAGAACATGTAATGTCTTTTGTCCTTTCTAAAGTAATGTATAACTATGTTTTGGTTGAAACTTGTAGTTCTCCTACATTTTTAGCATGTAATTATAAATATTTCACCCACCTCCACTATGTTATAACAGACTTCAAATGCCATTTTTGTTGCCATTGATTAGGTAGTGTAATTGAATCACATGGCAGGTTCAGGAAATGAATACTTCAAGAACTTGATTTGGTGCTTTATGGAGAATGAGTCGCCTCTTGAATTGAATAGATTCTTGTCTACTCATTTGTGTTGAGAACCTGTATTATGCCCTTGATTTTTCAGAGCCCGGCCTAGCCCCAAATGGAGGGGTTAAGTTCATATGCATGTGGTGGAGGCAACAACGAATTGGTGGTGTGGCGTGCATCTTTATGAGTAGTGTCTTAATTTTTTTTTTATGTATATATATTTTCTTGATATATATTGCTGAGAGCAAAAGAACATATGTTTGATGAGAGTCCATACAACACTGATGTTGTTACTTGGAATTTATGTTGGTGGGTTTTGCAAATAATGGACAAGTTGGTGTTGTGGAGAAGATGTTTGATGAAATGTGTGTGAGAAATATATTTGGATTAAAAAACATTGTGAGGTATGTCATACGAGCATGTATATAGAAGCTTGTACAAGGCTTAGAAAGCTTCAAAGTGGCATGAGGGAGTGAGATATTTTTTTTTTTTCTTTTTCCCAAAATGAGGCCGCGTTTGACAATTTTCTACATGTCTATTCAAGTTTGCTTGAACTTGGTTGCTTGATTCATTTCTTATTGTAGATTCAACAATTGTTACAATGACATAAATGTTTGTGATGAATGCAAAGTTTAGGACATTTAACAGTAATCTAGTTTGCCAAAATGAATGGAAGAGATGTTTCAATATGGAATTGTTTGAGATTTGTGGTTTGGCCTCACATGCATGCTCTTTCACTTTCTAAAAGCTTCTTAAGTGAAGGATTCCATCCAGCGACTGTCCTTTAATGGGGTTTTGGATGCCTGTAGTCAAGCAATGTTTGGCGAATGCATTTCCTTGAGTTGATGATAATTCATTGTGGCTTTCACTCAAAGCCTTGAGCTGGATATGAAGCAGTATGCCATGTGGTTGATCTATTGGGTCAAGTTGGTTTAGTCTCTAAGACCATGAAATGATTGAGAACAGAATTCTCTAACCAAGGATTCAAAGGCCTGATTCAGACATGGAAATAGCTAGCTAGACCAACACAGGACATGAGTGGACTGATTCCAAGGCCATTTTGCAAATAGTAATTTTATAGAAATTGCATTTAATTTTCTCGGTCAAGACCCAATTTATTTTGACTACTTACTTACTTACTGATTGGATGACATTTAACAAATAGTAATTTTTTGCAAATTTAATTTAATTTTTCTTGGTCAAACACAATTTTTTTTTAATACTTAACAAAACCTGTAAAAAGTTCTCATTTGTTTAGACAAAAGGGTTTGCATTGATACTATACAATGATAAAATTAGAGCTTAGTGACATGACGTGAGAATCCTATTAACCAAAAATCCTTTGGACCAATTCAATTTTGTTTATTTCAGTTTTTCATTTTAATAACTCAGTTTGATTTTTGAATTTTATTGCACCTTCAGGGAGAGGCAAAGAACTTTAATTGTGACTAAATTCCGCGATGAATTTAGTTAGTTTCTAATAATAGGATCCGGATATCGGTGTTTTACATGAAAAAAGTCATAATAATTAAACTACTACTTTGCTTATTTCAATTTGATTTTTAAGCTATTTTTGTACGTGAAACACTATAAAATAGCTTGTAAGTCCATTATAAATGTATGCTTTGTACATCAATCAAACCCAATTTCCTAGTCTGACAATTTTCACGACAATAATAAAATAATAAGTGTCATAACACACCGAGATATACAACCGGACAATATATTAAAGTTAAAATCTCATTCCTCCGAAACTCAAAAATTTATATACGATGGGACAATTTAATTTAATCTCAAGTGAAGAAGAAAACCCATAAAATTATTTTACTCTCTCTCTATGAGAAGATTTCTTTCTTTCTTTTGAGTTTTGTTTTGCTTTCTTTTTTTTTTTAATTTTTTTTATTTTCTGTATTTTTCTCTTTATCCAGTAGTAAGAAGTAAGTCATAAACAGTTTAGGGAGAAAGAGTGAAGAAGAAAGAAAACAAATCATTTGCTCTATCAATCTCAATCTCTGTTTTTGCTCTATCAATCTCAATCTCTTTATCCTCTTGAGGTTGGAATTATTCAAAATCATGGCATGATCTATTTTTTCAATTTGTTTCTTATCGAATTTGTCTCCAAAACACAAGCACCAAAAGAAAAAACAGGGGATTGAAATTTTCTACAAAATAAACGGATTGCAAGCATGAGAGTATAACTTCACTCGAGAAGGATGAAGGATTTCAGTGGAGTAGTCGCGAGTATAACTTAACTCGAGAAGGATGAAGGATTTCAGTGGAGTAGTCGCCAGATTGTGTTTATATTTTTCTTTTAGGTGCCATTTTTATTTTTCAGATGTTGATATTCCATGAGGAAGAAGACTGGATCTAATTTTATTTTTTGCTTAGGCTCTCTTGAATTACATAATTCATTTTTTTTATGTTAAATATATATTTATTAAAGAAAAAAAAGATAGAATTGTCATGTAAACTTTTTTGCCAGCTCAAGGCAAATGTAACTCACGCATAATGATAGTTCTGTTGACGTATGTCTATCGGCAAACTATAAGAGGCCACAAGTTCTTTTTACGTAAATTAAGGGGTCAAATTTTGCATTTGGCCGAAGACTAATTGACGCATTTTTCCACTCCCCCCCACAACACTGCTTCATATAAACATGTTCCTTCTCTTCTCTTTGTACCTTAAACACTTTCAAAACCTTGACTTCTAGATTTTCAATTACTTCCCTGTAATTTTCACTCTCCTCAGAAGAAATGGCAGACGCATACCTCTCCAACGTTGTGGGAGGGGTTATTTCAAATCTGGTTTCCCCAGCCCTTAGAGAGGCTAAGCTGTGGTGGGGCGTTAAAGATGAGCTTGACAAACTCAAGAAGACAGTTTCAACTGTCCAAGCTGTTCTGCTTGATGCAGAGGAGCAGTACTCACAGAGTCATCAAGTCAAAGTTTGGATTGATTCACTCAAAGAAGCATTTTATGATGGGGAGGGGTTATTTCAAATCTGGTTTCCCCAGCCCTTAGAGAGGCTAAGCTGTGGTGGGGCGTTAAAGATGAGCTTGACAAACTCAAGAAGACAGTTTCAACTGTCCAAGCTGTTCTGCTTGATGCAGAGGAGCAGTACTCACAGAGTCATCAAGTCAAAGTTTGGATTGATTCACTCAAAGAAGCATTTTATGATGCGGATGATTTACTGGATGAGTTCTCCATAAGGGAATTGGAAAAGAAGGTGATGACTGGCAATAAATTGGTCAAGGAGGTACGTTTGTTCTTTTCGAGCTCAAACCAATTTATTCATAGTATTAAAATGGCTCATAAGATTAAGGAAATTAGATGTGAATTAGATGGGATTGCTGAAAATAGGAAGTTTTACTTAAATCATGAACGTTCTGAGAAGAGGGATGTAATGTCTAATTATCAAGATAGAGACCAAACTCACTCTTCTTTACCTGAAGTAGTCATTGGGAGAGAAGATGAAAAGAAGACAATTATACAATTTCTTTTGTCTTCCAATTGTAAGGCAAATGCGTCGATTGTTTCTGTAGTTGGCATTGGAGGTTTGGGGAAGACAACACTTGCTCAACTCGTATTCAATGATGAGATAGTGAAATCACATTTTGGACTAAAGTTATGGATTTGCATTTATGATAATTTTGACGTGAAAACAGTAGTTGAAAAGATTTTAGAATCTATCACTGGTGCAAAACCTGCAGAAAATTGTGAAATGAATACCTTGAAAAATCTCCTCCACGAACATATTAATGGTAAAAAATACTTGCTTGTCTTAGATGATGTATGGAATGAGGACTATGAAAAATGGTTTCGCTTGAAGGATTTGTTAATTGGAGGTGCAAGGGGAAGTAAAATAATAGTAACTACACGTCTTAAAATTGTTGCAGAGAGGATTAGATCAGATTCTATATATGAATTACAAGGTCTAAGTAATGTGGAATCATGGTCTTTGTTCGTACAAATGGCCTCCAAACAAGGGAAAGTGGAGAGCGAAGAACATGAGCTAGTCGGAAAGGAGATTGTGGCCAAGTGTGTTGGAGTTCCTTTGGCTATAAGAGCAATAGGACGGCTATTGTATTTTAAAGATACAATATCTGAGTGGCAATCCTTCAAAGATAGAGAACTTGCAAATATAGATAAAGAAGATGCTAGTATCTTACCAACTCTCATGTTGAGTTATAACCATCTGCCCTCACATTTAAAATGTTGCTTTGCTTACTGTAGTTTATTTCCAAAAGCCTGTAGAATTGACTTGAGATTCTTGGTGAATCGCTTAGGGTATATTAGAGTATCAGATTCAAAACAAAATCTTGAAGATATAGGTTTACAATATTTTAAGGATCTTTTATGGAGGTCGTTCTTTCAGGAAGTACTAGAAGATCCACTGGGTAATATATTTACATTTAAAATGCATGATTTGATGTCTGATCTTGCTGCTGTGGTAGCTGGAGAGGAGATCAATCTTCTACGATCAGATGCAGAGTGTGTTAAAGTGAAGGAAAGAAGTATGCATTTATCCATTGATTCTGAAGCTCTGTCATGGAGACAATTGCCACGTGTCTTACCTGTTGCAAAGAAGGCGCGATCATTTCTGGCATTCAATAAATCAATGACAAATGAAATTAAAGAAAGACAATTGGATATGATATTTTCTAATGTAAGACGAATAAGGGTGTTGAATTTGCCTAATCTGGCGATGGAGAGAGTGCCACCTTCCATTGACAGATTAAAGCATCTAAAGTATCTCAATCTTTCTAACAATAAACGCATTGAGATCCTTCCTAATTCCATAACAAGGCTCCAGAATCTACAAACACTAGCACTAGTAGGGTGTAAAAGGTTTAAACAGTTGCCTAAGCATATGAAAAAGTTGGTAAACCTCAGGCAACTCTACATTGAAGGATGTTTTAGTTTGACTCATATGCCATGTGGTCTTGGTCAGCTGACTTCTCTTCAGAATTTGCCATTGTTTGTACTGGCAAAGGATAATGGTGTCTCCAAGGAAAGTGGTGGACTTGATGAACTGCGTAATTTGAACAGCTTGAGAGAAAGTCTGGCAATCATTAATCTGCAATATGTAAAAAATGCAGCATCTGAATTTGAGGCGGTGAAATTGAAAGAGAAGCAGCACCTTCAAACCTTGCAATTAGAATGGAAATCGGAAGCTCCCTATGATATTAATAGTGATAGTGATCTAAACGATGATAATAAAGAAATATCATTGGAAGAGTTGTGGCCTCACCAAAATCTGAAATGGTTGATCGTGTCCGGGTGTGGAAAAGTGAAGTTTCCCAGCTGGATTTCTAACCTTTCTAATTTGGTGGAACTTCAAATTAATGGCTGCAAACACTGCCAACGTTTCCCACCGTTAGATCAATTTCCCTTTCTTAAACGCTTATCGATAAAGAATTTCACAGATTTGGAGTACATAGAGAGTGGCATTGAAATGTCAGGATCTGCATTATTCTTTCCTTCCCTAGAGAAACTCTGGCTCGAAAATTGCCCTAATCTCAAGGGATGGTGGAGGTTTCCGTTGCTCAAATTCCACTGTCTTAGTTATTTGGGTATCGTGTCCTGCACAAACCTAACTTCAATGCCATTAATTCCATCTGTCGAGTCATTGTTACTGAAAAGTACCAGCATAAAGTCATTGGACGACATATTGAAGATGAAGATACAATCAAGATCCTCTTCTCCTTCCTCAATTACCCCTGCTCTCTCTCAATTGAAAACTTTGACCCTTGAGAAAGTAGAGGATTTAAAATTTCTAGATGAGGAGTTGATGCAAAACTTCACTTCCCTCCAACAGCTAGAAATTTTTGATTGCCCAACTATAACAACTGTACCCCGTGCCATAAAATATCTGACCTCCCTTAAGAATCTCATGATACGGGATTGTGAAGAGCTAGATTTTTCAGATGATGAGAATGTTGTTAGTCAAAGTTGGCAAGCATGGCACGCATGGTTGGCCAACAACCAAAGAAAATTAAGGCGATGATTGGCCAACCACCAAAGAAAATTAAGGCGATGGTTGGCCACCAACCACAAAGAAAATTAAAGGCGATTGGTGGCCAAATCCACAAATTCACATCTATAAATAAGCAGCACTTCCATAAGTATTGATATCAACTCGTTAGAGAGAAAATCCATTAGCGAGGTCAAGAGAAAAGCTTTGGTGAGAGAAAATTGAGAGTTAATTTCCTAAGTGAACTTTATGAGTTTGTGGGTTATCAGTGTTGTAACACTTTTGTATAAATTTTTCTCCTGTTAGTAAAAAGATCTGCAGCAGCTCCGGAGACGTAGGCCAGAATTGGCCGAACTCCGTTATCAAATTTGTGTGTGTTATTTATTCCGCTTTTATTTGCATTTTCTCTTACTAATCTGGTTTTATTAGAATTTTGCGTAATTTCCCAACAAACTGGTATCAGAGCCGAAAGGTTTCGGCCAATAGCGGTACCAGATTCGTGGATATATTTCAAAAATAAATATACCACGACGACGAGAAAATTACGACGAGTCTATCGGTGTTGTCCGCTCGGAAAGTCGCTGCAGAATCGACTTAGTGGTGAATAGTAAAACAGTAACTCAAAGATGGTGGTGAACAGTACTGTTGGCATTACTGTTGCTGAACCCGTGACTATTCAGCCCAGCACTATTCAAACATAGTACTATTCACGTGTACGATTACTATTCACGTATAGTATTATTCACGTGTACGATTACTATTCACGTGTATAGTTACTATTTATGTGTACTGTTACTATTCACAGCTACTATTCACGTATACTCACAATCAAGGCGGAGTCAGACTTGAGTGGGAACAATGGCTGCAGATGAAGGAAAGTCGAAAATTGAAAAATTCGACGGTGCAGATTTTGGCTTTTGGAAAATGCAGATAGAGGATTATCTGTATCAGAAAGGTCTTTTCAAACCTCTCTGCGGAACGAAGCCAGAGGATATGAAGGAAGAAGATTGGAATCTTCTAGAAGATTGGAATCTTCTAGACAGACAAGCACTCGGGGTTATTCGTTTAACCCTCTCCCGCAATGTTGCCTTCAACATAGTAAAAGAAAAGACCACGGCGGGTCTTATGGCGGATCTTTCCAATATGTACGAAAAGCCATCGGCCGCAAATAAAGTTCACTTGATGAGGCGGTTATTCAATCTACGAATGACGGAAAACGCATTGGTGGCCTAACATCTCAATGAACTCAATACAGTGACAACCCAATTGAGTTTAGTTGAAATTGAATTTGATGAAGAGGTACGAGCATTAATACTTTTGTCTTCCCTACCAGACAGAAAGTTGGAATGCTACTGTCACAGGCTTGACCTCCCCCCGCGTGAGTAGCTCGTCCGGAAGCGGGAAGAAGTTAAAATTTTGATGATGTTCGTGACCTAGTTCTTCAGTGAAGAGATCCGACGGAGAGAGTCAGGTGAACCTTCAACTTCTTCAGTCTTGCATACAGAATCAAGAGGAAGAAATTCAACCAGAGGGAATGGACACGGTAGATCGAACTACCGAGGCAAGTCAAAGGACAGGAGGTCCAAATCCAGGAATCCTAGCAATTTCAATAGCACAAAGACCATTGCATGTTGGAATTGTGGAAAAACTGGTCACTACAAAAATCAGTGCAAGAATGAACCTAAACACCAGGAGGGAAAGTTAGAGGCAAATGTTGCATCCACCTCAGGAGAAGATGATGCACTTATATGCTCTTTGGAAAGCAAGCAGGAGTCTTGGGTTTTAGACTCCGGTTCGGTGCGTCATTCATGCACTTACAAAAGATCCTTGAAAGGTATACCCCGGAAAACTTTGGAAAGTATACCTTGGTAATGACCAACGCATCGTAATATTGGTTGGTAAAGAGTTGTGAAGATTAAGTTTGAACGGGTCTAATGGCGAGTTGAAGGAATGTCAGACATATTCCTGCCTTGAGAAGCTTTAATCTCAGTAGGCTCAGTTGGCGCAGCGACGGCTCCACAATAACTTCCACGGGCGATATTGGAAGTTACATGAAGGGTGCAATGATGGTTGCCCTTCGTGGCAAGAAGAGTGGTACATCTTTACAACACAGGATGAGGAGCAAGCTATCATTGCTGTTGCAAGCAACAGTGAAACTCCCAATATATGGGCATCAGAGGCTTGGCCATATGAGTATGAAAGGAATGAAGGGTTCTTCTACACTCACAAGAAACCTACCAGGTTTCAGTCAATTGAAATTGGACATGTGTGAAGACTGCCATATTTGGAAAGCAGAAAAGAGTCAGCTTTCAGACACATAGAAGAACCCAAAGAAGGAAGAAACTTGAGCTTGTTTCACTCCGATGTGTTGGGGGACCAACTACTGTCTGCATCCATCTGGTGGAAAGCACTACTTTGGTGACTTTTATTGAATGATCATCTCGGAAAGTTGGGTTTAGCTTTATAAAATATAAATTCAGAAGTATTGATGCTTTGATGCTTTCAAAATTTGGAAAGCTATGGTTGAAAATGAGACAGGACTGAAAATCAAAAAGCTTAGAACCGACAATGGTGGTGAATATGAAGACACCGGGTTCAAAAAGTTCTGCTATGAGCATGGAATCAAGATGGAGAGAACCGTGCCAGGCACGCCTCAACACAATGGTGTAGCTGAGCGTATGAATCGAACGTTGATAGAAAGAGCCAGAAGCTTATGTGTACAATCAGGCTTACCAAAGCAGTTCTGGGCAGAAGCAGTCAACACAGCAGCTTACTTGATCAACCGAGGTCCATCGGTACCATTGGAGCACAAAATACCAGAAGAGGTATGGAGTGGAAAAGAAGTAAAACTCTCACATCTAAAAGTTTTCGGTTGTGTAGCATTTTCGGTTGTGTAGCATATGTGCTATAGGTGATCATGGTAGGAATAAGCTGATCCCAAATCTAAGAAATGCATTTCATCGGCTATGGCGTGATGAGGTTGGATACCGCCTCTGCGGATGAAAAGAAACAAGAAAGTGATTCGCAGCAAGAGATGTAGTCTTTAAATGAAAGAAATGAATTTGTAACCAAGAACAGACATGAAACAGTTGCCAGCGACCTTCAGAGCAGATTGGGCCAGTTTGTTTGTAGAAAGTGGATGATATCAGAAAGTCTGCCAAATGAGTTAGTTTTGAAAGATACTCAATCAGAGGAATCCAACTGACACACCACAAAACTTTCCTCCAAAAGCTTTAAGAAGGTCTGAACGTCCTCGCAAAGCTAACAGAAAATATATGAACTTATTTGTTATTAACAGATGGAGGAGAACCTGAATGCTTTTCGAGGAAGCATGTCAAACGGTAGATGCCCAGCAAGTGGAGCTTGCCATGAAAGACGAAATGAAAGTCTTTAAATCTCCAATCAAACATTGGGAATAGCTGAGTTACCGTGGGAAAGAAGGCATTCACACAAATGGGTGTAATCGAGTGAAAGAGGAACATGATGGTTCCAAGAGCATACAAAGCTCGACTGGTAGTCAAGGGTTCCAGGCAGAAGGAAGGAGTTGACTACACAAACCGACATATTTGCCACCAGTTTGTAAAAACTCACCCATACTATCAGGTCTGTGGTTGAAGTATTGATTGCTAGTGAAGGGCTCTACCTTGAGCAGTTGACGTAAAGACTGGCGTTTTCTTCACGGAGACTTGGCCTAAGGAGATTATACATGTGCCCAGCCCGGAAGGATTCCTCAGAAAAAGGAAAAGAGAATAATGGTGTGCAAATCAAGAAGAGCTTTTGTAAATGGACTGAAACAAGCTCCAAGACAGTGGTAAAAAAAGTTCGACGTTTTCATGCACATGAAGGCTTCGCAGAAGTGCTAAATGCCGACACTGTTGCTATTTCAAAGGATGTTTAAGACTAGTTTATCATTCTGTTTACTTTATGTTTTGATGATATGTTAGTAGCAGACAGATATAACGAAATCAAAAACTTGGAAAGCAGCAATTGTCAAAAGATTTTGAATGAAGGACTTGGGTCCAGCGAAAAGATTCTTTGGGAATGCCAAATCACGAGAAGATAAGCAAAAACAGGTGTTGCAGTTATTAGGCGGAGGGTACATCAATCGTGTATCTGCAAAGATTCAACATGAACGAAGCTAAGCGGTCAGCAAGCCCTTGGCTAGCCATTTTCGCCATATCCAAGGACCAGTCCCCCTCAGACAGAGAAGAGAGAAAGACATGGCCAAAATTCCTTATGCTTCAGCCATAGGAAGTTTGAATGTAATGCCAATGGTCTGTACGAGACCAGATAATTTGGCCATGCAGTGGGGTTGTTAGCAGGTATAATGTAAATCCAGGAAAGCTCATTGGGAAGCTGTTTAAGTGGAATTTTGTAGGTATCTACGAGGCACTACTGAAAAGTGTTTGTACTTTGTAAAGGAGAACTAAAAGTACAAGGTTTATGTAAGATGCACGACTATGGAGGCCGACATTGATCACCGAAGAGCACCACAGGTTATATTTTTCACTGTTGGGTACTTACAGCTGTTGTTTGTTGGATGTCACACGGTACAGAAGAATTGTAGCTCTAATCCACAATATCCACCACAGAAGCTGAGTATGTCGCAGTGACAGAAGCCAGCAAAGAGATGATATGGCTTCAAGGTTTGTTAACAGAGTTGGGATTCATGCAGGAAAAGAATGTTTTGTATAGTGATAGTCAAAGTGCAATACATTTGGCAAAGAATTCAGCATTCCATTCTAGAACAAAACAAATTGGTCTTCGATATCATTTCATCAGGTCTCTGCTTGAGAATGATGTGCTAAACTTAGAGAAGATTCAAGGAAACAAGAATCCAGCTGACATGTTAACAAAGGTGGTGACCATTGACAAACTGAAGTTGTGCTCGACTTCAGTTGGCCTGCTAGAATAACAGACTAGAGAAGATTGCCGCATGATTGATGTATGAAGATAGATTGAAATCAGTCTTCAAGTGGGAGATTAGAATTGAAATCATTCCTTCAAAGGGCAGAATTGTTGAGTCCAAACAGTTGGCCAAGCCTATGGCACGCCATGGTTGCCAAACAACCAAAGAAAATTAAGTGCGATGATTGGCCAACCACCAAAGAAAATTAAGGCGATGGTTGGTCCAACCACCAAATTCTAGCATCTATATAAATAAGATAGCACATCCAATAAGTATTTGATATCAACTCGTTTAGAGATGAAATCCATAGCTAGAGTTCAGAGAGAAAAGCTTTGTGGAGAGACAAATAGAGAGTATATTCCTTAAGTGAATTTTATGAGTTGTGGGTTATCAGTGTTGTAAAAACACTATTATGTAAATTTTTCTGCTTGTGAGAAAAGATCTGCAGCAGCTTCGAGAACCGTGGCCAGATGATGGCAGAACTCCGCGTTATCAAAATATGTCGTGTGTTCAATATTTCCGCTTTTATTTGGCATTCGCACTAATTATGGTTATTATAGAAACTTTTTTTTTTTGTTGGGCCCCCGTTAAAAATTTTTTTTTTGATTTTTTCCCAACAAATGTGAGACGGTATGGCATATTGGCAGTGCTCTTAGAAGCCTACAAGAGGTTTCAATTTAAAAATATGGCGAGAGAGTGTCATCCCTATAATTGGCCGAACTCCGTTATCAAATTTGTGTGTGTTATTATTCCGCTTTTATTTGGCATTCGCACTAATCTGGTTTTATAGGAAATTTTGCGTAATTTCCCAACAAATGTGAGAGGTATGCAATGGCAGTGCCTTAGAAGCCTACAAGAGGTTCAATTTAAAAATATGGCGAAATTGTCATCCCTTCCAAAGGGGCTTCAATGTGTTACTACCCTTAGCAAACTCATCATTGAAAGTTGTCCTAATTTGGTGTCTTTACCGGAGTGGATGGCAAATCTGACCGGATTGCAATATCTAGTATTGGATAAATGTTATAATTTGTCAGAAAGATGCAGCAACAAAGTATCGGGAGCTGACTGGCCCAAGATTGCTCACATCCCATATATTAACATCAACGGGAGATGGATTCAATTGGTTGGGCATAACAAACCTCATTATGTGGATAGAACTCACATCCCTGACCTTAGTTACGGGAAGTAGCTTTGCATCCTCAAAGGGCATCTCTGATACCAATTTAGACACCTAATAAGGCCAGAACATCTCTTCAACTGTCCTGCATCAAAAAAACTTGATTCAAAAAATTCATCAGATTTTTATTCAAGTATGTCTAATCCCTTCAATCTACATCTTTTAACTTTTCTGTATTTAAGAAGCCAGATTCATCAAGTTATTAATCTTGGATTTGAATGCGTTGCTATACAACTTCGGCAGCCTTTTCATGGGGCCAGGATTCATTCAGTTCGTTAGCTTTATATATTGAACTGCAATATATGGAAGCCAGTGTCCTCCATCAACTTCCTTTTTCGAGCTTCAGTCTTGTAAGTCAATTCAATAACTTATTTTAATTGTTTGGCAATTTATTATTATGACAAGGTTATGTTTAATTTGACAAGGTTGTGTCAAGAGAAAATCAAGTTCTGCAGTAGATATGACAAGATTATGTTTTTCCAACTATTTTTCTATAAACTCATAGAGTTTACCTTCAATTTAATTTGATATTTCAGGAATTTTACAATCTAGGCATTTCCCTATATGTCTCCTTCTAGGAACTTTTTACTATTAACTTCTGAATTTTTGGATTCAGATTTATCATGAAGCAACTTTTCAAGCATTTTTGTTCATGCTCGATCTTCCTTAGAGTTCTCAGAATTAAATCAAAAAAAGGAAAATCTATCGATAACATGTAAGAATCCATCAATTACTGCTTGTGGCCTCTCAATGAGTTCATCTTTAAAGTTTCAAGGAAGAATCAGAATATGGGTTACTCCTAGGATAACAGGTGCATCTGAAGGTCAGCTTTTGCTTTGCTTTTTTATTTTTATTATCAGCTCTTCTTCTTCTATAATGATTATCTAATAAAATTCGACAAATGTATTTCAGAATTGTGCAGTTTAAAGTTGATGCTGGGTCCAACCTACAATTATGCAACACCTAAGTGGTATTTGATCTCATCCTCTTGGTTTTTCTTGCTTTTTCTTTTTTCCTATCTTTTGAATTTCTTATCAGTTATCGGAGTATCAATCAAATTGCAGTCATATATACACGAGCAGAGTATGAACTCTGTTCTTTTTGACAATTTACATGAAACAGGCTCACATGATATCTCTAAAAACTTTTTTCAACTAAAAATTTTCACTGCAATTTGGCAATATTTTGGATTCTCTCTTGGAAGATGCCGAGAGAGCTTTATTATTGTATTTTCTAATATTTGTTTAACTTGACATTTCAAGGTCACAATTTGACATTTCTAATCAGTCTAGAATCTAGATAGATTCTTGATAATTACCCTACGCTAAATTGTATTTTTCTTCTATTGAATCTCCAAATTCTCATAAAGTTTCCCACATTTCCGCTGGCCAAGCTGTAGAAGGTATCGCAAGACAACCCCAGGCGGAGGGAAAAATGGCACTGGGCAGGCATTAGCCCCCATACATGATCTTACAACTTTGCGGAGACCTGTGTTTTTGGTAAACAGTCGGCCGGGCCTGATCACTGCAACCCCTTTGTGAGGAGGCACCCCTTCTCCCGAAGTTACGGGGCTATTTTGCCAAGCTCCTTAGAGAGAGTTATCTCGCGCCCCTAAATATCCATTAAACAAAAAAAGGGTTCAAATCCTTTTTTCGACGTGAGTACTGTTGTTTTTCTTTGGGAAATAATGACAGTCCAGAATTTCTTGATCAGAATTTGGATCCAAATCAAAATCTCTGTGCAGAAACTGACAATTAACTAATGCCACAGGAAAGTCAAGAGAAGATTCCAATTGCAAAGAAAAATTGGCGCAGATGTCGGAATCATTGGCGCTACATGTCAAGTCTTTTGTTAGGTATTCCCTCGATAACTATTCTTTATTTACATTATACTTCAATTAATATCTAAGCCATGATTCTTATAATTATTCTCAAAATGTAATGCAGTGGCTGTCTCTAGCCTTGCCTGGTAGAGATTTTCACTACAAACGATATAATGTTCATCCTTCAAGATCATCTTCATTCTCTGGATTTGGATATGGACATGAGTTTAGTGCCAGTTTTCACAAAGGAACATTTCCCTTTTAAGCTGTCATTTTCTCTTGTTAATGACAAACTCATACGTATACATAGATGGATAGCATGATATCAAAATATCATTTACTTTTATGATAAAGTGTAGCCCTATATTTGTTTATGACAATGTGGTAGCAGACTACTTGTGCCAAATTCATGATCCGAAGATGGTGATTAGGCGTTAAGGTCTTCAAGAAAGTCGCAGTAATATTTCTTAACTTTCCAGAACATTTTAAATCAATTGAATACAATAGCTTTAAAGGAAATTATGCACAAAATGCTAAACAAGAATCACCTCAATCGGATTTCGTAATCCTTCTCAAATCAAGACATTTGCAAAATAGTGAAGCATGTGCAGTAAAGTAATGAAATGTTGTGAAGCTCCCTTTAAAAGCTATTCAGGACTTACTTGATTAAAAGTTGCAGGAATGGTATGACTAATCCTCGAAATTTAGTCTTGTTCCACTAATTAGTTTTCTCGTCTAATAAGTGCATTTTAGACGGAGTGCTAAATAGTTTTTTTTGTGTAAACTATTAGTATCTGAATCTCATTATCAAAAACTGTCTGATCCGATTCAAGGCTCTATCACAGTTAAGGCTCTTCAGAGGGCTAAATAGTTTTAATTAACTAAGAGAATAACAGAGATAAGGTTGTAATTATGATCAAACTTAAAGGACTAAATAGTTATTTACCATTGATTAATGACACATTGGAGTGGCCTTCTAGAAAGGACTATGGCTGCCTTATTGGAAGGTTTCCTTAACGAACTTTCAAAATCTAAATTCCCATTTCAAACTCGTCTTCTATGTTCACTAATAAACCTGAACCTCTTCTTTCCTTCTCGACGAAAATTTCAAATCCTCAATTCTCAATTGCTACATTTCGATCTATTTTCTCTTTTTTTCAGTCCAATTATTGCCCATCAGTCTCTCACACCAAGCAAGCCCATGCCCGCATCATCATCTCCGGTCTCGCTTCCAATTCATCTCTCATGGGTCATCTCCTCACCTTTCTCGCTCTCACTCCATCAACCCCATTTGACTATTCTCTTTCAATTTATCAAACACTCTCATCTCCAACTGTTTTCGCTTCCAATAACATGATCCGGTGCTTTACAAAGACTGAATCGCCACTTAACGCTGTTGTTTTTTACTCATCTATGTTGAGAAGTTGTGTAATACCCAATAATTATAGTTTCACTTTTCTTTTGCAAGCTTGTGCAAAGGGTTTTGGTTTAAATGAAGGGGCTCAGGTTCATGATCATGTGGTGAAGTTTGGGTTTTGTGAGGATGTTTATATTAGGAATGCTCTGATTCACCTGTATTCTGCTTGTTGTCATATTGAGAGTTCAAAAAGGGTTTTTGATGAGAGTCCAAATAAGTGTGATGTTGTTACTTGGAATGTTATTTTGGCTGGATTTGCAAGAGATGGACAAGTTGGTGTTGTGGAGAAGTTGTTTGATGAAATGCCTGAAAGAGATGTTGTCTCGTGGAATACAATGATTATGGCTTATCTGCATAATGGGGAGCTTGAAGAATGTTTAGACTGTTTTCGAAGGATGAGAGAAAGTGGGTTTATTCCAAATGAGGCTACATTGGTGATGATGCTCTCAGCATCTGCGCAGTTGGGTTTGGTTGAACACGGTCGGTTGGTGCATTCTATTATAGATTATTTGGATATTCCAATGACAGTTGCTCTTGGGACAGCTCTCCTTGACATGTATGCAAAGTGTGGGTGCATTGAAAAGTGTAGGCTTTTCTTTGACAAAATGCCCCAACGAGATATTTCAACATGGAATGTTATGATTTGCGGGATGGCATCACATGGCCTTGGAAAGGAAGCTCTTGCACTCTTTGAGAGGTTCTTAAATGAAGGACTACGTCCAGTGAATATAACCTTCATTGGTGTTTTGAATGCTTGTAGTCGAGCAGGTTTGGTAAGGGAGGGCAAACATTATTTCAAGATGATGACAGAAAATTATGGCATTGAACCAGAGATGGAGCATTATGGCTGTATGGTTGATCTCTTGGGTCGAGCAGGTTTAGTCTCCGAGGCTATTGAAATGATTGAGAAGAATGTTGTTTCACCAGACCCAGTATTGTGGGCAACACTTCTCTGCGCCTGTAGGATTCATGGATTAGTAGAATTGGGTGAAAATATTGGGAATAAATTGATAGAATTGGATCCAACATATGATGGACATTATGTACAATTATCCAGTATTTATGCCAAGTCTAGAAAATGGGATCAGGTAGTAAGAGTTCGAAGGCTGATGGCTGAAAGGAACACTAGTAAAGTTCCAGGTTGGAGCTTGATTGAAGCCCAGGGAAGAGTCCATCGATTCATTGCAGGCGACAAAGAACATGAGCGTTCAATAGAGATATACAAAATGCTCAATATAATTGAAACTCGTGTAGCTGAAGCCGGCTATGTTCGTAATTTATCATCAGTTTTACATGACATTGGGGAGGAAGAAAAAGAAAATGCAATTAAGGTGCACAGTGAGAGATTGGCAATTGCTTTTGGGTTTTTAGTAACAGGAGCTGGAGATTGCATTCGAATTGTAAAAAATTTAAGAGTTTGTAGAGATTGTCATGAGGTCACCAAGATGATATCCAGAGTTTTTGAGAGGGAGATTATAGTGAGAGATGGAAGCAGATTTCATCATTTTAAGGAGGGGAAATGTTCATGTCTTGATTATTGGTAGAATAAAACCATAAGCATTTCTGTTCAGTGGAGTCTCCATTTCTATTTTTTGTCAGGAAATTTCTAACATAGTTCTTTACAGGGTAGATTAGAAATAAGAACTTACCTGTCTGCTTTACCTTGTAGCTTGGCGTCTTTTTTTTTTTTTTTTTTAGTGCTGAAGCCAGAGTCTATGTTCGTAATTTATCATCAGTCTTTAGGTTGGGAGGAAGAAAATAGAAAATGCAATTAAAGGGTTGCACAGTGAGAAGTATTGGCAATTGATTGGGGTTTTTAGTAAACAGGAACTGGAGATTGCATTCGAATGGTAAATAAATTTAAGAGTTTGTAGAGATTTCTATGAGGTCACCAAGAGATATCCAGAGTTTTTTGAGAGGGGAGATTATTGGAGAGATGTATATGGATTCACATTTTTATAGGAGGGAAGATTCCATTTGTATTGCTCATCGGTGATTATAAAACTCATATAGGCATTGCGTTCATTGGAGGCGCGATTCAATAATTTTTTTGTCAGGAAAATTTAACATAGTTCTTTAAGGGTAGATTAGAAATAAGAACTTACCGTGTCTGCTTCCCTTTAGCTTGGGGTTTATTTTTTTTATTATTTTTGGCGTTCTGCTTTTTTTTTTTTTTTTTGGCTTCTGCTTGTGCATTATTGATTCATCCTTTCCTTTATAGGCAGGTTTAACCATTTTTATGTTTCCTTATTATTAAGAGCCATACAATTTATTTCTTTCAATAGGCAACATTAATTAGGAACTGCCACATTGATGGTTGCTGTCCAGGCAGCAGGAAATTATTATTTTTTATCTGTTACTGTTATGCTAAGATTAAATGTAAGGTCAGATTTTAATAGTTCACTGTGTCAATGGAAATTTTTACCATCCAAGACATTATTGATTTCCATAGAAGTAATTCATGAAAAAGTTATCCATCACCTACTGAGATGGGCTCTTCTTTTTCATAGTACTGCCAATACTTTCATTTCTTCCAATTTTTCTTTTCTAAATTAGGTTGAGGGTTAAATTTGTAAAAGCATAAGTACTTTACAATTATCACAAATCCAAATTACTAACTTATATAAGTTACGATGTGTCCTTCAATATCATGGTTTTTTCTTAAGAATGAGGTACAAAGATTATTTAGAGCCAAATGGATATTTAATTTTAAATTAAAAGACAAAAATTTTCAAAATTTTGTAATGAATCAATAGAAGGCCTTGATTAATATCACAAGAATAGCAAAATAGAATCAAGCAATAGTGTGTAGTTCAAAATAAAAAAATTAAATAAATTCCATTTACTTTCATTTCGTTATAAGTAAATAATAAACAAAAGATTTCTCATAATTACAACACAAATAAAAAAAAATACTAAGGCTAGAACTAATAAATGCTCCATCAAATAATTGATAAAATCGAGAAAAAAATCTTCTTTTTCTTACAATTCACCATATATTTAAATTTAAATTTATTATATTATACATACAAAACACGTTCTTAATGATAATAATAATAATAATTAATAATGTGTAAAGTGTAAACCTTCTGGCCAGCTTTGCAAAATTCAGAGAAGGAAAAAGGAATTATTGCTTCCAATGACAGTCTTTAGTTTTTGCCAATTCCAGTAAATAAGACTCAAATTAATTTTTCTATTCGCATTTTCATTTCATTTTCTTTGTAATAATTTCCTAATAAGAATCATCCAGTTGGCGTGTTTATTTCTTGCTACTATATAAATCACCATTTTCTTTTGTCTTTTTAACTTCTCTGGTATTCTAAATGCTATCAACAGCTTCTATTATCTTCTTTATCATAGGAAAACGAAAAACGCCAATGTTGCTTGTTAGCTCTTGTTTCCTCATAGGTTCTTCTTTTATCGTCAGTGGATTTTTCAGTCTCTCAATAGCTTAGTACTTTGAGCGTTTCACCCCCAAAAATTTTCTCTACAGCGTGGTAGTTGATGTTCTAAGTTCAATCTCTAAGTTTTTTTTTTTTTTTTTTTTTTTTTTTTTTTTTTTTTTTTTTTTTTTTTTTTTTTGAAAGAGAAACACACCACGAAAAAAATACTTTCTGAGAGTTTCAAAGTATCTTTGTTGCATTTTTCCTCAAAGTCTTGATAATCTTAGGAGGAGGCCCATCAAGCTGCACTTTTTTTCCTTAAAATTGGGGTTTTGCTAAGTAAGCAAACTAGGCCTTAACTCGTCTTCTGATTTTTTTTTTTTTTTTTTTTTTTTTTTTTTGAAGAGAACACACACGAAAAAAAATACTTTCTGAGAGTTCAAAGTATCTTTTGTTGCATTTTTCTCAAATGGGTTCTTGGATAATCTTAGGATGAGGCCATCAAGCTGCTATTTTTGTTCTTAAATGGGGTTTTGCTAAGTAAGCAAACTAGGCTTAACTCGTCTTCTGATATTTGACAGAGTAGCATTGTGGGTTTGGAGAGAGCTTAGGTGAACATGGGTAGGAAGAAGAAGATAAATAAGGAAGAGATTGCTGAGGAATGGTGTTTTGTTTGCAAAGATGGAGGTTTTATGAGGGTTTGCGACTACAAGTAAGTCTATTTTTCCTTTCAACTTTCAAGGGTCCACGACCCTACTTAATGTGTAAGTCTAACAACTTGGGATCTCTGTTTTGCTTGAGGGCCAAGAAGGGCTTTTCCTATCTTTGCACAGTTTCCTATTTTGGGCTGTTCTGGTTTTGGGTTGCCAAGTTGTTTCCTTTGTCATTTCTATTATTACTTTATGACGCACGTGAATTGCACGTGAATATCCACTGCTCTTCTGCTCACTGTGCCTATGAAGCTGTGATACATCTTTGAGGTTGAAGACTAGAAATTGCATAAACTGTTGGTAGCTTTGGCTTGAAATCTAATTGATGATTGTGAAAGTTATTTTATGTGTTGGCTTCTTAAGATTTGCCATTGGTGAATCTCTATAGTTCTCTATTAGTTCAAGTCTTCAAGATGCTACACGAAAGCTCTGACCATGTAATCCTGCTATTTTAAATTATGTCCTTTGTAGTAATCCTCTTAAATTCTGTGAAATTTGATGTATGAGATGATAGTTCACATTTGGTGCAGAACATGGAAAAATGTGGATAAGCTTTAACATAAACATATTATTATGTATTTATAACCTTCTGCGTTCAGGGATTGTGTTAAAGCATTTCATCCCCAATGTGTGGAAAATGATGATTCCTTCTTGGAGAGTGAAGATCCCTGGACCTGCAGTAAGTTGCTAACTTTAATCTATAATTGCTTTACTGTATTCAATCATTTTCAATGAAATTTTCCTATCTAAGATGAAACAGATCAAAGACCATAAAAAAAATATTTTACCCAACAAACCAGAATGCCAAGTCTTCTAGTAATATCCTAGTATTTTACTGTCTTAAAGAGTGTTCTAGTCATTCATTGTCTATTCTAAACTTCTAAACTTTCTCTTGTTGATTTCACCATTTATATTTTATCATTTTTCCAAGCCCATAAGATAATTACTTTTACATTTCAGAGTGGCATTTTTGCTTCATTTGCAAGAATACTCCAAAATTTCACTGCTTTTGCTGTCCAAAAGCTGTATGTGGACGCTGCCTCTGCGAAGCTGAGTTTGTTGCAGTTAGAATGAAACGAGGATTCTGTATTCACTGCTTAACACTTGCAAGATTTATAGAAGGAATAAAGAATTCTGATTCTGATGAGGTACGATTACTCCTAATTAAGTTTTCTACCATTCCTGCTTAAAAAATTGTCCAATTAGATGCTATGCTAGAGTTGCTAGTCGTGTAAAAATTCTGGTAGCTGTTCTAAGCATGTTTGCATTTTGTTTAGGAATCCATTGCTGCTGAATGTTCTTGTGATTAAAGAAGTAAATAAACAATGTAATTGAAAATATTGGAATCAATTGGCATAGTCAAATTGATATAAAGGTGTGATCGTTAGATTATCTTTTTCTTGTATCATTAGGCAGTATTTGTAAGTAATAAGTTCAGTTACAGAAGCAATTCCTTAATCCTTAGTCCCTTGAGCCATCCACACTTTAAGCTTTCTAATTCATTGGTTTCTCATTGGCTGTATGCTTGTTAATCTGTAGGTGAAGATGGACTTCAATGATCAAGATACATATGAATTCATGTTCAGGTATTACTGGGAAAAAGTTAAACAAAAAGAAGACTTAACTTCAGCACATGTCCGTTATGCAAACAATTTGTTTAATAGTGGTAGAAATGCTGGAAACTTATATGATTCAGATGATATTTCTGAAGGGGAAGAAGATGTTAGCGAATTTGAAGATGAAAATATATTTGATATTAATGATTTGAACAATAGAAAAGGACATAAAGCAGTGAATAAGGTGAAAAGAAACGAGGGAAATACTTATACAACAAAAAGAAAGGTGAAGTCAACAAAAAACGAGTTCAATGGATGGGGATCAAAACTCCTCTTTGACTTCCTTGCTTCCATTGGTAAAGACACAACCCAACAATTATCACAATATGATGTTACTAGCATCATAGAAAGATACTGCATTGAACACAAGCTTTTTCACCCAGAGAAAAAGAAGAAAATTATACGTGATGTATGGTTGAAATCTCTTCTAGGAAGGCAATCAGTTAATAGGAATAGTATACATAGCCTTTTGACACCCCATTTTGCTGAGAATTTTGAGCAATCAGAAGATGAGTATGGATATGGTTCAAAAGATAAGGATGAGAATATCTCAATAGCATGTAAAAGGCAGCGAAACTCAAGCAGAGGTAGAAAGTCTCAGGCCAAAGAAGCAGTGCCAGATGTGCAGCAAGGCTATTTTGCATCTATCATCACTGAAAACATCAGGCATCTCTACTTGAATAGAAGTTTGGTGGAGGAGCTGTCAAAGCAACCTGAGACATTTAATGCTAAGGTAATAGGAAGTTTCGTGAGAATAAGATCTGATCCATTTGACTATTCACAGAAAAATTATCATCAGCTTCTGAGAGTGACAGGTAATTCTCTCACTGATAGCTATACTACTGATCCATATTTGCAAAAGGTTTCCTATAATAAGGCAGTCCTGGGGACAATTCACAAACCTTTTTTATTGTCTTCTTCCTTGTGGGTCAAAAATTGCACTTGCATCAGAATTTCCCAATGCAAGAGTTAAGCTGTATAAATGAAAATGCATAGATTATACTCCCTCCGTTCTTTTTATATAAAAACAACTAATTTTTCATTAAGATTAAGAAAGTAGTTTAATCAACTTTTTTTTGTCATTTTTTTCCTAATTTACCCCTAATATATCATTTATTCCTCCTCTAATATCAATATATACCTTAAGTTATGTTTCGATCTTCAACGAGGTCTTAAATGCTTTGTTGGAACAAAGGGAATAAAAATAGTTGCAAAAACTGGAGTTCATGCACTGACCTGTGGAGAGAAATTCATTTTTTGTCCTTTATTTGGGAAAAATATGAAAATCTATGTTCAATTAACCTTACAACTGCCTTTGATTATTGAAAATATACTTTAAATATTGCGCAATTTTTTAAATATTCAGCGAAATCCGTAAAAATTCCTTTTAATGTGGTCAACTTGAAAATTTTGTGACCTTTTTCTATTCAAACTTCATTTTAATCAATGCTTATATAACCTATGCGAGCACATTTTTTTTGTACAATGGAAATTGATGAAAAAAATCTATTCTCCAAAATTTATTCATATTAAATGCTCATTTATACTTTTATCTAGCATTATCCTGAGAATCTCACAAAAGATTAAAACAATGGTAAAATATATTTTCACATTAGCATGGTTTCCAAAGTTATCAAATTAGGCAAAATTTCCTATATAAAAAAAAAACACTTAACATGGAAACTTTTCTTATATAAAAAGAAGAGAGGGAGTAACTATTAATGGTAGAAATCAGTAAGTTCCAAATAATCAAGATTTCTCCATGTCAACTCAAGCTCTGACATTTTTCTTCACCTCACTTGTTTCTTGTTGCATATCTACGATCTGTTTGTGTTGTGTACATGCAATGTGGGTGTCATCTGAATCAAGTTATATGTACAATCTGAGTGGTACATTTTTTCCAACAATCTTGATGTTGTAAACTGGAGCCACTTTTACCTATAATTATCATTAATAATTACAGGCATAAAGAGAACTTCAGGAGACGAAGCGAATTCAGATATTCTCCTACAGGTTTCCAATATGCCAAAAGACATACCCACTTGTAAGCTATCAGAAGATAACTTCTCTAAGGTAACAATAACATTTCATATTTGAATGGTTACTTAACCCTTTAAGCTATATAGTATTATGAAGATAAAGAAGCAGTTTAGCTGATTGATGCAAAGAACTCTCCAATGTGATCATTTACTGATTTGTGTTGTTTTATTTTTCAGGAAGAATGTGAGGATTTGCGACAAAGGGTGGAACATGGTAGACTAGGGAGACCTACTGTTGTGAGTGTTTCTTGATTATGAACTTGGTGTCACAAGTATACACTTTTTAACAGCTTGAAAATTTTCCAAAACTATAAACCAATTTAAGCCAATTTGTCAATTACTTTTTAGATTAACTGTTAACATGTAGACATAACTGTTGCATGATTTTTTCCCTCTAACTGACAGGTGGATTTCAAGGAAAAGGCCACAAGTCTCCATGAGGTTATAACAAAACATGTATGTACCCCCTTAATCATCTAGAGAAATAGGAGTTGAATAGTAAAAGGGACCACTCATCTCATGAGAGACTGGATATATGCAATAAAACACCCAAAAAAGAAAATTATGGTGAAGAAAAGTGACTTGAAACTGCATTCAACAAGCAAAAGAGGTGGTCTCACTCAGATACTTTATTGTGAGCTTTGAAATTATATACTTGACCTGTAATACTTTTTCTGCTTAATGTCAATTTAGACTGACAATATGCTTCCAAAGATTTTTCAATGTTTCACACAAAAAAAAAAAAAAAAAATCAAGAAATAGTGACTTGAAACTGCAGTTGCAAGCAGATCTATGAAGAGAGGTGGTGTCGTCGACTCAGTAGTGAACTTTATTGTGAGCTTTAGAATATATATCTATTGCCGTTAATTACTTTTTCTGCTTAATGCCCTCAATTTTAGGACTGACAAATAATGCTTCCAAGATTTTTCAATAGTTCTCAACCAACCAAAAAAAAAAAAAAAAAAAAACTCTGCTTTCGTGGACAATTTGCTTTAAATTATTTTTTTTTAAGATCTCTTTTCTTGTGGTGATTTCGAGAGAATTTTAGTTTCTGATCTTTCTTCCTCTTCCTCTTTATCCAACTGTTGAAATTCAGTGGTAATGACCAGGCTCATGTTATTTAGAACTCTCTGTTTCCTTTACAATTTAAATGCCTTCTTAAATCTCTTATTTTTTTGTTGTGTGCTTGACTGCATGTTTATCTGTCCTCTCTGTACTATCTCCTTCCCAAAGCCGTCTTATACCCAATGTCGATTGTGAAGAGTGCGTGCTTCTGTATTTCAAATATGAATGTCATGAGATCATGTGCAAAGATGTATTGAGAAAAAAAAAAAAAAAAAAAAATCTCCTTTCGTGGACAATTTTGCTTAAATTATTTTTTTTTTTTAAGATCTTTTCTTGTGGGATTTCGAGAATTTTAGTTTCTGATCTTTCTTCCTCTTCCTTCTTTTCCACCTGGAATCAGGGTTAATGGACCAGCTCATGTTATTTTAGACTCTCTGTTTCCTTACAATTTTAAATCCTTCTTTAATCTCTTATTTGTTTTGTTGTGTGCTGACTGCATGTTTATCTCCTTCTGACTTTGCTTTCCTTTCCAAAATCCGCTATACCCAAGTGGATTGTGAAAGAGCTGGCTCGATTGCAAAAATGTATTGATCAGGCAAATGAGAAGGGATGGAGAAGAGAATATCCTTTGATATTGTATTATATCACACAAATTGAACTTGGTAACCTTTTCTGAGAGCATTTGAATGGTTCAATAAAATTAAAATGTCAACAATGCATGTCTGTACACATTATCAGATGTGGGAAGCTTTTCCAAGCAACTCAAAAACTTTTTTATCATTACCTTGTTCTGCCATTTACTCCATCTAGAACTCATTGAGACAAAATTATCATAAATTCGCAAAAACCTGAAAGCCCAAAAATCTTTAATGGAAATGATGATGCTATTTTCTTATCAACTGGTGAGTCTTATTTCATATTTGTGTGCCATGGATTCTTTGTAACATCAAACTTATCTTAGAGATTTCTTGTTTCTTTCTGTGGTGTCACGCCACATATGCTTATACATCAAATTTTTGTGACCAATCTCATAGAAAATGATAAGTGATGTTACCCTTAACTTCATTCTTGGGTACGTTTTCTGAGTACATGGAAAGGTTGAAGCTGCTTCAGACACCATCAGAACAAGCACGGTTGTCAGACGAGGTTCCAGAAATAATTGCAGATGAAGCAGAAATTGAACCTGCTGACAAGGACTTGAACAGGAAGGATGAGAAGGAAAACAATACCTCACCAAAATCAGAAATCAGAGAGTTGTCGAGGCCCTCTACAAAAATTTCACGAGACAATGGGATCTCTTCCAGCTCGAATGATGGAGCAGATTTTACAGGTCAGTTACAGTGAACCAGAGTTTTAATTTTTTTTTTCTTTCCCTTCCATATGCTTCATGATTAGTAATATGATAGGGAGATGAACATGAAAAAGAAATGTTTCTAGATTCTAATATCAAAACTTAGAAGTTCTTGTATCTTTAGGCCTTAATAAATTCTAGTGTGCTGAAATATTTTGTTTTTTCTTCTATTCAACAAGGCAAATCCCAGGTTGTTCTTCCAGAAACACAACATCAGCCTGGTAATTCTAGTTCTGGAGAAAAGAAAGTTAAACCAGCGGACATTGAGAATGAAGAGATGAAGAACAAACAAATTGCACCAGCCATAGAGGTAATTCAGTTAAGTGATGATGAGGAGGAAGATAAGAGCGTTGCATTAAGCAAGCAAACACCAGAAGATCTAGATTCTCGTATATGGCACATTGTAAGTCCACATGGTATCAAAAAGGACCATTGCTCAATGAGTTTGCTTAAAGAATGGAGTGATATTTGTCCAGTATCTTTGAAATTCAAGGTTTGGAAGACTGGCCAGAGCCCTGAAGAAGCGGTTTCTCTGGCTGATGTTATTCATCAGTTTTTTCCAGTTTAAGTGAACAAAAGTTTAGCGTTGTCCAAATCTGCCTCATACAGAAAACCATAGAGATATAGCAAAGCTTTGTACAAAATCCTTATAGAGTTTTAAAGCGCAGCTTATTCTACGAGTCGGTACAAACAGATTACTTTATTCAGAAGGAACCAATGCAAATGAAATTTATAACTCAATTAATAATGACTACTTGCAATCGTACAAATAGATTAGTTGAAATTTATGACATTTTAAGAAGCTTTCTACTGGACTAATCTGATTATTTTTCCAACCTAGAAAAAAATGGACAGATAAAGCATCTTACATGATATGCAAATATGCAATGACCTAATCCCTCTCAATTTTACAAAATGATATAGAGTCTAAATTTATAATCCAGCAAGAATTTTGACCTGTTAACCACTTCATTCGTAGAGTTCACACAAAATTCTTCTCCTCTGGACTTCCCTCAGCAGCTTCTCTCCTTAATGCTTGAAGCCTTTCTCTAAGTTTCTTACTCTGTTCAAAATTTGCCTTCCGCTTCACAGCTTTCTGAGGAAAAAGTTCAAAATCTAATTTCAATTTCTGAATATATATATATTTTAAAGTAAAAAAAGGAGACAAGCAGAACAATAACTCACTTCCTCGCGAAAACACCGATCAAGCTTTATTTTAAGGTCTGTGCATTCACCAAAGAATTTTCCTATAGGATGGTCCAAATGACACTTCTGGAACTGTTCAATAATCTGCAAAATATTCATGCTGCTTGATTTACAAAATGAAAGCTTTGAACATCAAAGTACTTCCAAATCTAAATATAGCAAAAATAAATAGCATAAGTTATATTTGACTTCTCTTCTCTTGATAAAGCATCAATAACTTAGGAGGGTTAAGATCTCCATAATATACTACAACTTTACGCCTGCCAGTTCAAGCTCAGGCTGACAAATCCTTTAGGACCAAATACTGTAAAATACAAATTGATTTTAAGGATAGCGTTTGAACATCTCATGCATAAGGTTTGATTTAAAAGTGGCATTCGATCCATGTCTTACAGTGGCAACCAGATAAAAAAAAAATGAAGAGATAATATCCATGCTTTTGGCATAGATGAGATAGTATCCCAAATAAAAACTCAACCTAACTTTACAAGCACATAGCAGGGGTGAATGCACTGGTGTCTATCAAACCCAAGTTTATGGAATTTTTATTTTTCTCCTTCAGAATTCATTTGTCAAAAGAGAATTCACTTTTCCTCCCCAAAAATGTCCTTCATCGAACAAAGTTGTCATCTGTAATCTAACAACAATTTGTTCCACTTATCACCACCATCGCTGAACCCATGCCAACAAATCTACAAAGTTATAACTGATAAATCCAATACCAAAACCATCTGATAAAATAGATTTTCCTATTGGCACCAAGTAGTTTGTGGAAAATGAATCATAATAAGAAACAAAAGGCACAAGGCAAACTCACCTCAGCACACATTGGGTGCCTATGCAATGTCAAAGGTGGATGCATTTTGCTGCAAGAATCCAACCCTGAAAAAAGGGTTAATATTAATAGATACTAAGCAATCAGAATCAAATTCTCCTAGAAAAAAGATAAGAATAAAATACTCAGACCATAAGCAGTTTCACCTTAGCAAATCCTAAATTACCATATTATTAGACTTAAAAGATTAGCATATTACTGAAATTGGATAAAACAAACTAGAAGGTAAAAATAAAATAAAATTAAGATGATCTGCATAGAGAAATTCCTCAAGCAATGGAAGAAAACGGATTACTCATCGAACCCAAAAATACCAATATGGATATAAATAAATACACCCATGAACATGTATAAAGCGCTATGCTCACATATTTTTCACGAGTATATGAAGAAATACATAAATAAAGAGTACCCAGATCAAAAGGACGGCAAATAAGCCGAGTTGAGAGTCATAAAGAATCCAATTCAGTTGGGTGAAAATTGATGAAATTGAGAAATTTGTTAAAACGCACCGATTTTAGTTCGTACCGGTCTTCCCTCTGGAAGTAGACAAGTAGTAGCTCCCGCAGGTGGAACCGTGGAGGCAGATAGAGAAACTTCAGCCGCTAGTTTTTGCTATAAACAGTTCATAAACGACAGCATTTCATTTTCTAGCAATGCAATAAGACGACAGTCGTTTATGCTTTTTAAGATTTCTTCCGTTTCACGAGTTTTCTTTTTCTTTTTCTTTTTCTTTTTCTTTTTTTTTTTTCAAATTACATGGAAAAGAGGATTCATCCTTTTTTTTTTTTTTTTCTAATAATTCTAATACAATAAAGCATGAAGAAAATGAAAATCTCATATATGTTAATATACGGGCCTTCAAATATGTTATTTAAATTGGTGTGCCATTTTCCGAACCCTGTAAAAAGATCATATTTTGGTTTAAACAAGAAAGCAAGAGCATAAGGATTTGCAGGCAACATAATCTTTTCTTTTTCTATATAAACGTATTTGTACACTACAGCAATTTCTCATGAACTCCGATAAGAACAGGCGTGAAAATGCTGTCAGGGAAAATACAACACCATGTATGATCATATGATTGCATGAACAAGAGCTACAAAAACTTTCATGCAGAATTTCAACCCACAAAATAGTATAATTCATCTACTGATCGCTTTACAAATACAGAGAATTCTAACTGATCAAGATATTTTCTTTGGGCTAGAAATTTCTATGAATGGATGTGATATCTCTCATCCCATGCGATGGAACTGGTTGCTCTTTGATGCGCGACAAAAGGATGGAAACTTGCTCGGTGGCAATCTCCAGCCTTTCTTTTGACTTTGCAGCTTCATTTACTAGAGTTGATACCATATTCTGCAATAACTGCATTCTCTCTCCATGATCATTTGGAGAAGTGTGAGGAAGCTTGGCAGGAGATGTGCTAATCCGCCGCCAACGGATAGGGAGATATCTTTCTGGAATCTGAAAACAATTTCCTGTGGAGAGAACTCGAAGAGCATGCCGACATAGAATTCCAGAGAACTCAAACTGATGGCAGCTGCAACTAATGATGCCCTCCCTAGGAACCCAATATACTTTTCGGCCTCCATCAAGCTTCGTGTGGTGTCTCACTAGAAAGCCATCTTCCATTTGGAATGATGCATAATGGGCTGCCAAAACAAGTTGTTCTTGGAGCTTAGAGAAGGCATACGGTGTAAGGACTGAGAGAGCATGTGATTCCATCGGTGCCCCAGTCTTTAGGCATATATTTTGGAGATTCTGCTGCATTATTTGCTGTTCAGCAGCTTGATCTCTAAAATCCACAGCGACAGCAACCTGCTTATGCAATGCGAAATCAAAAATATAAAAAAGTTTTTCCAAAAATAAATTCTATCAGCACCAAAATAATGAAAGGTGGAAAAAACGTAGACTACTTTCTCAACCACCTGGTACCTCTAAATCATTATCCCCATCAGGAAATAAGGAAAAAAGATACAGATAAGCATGGATTCACAATTGAAACTACAACGTGAACAGTTAAAAAAACAAAGACAGTTATTTTGATTTGGAATGTGCTCAAAGAGGACATGCAAATCTGTACTTGCTTACAGGTTGAAACCCATCAATCAAGCAAAAATTTCATGCTTTCCTAGATTATTCAGGAGAGAATGGAATCTTGAGTGGGTTCAAGCAAACCCAAAAATCTTGATAGTTAGGCTTGGTTACAAGAAATTGTGACATTTCTTAATTGGCCACAAATTGGGGTGGCACCACAACCCAACCCCACGCCAGATTGGTAACACACTGCTTTTTACAATTTACATAAACCATGACATAATCACATCTAGCTTATAGAAAGAAAAACAACAGTTCTATACAAATTTGAAGTCAAAACCAAGGAACCTGAGCTTGTGGTCATTGCCTTTGTAAGCTTGATCTTATCACATCATTGACAATAATTTACCTTTTCATAGTTCACAGATACATTTCATCAGGTTGTCTATAAACAAATCACAACCCCATAGTGTTATGTGGCAAAAACTATATAAACCAACGGCTTTGAAGTCATGACTATAGGATTGAGGTAAAATTTTGGCATTTTAAACTAGATGGGAAATTCAATCCAACTCCCAGTGATTCCATATGAATAGCAAGAGGCTTACTTGTTCCACAAAATGTGCAAGCCGTGTTTGTGCGCTCAGAAACCGTTGGATGAAAGCATTGATTGACTTTGAATAACCTGCTGCTGTCATTCCTGCAAAGAAATGGCTTCTCAAGTATGGTAATGCCCAAAGCATGCGCAAGGCATACAAGTTGGCTATGTGTCTGTTATTGTGCAGCCCAAAAGAATTAACCATGTCCCTCCAACCCAGTTCAAAATCCTCAATTGACTCCAGGTTGTAGAGTCGATGAAAATCTGCCTTCCACTCATTATAACGTTCTCCCAAAACAGCATTAAACCAGGATGGAAACTTCGCCACAATCATCCATATGCAAAGTGCATGTTTCGTTGTTGGCATCTCCATAGCTATTGCTTCTTTGAGGCACATATTCTGGTCAGTTAAAATTGTTTGTGGAGCCTTCCCATTCATGAAGCCTAGGAATGCCTGTCATATAAACAACATAACAAGAAAACATCGCAGTAAATTTCAGAAGCGAGTTATAGGTGAGTGTGACAGAATATGTGCACATGTGATTGCATGTATCCAATGATCATCATCAATTATGAAGCCACCATTCACAGTTTAATTAAAGATATGGTGTAATCCAAAAAGTCAAATGACAGCAACGCCAGACTTGTTGCAGAACACAAACCAGAGGCTTAGGGTCAAAGCAAACATAACAAATAGAACAAACATTGCAACTGGTTGTTCATCCCCACTCACAACATTCCTAAGTTTGAACATAAGTTATAGAGAATCCCCAAACTATTCCACATCTATACAACATAGACAGCATATTTTGTAGTATAAACATCTCACTAGCCATTATTTCTGATCCACCACGTTAACCATCTCCTGCATATTATCCTATTAATTTCTATTAATCAGTTTCAGAATCTACAGTTCCCTTCCTCTCTCCCTTTCTTTTCTTTTTTTTTTTTTTTTTTTTTTTTTTATTTTTTTTTTTTTTTTTTTTTTTTTTTTTTTTTTTCCCCTAGATGGAAGGATATGGTCAACAAATTGGAGCAAATAAACATAAAGATCAGTATGTGCAATATAAAATGTAAAGGGAGATTACTTCTCATTCTATTACCTTCAGTGCCCATGATAATGACCTCAAATTTTCCTCTCGTAAGAGCACGCAACCAAAGAAACATGGCATACCATAATTATTCACTCCAACCCATATCCCAAGGGGCATGTCAAATGCTGTCAAGCGATGTGTTGTATCAAATACCACTGCATCACCAAAGATCTCATATGACTGGATGGATGACGTGTATGACCAAGCTATGTTCTCTAACCTATTGTTCGAGTCAAGTGTGTATTCAAATTTAAAGTTGGGGTCCTTCTCTTTTATGTTTCTGCACATTCTTAATAAGTCTATGCTCTCATCTTCTGGATCTAATTTCCTGAAGGACTGGAGTAGATTCCTCACATCCTTCTCTGTAAATGGTAAATATCCAGGCTCCACACATTTTTCAAGCTCCATAAGCCTCATCATTTGCTGAACTGAAATTCCCGTTTTGGCAAACATGAGGATTCTGCTTTTATCTGTATCTGATATGGTTCGATATGCAGGAAGAAAACGGACTTGATTTGGTTCTAGGAGTTCATGATTGTGGTGGTTTGCAAAACCTGTGACACGCCATTCTGGTGTCCCTAACTCCGTGGTCTTGCTTATCCTCATATATGCTTGACAACCACATCGGGAGGATTTTCTATTCCTTTGAGGTTTACTTTCATTTGAGGTTTTTGCAGGGGTGTTACCAGCACGATGGCAGACAAAATAACGTCTAGTGAGTCCTTTCCCAACCCCATCTTTTCCTTCTGTGCGGTGACGGCGGATTGAGAACCCACATCGCCTGGCAAATTCTGTATAGAATTCATAAGCTGCATCATGAGTAGCAAATCTCTGCCCAATGTATGGAATTGCATCATTAGTAGTTTCCAGTGAAAGTCTGATCTTCTGGATCTAATTTCCTGAAGGACTGGAGTAGATTCCTCACATCCTTCTCTGTAAATGGTAAATATCCAGGCTCCACACATTTTTCAAGCTCCATAAGCCTCATCATTTGCTGAACTGAAATTCCCGTTTTGGCAAACATGAGGATTCTGCTTTTATCTGTATCTGATATGGTTCGATATGCAGGAAGAAAACGGACTTGATTTGGTTCTAGGAGTTCATGATTGTGGTGGTTTGCAAAACCTGTGACACGCCATTCTGGTGTCCCTAACTCCGTGGTCTTGCTTATCCTCATATATGCTTGACAACCACATCGGGAGGATTTTCTATTCCTTTGAGGTTTACTTTCATTTGAGGTTTTTGCAGGGGTGTTACCAGCACGATGGCAGACAAAATAACGTCTAGTGAGTCCTTTCCCAACCCCATCTTTTCCTTCTGTGCGGTGACGGCGGATTGAGAACCCACATCGCCTGGCAAATTCTGTATAGAATTCATAAGCTGCATCATGAGTAGCAAATCTCTGCCCAATGTATGGAATTGCATCATTAGTAGTTTCCAGTGAAAGTCTGGTTTCATCAGGTGATTCCTCTGTGCTACTTGTATCATCCAAAGACAGAGATCGCTGGTCTGACGGTTCATCATAAACCATGAGCATATGTCCAGCCTCTTCAGACATCATGTACCTCATTAATACAAGTAAAAGGTCGGCTCAAAACCCTGTGTACAATACACCAACAAAATAAGCAAACAAAATAAGCAACCTATTTCAATTCCTTCAGTGAAGTAAATGCACTGTAGAATGACATATTTCTCTAAGTATGCATATTAATGCTGCTAGCAAAAAAAGGTAAATTCATAACGATGCTTGTAATAGCAACGAATAAGGTTGTTAGAATAATCTCATCTTCAGCAGCTAACAATATCAATGTTACTATTATAACCCATTTCAACTAATATTGCATGATCATACTTTTGTGAATGATAAAACAACTAGACAGTAAAATCCACTACATTACTTTCTGAAGTTTAGATAAATACATGTTTCACAATATCCAACATGACGAGTCAAATGTGACCTTGTTCAACCAAGAAGCCCATAAATAACAACTAATAAACAACAATGCTATTCTACCAATTACATCTTGGATTTTCTGATTTCAGAATTTTCATGTTCACTGATTGTAGACGCTTGAGGTCAAATTGGAACTTATGGTCCTGAAAGCAAAATGAGTTTTTGTCCTTTCACCGTTTTGGGAGGAATGCATGAACAGAAAGCATTCACTAAATAACAAATTGAATGCACTTACTGAGTGATTATATAATGTGGGTTACTTTTCCTCTCAGTTTTCATTAATATTGTAAAATTCAGTTGGTCTTCCTACGGGCTGGGATTCTTTTGCCATGTCATAGTTCTCAATTGCATTTGATGCATCTGAATTCTCTCGCCACATCCTTGGAAAAGAAAGTGAAAAATAAAAGGACAGTGGCATGTAATTGAAGGAACCTAATTTATGCAACTAGAATTATTCAACTCTTCTGACAATTTTTCTTCTTCTACCAGAATATTTAAGGGCTTGATTAGTTGTGGAAAACCTGATTGCATTTTCCAGTTTTGTTCTCCATTTTTCAGTTTCCTGATTCTCTATACTCCAAAATGATAACCGGAAAACATGTTTATTTATTCAATTTTCTATTCCATGTTCGCTTTGTAAGATTGTAATTCACAGTTTTATATTAAATAATTATTATTTCATTAAAAACAAAAAATTATTCAAAAGTAAATATAAAATAATCCTATGGTCTCAATCTATAATAACATTTCAAATAGAAAATACTATAGCAATTATCATTAAGCTATTTTACCATGTCTTCCAATTGGCAAAAGAACTCTTTAGTTGGAGGGAAATGTAAAAGCCAGCATAAATTTGCAAAAATACGAAATCTGATTTCTAATTTTGCATTTGGAAAATTTTCACTACATACTCCGTTTCTAAATTTTCTTGGTATAATTTTCTGGGGAACAAACCTTGTTTTCCACAACTACACAAGGCCTAAGTTTCTCGCAAATAAATGATTTTCAAGGACGTGAAAAGTAAGCACATTGCAACTCAGCCATTCAAATAGCAGAACTCATATCAGTTCAGAAGCTAACGATTCAATCTCTGACATAAAAATCAAACTCAACAAGAATCATCGTGAAAAAATCAACCGATTCAATGCTTAATCAAAGAAGTATACATTAAATTTCCCCCACATTTTTATAATTCAAACGGAAAAATTCTGATGAAATGTAAATCAAAAAAAAAAAATTTCTTTCGCTCCCTTCGTTATATCAATCAAAATTTATAGACGCCCAATTCATAAAATATAATATATAAAGAGGGAAAATATAAGAAAGAGGAAGAGAAAAGTACCGATCAATCAAGGATCCATTGGTGTAATGGTAAACTACTGGGAAATTTTGACGAGACCTGCCCTAATTTGCGCAGGGTGGTGAAGGAGACCATTGCGCACCTTTTGTTATCGTACGCTTTACTAGTTTCCAAATACTGTTTAAAATTAGAACGACGCCGTTTACTGTTTCTTCAGAATTATGCGTTTAATTCGCGCGTTAAAGATAATAATCGGATAACAACGAACAACCAGCACGAGGTAAATGGAAAGTCTCACTGATCAATCTATATCAATATAATTGTTTGTAAAATAAATCAACAATCAGAGTGGCGCAGCGGAAGCGTGGTGGGCCCATAACCCACAGGTCCCAGGATCGAAACCTGGCTCTGATAAGAGTAGCTTCCGAAGTTTTTGCCTCGTTTTTTCCAATATTCATTTATTTTATTTGAGATAATCAATTCTCAATTCGGTTTGATGCATAATTTCTTATTAATTTTCAAGATATATAAATTTAGATTAATAAAAGTTAATCATTTTTTTTCAAATGTCTCAAATGCTAATAAATCTTAACTTTTTTTATCAATTTTTATGGTCCGATATTTTTTTTTTTAATGGCAATACTACAAAAACATAGAAAAATTAGAAACAATTTTTTACTCCAGAAAAAAAAAATTTTGACCAGTTTGATAATTTATAATTATAAATCCTTTTAACTTTTGTCAGTCACATATATATTATATGATCTCTCTTATCTATTTCGATTTAATCAGTATTTACCGGTACATATCTATATAAACGTGTAAAGAACAAAATAATAATTTTTGAATTATTCTTAGAAAAATAAAGTAAAATTGTCTAAAAATTATACCAAATTCAGTCGATTTAGTTTAATACTGTATATAATTTGGTTTCAATTTCAATTTAAAAAATATAATTAATTTTTTATTTTATCAATCAAAACCGACCTATTGCAAACCCTAAATTAAATAAAACAAATGAACAATGGCCATGATAAAAGTTGTGCCCTGATCGTGCTTGCTTGTATGTGTAGGATATTTGATTCAGTTGCCTGTCAATAGCCATTTGTATAATTTAATTTCAATTTTTAATTTGTAATTGACTCGTATTTTTAAATAATTTTTTAATTCAATTTAATGAAACTGAGGTGATTTGAACATTTTATAAAACGTTGTCTTAACCTCCAAAAAATAGTTCAAATACTATATTAATGAACATCATAAAAAGTAGCATTTAGCATTTTACTTAAAAAAGTTGTTGTCGAATATGGTTTACACAGCACGAAGTTCAAAAAAATACTATGATTTTCCATTCCTCGTATAACTAACTGAATTATAACTATTTCAGATCATATAATAAATATAATTTAAAAAATTGAATGTATAAACTCAATTTCCATGATAAAATGAATGAGTGAAAATTTCTTTTAGGATTAATAGATTTTACACATGAATAAACATCTGCGTGCATCAAATTTGCAAGTGCATTATTCATCAAATTAATTAATTTCATAAATATTATAAAATTCATTCATGAATAAGTATAAAATTTTGGAATTATTAATTTTATTATTTACAAAAGCACCAGCTAACCTTATACTATCAAATAACTATAATAATACCAAAAAAAATAATAATTACCTATATTAGTAATTATTAATATGATTATTTAGGTTAGCTTATTTAATACTCCATAATATTTAATTAAGCTGTATACAACTATAAATGCCAATATAATATTCTCTTCTATAGAGACTTGACAACTAACAAAATTCTTCATTTATACTCTTCCCAAATATTAACAAACGTTTTTAATTATTTTAAATGAGAATCAACAAAAGAAATGGGGCTTTCAGGTCATGTTTCTAGTGGGACCACTAAAAGCCACCTGTATCAAAAGGAAAGCGAGTTCTCAGTACTTTCTACTCCCGCCAATCATTCTCTCGCGTGTTTCCCACTTATTTTAAATTATTTTTAAAATAATTAAACGTATTTAATAATAAAAAAATAAGTATAGTCCCATTGATTTTCTCCTTTACATATAAAAGAAAATATTATTTTAACTTAAAAAAATTATAAATACAACTGATTATTATAGAATCTTAATAAATTTTTAACTATATTTTATTAATATATGTGAAAGTTAAACTATTGCTTTTTTTATGGAATAAAAGAATATATAGAATTCTAATAAAATTTATTCATTCATTTATAGATTATTTATTTGTATATTTACTCCTTTGTATCAATAATTTTTACTTTCCAAAAAAATTGCTTTTTTTATTTGTAGAGAAGTTTAATAGCCAAAATAAATTAGAATTGTCTTCAAAAGTATAAAATGATTTCGAATTTTATTCATTTAATATTATAATTAATTTTTCAAGAATTATTTTCTTATAGAATATATAATACTAGTAAAGTTTTTGTTAATTTATACGTATATTTTCACATTTTTTTATAATTGAATATTGATCTTATCTATTCATATCTTTTTTAAAAAAGTTCCATCAATAATGTATCAGAATCACCACTTTTTTTTTTTTTTACTCGAGAGATTTTAATGGTGAAATTCAAAATTTAAATAATAAAATTTTGATTATGGGAATTTGAAAATATTTAATTTTATAATTGAGAATTCAATTAAATTAATAAAAAATATAATTTTTAGAGAATATTCATTTTATAGAACATTAAACCACTAGTTAACTAACCAAATTTTTATTCCTTTTTTTTTAAAAAAAGACCAAATTTATAGTTTATCTCATAATTTTGTTTTTTGAACTTTTGGGTTCATTTGTTTGGCTATTCCTTTGCTATAACGTCACCGTTTAGGGACCAACCCATGAGGTTCCCTTCCTTTTTTCTCTTTTGACATTCTCTCCTTTTCTTTGACCTTTATAGCTTTGCTTTCTCTCATCAACTTTCTCTTATACACTTACGATTCTTTGCTTTATCCAAACACACAAGGCTTCTGTCTTAAGTTGATTTAACTCTTAAAAAAATAAAAAATGTCCTTTTGCCCTTTCCTCTTCCTTTTGGCCTTTTATGTTGTTAGTTGATGAATGCATACTTTATTTCTTTTACTTTTCATCTCCATTTCCATTATCTCTGCAAGATGAAGTCTTTCAGTTGTGTAAGCTCTTTCTCTTTCTCTTTCTCTTTATTGTATATGGGTTGGTTGGTTTGTGGGTATGTTTGAGTTTTTCTTTTTGCTTTTGAATTTTTCTTAAAGGATTGTGCTTTATTGTTTATGAACTTGATTAGCTGCTCCTGTCCTTTTTTTTTTTTTTTTTTTTTTGGATTTGGCTTTATTGTTTATGAACTTGGATTAGCTTGCTCCTGTCCTTTTTTTTTTTTTGTTTCTTATTTTTTTTTTTTTTTTTTTTGTTTCTTATCGTTGTAGAGTGATTAATGATGGTTGTTTTAACTTTGCTTTATCATAATTATGGGGATAACAAAGGAAGAAGGAATTTTATTTTACCTTTTCTCAGACTGAAACATCATTTCTCTGTTCTTCTGTTTGGCTGATTAGAAAACAGAGGAAAACTGAAGTAATTCGAAAAAATTGGCTCTTTGAGTTTCTGTTTGTTTTTGGTTTCGAAAAGTGCGAGTCTGTTGTCTCCACCAGCAAGAGGGAGAGAGAGAGAGCAGAAACCAAAGGAATTAATTATTTTTAAAATCCTTCCTGCATTTCTTTCGCCACTTCTGTAAGTGCTTATATTTTGTCAGTTTTTGGATTCTTTTAAGGTCATTTATTGGATTTTCTCTTTTTTTTTTTTTAAAATGAATATTTTGCTGAATTTTCATTAATTTGTGGCGTTGAGGGGTTTATGGCTTAAATTTATATAAAAAAAATACTAATTCATATATTTTAATGAAAATAAATTTCTATAACTCATAAGTTTTTGACAGTTTCAAGTTAGTGGGCAGTGCTTTTGCAATGTAACTTTTGGAGTTTCTAAATGCTTGAATCTCGAGTTGATAAAGTAGTCATCTCCAAAGATTGCGACTTTTTGGTTCATTTGTGGATTTATTCATATGGGTCCTCAATAGTTAATAGCTTGCTGAATGCGTTCTGGGTTGCGGTTTGATATCCGGACGACACAGTAAAATCCATAAGATATTATTTTGAGTGTCTATATTGATAGATTTTCCTGTTTCCCTAGGATATGATATCAAATGCATTAATTGCATGTAGAAGAGTCCTTGTAATTTTTGGACATTTTTTTGCTTATCTTTGCATTTCCCCCCTGCTTATGTTTCCTTTGTGGCCATTCACATTTCGATCTCCTTGCTGTGCAAATAACACGTGATTATAAATTTTCAGGTTTCTGCACCATCGGATCCTAAGAGCAGATCATGCCTTTGGACTCTCTTCTGTTTGGCTTCCTTAATTTGCACTGTTTACTTCATTAGCAGTTCATTCTTTGGAAAGGAATATAAAGAAGTATGTATCTGGTTTTTTCGATCCCTTAGTTTTGAAATTCGCTTTTGCTGAACTGGATGTTATAGATGTTGTTTTTTTGGTGGACTTGGATCTTTTGGCTTGACATGACAATTTTTTGTTCATGTAAGAGAATCTTAATTTGCTTATGTTACTAAAATAAAAGAAAATTGTGGTAGTAGTTTTATTCCTGAAATTTTTAGTTTTTATTTCAGATTTCAGACCTTTGTTTTTGTCAGAAACTGTGTACTGATGTTATTGATTGTAAAGTTGAACTATAAATGAAATGAAATTGTAGAGTATTCAAATAAAAAATAGAGCTTTGAAATTGTAATTCCATTCCTAAGGTTTAAAGAACTTGATCTTGTAGAAATTTGAAACACCTTGAATTTTTTCCCATTTTGTATAAAGAGCAACCAAAATGCAAACTCTTAGCACTTGGCAGCAACTGATGTAGCCTTAGTTGTAGACCACCAACAACTATTCTATAATGATTTTGTGCTGGAAATTATTCGTGCAGGGCTTAAAAGGATGGCAAGTTATTGAGCCAATGCAGAATATAAAATCTAATAAATGCAAGGTTTGCTCTTTTACTAAAAATTTAATGTGAAAAATACATTGGAGCACGGTCAGTAAATTCATGTATATTTTTGTTTCTGATCTCCAATTTATTCTGCTTAGGATCATTGCAGGCCTTCTGGAAGCGAGTCATTGCCCCAAGGAATTGTCAGAAAAACGTCGGACTTCGAAATGCGGTCCCTATGGAACAATTCTGTGGAAGATGTGAGTATAGGTGTCATCATGGTACATAACCCATGATATAAGGAACTTGAATTGCATGAGATAATCTTTTGATTTCATATGATTTTATGGCACTTGAATTGGGTCCTTATTACTGAAGGACTATGTATTTGCTTTTTTCCTGCTAGATGATCCATGTATAGCTTCTAGGACATTTATAGTTTCTTGCTTGAAATTCTCTCTCTTAACCCTTATACAGTTCTCTCTGGGTGCTAGAACAAGCCAAAGCCTTCAAAAAGCTTATTAGCTCTTGCAGTTGGAATTAAGCAAAAACAAGTAGTGGACCAAATTGTTAAGAAGGTGGTAGTCAATCCTTGCCAACTTTTAGGCTTTGAAAATTTTCCAATTATATTTTTTTAACAGAATTTTGTCACTATAATTGTGTCTGAAATTTATTATTGTCTTGCAGTTTCCTTTGAGTGATTTTGTTGTGATGCTTTTCCATTATGATGGAAATGTGGATGGATGGCGGGAGCTGCCATGGAGTGACCATGCTATTCATGTATCTGCAGTGAATCAAACAAAATGGTAAGTTTGACCAACCAAAAATGATTATTGTTAGATTCTTGGTTTTCACAGTACCAGCACATTTATGTTTTTCTGTGTTCAAGGGGCACAGATCAAGATTTGCACAGTTGTAATGTTCTTGTGGTTTGTACAAGCTTATGTTAATTTTATCCTAATATCAAAGGAACATTTCTTTGATTGGCTAGGTGGTTTGCAAAACGGTTCCTGCACCCAGATATAGTTGCCGAGTATACTTATATATTTCTTTGGGATGAAGACATTGGAGTTGAGAATTTTAATCCAAGACGGTATGCATGTTTTGCGATTCTGAAATAGTACTGCTTTTCAATGTTTGTAGTACTACTTCATGTAGCCCAATAACTCCTTGCCAGATATCTGTCTATCGTCAAGGACGAGGGACTAGAAATATCACAACCAGCCCTTGATCCTGCCAAGTCGGCGGTGTATCATCCAATTACTGCACGTCAACCAAAATCAAGGGTCCACAGGTCAGTGTGATTTACTGTTTGAAATTCTACAAGCTTTGGAGACGTCATCAATTTCACTAACAATATTTTCTTCTCTAGACGAAAGATATTGTAAATGAATTTTGCAATTGAAGGGGATGTGACTATTTTAATTAAATTGTTTTGGCCTCTTTATTTGCTTGGATTTTTGATATGTTTTATTTGTTACTTGTTTGCTTCTAGGACCTTCATGCTTTCACAACTGATGAGTTAAAAAGTACAAGAGTTTAACAAAATTTCAATTACGCCTAATTATGTTTATGGTGGCTGGTTTTCAGTATTATCCGAGTTTCACATTCTGTGAATTATTGCTAAACTTGAACTTCTTCTTCTTTTCTTCTTCACATTTGTTATTTTCCACCTCAATATATAATTTAGGTTTCCTTCTGAGAGAGTTAAGGACAATAACTCTTCTTTTTTGTGCAAAATGGAGAGTTCATGAAACTTGTGCTTGCGTAGACCATTTTAAATTTAAAATACTGCCCATTAAAAAATGTGAATTTTCAATCAAAACTTTATATGTGAGTATTTTAATAAAAACTTTTCATAAAGTAACTGAGGCACGATAATTGGTCTGGTTCAAATTTGTCTTAGATACAGAAAAGCATGGACCCAATTGTGCTTTTAGTGAGAAAGTTCTTTTTTTTTTTTTTTTTTTTTTTTTTAGCATTGGAGCCCAATTGTGCTTAGTGAGAAAAGTTTCTTTTTTTTTTTTTTTTTTTTTTTTTTTTTTTTTTTTTTTTTTTTTTTTTTAACATAAAGATGGTATATTTTTTCTGCACATGTGCTTGTGATTTTTATTTATTTATTCTGCAAATTAATTATGCACCCTTACAGATTTATCTTTTCTGAATAAAGAAAAACTTTTGGACTAAGTTATATTTGAGTTTGACTAGTTATTACTTTTTAACAGAAGGATGTATAAATTTAAAGGCAGTGGAAGGTGTTATGACAACAGCACTTCTCCTCCTTGCATAGGGTAATGCTGACCAACACTGTATTGTAATTTTGATTATGAAATTATTGTATAGCATTTCTATTTTATTAGTTTGAAAAGAGAAGGTTTGTATTACTGAAAGTAAAGCCTTACAATGCAGTTGGGTGGAAATGATGGCACCTGTCTTCTCAAGGGCAGCCTGGCGATGTGTTTGGTACATGATCCAGGTATAGTTTGTGTCTGACCAAAGTTTTTGACATTGGAATCCGATGGGTGGTACTCGCATTTGAGCATTTTCAAGATCATTAATCAGTACTTAGCCACCTATATTATATTAGAAACTCAACCACAATGTGATACTAATGTGTGATTACTGCTACATGGCAGCATTCTGTTAAATAATGATTTGGAAAACTTCCTTTTCCTGTTAAACTTACATTTCTTGTAGTTTGGTGCTCGACTATATAATTTATAATGAATCAAATATCTCACTTACTTGGTAAATAGAGCCTATTTGCACTATCATCTACACATAATGTCTGCATTCGCAATAATCTTTATCTAAAGATCTTTCACCTGTACAGAATGACTTGATCCATGCATGGGGCCTGGATTTGCAGCTTGGTTATTGTGCACAGGTGAACTTCCACATCCTGTCAATTTCCTTTTATAATTCCCTTAACCATACATGTAATACTCTATCTTTTTGTAGGGTGATCGAACGAAAAATGTTGGTGTGGTTGATTCCCAGTACATAGTTCATATGGGTCTTTCAACTCTTGGTGTCTTCAATGGAACTGAGGTCAGTCCTTGTATTGAATTGGCAGCAGAAACAATTGCATAACTGTGCTATGGCTTAGCTAAAAGTTTTTTTGTCAACCAAGTCAAATTCTTTCACATTCTTATTGAATATCAAAACATTAGAAAATTTTTGGTCTGTTCATCTCAGTATGTTATTGGCTCATTTGTGCAGTCAAATTCTCATTCCGATATGCAAATTCATATTTCCAGTGAGAAGAACTCGAACTTAAGTTACTCAACAATACACGCATACATACATACATGTATACACACACACACACACGAGCATTGTGTTAGACTATTCTTTATCAATAAATAATAAATGTTCATCTCATCGGTATTGCAGGGACCTCTGCAGAGCCACATAGCTGATAAAAGAGTTGAGGTATGTTGGTTTGATTATTCTTATTTTCTTCTACAAATAAGCTATGTTCTTGTTTGGTACAAACTGTAGAATAGAACCCACTATTTACAGTCTCTGCATTGGACCATATCAGCTCATTTGGACTTACTTGTAACTTGTTTATTGAATTATTGTTATTAACTGAGTGATGGTTATACAGGTACGAAGACAGTCCTCTGAAGAAATGCAGATATTCCGGAAGAGATGGAAGAATGCTGTAAAGGAAGACAAATGTTGGATTGATCCATTTCAACCACCAGCAAACCAAACTAGTAATTGAATTTATTGTTATTATTTTTTCATCAAGGCCTTCAACTGGGCATCAGATGGAAGTTGGTGGTCAAATTCATTGACAGCAACACATATTTATACACACCATCAATACAGTTTTTAGGTGGCGAAAATATCTCAAAACAGGTTGAGACATGTTCATCAGTAGGGAAATGGCAGACATTCCTAATGTATGAATAGTTTTCTTTTGTAATTTTTTTTTTAATTGTTGATATTTCTTTTGAATGGTGTAAATACATTTTGATGTTGAAAATGTAAATTGATCTTTTTTTTTTTTTTTTTCCTTGTGGTGAAATTTACTTCTTTCTCTAAAATAGATTACTTGTCGTTTCAAATGTATAGGACTATAAAATAAAATACCACGAGGCCAAATGCAAGAAATCACCGAATGTCTTTTGATCGTTTGATTAATAACATTAGCATCCAAAGTGACTGTTTGATTAACCTATAATTTGTTGTTTATATATCGTTCAGTTTCTTGGAAGTCCAAAGTGAAGGTTGAAGCACATCATTAGCACTTCCATGACCAAGCACAAAACCAAATATATCCACTTCGAAAACCCATGACAAGTCGTTCATAGAACAGTAAATATTCGTTTCATAAAGGACCGATTTGACACGGCCGTAATGATATGCTAAATTGCAGCCAGCGAGATGTCGTTTTGCATATTAAAATGAAAATGGCAGACATTCCTAATGTACGAATAGTTTTCTTTTGTAATCTTTTTTTAATTGTTGATATTACTTTTGAATGGTGTAAATATATTTTGATGTTGAAAATGTAAATTGATCTTTTTTTTTTCTTGTGGTGAAGTTTACTTCTTTCTCGAAAATAAACTACTTGTCGTTTCAAATGTATAGGACCATAAAATAAACTACCACGAGACCAAATGCAAGAAATCATCGGATGCCTTTTGATCGTTTGATTAATAACATTAGCATCCAAAGTGACTGTTTGATTAACCTACAATTTGTCATTTATATATCGTTCAGTTTCTTGGAAGTCCAAAGTGAAGGTTGAAGCACATCATTAGCACTTCCATGACCAAGCACAAACCAAATATATCCACTTTGAAAACCCACGACAAATCGTTCATAAAACAGTAAATATTCGTTTCATGAAGGACCGATTTGACACGGCTGTAATGATATGCTAAATTGTAGTCAGCGAGATGTCGTTTCGCATATTAAACTGAAAATGGCAAACATTTCTAATGTATGAATAGTTTTCTTTTGTAATTTTTTTTTAATTGTTGATATTACTTTTGAATGGTGTAAATATATTTTGATGTTGAAAATGTAAATTGATCTTCTTTTTTTTTCTTGTGGTGAAGTTTACTTCTTTCTCGAAAATAGACTACTTGTCGTTTCAAATGTATAGGACCATAAAATAAACTACCACGATGCCAAATGCAAGAAATCACCGGATGCCTTTTGATCGTTTGATTAATAACATTAGCAACCAAAGTGACTATTTGATTAACCTACAATTTGTCATTTATATATAGTTCAGTTTCTTGGAAGTCCAAAGTGAAGGTTGAAGCACATCATTAGCACTTCCATGACCAAGCACAAAATCAAATATATCCACTTCGAAAACCCACGACAAGTCGTTCACAGAACAGTAAATATTCGTTTCATGAAGGACCGATTTGACACGGCCGTAATGATATGTTAAACTACAACCAGCGAGATATCGTTTCGCATATTAAACTGAAAATGGTAGACATTCCTAATGTATGAATAGTTTTCTTTTGTAATTTTTTTTTAATTGTTGATATTACTTTTGAATGCTGTAAATATATTTTGATGTTGAAAATGTAATTGATCTTTTTTTTTTTTTCTTATGGTGAAGTTTACTTCTTTCTCTAAAATAGATTACTCGTCGTTTCAAATGTATAGGACCATAAAACAAACTACCACGAGGTCAAATGCAAGAAATCGCCGGACGTCTTTTGATCGTTTGATTAATATTATTGGCATTCAAAGTGACTGTTTTATTAATCTAAAATTTGTCGTTTATATATGGTTCAGTTTATTGGAAGTCCAAAGTGAAGGTTGAAGCACATCACTGGCGCTTCCATGACCAAGCATAAAACCAAATATATCCACTTTGAAAACCCACGACAAGTCGTTTACAGAATTTCGCATATTAAACTGAACTTATTCCCAGTTCCACTTCCCTTAAATCCTCTCTAGGGTTTAAGCTTTCTGTCGCTCTGCTTCTCCTTTCTCTACCTTCTCACACGATCCAAAGATGTCTGTCTACCGCCTTCTTCGCCGCTCCTCTGCCGCTACCACCACCTATCAACCTCTAATTAGAGCCCTCTACCACCTCACAGTCTCTCCAACTAATACCACCTCCCAAACCTCTAACTCAAACTCTATTTTCTCATCCCCTCTCCTCCCCTCATCTCGCACCTTTTAATCTCGAGCTGCTCTCTCTGACCGATTGACGACTGCCCGAACCCAAAGAAAGATGCGGTAATCCTAGTGTGCAGTTAGGAATATATTTTGAACATCTATGGAAATGAGTGTGAGACTAGTTGTAATTCTTTTTTTTTTTTTTCATTTATATGGTGTAAAGTATTTACTTCTTCTCTAAAAACTAGATAATATAAATTACTCATTTCGTGTTCATGAATATGTATAAGCTGGGACCCATATAATCACAAATATACTACCTATCTTAAAGAGTTTGGCGATAATCCTGACTAAATTACTGATAAGAAAATTTCGTCCGGACGATTTCTTTTGATTCGTAAAATTGAATATAATATTATTGGCATTCAAAGTGACTGTCATCATAATATTAACTATGAGAAAATTTTGAATTCGTGTATTCATATATTACCTCCGCTTACAAGAGTTTAACATGGTAGACGTCCCAAAGTTGCAGGGTTGAAGTCAAAACATACACTTGCCGCCAGCTTCCGTTATGTCACACAAGCATTCAAAACCCGAGTAAAAATTCTATTAATCCCCTTTTTGTAAAACTAACCTCACAGACAAGTCGTGTATTTAACCAGAGTTTCGTCATAATTAAACTGAAACTCATAAATCATTACCCAGTAATCCACTTCCTTAAATCCTCTCTAGGGATTTAAGCTTTCTGTCGCTCTGCTTCCCTTCGCGTTTCTCATTACCTTGCTCTACCCTACGATTTCCACAATAGATGCCCTTATAACACCAGTTCTAACCGCATCTCTTTTCGTGATCTACCTATCTAGCCTCTCTCTTAACCACCGTAATATTCCGTCCAAACCTCATAATATTAGAAACCCACTACAATACCTTAAAACCACCATCACAATGCCATCTCCTATCACATATAATGCTATGATCTCACCATACACCCAGAGAACTCATAAACATTCCAACCAAACTCGCATATTCTTACTCCATCACCCTCTCCCCTCCCCATCATACTCGCTAACCTACGCGTATGCTATCTTACATGCACGCGAAGGACGACACCAAGCAGACGGAAGCGAGCGAGAAGACGTAAGCGCCGAGAGGCGCGTCACGACCGCAATTCAACCGTCCACTGCATGAGCGCGCTCTTCTAATTGGCGACAATCCTTACCGCCATACCGACCTCCAAGACACCTAACGCTCACAAAGCCTAACGTGAGACGATCTCCCAAAAGATAATTATCCAATCTCTCGAGCGCTGTATATAGGCGCGCGAGCGCGCGTGAGATGGACAGTCGCGACAATCAGGCGAAGATTATGCAAATTCCTCTTTAATAACCTAGCTACATAATACAGAGATAGCGTCAAACCCGAAATGTGATAATGTAGACAATTCTCTTCTCGCTCGTTAACGGAGCCGTGTGTACACGCCAGAAGCATCGCCGTCCTATCTTCGTCCACAACGCTTGTTACTGAATCATCGCTTGACATATGTCCTCGCGGCAAGCACCATAAATCTGAGAGTAGTAAAATGAATAAGGCTCTACGTATGTCACATTGGATTTTTATATAGAAAGTATTGTTTATCGAGGTCATTGCCAGACTATGCTGGACAATTGGATAATTTGTGTGCAGCTACCCAGAACACCAGTCTCCAGATCGATCCGTTTCGTGTCATGAATTGTGTCGATCTCGTAATTATTAAAGCTCCTATTATCGCGCATATCTCGGGATGGAAGTGATTACAGAAATTATCTTTCGGAGATATGAACTGAGCGCTTGATTAATTTATAGGGCATATAACCTTCCAGATATGAGGTCTCAACTTCCCTTCGAAATACACATCGATCTCGATAATGCATCTCTTCTCGCTCGTAACGCCGTTTACACCAGAACTCGCCCTACTGTCTTCACCTGTAATGCGATCATCGCTGCTATGTATCGGGCAAAACGGTATAATGATGCAATTGCGTTGTTTAAGTATTTTTTTGAACAGCATGATATTGTTCCTAATGTCGTTTCGTATAATAATTTGATTAACGCGCACTGCGATGAAGGGAGAGTGGATACTGCGCTTGAAATTTATAGGCATATAATTGCTACTGCTCCGTTTGGTCCTTCTTCAGTTACGTATAAGCATTTGACTAAAGGGTTGATTGATGCTGGTAGAATTGAGGAAGCAGTGGATTTGTTGAGAGAAATGTTGAATAAAGGGCACGGGGCAGATTCTTTGGTTTATAATAATGTGATTAAAGGGTTTTTAGATTTGGGGAATTTGGAGAAGGCAAATGAGTTTTTTAGTGAGTTAACTGAGAGGTGCCAGTGGTATGATGCAACTATTAATGCAACATTTATGGACTGGTGGTTTAAGCAAGGGAAGGATAAGGAGGCTATGGAGAATTATAAGACGTTTCTGGATAAGAAATTGAAGATTCCAGTTCCAACTGGAAATGCCCTTTTGGAGGTTCTGGTTAGGTATGGAAAAAAAGAGACAGCTATGGCTTTGTTTGAACAAATGTTGGATAACCATACCCCGCCAACTGGCCAAGGTGTAAATTCTGAAACTTTTAATATCATGGTGAATGAGTGTTTTAAGGAAGGGAAGTTTGATGAGGCAATTGTTATGTTTAAGAAGGCAGGGACAAAACCTGGATCAAAACCTTTTCAAATGGATGTTGCAGGGTATAATAACATTATAATGCGGTTCTGTGAGAAGGAGATGTTGTCAAAGGCAGAGGAGTACTTCAAAGAATTGTCGTCCAGGTCCTTGTCCCCAGATGTCACAAGTTATAGAACGTTGATTGATGCATATCTCAAGGCTGAGAGGATTGACGATGCTCTAAGGTTGTTACAAAAAATGGTGCAGGAAAATTTGTGGGTGGTGGCAAGTTATGGGATAAGGGTGTTTGGAGAGTTGATTAAGAATGGTAAGGCAGTGGAGAGTGCTGAAATTTTGAGAACAATGAGTGACAGAGATCCAAAACCAGACCCCTCTGTTTATGATGTTGTGGTCAGAGGGCTCTGCAGCGCATCTGCATATGACAAGTGCAAGGATATACTGGAGCAAATGATGAGATATGGTGTTGGTGTTCCTCCTGCTTTAAAGGAATTTGTAATTGAGGTATTTACAAATGCTGGACAGAGTGAAGTAATTGAGGGAGTTTTTGATGAAAATAGATGGAAGAACACTTCAGGACCCCCTCGTGCACAAAGGCAACCTCGAATGCCTTGGGGATCTCCCCAAATTGCTAGAGAGCAGCCAGCAGGGCCATTTTCATCTCCTGGACAAGCTGTGTCAGGTCAACCTCAAGGGGCAAGACAACAGCCATATAGTTACCAGCAAATGACAGGCCAAGTGCCATCAGGACCACCTCAAGTGACAGGACAGCAACCATCATGGCCTCATCAAATGGCAGGACAGCAGCCATCATGGCCTCGTGAAATTCCAGGGCAGCAGTTATCACAGTCTCTACAAACAAGACAGCCATCATCATGGTCTTCTGAAAGAGGAGGACATCAGCCACAATTACCTTCTCAGATGAGAGAGCAGCAGCCATTTGCCTCCAATAATATTGCAGGACCAGAGCCATCAAGACCTTATCAAACTGCAGGACAGCAGCCATCAGGGTCTCATCAAATTCCAGGGCAGCAGTTATCACAGTCTCCTCAAATGGGACAGCCAGCATCATGGTCTTCCGAAAGAGGAGGACATCAGCCACAATTACCTTCCCAGATGAGAGAGCAGCATCAATTTGCCTCCCATAATATTGCAGGACCAGAGTCATCAAGACCTTATCAAATTGCAGGACAGCAGCCATTAGCCTCTAATGATATTGCAGGACAGCAGCCATTGAGACCTTATCAAATGGCAGGGCACCAGCCCTCATGGTCCTCTCGGACGGGAGAACACCAGCCATCATGGTCCCCTCGGACGGGAGAGCACCAGCCATCATGGTCCTCTCGGACAGGAGAGCACCAGCCATCATGGTCTTCTCAGACAGGAGGACACCAGCCATCTAGGTCATATCAGATGGGAGGACACCAGCAATCATGGTCCTCTCAAATGAGAGGAGAGCAGTCATCAGGAACTACATATATGGCCGGACATCAACCATCCGAATCCAGGCAAATTTCAAGACAGGTAGCATTTGGAACCTAGCAAAATTCAAGGCAATTTCATATTAAGAAATATTTGAGACATAGCAATACACTAACCTTTAGAAGATATCTCCAAAAATAGATTATTCTGTAATGATATATAAAAAATGAGAACGTTCATTTTGTAGCTTGGCTTTGAATCTCGTAGGGTTTTGCATCATATAGAAATTGTTAGTAGATGATAGGTTATGGCATTGAGTTTTTAAGATAGATGGGAAACATTAGACAAACTATGAAATTAATATGTTCTGACATGGGAGAAAAATGCATGCAAGGTAGACCATTAAAACCTTAGAAGCAATTTTCTTTTTTAGTCTACTAACCATTTTTTCAGATCTGTCTTGTCTTAGTTTTTTTTTTTTTTTTTTTAGATCTGTCTTGTCTTAGTTTTTTTTTTTTGTTTTGTTTTTTTTTTTTTTTTTGGTAATTATGCATATATTTAAGTCTTTGGGGTAGTATGCATGTATCTGAACTCTGAAGTTGTTTTACTGTGTATAATTTGCTTGGGAACCTTATTAAGAATTTAGTAAGTTAGGACGACCTGAGTTGCATTCAGAAGGAATATAGATGCTTAATAGGTTTCCTACAAATTTTAGATGATCCTCTTTTCTTTCCCCCTTTTTTTAAAAAACTTTGATTTTCAATTTATTTTCCCTTTGTTTTCTTTGAATGGGGGGATTTTGGGCTTATATGGCAGGGTATTGATGAATATTGATATGTATTTCAAGGGTAAAGTCCCTTTTGTTCTTTTTATTTTTTCTATATTAGATAATGGTTAATTAGCACTATTTCCTGACTTGTATCTTTCATCTATGTTTTAGTTTGATATGGGATATCAACCAAATAGTCCCCCAGAAATGTCGGAGCAACATTCATCAGGACCCCTTGAACGGCAAGAAAGTCACCTGCGGGCAGCTGTTTGATACTTTCGAACAAAATGATCAAATAGAATGTTTGGCCTTTTCATGTGCTGATTTTTTATTTCTGACACATTTATGCATCCATCCTATGCAATAGATAAATTAATTTTTGTAATTTGCCACATGATATTTTTCATTGGAAATATGAATTTTAATGGAAAAAATATATATCTTTGGGACAGTTGCTGAATGTTGGAGCTCCTATGTGCAATTCTTTGTAAACTTGTAGATGTTTGTACTGCCACCTTCAGTTAGATATTTTAGTGTGTATTTCAACAGGTGATTTTTCTTTCTTTGTGAAATAATTCCTAGTTTTTGGAGGAAATGCAGGATTGTGGGAACACGATTTATATGGTTATATTGCGATTTGAAGTTGTTAGCTTTGATTTGGCTTTAATTGAAGAAATGAAACAAACTGTACTATTTGTCATTTGACTGTTGAGACAGTGATGTATCCTTCAAGTCATATTTTGCTCTTCATTCGCATTTTAGCCCATGTGGTGAAATATTCCACACTGAAGAATGAGTGCAAAATCGTAACTCAAATTGAACCACCATTAAAAAATGTAATTACATTTCATCTCCATTTTATATTTAATTAATGATTTTATGTTTGAGCTTCAACAATCAATAACCCTACTCAGATTGTAAAATCCTTAAAACTCCAAAACATTAAATGGCAAAATCAGTTTTATCTTATCAAGCTGAATAGGCTAAATTATTTTATTCTACTAAGTGTATATATATATATATACACACGTAACTAATTTCTATGCTCATTTTTTTTAAAATTGCTTTTGAGAACAGGACTCAAAATTACCCTGAAAAACATTATCACAGCTTTACAAGGTTGTAAGACTTGTTATTAACACGGTATGTTCTAGAAAGCAATGGGGAACTATTAACTAATACATCTGCAAAACTTTCCTCATACCAAAACTACCAGAACATAAATCAAAATGATCTCAGGGCAAAGTTTCCAACTTGTTGCCTCTCTCAAAATTTGTTCAACAAATAGCAATACCCTCAATCATCAATGACTCAATGGCCTATAAAACACTAACTGTACAATTGTGCCAGAAAAAAAAAATCTCTTTTTGAAGGGCTACGACAGCAACCCTTTGAATGTCTAGTAGCACTATATGATTGATATTGTACCTCTACCAAGAAAAGAAAATCAAAATCAAAATTCCATTACCGTTGAGGTAAGGTTGAGCAAGGGCTCCAGTGCACTTGGATGAAACTTTCGGGCGAAGAGGTAACAAACAGATGTCATTTCTGAATTATATGAACACTGTGTCTCGTTATTCCGAATAGACTGTATAAAACTTTCTGTAACATTAATTCCCCAGTATGTTGCTGGATGCGGACCCCCCACCGACCAATCAACCCATGTCACAGTGCGATTCGAATTAAGTGGCCCATGAAACATGTTCAGATAAGTTGGAATATAATGCTCATCAGGATAACAGGCAGGCTTGCAATATTTCTTGAAGATAGAATAGTACTTGGTGTCTGCAAGAACATAAACAGCCAGAGCTCGTTGGATCTCAAACCATTGAGAACCCTTCCTCCACTGATAGAGTTGAATATCAGGAAACATGTTACGGTTGTAGCGGCCACGTCCATAGCGGGTCGGTTCATCATATGACTCAACAAAGCTATGTTCAGAACCAATAAGATACTTGTAGACAGTTGGGAAATTGTAGATCGGAATGCAACTCTCGGAGAGAAGAACAAACCGCTCATTTGAGAAGTCCAGCAGGGCATTGGCTAGAAGGCGCTTCTCAGCATCAACCAGTTTTACTGTTCCCCATTCAACATTCTAGACAAGGGAGAATCAAAAAATATTATTAAATACCAAATACAATTAACTAAGATACCATTTCACTTACAACAGTCATCTAGTTTCAAGAAAAAGTTGCAGGGGAAAGCTTTTGCCCAATCGAAGGGAAAAAAATGCTTTTTAACACACAACAGAAAGCTAAAACGGCAACAATTGGAGCCCTTCCCACTCGTAGTGGAATATTCTATGAGACTATGACAAACAAGTAGTTTCATTCACTACAGGGGTTCCAACTAAAAATATTACCAGTAACCATGACATTCCAGACATAATAGACAATATTTCTTATAACTCTCTTATTATCAATATAAATTTAAAGATCAATTAATAATTACAAATGCAGCCAGACTCACATTTGATACCACCATAAAATTGGATTCTAAAATTCACGGGTTTGCACATTTAAAGGAGTAAATTTGATTCATTTGAGAGTGGTCATTGGAAGACTTCATCTAACTCCAATGAATCCATTGCTCAGTGTTGCTGGGAGTTGCATAATTTATCTTCAATTAGTTTGGATGATGTCATGCTCTACCCTTTAAATGGCCAAATTTGAAATGTGCCAATTGGTTGCAAACAAAGATATTTTCCAAAAAAGTTTGTTTCATGACCATCGGTACATCGATGGAGCCATGAGAGTAAATCTTGGTACTATATACTTGTCTGAATTAAGACATCTGTTCCTTTTCCTCATGTTGGACAATATATGTGTTCATGTTAAGTAGTACACCCCATGGAGAAGTTTGCTTCCAGATAAAGATAATTTGTAAAACTTCAACAAATTGTTTACATAAACAGTACCATAGATGAAAAAATACATATACATGGTCACATGCACATGCACATTTATATCATATATGTACCGACACAGAGAGAGATGATAAATAATCCATTTACATATCTGTAAGTCTGGTTGTACACAATTTTGATTGATGGCTACGAGATTCAATACCAATTCTTTCTCCCATCAAACAGCAATTATAAAAAGTTTTCGAAGGAGAAAACAGATAAAGAAGATTCTTAAAGTTTAGCATAAGAACTTATAAATGCTCCGTCCCATCAAAGAATATATCAGTCCAGTTAGTTTAGAATCTTAGCTTTAAAATGATATCAATTGATGATCTCCCAATCAATCGAGCAACTTCTCCCGTCAAGTTCTCTCCGAAACAATTTTTTACTAATCCACTCAAGTTCTAGTTCACTGCATACATAATTCTTCGCTTATTGATGTTTACTTTAACCATAACTCATACAATTGCTAGCAACATAAGCATGAAACTAACCCAACTCAATCAAGAAAGAACGAAATATACAACACAAACCATAACATTTCATTTGTACCTGTTACCAATAGCAAGGAAACAGCATATAACTCGGTATTATTAGCATCAACAAAAATAAACATAAACCAAACAATAAAACCACAAGTTACAGTTCATACCTTGCTTGGAATCTGCCTTCTGTAGAATGGAGAATCCATTGAAACGTTGAGCACATAATTCCGAGGGGTATGTAAATAGATAGAGAAATAATTCTCATGGCCTCTAAAGAACCTCTCCCACAATGGCAACATAGGCAAAGGCCCTCTAGTCAGAAACATGAAAGCCACTTTAGGCACTCTATCAAAGGGATACTCTTCCTTGATTGGAACCAAAGAAGCTCTCCAAAAAAGCTCCTCATCTTTCATCCTATGAGTCAAGTTCTTAGGATGAAGAAATGTCTCCATACTGAAACAATCAACCCTCTTGCAAGGTCTCACAATTGTGCAGTTATTGCCAGAGATTTTTGTTGCAGCTATGTTGCTGGTGAAAAATAGCCTAGCTTGCGAAGTAAACATTTGGTTGATATGAGAACTTGTAGCCAAGCCCATAATAATACCAGCAACAAAAACAACCAAAAATGATAATATTTGCACCAATTTTAGTAAACCCATATGCCTATCTGGTCCATCTTCCTTGTCTCCTCTATGCCTTGCCATTTCTTTTGGTGGAGAAAATCTCCAGAGGCTCTAATTTGAATGACTAAAGAATGCCCTTTCACTCATGCAAAAAAATTTGGAGCCTTCAGATACAAACTCAAAAGGCCCATGTATAGTAATCACCAAAAAGATTTAATTGTTTTTTGTGAAATTGATACCAGTGACAAAAACTGAGAGATACCCACCACCAAAACTCGAATTCAAAAGTCGTGAAAAGTACACAAAACCTAATATTTGAAGAGCCTGAGTACAAAGAGTGAGGTGAAAAGAAATCAAATAAAGAATTGAATTGAAATCAAGAAATTAGATCTTTGGGATCAAATGGAATAAGATCACTCAGTTATATTTTGTGAAACCCAAGAGTAAGGATTTGATTGTATCAGTGGCGGAGATAGAGAATAGAGAAATAGATAGGATCGACATTAGTACAGGATCAAATATGGAATCACGTCACCGACCACAAGAGACATTAATGCAGGATCAAATATATGGAATCACGTCCCCAACCACGAGAGAGAGTGTGAGAGACAGAGAGAGACAAATTTGAACTGGAATTATTGGAAGTGGTGTTGGTGGAGATTGTGATTGAAAACGACACGGCGTTTTACAGGGAGACTCAGAGAAACAGGGCAGGAACAAAAAAGGAATTAAAGATTTGGACGCGGAGAATCAAAGTTCCGGGGAAACATTTTTAGCCTGGAATTATTTTAAACTTAAAAATAATATTATAATAAATAATCAAAAGAAAACACTTGAGATTTGCTTCAATATGTTTTTTTAATACTTTATTATAATATTTGTAATTTTAGTAAATAAAATGTAAAAAATTTATTTAGTTTAATATTTTAGATTATTAAAATATAACTATTAATAATCTTTAATTTATAATTGTGAATTAATATTATATTATTTTCAAGTTCTAGAACTAAAGTAATGATTCCTAGTGTTTACAAAAAAAATTTAACGTCCAAATAAATTTAAAAATAAAAATAAAAATAAATTATGTAATGAGATTCAAATAATTTTAAATTAAAATGCTAAGTTCAAAATGTATAGTAAAGCATCTATTTTCATGAGAACAGATGGAAAGAAGGAAATAAAGAAATGCAGACCAAAGACATGATAAAGGATATTTTCGTAATTAAATAATAATAATTTTAAATTCGAAAAGGCAGAAACAGAACGAGGAAACGGGAAACACTTGCGGCGTGACTGTGTCTCGGTGGTTTTGTCGTTTTGCTGTGTTCTTGGTTTGTTTGCACTTTGAAGTTTGAATGACAAACGGTCTCCACTCTCCAGTCCACGGGTTACGCGCCTTTTGGTCACGTGACGTGCTCGTGCTCATGATGTGGGCTTATTTGGGCCGTTTGGATTTCCCTATTTAGGCCTCGAACCAAAATCCAAATACAAGCCTAGTCGAACGAGAATGGGCCCCTTCTCATATAGTATTTGTTTGGATTTTTTTTTTTTTCCTTTGGAATTCTGAAGTGCATAAGTTTAAAGCCTTTTTATCATGTTGGTCTTAAATGTATGATGATAGTACTATTAAAAAACTACTTCTATTATAAAAATCAATTTTTATTTAAAAGTATGTAAATAATAATAATATTGAAAGGGAAATTATTGTGAAGCAGCTATCATTATCAGTTGAATTATTGTTTATTAAATTAAAATTTTGTTAGTTGAATTTTAGCTATTAATTGCTATTTATTATAGAACTTGTCTTAAGTTGGTTGGAAACCATTTATTGGACTACTTATTTTATAACCAGTTATATACCTCCGCGTGTCCTATGCGCTTGTGGCCCCGAGCTCACTGTTACTGTAATCACAGGCTTTTGGCCGGTCTGCTCACGTAACGGTATGTTTTTCCTTTTTTTTTTTTTTTTTTTTTTTTTTTTTTTTTTGGAAAACCATTTATTGGACTACTTATTTTAATAACACAGTTATATACCGTCCCGCGTGGTCCTATGCCGCTTGTGGCCCCGAGCTCACTGTTATGTAATCACAGGCTTTCTGGCCGGTTCTTGCTCACGTAAACCGGTATGTTTTTCCTTTCTTTTTTTTTTGGTTTTTTTTTTTTTTTTTTATTTTTTTCCAAAACTGAAGTTTTTTTTTTTTGTTTTTTTTTTTTTATTTTTTTCCAACTGAGACTTGAGAGGTGTAAATTTCCCGAAGCGACGTAAAGCGTAAATATTTTTTACTGTTTTAAGTAAAGTTTATTTTCTGATTGAATTTATATTTTTACTCAATTTCACAACGAATTAAAAAAATGTCATTTTCAATTTTCACAGTCACCTTGCTCTTGGCGATTAATGAATATTTTCTTATAAAAAATAAAAAAGTCAAGAAGAAGAAGAAATCATGTGTATCACGCGCGAAAGAGATTGATGAATCCTTTTATACATATATATTTATGAAACAAAGTATTGAACCAACTCTACATGTATTTTTAGGTTTTCTTTTTTCTTTTTTAATTTTACTTCTGATGTTTGGTTTCTAAACAAAACTAATTCGGTTGGAATTAGACCGAAATTAGAACCAGTTATAAAAGAGAGGAAAAAAATAAAATGATACAAATGAGTATAGAATTCATTAATATGGAATCCTTTTAAATATTTAGAAAAGAGAATTTTGACTTTTCACCGGTTGATTCAGTGCAAATTTGAATTAATTAGGTTAATGAATTTTAACGTCGAATGGTTAAAAATCAAGGGAAAAGAAAAGGAAAAAAAAAAAAAAAGAAAATGACTCGCTGATATTTGAAAAGTTGATTTCGATCTCGATTTGGAATCTCACTTGTCTATCTGTTTGTTCAGTGAATCTACCACCTCTTGTGTTGGTTGCAGGCAATTAATAATGTGACTGAAGAAATTTTCCAGATTGCATAAAGACAAAGGATGGGCTAATGAGCTTTAGATTTGTGCTAGCTGTAGTGTGTATATAATATATTGTTGGCTGCAAAATTTTACATCTTAACCATAAGTAATTTTATGGTTTATTCGGTAAAATTAATTGTTTTGATAGCTGTTATAAGTTTTAATAGCGTTTAGTTAACAACAACTTTTCATAAAACGCTAAAAGATAAACGTTACATTAGTTAACTTTTCGTAAAATATTACGTTGATCTCTAAAAACTAGTTCAAAATTATTTCATCGAACACTGTAAAAAATAGCGTGTCAAAATCTACTTAAAAAGTTGATGTTGAACACAACCTTAGCATTATAAATAATTTATTTTTAAATAATTATTTTATCGCATTAATTTCTTAAAATATATAATTTATGAAAAAATATTTTTTTACCTTTGTATTACACTTCCCATTGCATTATCCTCAAAATTAATTAGTGTAATCCCTAAACTCATTTTCAGTTTTTTTTTATATGAAAGAATTTAAACTATACATAGAATTCATTAGCAAATGATAATATTTAATTTATATTAAATTTTATAAAATTTAAAAAGATTTCAGACTATATTTTACTATAATACCTTTTAGTTCTAAAAAGCATTTATTTTTTCTTTAAAAAAATAAATAATTTTTTTAACATTAATTAAAAATAATTAAGATGATTTTACTAAACTAAATTTATTTATTTAGAAAATATTTTACATAACTATTAATCAAATTCACAAATTTGATTTCAATTAATGTTTTCGTATTTGATGTAAGTGAAAATATTAATTTCATTATAGAAAATTAAATTTTACAAAATTTAATACTATAACTAATCCTTTGTTTGGAAATAAGAGGAAGAAAAATATGGGAAGAAGGAAAATAACGAAGAATTGTCAACTTTATTTTCTTAGTTATTTTCTACTATTGTGTTTGGACACAATGAAGGAAATAAAGTAAATTTATTTTCTTTTATATGGAAAGGTCAAAATTTTAGATGAAAAAATATCATTATTGAAAATTAATAATTATGTCCTCGTTTAAATTATGATGTATTTAAGAAAAAGTTAAAGTTTATTAATTAATTTAGGGTATTTATGTAATTTAATAAAAAATAGTGAAAATCTATCTTTTCTCTATTATTTTATCTCTAAATCAAAGAGATTAAAAATATATGGAATCAAATGGAAAATAAGTAAAATATTTTTTTTCTTTTTAATTCATTGGAGGTTTTTAAAGGATATGAACTATGCAAGAGTAATCCTTCATTTGGCTCACTAAATTAGTGAAAACAGCTATGGTCGAGAGAACTCGAACTTGAATCAATATTTTTTCTTTTTCACAAACAAAGAAAAAAAGATACATATCCTATATATTTTTCATAATTATTTTCGTTCCTTAATAAAAAATACTGCTATAAATAAAAACCAATATATAGATTTATTTCAACTAATAACCACAGTAAATTTAATCACTGAGCCATATCATATGTTGCTTAACAACTTGAAGACTGACTGGCTGGACAAGTCAACCTTCAGCTGCACCTAACCAGGGAGGGTTGTGTCTTTGGATTGGGAACACTAGGCACGTTCGTATGACTTTTGAAAGTAAAGGAGATTTTAGTCATTTACGTGCTTACTGCCAGCTAATTAAAGTTTTCTAATTATTATTTTTTATTACAAGTCTATTATTGACGAAGTTTGTCTGTATTAGGCATATGAAATCACCATATGAATGCACGTTTTATATGTTTTTAATTTTTTTTTTATTGTATAGTGGTATTTAATTTTGAAAAGCAAAGACAACGTGAGTGACGGAACTAGGGGTAGCCCACCTAATTTTATCTTTTTTTTTTAAATTTACTTTATAAAAAATAGAAAATTTTACTTTTTATTTATAAAATTGTGATTTTTTATATTGCTCTCTTTAAATTTTAAAATTTTTTTTATTGCCTCCCTTAATTATTTTTTTTGGTTCGGACACTGCTCTCCGTCAAGAAAGATAATTTTTTTTTCTTTTAGTTTATTTCAAATATAGTCCATTTTTTTCATTATAGTTAATTTTTAAATTGTATACTATTACTTATTAAATTTTATTTTATTTTCAATAATTTTCATTAATTTAATTATTATTTTAATACTTATGTGTTATTTAAGATAGATATAATAAAAAATTTTATTTTATTTTCAATAATTTTTCATTAATTTAATTATATTTTTATACTTATGTTTATTTAAGATTAGATATAATAAAAAAATTATATAAATAAATTATTATTTTAATTATAATTTTTAATCTGTGTGAAAATATAGTGGCCTATTTCTTATGAACGATTGAATTTTTTTGTCATAAATTATTCATCATTAATCATTTTTTAATGGGGCCTAGGTGTAAATTAATGTGGTCAACAAATAAACACGTCAGGAGCTTTTCTAAAAAATCAATGAAAAAGTAAAATATAAAACAGGTTATATAAATAAAATTATTTTTTAATTATATTTTTTAATCTGTGTGAAAATATAGTGGCCTATTTCTTATGAACGATGAATTTTTTGTCATAATTATTCATCATTAATCATTTTTTAATGGCCTAGTGTATTATGTGGTCACAAATAAACACGTCAGGAGCTTCTAAAAAATCAATGAAAAAAGTAAATATAAAACAGGGCACAGATAGAGCCATCCAAAAACATATCTAGAACAAATGTAGATATAGTTTTATTTACATTCTTAAAAAATTACCAAATTAAAAATATTTTATAAAATTAAATTATATTCTTTTTCCAAACAAAAATACAAAATAAATTTTATTTTTAGCCACAATTGAAATTTTAAAATTCAAAAAAATTAATTTAATTACAATATTATAATTATATAAAAATAATTTTAATAGATAGATATCATTTTTGGCAGCTCACGGGCACGTTTCTTCCAACCTCTAACAATTTAGGCAGTGACCCTTAATTAACAAGAAAAGAATTGTCGTTTTGTTAATCAATGGTGTAGAAGTATAACAAAACACCAAAACTCCAGAACACCATTGCTTAAAAATAAATAATTCTAAAAAAATAAAATTAGTAGTATTACTTTTCTAAACAAAGAATGCTTATAAAATGCAAGAAAAAGAAAGAAAACTAATATTTTTCTTTTTTAACTTTACCGGCACAAACATTTCACACAATTTCTGGAGTAAATTAAGATTAAGTTTTAGATTACCATGCAAGAAAATAGGTAAAGGGTCTTCCTTGGTATAAATGGATAGATTATAGACAAAGAAAGAGAAGATTTTGGAAGCAAAGAGAGAGAGAGAGAGAGAGAGAAAGAGAGAGGGAGGTGGAGATGGATCATACAAGAGAGGGATATGACATAGAAGTAGAAGGATCATTTGCAGGAATGGAAGAAGATAAAGAATTCAATTCAATGAGAGAGCCACTTCTCAGGAACAGAAAGAATACTACTTCACAAATTGCCATTGTTGGTGCCAATGTTTGTCCTATTGAGAGTCTTGATTATGAGTACTTTTCTATCTTTATTATTACTGTTTTTCTTAATTTTTCCACCTTTGGTTTTTGTTCTTTTGTTTGGAATAATTTGCTTTACTGTTGTTTTCCATTGATTTCTTGAATTTAAGCCCATTGGCTTTTCTGGGTTTGAAAATGAATTCTTTGTTTGTTGAGCAATCTTGAATTATCACTCACATACACAGACACGGGTTTCTAAAAGTAAATGACATGAATAAGTGAAATCTTTGAGTTACATCGTTCTTTGTATTATTATATAGGCATATAGCTCATTTTCATAAGTTAATTTTGCTGGATATATAATGCAAGATTCAAGATTTTAAAATCTAATTGATCTGGATTTAGGAAATAAGACCGCATTGGAGCAAGTTAGATTTTTTTTCATTTTTTTTTTTGATACATGTCTTGAGATGCTGAGTTTTTAAATATTGAAAAGTAAATTAGTTGTTTGGTAGTTATCCAGATGCGATGAGGTCATTATAAATCATCACTCAAACATATAGTTTTTGCTGCAAACACAGATGCGTTAAGAGCTTCAGAAATAATAATCTTAATGTAATGAGTTATTGAAAAAATAATTTCAATATTTGAGTAATTTAATTTACATAGATTTTATGCTAATATCAGATTTTTACCAAGTTTTCCTCTTATGTTGCTTTTGTTGTAGGAAATGAGCGTTGATGGTTAATTCATTCTGCCTCACTTTTTTCCATGCGTTTTTTCAGGATTTTTGAGAATGAACTTATTAAACAAGACTGGAGGTCTAGAAAGAAGATTGAGATATTTCAGTACATTTTCCTCAAGTGGACACTTGCCCTTCTCATTGGGTTAGGTACAGCACTTGTTGGCCTTTTCAATAACCTTGCTGTTGAGAACATTGCTGGTTTCAAACTTCTGTGGACTAACAGTCTCATGCTTCAGGACAAGTATGTAAACTGTTACCTCATTTCTCCAATCTTAGTTTCTTGATTTAGTCATGTTTTCATGTATTTTCTTAAGGAATTGTAAAGCTCTTGAAAAAGTGCACTTAAACAATGTATGTGCTCGGCATAATATCAACTGCAAATTTATTTGAACCCGAGCAGATATAATTGTGCTTGTGCTTCTGTGATAATTTATCCTTGTGTAGTTGGAAGTCTTAAAAACACCATACTAGTTATCCAATGTCTCATGGATCTGGCTTGCTTAATGTTTTATTCTTATGTGATTGTGTTTGCCTCACATTTTATATGCCTTAAAGTATTGGTCTTCTGTTCCATGAGCATCTTTGTTGCCATTGTTTTTTCCCCTTTCTTTCAAGGAATATGAGTGCTGGGAGAATCTTATTCTGGTAGTTTTAGAAATAGCGCGCAGTCTCTTCTTAATATTTGATTTTTCTAGTCAACATAATCTTTATTTATATTACCCGAAGAAAGTTAAAGTTTCGTGCTTGAATTTGGCCCTTTTTGCGCATTGAATTATTGTTGTACTTCAATTCACATTCCAATAAGCTTTCTTGGTTCTATTCCTCCACGAAACAAATTTCGTGCTTTGTCAATTATCATAATTCTTTGGAGTGACTACAAAAGGATTTGTATTTCAGTGCAGGTATTATCAAGGATTTGCGGCATATGCTGGTAGCAACCTGATTCTGGCAATTGCTGCTGCAGCTCTCTGTGCTTATGTTGCTCCTGCAGCAGCTGGATCTGGCATTCCGGAGGTTAAAGCATACCTGAATGGTGTAGATGCTCCTTCTATATTGGCCCCAAGTACACTTTTCATAAAGGTACCTCTCTCTCTCCCTCCCTCCTCCCTTTTTCCTCAGAATCCACACACATCCTTTGCTGAGAACATTTACTATCGATCAAGAACCTGAAACTCCTTGGAACCTTGAGCAGTTCATGATAGCTACTCCTTTTCTTGGAGGTTGTGGAACTTAAAGCTCTTAATTTAGTTTTAGAGGCCAATGAGATTGTGGGAATTACCTCTATCTCTCTTTTGCTCTCAAACTTTTGTCTCTCTCTCTCTTCTGGATGATATAAATGATGAATCTGCATTGATGATTGCAAGATAATTCACTGGTTTGCCTGCTAATAAAGCCAACCACTAGTTACATATGAAATTTGCAGATTTTGAGTAAATTACTTTAAATGGGAAACATTACAATCTTTTGCACTGCTAGATGTCATTATAATGTAATATTTTGTGTTCTTTAATATTATGCTAGCTTGAATATTATTTTTGAGACATGTAAAAATATTAGTTTGGTCATGATAGTTAACAAAGGATGTTGGTGTTGGCTCAGTCATGAAATAAATATTGCTATTGCCAAGTTCACACTGGTATCTCCTAGAACCTGATGCCAGTTGAAATGCACTGTTTGTTGGTTTTTTAAACATAGCTTAAAAGTTGGATGTAATATCCTGGCTTGTGGAAAGGTGAAACAAGAGATAATAATCCTATTATTCATTGTTTCTCTGATTGTCCTTGTCCATCAGAAACATAAGTAAGCACTATAAAGTGAGAACAATTTCCCTGCTCTCTTAAGTTGAGAATTAGCGTTATTCTTGCTGAGCATTTTCTTGTCAACCAGTGAAATGATGTACTTTCTTTTGTCATAGTTGTATCTACTTTTATTTATTTGCTTGGATAGCTTGCTTTTCATTGATACTTTTCTTCCCTCCTATGTTTAAAAGATTCTGATAATTTAATGATTATTGATCTGAGTTGGAGAGGTCAAGATATAGGTTTACATAAAAGTTTGATGTTTTGATGAGTTGCTCAAACTTCTTAGAAGTTAATGGCTTCTTGTTTTCCTATTAACAAATGTCGCTTGTTTCAAAAATAAAATCTGTGTTAATTTTACATCTCTTATTTCTCAGATTTTTGGATCCATTTTTGGAGTTGCTGCGGGATTTGTTGTTGGTAAGGAGGGACCTATGGTACACACTGGTGCTTGCATTGCCTCCTTACTTGGCCAGGGTGGTTCTCGAAAATACCATTTGACTTGGAGATGGCTGAGATATTTCAAAAATGACCGGGATCGGCGGGATTTGGTTACTTGTGGTGCTGCTGCTGGTGTGGCAGCTGCCTTCCGTGCTCCTGTTGGTGGGGTTCTCTTTGCCCTTGAAGAGGCTGCCTCATGGTATCTCTTGTGTTTGTCGTCTCCTCGCATTCTCCCTTCTATATCTGTCCTTGAATTAGTGCAACAACTTCTGTAATTTCTTATGTCTACTTGTTCAAACTATTAAAATTGCTTTTGTTGTTTTACTATGAGTTTGAGAATTGCATAAAGGCTACATTTATTAGTAAACTAGAATAATAAGAAACCAAAATTCTAGCAAGTGAAATGGGCTTCCTTGCAAAATTGTATCTGGTTTTTCGCTGCAGTTTGGGATTTCATGTTAAAAGTTAAGCATCTTCAGTTTTTATTTTGATTGGTATGCTAAAGAAGTCTGGACTTGTTTAATGCAACAATTTCTAGCTATGTTGCTAAGTTGCGTCAGTGGTCGATTTTGTTTGTTTCAAAAGCAGATACTAACTTGTTCAGAATGCAAAGTGTACATTGTGAATTTATTAATCTGTTTTGTTTTGGCAAGTGACATTGATGACATTGTGAATTCATTTCTTCACTCACGGTTAAAAACTTTAAGGTTGTTTCGATGCTTTGAGATTTCTCTCCTGTTCTAACCTGAGGTCATGTTGTTTTCTCATATTCAGGTGGAGGAGTGCTCTTCTCTGGAGAACTTTCTTTACCACAGCTGTAGTAGCAGTGGTGTTGAGAGGCTTCATAGAATTTTGCAGGACTGGCAAATGTGGGCTATTTGGGAAAGGTGGTCTCATCATGTTTGATGTAAATTCAGGAAAAGCAATCTACACCACACCAGATCTTCTGGCGGTTATATTCCTTGGAGTAATAGGGGGTGTTCTTGGAAGTCTCTACAATTATTTTGTTGACAAGGTCCTTCGAACTTACAGCATCATCAATGAGTATGTCTGGAAAATTTTATTCTTTTGGAAGAGTGTTTTGCAATTTACATTTGTCACTATGTTTCTACTGAAGAGTCATATGAAATTCAGGACCATAGGTTCAATACTTAACAGAACACTTATGGGACTACTTTATAGCGCATTGGTCAATAATTTGCCGATCGAGTCTACTCATGCATTAAATAAATTCAACCAACAACAAACGTAATTGGTTCAGAATGAGGAAGACATAGATTGTCATGTCACTTATAACAAGATTTATTGTCTATCTCTTATATATATACTGGTTACTTCTTCTTACATTGAAAATAAAGCTAGTGGCAGACTCCCTCTAATTTCTTGGCTTCCCAACATTTGTAGTCCAATCTTATTAGGAAAATGCTCAAGTGCTCATATTTTCTCTTTTAATGCTAAAATTTCCTTAGATAAAAACTTATCCTTATTCACTCATTTAGCCTCCTAAATAACTTTAAAGTGCCAATAAATGTCCGAATTTGCAAATTTGCTCAAATTTTGATTGCTGATTGTTTGAATGCCTTACAGGAAGGGTCCTTTATTCAAGATCATGCTTGTTGTCATTGTTTCCCTTCTGACCTCATGTTGCTCTTACGGCTTGCCATGGCTTGCACCGTGTATTCCTTGTCCTCCTAACCTGGCGGAACGATGCCCAACTGGAGGTCGCACTGGAAATTACAAGAACTTCCAGTGTCCAGAAAACCACTACAATGACCTTGCTTCCCTCTTTTTCAACACAAATGACGATGCTATACGAAATCTATTAACCCCTGGTAGTGAAAAGAGATTTCAGTTCTCCACCCTCCTGGTTTTCTTTGCTGCTATTTACTGCCTTGGCATCATTACTTATGGCATTGCTGTTCCCTCTGGACTTTTCATCCCTGTCATTCTTGCTGGGGCCTCTTACGGTCGCATTGTCGGAAAGTTGCTCAGTCCTGTCTCTGATCTTGATGTGGGTCTCTTTTCACTCCTTGGAGCTGCCTCCTTCCTTGGAGGCACAATGAGGATGACAGTTTCTCTCTGTGTCATACTTCTTGAACTTACTAATAATCTGTTGATGCTTCCACTGATGATGCTAGTTCTCCTTATTTCCAAAACTGTAGCTGATGCCATAAACAAAGGTGTTTATGATCAAATTTTGAAAATGAAAGGATTACCTTATATGGAAGCTCATGCAGAACCATACATGAGGCACTTGGTCGCAAGTGATGTTGTATCTGGCATGTTAGTTACATTTTCTGGGGTAGAAAAGGTTGAGAACATTTTATATGCTTTGAAAAAAACAGGCCACAATGGATTCCCTGTGATTGATGAGCCACCGTACACCCAAGCTCCGGAGCTGTGTGGGCTAGTTCTTAGGTCTCATCTACTTGTGTTGCTTAAAGGGAAGAAATTTACCAAGCAGAGGGAAATGACTGGATCAGGCATTAGGAAATCGTTTAGAGCCCACGATTTTGCGAAAGCAGGTTCGGGCAAGGGTGTGAAATTGGAGGATTTAGATATCACAGAAGAGGAGATGGAGATGTATGTTGATCTCCATCCCATTACTAATACATCTCCATATACTGTTGTTGAAACAATGTCTCTAGCTAAAGCTGCTGTTCTCTTCCGGGAGCTCGGCCTCAGACACTTGTGTGTGGTGCCAAAGACACCCGGGGTAAGATTCACTCAGTTTATTTATATTCTTCTGTTGCTAGTAGTTTTCTTAGACACTAATGCAACTTCAATTTCATTTTCCCTCTTGCAGAGGCCTCCGGTTGCCGGAATCCTGACGCGGCATGATTTCATGCCAGAGCACATTTTGGGACTCTACCCCCATATCAATCCCCACAAGTAAGGAAGCAAAATTATTTTTCTTGTGCCATTACCAGTGTTCTTTTAGATGTACGGCATTGAAGTGGCTGTATTAAAAGAGGATCTCAACCTTCTATGCAAAATTCTATATAGGATACTTATAATGTGGTTTTTGAAAAGACATTTTCATTTGTGTATATAAACATTAGACTTCCTGCACCAAATTACTTTTACGTTTTGGTCAAAGTGTCTACCGTCTCACTTTTTAGCTGAGTTGCCCTCACTTGCATTGCATATGAAATGATGCTACATTGGTATGATGAGACACGTTGACTATATGTTTGATGACTTTATAAAATGAACACGTCATGTTAACATTTTATATGTTTTATGTAAAGTTGGCTAAAAGTGGGCCACCCTTACACATGAGCGTTTGATATTTTTATATTCTGTTTACGTAACAATTCTCATGAGATGATATCTGACGTTATATTGGTTATTAATTTTTTAATTTTTTTTAAATTTACTATTTTATTTTGAAAATTAGATATAAAACTTAATGTAAATTTATAGCATATTTATTTTTTACTTGATGTTTTAAGATTCTAACATTAAATAAAAACAAATAAAGAGAAAAACTTCCATTTTGTATAATTTTGCACGGGGAAATTACCGTTTAGTTCCTGTGATTTAACGAAACTAACTATTTTGTCTCTTTGTTTTAAAAAAAATAGATGGATGTGAAACTACATTTTGCCGTTAACGGATGGAAGGACCATACTTAGAATAACTTATTCATTTATTTCTGAAAACACAAGGATGAAGTAATAAGCTTCACCAAACTACATGGACTATATAGTAATTTTTTACAGTTTCATTTGCATATTACAATAGTCTTCTTCGTATTCCTTTTCAAAAAAATCCTTAATTTCATTTGTTTGGTTCATTCAGTAGGCCATGGATCTAGTTTAGATAAATATTTTTCTTAATTAAATGTATTTTTAATTAAAAAAATAATTACTTAATGCATATCCGACCTGACAATAGATTAAAGTTCGAATTCTCTTCAATGCTCAAAAATAATATATGTTAAACCAAATAAGGATATAATGTAGCACTATAAATGATAAAGCTCTACATAATTAATGGTGGGGTTAAGATTCAGATACCAAGAACAAAAGAGCAGGACAGAAGTCATTCTCATCCCCACCTCAAGCCCTCTAGGCCCTAGATGTGATAAAGTTTTTTGTCCCTCTATGGTGATGATCCTTGTTCCTATCTATCTCTTCTCTTTAGGTTGAATAAGTAAATTCACCTTTTGAATTTTTATAGCACTCGAAACTTAACTGATGACATGTACTGTACTTCAACTTGTAAATTTTGATAATAATATCAATAATTTTTAGGGTTTTTAATTTTTATCTTGCAAAATATCAACTTGATATGTAGCTAGCATGACTTTTAGAATAAAATTTTCATAAATTTTAATTTTTAATGAGTTTAATTGATCTAATTTTGCAAGTTGAAATGTTCAATAAAATAATTTTGAAAATTAAAGTGTTTAATAGGTGTAGTTTTATAAGTTAACATATTTGATAGATCAAAGTAAAAGTTTAGGGTGTCATAAAATTATAATAATAAAATTTAAGGGTGAAGTTATATATTCAACGATTTTTTATTTTATTTTATGTTTTTTCAACTTTTTACTATGCTGAAACATTGATTAAACTCAAGTTAATACAACATTGATTTACCAAAGTTTTTCTCTTGCTGAAGGAACAAACCCATCGATGAGATCTACAGCCTTTGTCAAGATTGGGCTTCAACATATGCAAAAAGGAGTGACCTTTCTTGATCAACCATACCATCTCATAGTGTTCTAATCAGCAAAACTCTCTGGAGTCTCTTTGCAAGATCTTCTATGGAGGATTTTATTCTAGAATCTTTCAGACAACCAGGATGTTTATATACTTTATTTATGAAATTAGCTCTAGCTTAGTGGTGAATCTTTTAAACGGAGCATCAAAGCCCCGCAGGTTCTTTCCTTTCGTATCATCTGGACATAGTCTAGTGGCGACCGCCTTTCAAGTGCAGGGATGAAATCTTGAATTTAAATCCAAGCTCCTCCATTACAGACTGTCCTTTAATGGGCTTCTATTATCATTTGTGATTATAATGATGTTTTTGAAAATGTAAATTCTTTATAACACTGTTCAGTGTACATTTATAATATATAAAAAATTATTTGAATGAAATCTTCATGTTGTCTTTTATATGCAACGGTCAATTACACAAAAAATAAAATAAAAAATTATAATTGTATTTAAATATTTCAAAATAAGCTACTTTATCCTAAGATTTAAAAATATTTACAGTAATTATACTCATTGGATCCAAATTACAGAGTCATCTTTTGAAATTGATAAGAGATCCATGAAAAATTATTATATAATTAGATTTGATGATGACTGATTTGAATGTAATTATAATTTTTTTGAAAATATTCAGATTTTCTTGTCCATTTGACCTTTTTTTCTAACAGTAGTTCGCATAACCATTGTCTTTTGGTAACTTTTTATTCTTTGAAATATATTCATTGGTAATAAATCGAAGTTATTATATTTTAGAAAAAGTTAATTTCAACACCATACTGTGTTGTTTAAAATATTTTTTTATCCATATAACTATTTTCATGTTTGGACCAATGGTTATATTCAGATAAAGCGTTTTAATGATTATGTAAAGTTTGCCGGGAATGCAATTTATCTCATTTAATCATATAATTATTCTTTAATCACAATGAATCAACAACATAATTTTTTAGTATTTTTGAAGTATATGTAACATTAATTTTCTTCAAAACCTATAAATAAATTTTTTTTCAATTTCTTTAATAGACACAAGAAATGAAAAGGAAAGATATGAGACTATTGCAAAAGTTCAAATTTTATTTTTTGAATGAGTGAAAAAAAAAAAAAAAATTTAAAACCTGAATTTCGAGTTGGTTTAAAAAAGAGGTCCCAACTTCTTAACTCCCCTCTTATCATTCCTTCACAAACCAAACCAAAAAAGCCAACAGAAAGCATCCTTTTCAAATACATTTGGGTGCGTCATAATTACTTATATTTCTGCCATTTTTTGTTGATTAGAATCACCATCTTTCAGATCCAATCTTAGGGTTTCTGTTCTTCTATGTCTCTTGAATTCGATCTCCATTTCCATATAGGAAATTTGTGAGTGCTTGTTTCAAATCTGTGAAATCAATACACAGATTGATAGACTATTGGTATATAAATACATATCGGAAATATGGAAGCAATCGAAGAATTGCAGCAGCTGTCGGAATCTATGAGACAAGCATCTGCGGTGCTTGCCGACGAAGATGTTGATGAAACGACGACGTCTTCTTCTTCCAAACGATCCTCCACATTCCTCAATGTCGTTGCCCTCGGCAATGTCGTAAGTTCTTCATCTATTGTAATATGAATATGTGTTTTATGGATAGGGTGCTAGATCTTTGGATCTAATATGTTTTTGAATTGTGGATGGAATTGGTGAATAATGCATCTACCTATAATTCCGAAATGTGAGGGCTTGGATAATATTAGGAATATGGAGAAATGCCGGAAGAGTAAGTGAGCTGAATGTATATGTATTTGTGAGAGCGGGAGGACGCTTGGGTTTCAAATGAGGATCAAAAGGCTTGATGCTTTTCAGTTGCTAACAGAAATGAAAAACGCACACTAGTTATACAGAATGTGTTTTTGGATACAATCAGTTTTGATTTTTCAAGATGTCAGCTACTACCTGCATTGAATTTTTAGTCATTTTAGTTCTCTAGTGGCTAAGTTTTGAAGAAAACATGAGCTGAAATGAGGATATGTATTTCTGCAATGGTATATTTGTTGTCTGATATTGGAGAAGATTCGATTAGAAGTGCATTGCTGCAGTTGATGGTTGTATGTGGATACTGTCCTCTTTATGTTGATGTATTTAGTTGCACATAATTTGATGAAATACCCTCATAATGCGAGAAATATATGCTTTCTCTGAGTTATAAGAATCTTAGAGATGAACAATGGGATATGTTTGTTTTGTAAGTAAATTCCACTAATTAAAAAAATATGTAATTGAGATAGGCTTTTTCTTGTGGATTGTGTTCATACTGTAAATGAGGAAAGTGACATGATGGAAAGAAGCCAAACAAAAAAAAAAAAAGAAAGAGATTTCTACCATATGGAACTTGTGAAATGTAAAGCTTTCTCTTTTTTTGCTTCCTTTCTTAAAGGGCATGTTTTGTGGTTATTGTGATTTTTATGCTGCAAGGCATTTAACACATATCTTTTTGTGGACATCTTGAGCAGGGTGCTGGTAAATCTGCTGTCTTCAATAGTCTTATTGGACACCCTGTTTTAGTAAGTTAATTATGATTTTGCTTGTTGAAATTTTGATTTTCTTTCTGGACTTATCCTGACTATTTATTTTTTATATGGCAGCCAACTGGTGAAAATGGTGCAACTCGGGCTCCAATAACCATTGATTTGAGTAGAGATAGTTCATTAAACAACAAGTCTATCGTTTTACAAATTGATAATAAATCCCAGCAGGTTTCTGCAAGTAAGGCTTCTTACCAGATTACCTTCAAATGTATAATTTGATGTTGTTGCCTTAGAGGAGCCTTATGTTGCATGATTAATGTATGCTAAAAGCATTTTTGCATGCATGCAACTTTATAAATGTCTCTGTAAAATTGGTCTTGTAATGCCTCTGATGGTGGTTGGCCTTTTAAATTGGCACATCACAGGTGCTCTTCGGCATTCTCTACAGGATAGGCTAAGCAAGGGTTCCTCAGGCAGGAGTCGTGATGAAATATATCTGAAACTTCGCACTAGCACAGGTTGGCTCTTGTCTTATTTACTGTTTATTATCAAGGCCTATTCTTTAATGTAAGAAAAAAAGGAAAAAAAAAAAAGAAAAAGAAGCAAAAATAAATGGTATGGTGCAAATTGGATACAACAATTCTTGTGATAAATTATATAATTACCAATTATAGTGGATTTGCATCTAGTTAGTACCATATACTACTGGTCCACTGGTCTCATGGTTGTCGGTAGTAGTACCATTCTTTTCATTATGCATTTCTATTCTATTTACACCTAGCTTGTGTCAGTGATAGAAGTGGTGACTTGAATGCTGTTTCTTGTTTCATAATACGGAGAAAAGGCACAGAACTAATATCTCACCATCCATGAAATTAGCAATAATGATAGACTTTAGGCCTCAATGCCTTGTGAAGTTTGAATGAGGATACTGACACCTGTTGTGGAATTATTTTTTGATTTTTTGTTTCTTTTTTTTTTTTTCCAAAATGGTGTGTAGATAGAGTTTCTTGTCCCAAAACATGCCAAAAACTAACCACAATGTAGGATGAATTACATTTCTAGGCAGAAATATGTGTACACTACATGCAAAAATATATATGTGCATTCTGATTATTTTTTAGTATAATTAATATATTTCTTGAATTTCAGCTCCGCCATTGAAATTGACAGACTTGCCAGGATTGGATCAAAGAATCATGGATGATTCACTGGTGAGTATAGCTGAATGTATAATTTTCACCGCCACATTTTTTTGCAATATACACACACACACACACACACACACTCTCTCTCTCTCTCTCTCTCTCTCTCTCTCTCTCTCTCTCTCTCTCTCTCTCTCTCTCTTCTCTAAGATGCCTATGTTCAAATTTTAGTAATCATTAAAGTTGTATATTTCAGTTTTTAACATGCTTATTGAACCTCTCTCTCTTCTCTTCTCCCCTTTTTTCTTTTCCCTCACCCTCTATATTTCTATTTCTTTTGTTTCTTTTCTGATTGCAAGTTCTTTATGAATCTCTTTCTAATAGTTTAATTCTCTCTCTCTCTCTCTCTCTCTCTCTCTCTCTCTCTCTCTCTCTCTAAAGATGCCATGTTCAATTTAGTAATCATTAAAGTGTATATTTCAGTTTTTAACATGCTTTATTTGAACCTCTCTCTCTCTCTCCCCCTTTTTCTTTTTTCCCTCACCCTCTATTTCATTTCCTTGTTTCTTTCTGATGCAAGTCTTTATGGAATCTCTTCTAATAGTTTAATTTGTTTATTGTCTCAGATCAGTGAATATGCTGAACACAATGATGCTATTTTAGTAGTTGTAGTACCTGCTGTTCAGGCACCAGAAATTTCATCATCCAGAGCTCTTAGAATTGCTAAGGAATATGACGCAGAGAGTGGGTTAATTATTCAGCTTAGTGCTTATGTGTTTACTGAAAAAAACTAGAATATTATTTTCTTTATATTTTCAGGGTTTGAATTTTTTTTCTTTTTAGATTTATTTCTATATATATATATATATACAGTAATATATTAATTTTGATTTCTGTTTTGTTTTAGGTACAAGAACAATTGGTGTTATTAGTAAAATTGATCAAGCAGCTACAGAGTCAAAAGCTCTTGCTGCCGTTCAGGCACTCCTCATGAATCAGGGTCCTCCAAAAACTTCTGATATTCCATGGGTTGCATTGATTGGTCAATCTGTTTCCATTGCTTCAGCACAATCAGGAAGTGCTTCAGCTGAAAATTCTTTAGAAACAGCTTGGCGTGCAGAGAGTGAAAGTCTAAAATCTATATTGACTGGGGCCCCCCAAGGCAAGCTTGGGAGAGTAGCATTGGTGGAAGCTCTTGCTGGTCAGATTCGTAGTCGTATGAAACTCAGGCTTCCAAATCTTCTCTCTGGGTACTTTTTCTTCTGCTACTATAACTTTTCTTAAATAAATTATTTATTTATTGAACAAATGGTTGAAGTTCTATCACTAATTTCCCTGCTGCAGTTATTTTTGTGTGGCCAATAATTTCTTATTATTACACTTTCTTTTCTATACAGAAAAGATTAGAATATCATGTATCAAAAGATAATTGCTAGATTCAGTTAGGGATTGAACTATATCATCAATCTTTGTGCCTGTCCACTTCTAATGTTATCATTCATTAACAAATTGCAGGCTTCAGGGGAAGTCTCAAATCATTCAGGATGAACTAGTGAGGCTCGGTGCACAAATGGTTAGTAGTTCTGAAGGCACAAGAGCTTTGGCTTTGGAGCTCTGCCGTGAATTTGAGGACAAATTCCTTCAGCACCTTGCAGGTGGTGAAGTAAGTAATTTCTATTAAAAACTGCATATGTGTCGTTATTTTCTTATGTCTGCAAGAGGGACTTCTGTATGTATAAGAAAAGTATACTATGTTTAATGAGAAAAAAGTTCTCTGAAAGGTTGAAGTTGGCCAAATGATCCTACAGGCCTGTGTACTTACAACGAATTTGCAATTGAACCTTTAAAGTTGCGGTGACAATTTATTCTATTATGAACCAACAATTATCCCTTGTGCATGTATTCGTAGGCTCTCGTTTAGTTCTCGTTTGGTCCAATTTGACAATTGACTGCTTTTGACTCTCTATTAGGCTTGACAGGATATTTTGTTATGACATTATTATGGTTTTTGAATGCATTGCAGGGTAATGGATGGAAAGTTGTAGCGAGTTTTGAGGGAAATTTTCCAAACAGGATCAAGCAGCTTCCTTTAGATAGGCATTTTGACATGAATAATGTGAAAAGGGTATGCTTTCTCTTTTAGTTAGATTCTGGATTCGTTTAATTATAATATTTATAGGTGTTTTTATAGTGGTTCATTTTGTAACATCAGATTGTCCTAGAAGCAGATGGTTATCAACCTTATCTTATATCCCCGGAGAAAGGGTTAAGGTCCTTAATAAAAGGTGTTCTGGAGCTGGCAAAGGAGCCTGCACGTCTATGTGTAGAAGAGGTATGATTCTATGTGTGCTGTGAGGTTATATAGTTTAATTTTTTTATAGCTTCTTCAACTCTTTTAGATTAAAGAAGCAAGATGTTTTATAAAATTCTGTAAAAAATGGGGAATTGTTAAGCCAATATGATATCGTTGTGCTTACTCAGGCATGTACAATCTTGTGTTGTGAACTTGTCTAAATGGCATTTGTTAGCAGTCTTCTAATGCCCATGTCAATGTGCAACAGCTGTAAATCATTTTGCATAAATGCATATCTAGTGGATTCATTATAGATGTGATTTACTTTTACATGCTATGGTCTGCAGGATGACCATGTCTTGCCATGTGAAATCTAGTTGAAGTCATATCCCTACTCAAAACAGTCAAATATTTGATATCTATTTTTCGTTGCTTCATAAAATAAATTCATTTTATAGGTATGCAAGACTGTTCACTTCACTTTCATTATTTTTATCATAGACTTCCTCCCTTTTTTTTTTGCTATTTCCCCAGTGTTCCCTTTCTGCAATAGGAAAGACAATTGAAACATTGATGAGTGGATTTGTTCTATTGTGCACACAGCGTTTTGCAGCAAATCTAAATATGAACATGAAATCCATGGATCTATATGTTGTTTTTCCTACTATTATAACTATTGTTTAAGCCGAAGTTGGATGTCCATTAAAATAGGTACATCGTGTACTGGTGGATATAGTATCTGCTGCAGCAAATGCCACTCCTGGTCTTGGAAGATATGCTCCCTTTAAGAGAGAGGTATTACTGCACTCAGTGTAATTTTATATGCTTCCTTTAGGGAATTTCTTGTTCTATGATTATTAATTTCAGTTGTCAATTTTTCAATCAGATTGTGGCAATTGCAAGTACTGCTCTTGATGGCTTTAAGAATGATTCTAAGAAAATGGTAGTCGCCCTGGTGGATATGGAGCGTGCATTTGTGCCACCTCAACATTTCATCCGATTGGTGCAAAGGCGGTATGTTCCATATTTACATGTTGATAAACACTGGAACTCTTTCCTTTTTTTTTTAATACGATGTATGTGCTTTTACTCTTGACCATTCACCTTAGAGATCAAGCTTTTTGTTGTTTAGTCCCTTTTGTAGTGTTTTGCTGTTATTTCCATTACATTACTCTATTTTGTTCTATTTACCATAGGCAGGTCCTTTATTATGAACTTATTGTAGTTTATGTTATGGATTATGTATCTCTTTCTAAAGCAGGTGATCCACCAAGGGATTGATGAAAAGCTATCTAAATTTCTTCTTCTTCTTTTTTTTTTTTTTTTTTTTTTGTTTAGTTCCCTTTTGTAGTTGTTTTTGCTGTTTATTTCCATTTACATTACTCTATTTATTTGTTCTTATTTAACCTTAGGCAGGTTTTCTCTATGATAACTTATTGTTAGTTTATGTTATTGGATTATATCTCTTTCTAAAGTTCATGGTGATTCATCCATAGGGTGATTGATTGAAAAGCTATCTTAAAATTTCTTCTTCTTCTTTTTTTTTTTTTTTGTGGTATGTCGAATTCTAAAGAATGTATTTTTGAAATGTAATATAAGATATAGAGTTAATTTCCATTTCATATTTAATTGATTTCCTAAAAAACATTATTTGGAATAAAATTTATTTATTACATGATTATGCTGCTCATAGTATACATTTTTTGCTCTCATCTTTTTTTTTTTTTTTTTTTGTGGTTATGTCGCAACTAAAGAATGTATTCTTGAAATGAAAAGATAAGAGTTAATTTCATCATCAGTTAATGATTCCTAAAACATTTATTGGAATAAATTTTATTTAACATGATATGCTGCCTCAAGTATACATTTTGCTCCATCAAATGCTAAGCGTCTTTCTTTTTTGTCTGTAGACTATGCTGGTTTATATAATTGTTTGAGAAGAATATTACAATGGAAATTGAAGGGCTTCCGATGCCTGTATTTCCACCTTAAGTATGAGTAGGTTAATGTAGGTTTTATGTAACTGCTTATTCAGTTTGTATGCTGAAATTCTCTATTGGTTTTTAATTGTGGTGCAGCTTGTGATTTATCAGCTTTGTATAGATTTCTATGTTGCCTGTTTGATAGTTTCATCTTTGATCCCCAGAATGGATAGGCAGCGTCGTGAGGAAGAGATAAAGAACAAATCCTCTAAGAAGGCAAATGAAGCAGAGCAATCCATACTAAATAGGGTGTGGATTTATTAATTTCTCTAAACTTTATCTGTTACTTGAGTTCAAAGTATATAGTACTTTATCTGTGTTATTTATTAACTAATTGCCATTTTCTCCTAGGCAACTAGTCCTCAAACAGGATCCCAGCAGTCTGGAGGAAGCTTGAAATCAATGAAGGATAATAAATCTGAGAAAGATTCACAAGAGGGATCAGCCTTGAAAACAGCAGGGCCTGGCGGTGAGATAACAGCAGGTTTGTGCTCAAGCTTTCTGAATATCAGCTTCCAAATAATATTGAAACTACGTTCTATTTGAATACATATATTGTATGACATAGTTCATATGATCAGACACTGGTGCACAAACACATGTAAATGTAATTTGCTTGCTTGAATTTTCTTTTCTTTCTTTCCTTTTTTTCCTTTTTTTTTTTTTCTGATTAATGAGTATATTTCAACTAGTTTGGTATTAAGGCTTAGTTGTTGTTGTAATGAGTATATTTCAATTTTTTTTTTCTTGTGCTATAGGCATATGCATTTGCAAAGTTGTCGATACCATCTGTGGCTTCTGGATTTCTATTGATATGAAGTATCTTGGTATTGGTGCATTTGGTTGTCCATTTTGGCATTATTGCTAAAATATAAACCTTTGAAACGTATACATATCTTATGAAATGCATGTGCATTTTCCCTCCACTCTCACCTTGGGCTTGCAAAATGTGACACACACAGCAAATGGTGTTCCTAATGCAATGTGCCAATGTTTTCTTTCTTCTACCACACTTCTTGAGGACAGTTTGTTACCGTGCTCAAATCTAGTGCTACATCCCATGTTTAAATGTGGACAAAAATATGGAACAAAAAGCTGGGTAGAGTATATTAACAAGTTGGTCCTTTCTTTTTCTTTCTTCCTTTTAATTACCGCTTTTCAGTAGAAGTTAGGAGAGCTGTTTTTCTTCTTTTCCTATCTGGTGTCCTTTTTCTTTTGGTACGTATTGTTAATTGATATGCTGCATCTGCAACATTTGATGCATTCAATTCTGTAGATTGGCACTGTATGACTAGAGCCCTTGTGGAAGCACCTTTATTCAACTATTTTTCATTTCCCTCTCAAAATCTAAAATTGCTTTATGAGTGTACTTTGAACAATGATTAAGCTATTAAATATGACTGCTTCTCATAGATTACCTTATGTTTTTTCAGGATATTTATTGAAGAAAAGTGGAAAAACAAATGGTTGGAGTAAACGTTGGTTTGTATTGAATGAAAAAAGTGGCAAGGTTAGTATATATACAGGAATTTGACCTACATAAAATGAGAAGTGCATGAAAGTTTTCTTTTTCAATCTGGTACTCTTGAAATTATTCTTTAACAATCAGGATGTTGCCTTTACTTTTTCTGGCTCTTGTAGTGCTCTATTCATGTTGGCACATACACTGCCTTTACATTCTTTTTATGTAGGATTATCGAAGATGTCAATGGCTTGCTACTTTGCTTAAAATAAATTTGGCACTTGAAATTGAAGATGGAAAAGCAAAATATGGACATCCCAAATTCATTATATTATATAATATCAGTACCTTATCATAAATAAAGTAGTTTTCAAATTTTGCTGATTGCTATTGTTGCCGTGACTCTGAAAATGTTTATGAGAAAGCTAAATTTACTGCCTTCTTTATTGGCCTCTTAATATGCTTGTTTGCATTAATGTTCTTTTGTTGATGATAGTAGAACCTGTATCCTGATTTGCATATCTTTATACTATTTAACTTGTATTGCAGCTTGGTTACACCAGAAAGCAGGAAGAAAGACATTTCCGAGGTGTCATTAATTTGGAGGTAAGAACTTCAATAGGACAGAGAGAAGTTTTAATTGATAAGAAAATGAATAAATAAATAAGTCCATATCGACTATAATAAATGAAATTTGGACTGGTTCATATTTGGTAACTGCTTATATGGATTTGTTTGCCCAACAAGGCTCGTTATGCCATTTATGATTAAAGTTGGCTATGGTTGGGAATTTTCTCCACGGTAGTGTAATAGATTGTTTGAAACTTGTATGGTAAACATGGTATCTGCAGAAATATTTGTAAACTTGTAAATATGTTAATCATAAATTTTCTATAATTTCAGATTTATTTTGTATATTAGAAGTGCTGCTCTTCAAATTTTGAAGTGTAGGTATTTAATTTCTGATGGTTAAGGATTTACTTGCACGTGTTTTGGGGCAAGTTATTTTATGATGATGCAATGCACATGCGACAAATAGTTGGAATATTTGAGTAGACTGGATGCTAGTTTGAGAGGATTTCAAATAGGAGAAATAATGATATGTAAATGTTTTAAGGAATGGCCAGGTTATTTTATGATGCAATGCATATGCTACAAATAGTTGGAATATTTGAGTAGACTGGATGCTAGTTTGAGAGGATTTCAAATAGGAGAAATAATGATATGTAAATGTTTTAAGGAATGGCCAGGTTATTTTATGATGCAATGCATATGCTACAAATAGTTGGAATATTTGAGTAGACTGGATGCTAGTTTGAGAGGATTTCAAATAGGAGAAATAATGATATGTAAATGTTTTAAGGAATGGCCAGGTTATTTTATGATGCAATGCATATGCTACAAATAGTTGGAATATTTGAGTAGACTGGATGCTAGTTTGAGAGGATTTCAAATAGGAGAAATAATGATATGTAAATGTTTTAAGGAATGGCCAGGTTATTTTATGATGCAATGCATATGCTACAAATAGTTGGAATATTTGAGTAGACTGGATGCTAGTTTGAGAGGATTTCAAATAGGAGAAATAATGATATGTAAATGTTTTAAGGAATGGCCAGGTTATTTTATGATGCAATGCATATGCTACAAATAGTTGGAATATTTGAGTAGACTGGATGCTAGTTTGAGAGGATTTCAAATAGGAGAAATAATGATATGTAAATGTTTTAAGGAATGGCCAGGTTATTTTATGATGCAATGCATATGCTACAAATAGTTGGAATATTTGAGTAGACTGGATGCTAGTTTGAGAGGATTTCAAATAGGAGAAATAATGATATGTAAATGTTTTAAGGAATGGCCAGGTTATTTTATGATGCAATGCATATGCTACAAATAGTTGGAATATTTGAGTAGACTGGATGCTAGTTTGAGAGGATTTCAAATAGGAGAAATATGAGCCAATTGATTATCTTTTATTTAAAATATTTTTTTCCCGTCTTACAGCTCACAGCACTGTTGTGTTAAAAGCTGAGACTATTGCTGACAAGGTTGAGTGGGTAAACAAGCTAAGAAGTGTCATCCAGGCTAAAGGAGGTCAAGTTCCTGGCGACTCTGGTCTTCCCATGCGTCAAAGTCATTCTGATGGTTCACTTGTGAGTTTCTTGGTGCACATTGTTTTCTGTTCATTTTTTTTTTTTTTGTAAAAGAACACGACAGAGATAAATGCATGTTATGTGTCTGTATTGGGATTTCATACTTCCTGCTTTCTCTTAGTGACTAGAAGACTGGTGCAAATTTGTAGGATACAATGACAACGACTAGAAGACCAGCGGACCCTGAAGAAGAGCTCCGGTGGATGTCTCAAGAAGTACGCGGTTATGTCGAAGCTGTTCTTAACAGCCTGGCTGCCAATGTCCCAAAAGTATTTCTCTTCCCAATATTAATAGCCTCGTTGGTATTTAGCTTGGTTTTTCAATAGTTTCTCTAACATTTTATCAACTTTCTGGTTCAACAGGCGGTTGTTCTTTGCCAAGTAGAGAAGGCCCGGGAAGACATGCTTAATCAGCTTTACAGTTCCATTAGGTTGGTAGTTTTCTCTTGTAACTTGTGGATCTGCGATATCTTCTTGTACTGATTGATAAATGCAAACAATGAACCCATCCTTTTATTGGCTTAAGACATTGCAATGCCTGATGAAATTCCATATGCATGTTCTCGAAAAATGTAAAGAATAACGTACACTGACAAAATTCTTGTTTTGTATATATATTTTTTCCCTTTTTCATCGTGGCTGAATTATTGTTACTAAAGGTCTTTACTTCATTCTTATCCTTTGGCGGTGGTAGTGCCCAAAGCACTGCAAGGATTGAAGAGCTGCTTCAGGAGGACCAGAATGTAAAGCGTAAGAGAGAGCGTTATCAAAAGCAGTCCTCTGTTCTTTCAAAACTTGTAAGGCAACTTAGCATCCATGACAATCGAGCAGCAGCTGCTTCTGGCTGGTCCAGTGATGGTGTTGGAGCAGGTAATGGCAGATACTGACATGCCGATTTACCTTTTTCTTTGGTATGTTGTGCATGCACAATTTGTCTTGCCTGTGCAGGTTTCCTTTTGTTTTGGAAATTGGAACAGACATAGTTTCTTCTTTGGAAGCAACTTCATGAAGCTGGTCTTCCTAATGTTTATACTTATATCATAGTGCATGTCTTAAATGCACAACTGATTTCACTTGGACCTCAGTTCTTTAGTTCCTTTTCAAAAAAGGACTTCTGACTTTTTAATAATTAGCAGTTTGATGTATGATAGCTCAGACAAACTCGATTGATTATAAACTGCTGACACTCCTAAAACATTTACGAGTAATTCCCAATTGCTAAAATTCAAAACAAGCATGGTTGAGCATAATCTGCTTCTAATCCTAATGAGAATACCTTTTATACATTTTGTGTTACTGACTGAGATTATCCAGTATTAAATACTAAATTTTGTACAGAGAGTAGCCCAAGAACAAATGGGTCTTCATCGGGAGATGATTGGAGGACAGCATTTGATGCTGCAGCTAATGGACGTGCTGACCCGTACAGATCGCACAGTCGACGTTACAGTGATCCTCCTCAAAACGGTGATGCAAATTCAACCACAAACAACAGTCGCCGTACACCAACTCGGATGCCACCAGCACCACCTCCATCCGGCTCATCCTATAGATATTAGATAAGAGGTTTGACGATACCAATTGATCATTCGTGCAAATCTTGTTGGCTGGGTGGTTTGCTTCCACTCCAGATGGGAGCATTTCTCAAGCTCACATCATGTTATGGTAGCTTTTGTAGGAAGGTTAATAGGTTTTGTAGATATATAATGCAGTTACAAGTGCTTGATTTTCAGGTGTATCATGTTCATTAAATTTTTTAGTCCATAATTCCATTTTGTTGTCAGGCTGGTCGAGGCCATCTCTCTTTTTTTCCCTTCCAATATCAGATGCTCCAAAATACAAATGACAGTTGTATTTGTTGTACTGAATCTTATTAGAAAAAGTATTTTTTTTCTCCTTCGGTTTATCTCTCAAAATTGGTTGGAGCAGAGCTTGATGATTCTCATTTTATGCGTTTACAATCAGAATGATGAGACCTAAGTTTGCTTTTAGCATTTTGTTGAAGTCATATATTTATATACATGTTTTTTTCATTCAGTGAATGTAATTGCACATACAGAACCCATATCTTTTTCCACAAGTTACAGAAATGTTAACCAAGTTTATTCACCTTCTGTAATTATGGTGTTGCAGTGACTAGATATGCATAGTAATTTTCAGATATAATAAATTTAATTTTAGAAGATTGTTTAATTTGGACTCTCCCATTTTTGTTCCATTTTTTTAATTAGGGAACAGGAGAGAATTCTCTGCAGCTTCAACCTACCAGATGTGTCTTTCAAATTTCTAGTTTGAAACCCCTTAATTCAAAATTAAAACTTTGTACTTATTTTTCATGTTGGAAAACAAAAAAATTGGGAAAAATACCAACAAAAAACTAAATGGGAGAGAGATGATGAAACTTTTCTTTATACCGTCATTTTGAATGCTAAATAAGGATTGGCAATAGATGTTGTTGTATCTATGTACAGATTCTTGAAACTAAGATTTTTTAACTATAATTATGGATTTGAATGAAAGGATAAATACAGAATTATCATAAAGACTGACTAATCATTCATTATACTCTCCTTGAAGGGAGCAGATTCACGTATTAGTTTCATTACAAGATGTACCTGCAAGGAAGAAGTCATTAATTAGACAAACACAATAAAACTAAAATCAAGACAAAATTACCAACGCATTGGTAATAAAAGGAGCATTGTCAATTTGGTGCTATTTAAGCTTTCATTATGGTTCAATGAATAATGAGAATATATAATATACAAAAACAAGAAAGGGAAGATTTTTGAAGATGCAATTACCTGAGATGCTTCTCGCACGAGAAATTCCCCTATAGCTTTCCTGAAAGCTTCGTCAACTAGGTAATGGCAACTATAGGTTGTCACAGGCAGATAACCGCGCTGAATTTTATGTTCACCCTGAGCTCCTGCTTCAACTGTGCTCAGATTAAGTTCAATGGCTGCTTCTATGGCCTATATATGAAGAATAGGTATTGGATAAATGATCATTTGTTCATTTTCATACATTGATGACTTCAAAATTTTATATTCATGTCAATGCCATGGTATGGATTCACAATGAAACATCATACTTGGGACTCAATGACTGGGAATCTTTTTCCGCTATTTCTTTACCTATAGTAAGAGAAACGTAAAAACAGAAAACTTCAAGTAATAAGATATGAACCTGGTAATAGCATGCTTCAAAATGCAAACTAGGATAATAGGCTCTCGGCTGACATCCCCATAGACGCCCATATAGAGTATCCCCACCAATAAGATTGAGAGCTCCTGCAACGAGTTCATCCCCTTCTTCAGCAACAACAAGTAATACCTGATCTCCCATCTTTGATCCCATGGTGTGGAAGAAATCTTTTGTTAGATAAGGAGTGCCCCACCTACGGAAAAATCAAACTAAACATAAAAAATGTGGATTTTGAAGCATCTCATTTAATTCAACTAAATCTGACAAGCTGAATTCTAGCAAATATATAAGTACATAAATTTTGTTTGAAAGCGGGTAAAAGGAGCGTAACGCTATGGACCAAACTTGTTATCAGTGGTGTTCCTGTAGAAGTCATAGAAGGTATCCCAATGTCTAGCCTGCCAAACATGGTAGTCAAAAGAAAATGAATTAACATCAGAACACAAGTGACTTTTAGCCTGCAAATGTCAATGCAGAAATCAAGCACCAATTGATGTCTATAACAACTATGGCAAGAAGAGTAGAAGACCCACAAATTGATTGCTTGAATTACTCCCAACGTATGAGTTTTTTCAGTCATCATAAACCTTTTTCTTTTTTTGAGAAGACTCGTAATAAACTTTTGACAGAATATTATATTGATAGTTTAACCCTGTACTTCAATTCCCAAACAAGGGAAAAGACTGCAATAAAACTAAGAAGCATGAGTGGTAAAATACATATGATGCAATCAAGCTATGGCCTTATGTGATGACAACACAAATTAAAATATTGATTGTTTTGATAGCAATTCGAAAACACACCTAAAGATGGCTGATTAGTGGTCAAATCATTATCATTAAATGCACATGTTTCTCTCACCACTGGTCACATGGTGTTTTAAAATGGTATTTTTTTTTTTTTAGAAAAAACAATGTGTGTAAAATAAGTGCACATTTGGTGTCCTTTTTCTAGCATTTGGAGTATATGCTGACAAAAACTCTCCAAAATTAATTCCCAAAGGCTAATAACAAGATTGACAAACCTCTGGTCACGATACCAGAGAACTTCGAAGATTGAAAAAAACTTTAGGTTCTTGAAATCACAGTTTGTTTTTCATTCATATACATTAAGGCATATAAAGCTTCTTTTTTCGTGATCTAGATTCCTTTTGTAACCAGACTTAGGCATACAAAAGCAATAGCTTTCTTTTCTCTGAGCATCAATACCCCTACATGCCCCTTCTTATTAACCCTACTTTTGGTTGGCAGTCCCTTCTTTTTTCAAATGTAAAACATGTTGACTACACGAGCAAACACTACAGATGTATGCTTCCAGATTTAATCGCAAACTTATTCCCATATTTGCATTCATCTGATACCATTGCTACACATCAATAAACTCTGAAACCAAGATCCGCAAAAGCTATACTAATTCGGTATATTTTAAAGAAACCTTTGGTAAAATATTGACGATCTCACAAGATGAAATTTCAGTAATAACAAGACAAAAGCACCCTACCACCAGTAAACTTGTAATGCAAGTTCACAAGGTCAAATGGAGTTGAACAATGACAAGTGAAACTCAATTATTAGCATAAATTGCGATCCGATTAAAGAATTATACAACAAAATTAATGATGAATGTGAAATTTACAAATATAGACAATCAAGTACCTTTATTTGAAAAAAAAAAAAGTTACCTTTATTTCATAACCCCGAAGCCGTTTCATGGTCAAATTTTGTGTTGCAATCTGCATTTTAGAAAGTTGACCCAGAAAATGTTGACTTGCATGAAAATAGACGCTAACTCATTATGGAAGCACTTAGAAATTTAAATAACTTGAGGAACATACATAACTTGAGCGAGAGGGGGCCCAAATTTATTTATAAATGGAAAAAGATTGTATTCAACGATACTAATATTAACTTGAGGAACTACATACTTTGAGCGAGAGGGGGCCCAAATTTATTGTATAATGGAAAGATTGTATTCAACGATAATTAAGTTTATATATTTTATATATATATATACTAGATAATATATATAATATTATATAATTGTATTTAAGGTAATAATATATTTATGTATATTCAATTTTTTTATTATATTCATATATTGATATTAATTTTATTATACAATTCAATATTTTAATATAATAATATATTATTATTGTATTCTAATTAATAGTATTTTAATTATATCCAAAGTAGCTTAGATCATATTACCTTCTCCCCCCAACCCTTCCCCCTTTCCTTAGCAAGTCATTATGTGCCAATTCATATTCATCACAAGCATCTGGTCAGTCTCATTTTGCATGGTTATTGGGAAGATCCTAAATGTTACTTGAGGATATATCAAGATATTGTGAGGATAATGCCAATCAATATTAGCAGCTTTCAGAATCAAGATTCGGTTTTGAAACCAGCAAAAAATGTGAAACGCCATAGGCTTGTATACTCCTAATTCAAGCCAGCCCATTTATTTTATAGACAAATTCTCTTCGCAATGAGGTTCCTTACAGTGGCTCTTACATGTTAATTTATGCAATATTTTAAAATTATATTATGTGATTTCCTAAACCTTTCTATGATTAACACACCTTTTCTTTGATTAAAAAATGAGTTGCATCCCTCCTCTTGATATGACAACGAATGATTGTGACCAAGATATTTTTCCTTATCAGGCAATCGTAACCGACACTAAACTATGTTGATTCACTGAACAATAAATATGTCACCATAATGCCATTTTTCTTTAAGGAGAAATAAAAAACAAAGAGTTTTTAGCAATAATCGACATATGCATATCCTTCTGTGTGTTTACTACTACCAATAACCCAATTTACAAAAGATTAAGATCCATTGCTCTTGAGACCAAGTGAAAGGTATTCCAAGGGGTTGTTGCACGTCCCAATTCAAAACTCATGCAGGGAGTGGGTAGCATAAAGAAGAAGACGAAATGCACCTTTTTGCGTTCTTGACGAATATTTTTCCTTTTACTTTGCTTCATATCCATCAAGAACTCATCAAAACTGCATTGCCAAATGGAAATGTTTGTCAAAATTTTATGCTAACACGTTTGACAGAAGAAAATGAATGAATTACACATGATAAAATGTAAGGGCCTAAAAATATGCTGTGGAGAGGAACACAAAGTAACATCTTTAAGGAACTCGCTAATGATAATCTCAAAATTAATAAACTCTTCATAATTGTAATCCTAGATCTTCACACTTTCAGAAAGATCCCAGGCTTGATCTAATTTAGTACCAAGGTGATACAAAATTTCAGGAAAAGTCAAATTAGTTTTGAGGGTGGAGAAATTTGATGACGGGATATGGATGGGAACCAACTGTACAAAAGCACACTGAAAATTATGTAATATGTACAAGAAAACTTTTAAGCAAATCTGAAAATAATCATTCACCCTAAAGAAGTATGTGAAAATAGTCAGCATAAGAGTTGAACTAGGAAAGAACAGAGTGTGATATATTTTAATGTAAACATCACTAAGAAAACAGCTACTGTTTCACTAACTTTTTATAATTACGATTTTTCCAATGGTACTGCATTGCGATCCTCTGCAAGAATCCTTTTTCCTTCAGTTTGTGCCACTCCTTTTCTGAGGGAAAGGTAATGTGCAGCGATGAAACCTGGGACTGCGATGCATGGCACTATATTAATAAGAATATTACATTTTAAAAGAGAACTAATTTTTGGGTTCTTAAAAAACATGAAATATAAATTCTTCAAAAGTGTAATCTGAACATAACAGACTAACTGACAAGTTCCTTTGAAAGAAAATGTAACAATTACAAAAACTCTGAAATCAATGCACAAATTCCTTCAACATTAAACTATTAAATGTGTATTTCTCACATAAATCACTTAAGTGAGAAACAAATGTTAAAATAGAATGAGAGAGAGAGAGAGAGAGAGAGTGATTCATGAGACATAGAAATATTTGCATTTGGATTTGCTAGTTATAACAACATAGAATAAAAACATGAATGAAAACAGAGATGCTATAATATGGTTTTCTCAATACCTTCACCGTCAGATCCTTTAGGGAAGAAACTATAATGTCAAAAACTTGATCTCTAAATGACGTATTGCGGACTAATATTCTTGGACCAGTTACCGGAGTGAAAGGTACACAGCATTGGAACTTTGGATAATATCTTGATCCAAAACCATAGTAGGCATCAGCCCATGAATGATCAAAAACAAATTCACCATATGAATGGCTGTACATCCAAAACAATACACATGAGATAACACCTAAGCAATAAAAAGATTCAGTGGAAGCTCTGAAGGAATTCTAGAAGATTCTATATGAGACTTTGCTTTATGAACATAGTGGATACTGAACCTCTTAAGATAGAGTGGAACAACGCCTACAACATTTTCACAATCATCCTTTGCAACAATGTGGCTAGGCATCCATCCAGTTTCCTGGAGTCAGTGAAAGTGAAAATTTAGGACATAAGTGTAATTTCAAGCTGGTTTTTAGCATTCACAGAGATCAATACCACCAATCTAACAAATCATATATTGCCAAATATCCTCTAGCAATGAACAATCCTTTGAGGAGTTGAAGTGGTTCACTCTCAGAGAGAAAATTTGTAAAATAAATTCACATATAGCCCTTTAGATTTACTCAAAAATGAGAGAACCAGTTATCTCAAGTAAGATTGTCAATTCTTTTTTCTTAATATCAGCACCAATCTATAATTTTTAATGTGCATGTTCAAATGATATGTAAACCAATAATTAATTGTCACAATCTTCAAGAAGTTCACATGTAGCAAAATGTTAACCTTCACAGCACAACGTGACTCTTCCAAGCTTGAAAGAAAACCATGGGTAAGAAATGGATTGAGTTTTTCAGGGCCTGTAGCGTCCAGATTACAGGCATCCCATTCATCTGGTGAGACCTCAGAAATAGAAGAAATCACTGAAACTGATATCTTTTTGGGTATCACTTGGTTCCCTGAACCTTCCTGAATTTAAAATCACTATTCTGGAATCAGCTATTGAACACAGAGAAAAAGAGACAAAACATTCATAGTTACTGTGGAACCATCAAATGCAAACACCTCTGAGCCTGACCCTGTTAGAGTGAAATCCTCAAGTGAAAAGTCTGATACTTTTGGCTCTTGTGACTTCTTTGATCCCCAAAATAGTGCAGTAATTTTGTGTTCCTGCACAAAATTACTGACTCTTGGTCTGGATGATGATTTTCCCTACAGTTATGATAACCAAAGAATAAGGTCAATCAAACAGGACCATGCATTTGTGAGCATACATAAAAGTTAAATGAGTAAGATAGTATGAAACAAAAGTGATACAGTTCTGATTAATTGACATAGACTTTATTATTTCAAATATGTAGAACAAAGTCAACATTTACAAGACAAGTTGATATCTCTCTCTCTCTCTCTCTCTCTCTCTCTATATCAGTTTGATTAATGACATAGACTTTATATAATTTCAAATATGTAGAAAGTCAACATTATACAACGACAAGTTTTGATATCTCTCTTCTCTCTCTCATCTCTCTTCTTCAATATATATATACTATTAATATAATAACGTATATATATATATATATATATAAAATAAGTTCATCACACCATCTAAAGGACTCTGAAGTACAGTATGCAGTACCGCTTAAGGCAATTACATTTGCTTAAGGGTTACAACTCATGTGAGACCGGAATTATGTGCAATCAATCAATTAGAGTATTTTGTACCAGAAAATAAATGAAGTAAACCATTGGACTGATATCACAAAAATGAGTAAATGAAGAAGCAGCTTAACTATGCAAGTTAAAAGGAATAAAATTAAACCACGCCTTCATGTCTATCATACATGAGATAGCTCTTAACCAATCCTCATTGTTATAGGTGCTCCAAGACAACAAATTTAGTCGGTTCCAACAATTCAAGAACTTTCCTCATCTCATTATTAGCAATAGCTCGTTACCGTCATCACACTTAGAATGCATAAACAAATATCCAAAAAAGGTATGCCATGTAATAGAACATCTCTCACAAATTCATGGTATCAGTACTGAAAAAATTCCCTGCTAAAATTCAATCTTGGTGGGTGTTGCTTGAATGGAAAGAACTGGATAATCTTATTCTTATAAAGGTGTAAGGGCCTTAATAGAGCAAGAACGGGGAATCACACTCACATTTCAGGGATTTTTGCCGAATATTCCGAAAAAGACTTGCGGTAGAGAAAACTACTTCGGTTGAATTTCCAAATGAAGCAAAATAATACTTACTCCATGATAATATCATCAGGGAAATATATAATCATGAAGAAAACAGACCTCAAATAACAGCAATTTGAGATGAGTTTTCTTGCACAGTACAATCATGAACAATTCACTCACTTCATTTAGTTTCATTTAGCTTGAACTCTATGCAAAAGAATGGAGCATTCACAAAAATAAACAAATACCCATAGCAAAGGTTAATCTTTTTGGCATAAAATTTTCAGAAAAAAAAAAACCAAAACACTAATTCATAGCAGTTCGAAGACACGAAAGATCAGTGCATATAAGCATACAAGAAATGATGAAAAAGACAAAAGGGACTAACAGAGTAAGATGAGAATTGGCCGAGAAAGGGCGAAGGCTTGCAGTAGCTCACTACTGCTGCCATGGCCACACACAGTCAGCTCCCAATTTGATTTGATTGCTCTCTCAATGCTTCTCAACAAACAAAGAACAAAAAGAAATTACAATATACAAAAAGAATGTCGCTTTATCATGCCACGTCCCAACTAGCAAGTAATGGTGCCAGATTTTTTTCCTTTCTAATTTTTGTGCCTATAATTATTGTTTTTTAACTTCAGTTTTCTTTGTTTAAATCAAAATTTTAATCTAATTTCAGGGATTATTTGGTTTTTTCTTTTTTTGAAGAATATTGGTTTTTTAATAACTAATTAATAATTATATTTAATAAATTTGATGATTGGATTAACAGGTTAAATGTAATAATCAACGGTTTAAATTTATCATCGAAATATTGAAAATTTTAATAAAATAATTAATAAATGATTAATTATTTTAAACAAATTGAAATTATCAAGAAGGAAAAAAAAAAAAAAATCAATGCAATTCACTTATATAGACAAAATAAGGAGGCAAGTGTACATTTTGTTCTATTTCAGAAGTCTTTTTGTAGTTTCTGTATTTTTACTAGCAAAACGCATCGTTTCCACCAGCCAAAAGCCCTACTGCCCCGCTATATAAAACACAATATCCCTCCTTTCTCCGTCTGTGTTCCACTCTCAAACCCTAAAAATGGCAGCGGCTCCAATTGAGTCAGTCCAGTGCTTTGGGCGCAAGAAGACTGCTGTGGCTGTCACCTACTGCAAGCGTGGAAGAGGCCTAATCAAGATCAATGGATGCCCAATCGAACTAGTGGAGCCTGAGATCCTCCGTTTCAAGGCTTACGAGCCAATCCTTCTTCTTGGACGACATCGTTTTGCCGGTGTCGACATGCGCATTCGCGTCAAAGGTGGTGGTCACACCTCGCAGATCTATGCTATCCGTCAAAGTATCGCTAAAGCTCTTGTCGCCTTCTATCAGAAGTACGTTGACGAGCAGAGCAAGAAGGAAATCAAAGATATTTTGGTCAGGTATGATAGGACTCTCTTGGTACGCCTTCTATCAGAAGTACGTTGTACGAGGCAGGAGCAAAGAAGGGGAAAATCAAAGATATTTTGGTCAGGTATGATCTAGGACTTTGCTTGTAGCTTGATCCCAGGCGATGCTGAGCCAAAGAAGTTCGGTGGTCCGTGCGTTGTCGCGCCCAGGTTTCCAGAAGAGAAGAGGTTACCGTTGAATCGGGTATTATTGCTTTTTTTATTGTTTCTTGTTATTTTTCCAAAGTGTTTTGAATTATGATTTTGCTTATTTTGAGGGACTAAGCAAATGTGGCATGGATTTTTGTTGGTTTTTCTACTTTAGTACACCCATTGCCTAGTTTTGTTGGTATTGTGGTATAAATTTAATGGTTATACTTTATTAAGCTTAGTTGATTAAACTCAGTTTATGCTTTGTCTTGAATCAAATGTTTAATTAGCTTTTATTGTGTTTAGAGTTTATTAATGGTTTGGTTTATATACGGTTTTGTGGGTTTGATTCATCTCTCTCCT